TTATCTACTAGTTATACTATAATAATCTTATTTTTTAAGTTAGTAGTAAGCTGTCCTTAGTCTAGTAACCTAAGACCTAGTGACCTACTACGTCTAAACGTTACAACCTGTTTTCTAAATCTACTAAGGAAATCTACTAAGAACGCACTATACGCTTCCCTCTCTTTTTCCTTAGTAGGCTAGTAGTCTAGCTGTTATAAAAGCCTATTTACTATATTATTTTTCTTAAGCTAGTATTTAATCTTAAAGTTAAATAATAATAAATCTTAAAGTAGCTAGGCCTAGTAACTATTAAGTTAGGGCTTAGTAGCTAGGTAGTAGTACCCTAAATAGTCTATTAGGAATATTAAAGTAAGATAAGGTAATTAGCCTAAAGTAAGGTAGTATATATACTTAATTAGAAGATCTTAATCTTAATTAAGTATAAAGATATAAGTTAGCGTTAATAGGTTTAGAGATAGATATATAGAATTTATTCCTTATACTTATACCTACCTTCTAATTAAACTAAAGCCTCTTTATAATTTACTTTTAATTATAATAATATAAGATAATTAGGAGTAATAGCCTACCTAATTAAGGTATAATTATACTTAATCTTATAGTTTAATACTTATAATTAACGTTAATACTAAACAGATTAAGACAATTTATATACTAATTAGTAAGGAATTTTATATTACTTTTAGTAGTTATAGTGTTCTATATAGTCACTATACTATAAGAGTCCCTTATACCTTATACGCTTTTAATATTATTTAATATTATATATATAGTAAGTAGTGTCTTTAGTAAATTACTACCTTATAGATTATAAGTAGCTCTACCTTTAGTGCCTTATAATAGAGTTCTACTCCTTATAGCTTTTATAATATAAAGGCTACTAGGTGCTATACTCCTTTATAGAGCTAGTATATTACTATACTAATTATAAAGTTAGATATATCTATTTTAACTTATATAGGTAACTTAAGGTTAAAATACTAAAGGATTAAGGCCTAAGTAAATAAGGCGTAAAGCTTATAGAAAGCCTTCTCTACCTCTTATATTATTACTTACTTTTTTACTACCTTAGATATTAGCCTATCTATTAAAAGTATATATACCTTAAAGTAGTTTTTTATAAATTACTAGTAGAATCCTATAAACCTTAGGAAAACCTAAATCTCCCTAACGCTAGTAGGAAGTAGCTACTTTACTATTACCTATACTTACTTATACTTTATAGTAATCCCTTTATTAGACACTATAAAACCTAGGAACCTAATAGACTAAGTATAAAAAACACACTTTTTAGGGTTTATATATAGCCTTATAGCGTCTAACTAGCTTAGCACTTACTTAACTACTTCTATATAACTTTTTTTATTTTTTATAAAGATTAAGATATTATCTAAGTAGATAATATATATAATATCTACTAGCTTAGTAAAGGTATTATTAATATACACCTAAAACGTTATTAGTATATTAACTAGCTTAAATAGTATAATATAATATTTAAAGTGTTTATAATAAGTATAAAAGGCTATTTTTTATTTATTACTTACTTTAATCCTTATCTAGTAATATATATCCTTTAGGTCTAGCTTTATATACTATTTTACTTTTACTAAATAGTTAAGGATCTTACTAATAAGGGGTAGTAGTATATAATTCTTAATAGTTACTTTATTAAGCCTCTTATAGTCTATATAAAGATATAGCTTACTTTTTTTCTTAAGAATAAAAAGGATTAGTACTCCTACTAGGCTTATAAAGTGTTTAATTTAGCCCTTCTTAAGTAACTTATTAATATATATCCTTAATTCCTTTAGTTCTTTCTTAGCTAATAAGTAAATAAGGCTAAATAGCGCTTTTACCTCTAGCTTTAAATTAATTATATATAAGTAGCCTTTATTACTTACTAGCTAGGCTACTAGGCCTATATTAAATATATATACTTATTCCTTATAGGCCTCTAGTAGGGTAGCCTTTATTTCTTTATCCTATTTAGCTTTTACTTTTTCTCCTTAGTTATAATAAGGTATCTTTAGTACTCCTTTATCTCTTTTATATTATAGGTAGTAGATTATTAGTTAATAGGCTAGAATAGCCCTTAACTCCTTATATACCTTTTTAATTTCTTACTTACTTTAGATAAGTTAGAGGTAGTCTTTTCTTAGTAAGTATATCTAACTAATTATTATTTACTTTATATTTAGTTATACTACTTATCTTTAGAGGATTTTTAAGATAGTATTATACCTAGCTATATTACTAACTTAAAAGGTATAGCTTTATATCCTTAAGACCTTTATATTATTTATAACTTTTATTACTACCCTTTTTATCTTATAGTCTAAGGCCTTACCTCTTTATATACCTTAAAGCGCTAGGCCCCCTTAGCTTACCTCTACTAGTACCTTTATATATAATATCCTTTAGTATAGTATATTCTTATTTACACTAAGATTAATTAGTACTTTCTTTTTTTTTATATACTACTTATTTTAGTATAAAAATCTACCTTAAAGTAGTAGTATAGTTTTTTATCTTAAAAAAGCTTAATACTATTAACTTTTATTAGCACTAAGACGTACTATCTCCTTAAGTGTTATAGTTATTTATACTTATAGTACTTTTTTTTATTATACCTAACTAACTAGTACTTAGGCTTCTTATAGTTATAATAAGTAAGTAGTCCTTAGGTCCCTTCTAGCTAAGGTATTATACTTTTTTTTTTTTCTTAACCTTTAGCTTTAATATAAGTATACTTACTAGCGTTATAGCTATTAGTATTAAGTATATACTAGTAGCTTTAGTTAAGGGGGTATTTATAGTTATTAGTTATACTACTACCCCCTAGTAGCCTTTTTTTTCTTAACCTTACTTTAGCTATCCTCTTAATACCTCTCTTATATAGGTCTTAGTAAGTGTTTCTACTTTTTTTACTATATTATCTAACTCTTAGTAAGTAGCTAGTAGCCCTTTAGTAAGTATATAAGTCCTTAGGTCTAAAAGCACCTAGTTTAAAATATAAACTACTTACTACCTTTTTATTTAAGGGTTAAAGCACTCCTCCTTAACTATTTTATACTTATTAATAAATTATTAGTATAACTAGCCTAAGGCTTATTATATAGTATCTAGCTTTATAGTAGTACTAAAAGCCTATATATTATTATTAGTAATATTTACTTTTAGCTAGTCTTTTATAACTTCTTAAGGTACTTTATTAATCTTATTTTTATAATAAAAACCTATATACTTTCTTTATTTATATACTAAGTTATTTTTTAGTATAGTATTAGTATATTTTACTTTATTATTATTAGTTATAAACTTATCTTTTATTATATTAAAATATATTTCTAACTAAAATAAGAATTCCTATAGTTTATTTTAGCTTCCCTCTTTATACCTTAAGGTAGGTAATTTTTTTAAAAGTATATTAGTATAAAGTTACTTAGCCTTTAGTTAGGGATTAATAGTTATTTTTATTTCCTCTTATATATTTTCTATAGATATACTACTTTAAAAGGCCTTAATTTAATTAATTATTTTTTTTTTTTTACTTTTTTTACTTCCTCCTCTAAAAAGGCCCTTAGCTTTTTTTCTAATAGCTTACCTAAGTTAATAGCGTACTACTTATCTACTAGTATAGACTTAGTTATATTAGGTGTTAGTTATCTTATTATAGCGCTCTTTTATTACTAGGCTATAGTTTAGGATTTAGTAAGCACTATTACTACTTTAGTAGTTAATATACCTAAAGATAAAGAGATATTAAAACGTATTAGAGGTAGGGATAGTATTAAGTAAAGGAGTTAGTAATAGGCGTAGTTAGGGTTTAATTATAATAATTATTTTAATATACCTCCTCTAACCTCTATCTTCTATAGAGTTTTCCCTTTTTGTTGTTCCTTTAGTGATTAGTTTATCTGGTCCTGGTCCTACTCCGGTGCCCCCCTGGGGCCCCGCTCCGGACACCCGACACTTTCCCACCACCTTAGTTGCTTATACCTATCTGCACTTCTCTTGCTTGTGCCAGTTGTTCATCGCTTGATTCTTTGTTGTTGTCACGCGTGCCAAGGAAGCCGCTGTGTCTCGTGGATCTCTCCCCCAACTGGTCAAGTATCAGCCCATACGTTCTGGCCCACTAACCCGAGTGCGGCTCTTCGGCCGTATCTGACCGCTTTTACTAAGAGGCTAGATGCGACCCACACGATACACGACAAACCGCAAACCAAAAAAAGCCTATATATAAAGCTCACGACTTACAATTACGCTGTTGGCGGTACAGTTTCTAGTTTCTGTATCAGTAAATGGCGCAGTACGTTGCTGTCGGTACTATGAAATGTTATGGCTTGATGCATCATCATAGTCCTTCTCTATCGCCATGATAGTCATTGCCATACTGTGTGACCCGTTCTCTTTCCGGCATTTGTGCGAGTGAAGGGGCTTCGTAAATGCTTATCCAAGCAATTATTTGCACGAAAGCCGGTTCTCTGAGTCTTCAAGGCATTTAATTCACGGGCTAGGGCTGCAATCACCATGATAACGGTCGTATCAAAACCTTCTTACGAAATCAGTGTAAGCGAAGGACAGAGTGATTGACAATCAGTCTATCTAGCAACCATAGACTAAAGCGATAACAAAAGTTGCCTATTCCCATTTCAGCTTCCCGCTTCCTCAAGCCCAGACAAGGTGCATATAAGCTAAATAATTTATGGCCAGGTGCCGATATTATCTTCAGTTCAGTTGTGACAAAGCAAGAAATGACGTAGTTGATGAACATCTTTGTCGTCATTACAATAAAGTTTGAAGTCAGTGGACGACAGCAAATAGGCATCGAACGGGACTCCACAACTTACTTGTCATCAATCCACACCTTATGGTTCGCGGCTCCGAAATGGCTCCTAGGACGTAGGCTATGTTAGATATAAAAGTCACCTTTTTTGAACCGGTGACTACCAGCTTTCTCTCAGCAATATATCCTTAAGTGTTGAGGATTAATAATGAATAAGAACATTACGAAAATGCCAACTTCTACAGGCGACCTGGGCTTTGAGTGTGCCGTTATCACCGGCGGCGCCGGAGGTATCGGCAAAGTAATGGCACAATACTTCATCTCGAAAGGCAAGAAGGTTCTTATTGCCGGCCGAACAGAGTCGAAGCTCCAAGACACCATGAAGGAAATCGGAGCCGCGGGCTATTACGTCCTCGATACCGGCGAAGTCCAATCGATTCCAGATTTCGTCAAGCGAATTACTGCAGACCATCCTGAACTGGACTGCCTGGTCAACAACGCCGGTGTACAGCGACCCCTGGAGGTCCTTAAGGATGACGACTTCCTTTCAAAGGCAGACCAAGAGATCGACATCAACATTCGGGGCCCGATGCACCTAGCCTTGGAGTTCCTGCCTCATCTACAGGCCAAGAAGTCTGCTCTCATCGTCAATGTTTCGAGCGTTCTCGGGTTTATCCCATTCTCCATCATCAACCCTGTTTACAACGGCACCAAAGCGTGGTTGCACTTCTGGAGCATGAACCTCCGCACACAGCTGAAGAATGGAGGATCAAAAGTTAGAGTGGTGGAGATTGCGCCACCGACAGTCTCCACCGACCTGCACCGAGAAAGATTGGACCCCAATGACAACAAGAAGGAGAATAACCCCAACGCCCTTAGCGTTCATGAGTTCATGGACCAAGTTGCTAGCAAACTGGAGAATGGAGATGAGACCATCGGGCCAGGAATGGCTGGGGAGGTTATTGATCGCTGGTACGGAGCTTTTGGAGAACAGTACGCAAAAGCAGCTGAAGGCAAGTAAATCCTTATCTATTTGTATAGTCTTGATGGATGCTTCAAGACCAGTTCATCACTGTTGTAAAAACCATTCATTATGAAAAAAGTCTTTAGGTTCTAGAGGAGGGATGAACTCGTCAACTACATGCATACATCACAAGGCCAAAACTACGAGCTTTTAGGTGCTTACAGTCCGAGAATGAGTGATAATGTGTTAGATACTCTTTTCTTCTTGGGCCTTACGCAATGGGCCGGTGAAGTCGTTAGATAAGATTGAATGCATGGTATCTGGGTTTAATACGCGCTTGTATAGCTAGTCAATCTTCCAGCATGGAGTCCTGCTTTAGCAGACGCACCGATGGATGGGCAATCAGTGAAGTCGTTATCTCCTTTGAAGAGTTAACGATCCTGGCATTAAGTACGCTGGACTCATAGCTACTGGGATGTAACGCCGATCTACGAGTCTCTAATGATCCCTTTGATGAGATTGAATTCGGGTCGGTTGCGAGTCACCACACGTGGAACCAATTATTTACTCCCTATCATTCAAGGACCGAGCGAACTCAAAGGCCAGATAGAAAATTGAGTTTTGGCTTTGTTTGTAACGTCGAAGACACCTCCGTCATGAGACCCGTAAATGAGTTACAATACACCATATGGAAGAAGATACCGAGATACCAACGTACACGAGACCCTACTTTAAGCCCGAACAAATAGCCATATGTTCAAATGTATGCAAAAGAGGGGACAGTATGTTGAAACGGAGACACAAAGCTTTTATGGTCGAGAAAAAGAAAGAAGAAGAAAACGAGCCCTTGCGAGTGGGCAGGACTTGGCGTCGGCCTAAGGAGAGCAACTCAAGACGGAAAATTGGGGAAGTGAAGTCGTACATGTACAATGATTAACGCACTATCGTATCGAGCTCTGGGTATTGATCGTAGGCACAGGAATTGGGGTCGTGTTTCTGGTCGGTCTCTCGTTACAAGCCTCGTTCAAATTAGCCTATAAGTGCTATCGTCATCCAGTCTGGTCTCTCATCCAATCGCCGTTATGGCTCCAGTAAGACTGTCACCCAACTGCGGGGAAGCAAAGGTGTCTATTCGAACCAGTATGTGAACAAGTTTGGATCGCTCACCACTGCCATGCGGCTTGGTGCGGGGAGAAATACATTATTTCGCGAGTGATGTCGCAATGAATCCTTGCATGGTTCTATACCTATGCGACTCTACGACGCACTGCCTTGGATACGTCCGTCGCATCGCATTTTATAAGCGCCCGTCTGCTAGTGGTTCCGTGTGTCTTGACAGGGTCTTGTCCTAATAAGTTTGATCGACTGGCGTCTTCCACGTGCGTTCCCCCCCTCGGACTACCCATTATTTGATGGGGTAATCCCGTCGGGGAACAGGCGGGGTGCCCAGGAGTGTTGGGACGAAAGTTTAATGGTGCGCGTAGAGTTGTGATGACCTCACTTATGCTTAGTCGAACAGCTCGCTCCCGGAGCAGAAGGGCCCGCGACGATGCAATTGCGGACAGGGGTCAGGTAGTACTCCCGGACTTGGCACCTGAACGGTTTTGAGCTATAAGAAGGCAATAACTTAGTCGAATAGTTGCCGAGAGCTTTGTCGATTACGCCGTTGTGAGCTTTCAATTGAACCACAGCAAACAAGCCATGGCTTTCGTTGCCTTCAGCCTGTTGATGGTCTTTGCTGGCCGAGCTTCAGCCAAGACGTACAAGACTCCGACGCCTCAGATGGGATGGAACAGTTACAACTACTATAACTGCTACATCAACGAGACGATTATCAAAGCGAACGCGCATGCGCTGGTCGACACGGGTCTTGCCGAGGCCGGATACACCACCGTCACGACGGACTGCGGTTGGTTGTCTACGGAGCGGGCGGCTGACGGGCAGCTCGAATGGAACCCGGAGCTGTTCCCGTCCGGAGGCGGCAAGGAGCTAGGAGACTATATCCACAATCTCGGCCTCAAGTTTGGTGTCTACTCCGGCGGTGGCTACTTCCAATGCGGTTCCACGGACCAGCCTGCGTCTCTGCGTGAGTTACCGGGTGAAAGTTGATGGTGTCCGGTCTCCTAATCGATTGATAGACCATGAGCTCACCGATGCCAAATCATTTGCCGCATGGGGTGCGGACTCCCTCAAGTAGGTCCAAGGTTTTGTCACAGGCTATCTGCATGCTGAAAGGTGACCTCAGATACGATAACTGCTACGCCGTGGAGCCCGATGTCATGGTAGACTACCGTCACCCAGAGGCCATTTCCCCGGACCGTTTCGAGATAATGGCCGAAGCGCTGAACACAACCGACCGCGACATCCTCTACCAGGTTTGTCAATGGGGGACTGGCTATGACCTGGGTATTTGGTATATTGTTCTCCAAGCTCGATACCCTCTCGGGACGACGAGCCAAGCATTGACCTGTGAAACAGGGCACCGAAGATTGGAGGCAACAGCTACAGAATCAGCAACGACATCTACAATGGATGGCGGAGCATTTGGCGCATCGCCAACCAAGTTGTTCCCTACTACAAGCACACCGGCCCGGGTGCCTTCCCGGACATGGACATGTTACTGTGAGTAACGCAAGACATGTTTCTCCACTCTTATGGGACCAGACTAACATTGTTGTCGTAGTGTCGGCCTCAACGCCTTGTCGAACGAAGAAGAAAGGTTCCACATGGGCATGTGGGCCATCAACAAGTCTCCCCTCACCCTTGGTTCGCCGGCCATCGCCGGCCTTGTACCGGAATCGTCCCATGAGATCCTCATCAACAAGGAAGTCATCGCCCTCAACCAAGACCCTCTCGCCAAGCAGGCGCAGCTCGTCCGCCGCTATACGGAAGAGGAGTGGGACGTCTGGGCCGGTGAACTCTCCGGGTCTCATGTAGTCGTCGGCCTCGCCAACTGGAAGAACGACTCTCAGCCCGTCAGCGTGGACCTCGCCGCGGTCTTGGGGATCAATTCTGCCGAGGCGCGCGACGTCTGGGCGGCCAGTGACATCGGTTCCGTCTCAGGAACCTACGAGACGACTCTCAACGGTCACGAGCTCAAGTTGCTTGTGCTCTCGGACATCTCGAAGTCGGAGGAGGCCTACTCATCGGCCGGGTATTACAACGCCATAGATGCCACGCTGACCGGTTCGGCTGCCAAAGTTGCCTGCGCAAGCGGAACTTGTCTCCCGAGCATCAGCAAAGTTGGTAACATTGGGCCAAGGGCTGTGGTCAAGTTTGAGGACATCAAGGCCAAGTCGAATGGTAAGAAGCTTCTGGGCGTTGACTTCATCAACTACGACGTAGCGCTTGACACCGCGTGGGGTTTTGGTTCCAACACGCGCAATATGACCATCTCTGTCAATGGCGGCAGTGCCAAGAGATGGGCGTTCCCCATTGCTGGTGGCAACTGGTATGATACCGGACGTTTGCTCGTTGAGGTTGACGGTTTCAAGGCCAACAAATCCAACACTGTGGAGTTTAAGTCCTTTGAATCTGGCTGGGCACCAGACTTGGTTGGCCTCGAAGTGTTTGAGGCAACCTAAATGCGATGAAAATATGTTCTCGACGTGGTTCACCTGTGAGAGATTTAGAGTCTCAGGGTCTCTTCATATGATGCCTGGAATATCTGGCCTTCAACATTTTGGTTCATGTAATTATAAGGTTACAAACGCAATGAACAGATGTCTTGGGTAAAAGCCCGGGGTATCCGCGATGAAAAGAGAAAGGACTCGGTTATTCACACCAAATTTCAAGTCCGCCAATATCCTCCATGGTCATTGCCAGCTTAAGGAGAGGTGTTTTTAGCTACGTTTCCTTCTCATAGATCTCCGGGTGCCTAGCATTACTTGTTGAAGAGTCTATTTCGTCGAGCTTATAGAAGGACCTGCCGCTAGCGACATCATCCTGCCGCCCACTGAAAGCTAGAATGCCCGGCGAGTTGGGTAAATCAATCCGAGTGTTGAGGTCGTTCATTCGATGACTTCTTGTAGAGTCCACATTTCTGTTTTCAGGGACAGAACCGATGCTGGCTTTGCGGAACCTTTTGAGGCCACTTGTTTCGTGGCCTAGTGGGCTGTCGTCTAGCGCCAGGCCCGTTCGTCGGCTGCTTGACTGGCCATGCAGATAGGAGGGCGAGTGGAGCCCTGAACCGCCCTCACGGTCCTTTGAAAGACGAGTGATGAGGGATGCCATTGACATCTCGATGTTAAGCTTGACCATATAAGCGACGGGGTGAAACTGGATGTAGACAACCTGGTTGGGCAGAGACATGAGACCGATAAGCATAGCCTGGAGGAGGTGTCAGTCTTTTGGGCATACTCGTGAAAATCACGAGGCCGTGAACTTACATCCATAGCGATGGAAAGTATCATGAGCTTTGCATTGAAGCCGACGAGAGGCTTGTACTTGAGCAGGCCATGCTGGTCCACTAGGCGGGTCTTGACCACGCTCAAGAAGTACCAATTTAGACCAGCGTCCACGAGCAGAATCAGAATCTTTGAAACACGGTCCCAATAGTGGTTTATAGTCACGAATCTTGGGGCAATATGTCAGCGACAAGGTATGAGGTGACGGCGCAACGAAACCGACCACTTACGTTTGGCTAGCTGGGGGGTTGAGATGGGCAGGGATCCAGATGACAAAAACGGCGATATTGATCAGAGTAATGGCCAAAGCTATTCCCCATTTCATGAAGACAATGGTCTCTTGGCTCTCTCTAATGATAGCGATCCGGTTGATAATGATTTGCATCAGCAACTGGATCTCCCACACCCACAGGAAGAGGATGAAGAACAACACGGGGACCCTAATGTTTCTTTTAGCGCCAGGGTTCTATACGAGCAACATGTCCTAACTTACGTCGGTCCCAAAACGCCATCCAAGAAGAGCCATGCGACGATTGCGATGATGAGATTCGCAAGGATTTCACCCCATATCATGTAGATGTATGCGCTTCCGAGCGGATTGCGGTTCCGTCTTGTCTGCTTTATGGCCTCCCATACTGTCAAAAATCCAAAGCCGATGGTGAATCCCGCGGCAAGCGAGGCAAGCTGATAGTCGGCCCTGGACGCCATGGTAGGACCAGGGTTGGCTCGTTTCGGTAGGCTCGAATTCGATGCCCGAAACTGTTGAAATTCGGTCCTATCCTCGCACTGCCAATGACAAGGATGAAAGACGAACAGAAACGAGACGCCGCCTTGCATTACGCTACAAGAAACATAAGGGGGAAACGGGGATTAAAACACCAACGAGCACCGGAAGTCCATCCACTCTGCCAACGATCCCCGCTACCCACTCTTTCCGGAATCAAAAGAGAGATTAAGAATTTGTTCCTGCGCCGTGGCAACAGTAGCACCCTTTGTTTCGCGGAACCACAAGACATGAGCATCTGGTTAGGTTGTGACGGGAATCTAGCCCCTTCGCCGCCGCGGCGCCTAAAGTAGGCAAAGTAACCACAAAGAAGATGAAAACTGGCAGTGCTACCTTGAGCCAGAAGCCACACTCTACATGTTTAGCGGTAAATCTCTGCGCTGGAGTGCCGTCAGCGCAAGTAGCGCTCAGTCACTGCTATCATGACTATGCCCAGGGTGGTAAGGAGAACCGGACCGGCATCCTCCCGAGTCCCCCCTTGTCATCGCTTGCTGACCTTTGCTGCCGATGAACTCGATTGAGAGGCGAACGCGCTGTCCACCAATTGCTTAGGTCACTGACGACAGCTTCGCAATGGCGTTCTTGTGCAACAATAGACCAATGTTTCGTCACCATTGGACCGAAGAACCATGAGATAGCAGGCACGGCCGCGCCTCCAGACCCCAGGTCTTCCCATTCACATGCGCCCTATCCTTCAACTTCATCGAATGGCGGGTCACATGCTTGCCAAAAAGATTCAAACAAAACGTAGACGTCGATCTTGTGAGGGTCGGTCACGGAACGGAATCCAGGGATTCTCCCTACCACCCCCTCCACATGGGTCGAGAGACACACGAGCTGATTTTGCTCTCTATATCCCTATACGGGCTACCGTCCTTTTCATGGTTGAGCTCGCCCCTCGGGCCGAGATTAGCCCACATGGCCAAGTGCAGAAAGGGGGCGATGGTAACGGGCTTCAGCGGGCGAATAGTGAGCCAGCGAGTGATCGTCTGTGATTGTAATAGCCTACTGGGGATCTTTGAGGAAGAGAATCAGAGAGGGAATAAACGTTCGGGTTGGGGGCAAACAGATCGACATGGCTCCCTGGTCATGACGGATGCATCTAGGGGACCGTGCGCCCCTCTGTTTGTGATAAGGTTAACACGAGATCTGAGTCGAAATATTGAATTCCACAGACGCATTCGTCGAGAAGTGGAACAGGGGAGGGCAGCATGTCTCTATCTCTCGCTGACTATCTCCGTCTTGGATTCAGCCTCGGACAAATGGATGAGGTGACTCGGGACCAGCTGAAATGTGACACAGAGAGTGAACTTTGGCGCGTTGCGCAATGCGATGAGAAGATTTCCCACATTTGGCCAACTGACTAACATTCAGCTATTACACTTTCGGAACAAAATGCCGATTCTCAGGGAAGGGAGAATAAATGCTAAACGACGTGACCCCATATTCAGATGTACACCTGACCATGTTATCAATGCCTTGAATGTTATGGATCAGATTAGGACCGCAAACTATGAGTATCCTCACAAACCGTCTAACGACAGCCCCAGCATCTGTGATGATTGCGCATTGTCCTCTCAGAAGGTATATGCCAACGGAAACCCCGAATTCCTGATTTCAAATGGAATCAAGATGGAAAATTGATAGTGACGCCGTCTCATTGAGGAACTATGCTGAAATCCCGAAGCAGACATCATTAGATCTGCCAAGAACTACGGTGGTCGAGGTGCGAATGAGTGTGTGAAGCCGCCTATCTCCTTTCTCAATATCTTACTTTCTGCACTTACAGTTGATATTCAGGCAACTAAGGGCGGAGGAAATGCAATGGAAGATGTGGGGAGGTCCATTCCTTTTCGCTGTCACCTAAGCTCCTTGCGAGGAGAACAATCACTCATTCATTCTCTTTTCCTGATATCTGCTCCCTCCAAATAGTATGACCACAGCTTGCCTGCGGCAGCCACAAATCATCGTTCGAGTATCGCAGTATTCACGCCAGTCTTGCGTCCTTCCATATCAGCGCTAGGCGTGGCATCCATCACTCCAAAATGACAAGGCTTCGTACTTGTCCCTCCCCGTCTGTGTCCCTCAAAACTCAATCGCTGAGGAACCAATCCTCTCTGCATATTAGGCTCACGCTCCATAAAACCCTGCATTAAGAAGCACGGCCGGTACCTATTTGGATTACTTCGAGATTACACAATAGAAACAAAGAAAGAAACTACCAGAACGAACTATCTACCCTGTTAGAGGCTTGAGCTAGTCCGAATTTACAATGGCGTGGAAGCTATGGCCCGGACACAGCCATCATCTGCTTTGTGTCTGGAATCCTGGGGCACGAGACTTAGCCTTCCACCTAGCTTACTCCGGCTACATGGCTTGCTAGCACGGGTGGTAAACGACAACTGGGATATTTCTCCCGGTATTGACGACAACGTGTTCCGACGCAGAAAATCACTCGGCCTTTACGCGTGCATCCAGCCCCAACGAATCACCGCTGACCGTCAAATGCACTCTAAAAAGGAGGAGACAGACGACCGGTAGCACAAACGCCTTGCTCGGCTAAAACCCGCTAAACCACATCATGCAACCCGGACATGCGCAGATGCCGCTATAATCCTCCACATCCTTTGACAGGAAAATTAAAGTCGACGTGATGACATTCGGTTTTCATCCCGCCCATATACGCCGATTTGTTGGCCTGCCGGCTGGCCTCGAGGCCCTCCCACCCGATGGCCGCGACAAAGGTCCGGCCGGCGTCCCCGCTGCAGCCCGTGCCCGGCGAGCGCTGTAGCGAGTACCCGCTCGCCACGCCGTTGCAACCGGGCATTTGCGCCGCTATCCCGACCATATCCCGCATCTTGTCCTCCGGTTCACGGCATTCCTCAAAACTCAGCATCTCCACGATCCGCGAGTTTATGACGGCCTGCGGTGCGAAGGGTCTGAATTGCAAAAGATAGCTCGAGGGCTCACCACCCAGAACTGGCGCGAATCTGGCCATGGCATCGGCGAATTCTTTCGATTTCTTCCACGTCTCGCAGGCTTCGACGTTGATCCAACCTGGCTCACCCAGAGGTCGCTTTAGTCTTTGTCTGCCTCAAAGGTTCATAGGAGTCATCCGTCTAGGCCACGGACTTGTCAGATGTTCACGTACCGGTTATGAGCTCTAGCTTCTGCTGATCCTCGGTCCACGGGCCCCAACGCGTACGAAGACGCCCGGGCTGATTATCGAGGGCTTGGAGCATGAATTTGAGCTGGTCTTTCCAATTCTCGATGCCACCAAGGACAGGAATTGTTACCCGCTCGGTGACGGCGTTGACGGGCTGAGCTGATTCCATTCCTACTATGAACGTTATTGGTTCGATTCAAACTCGGCTCGAGCTGTCACTAAATATACTCTCTTCTTGCAGCTAAAGTGGTGGTGGTGCTCGTTATGAGAAACTTGTAGGTGGCCAGTGGTCGCTTCTAGGCTGCTTCGGGACTTGAATCTCTTCACTAATATTTCTTCATTACTTCAGTCCCTTTTCTTCGAACCGTTGGGCAGACAATCCCAATCTTAAATAGCGGCTCATAGACTCCATTCTCGCGGCAGACTAGCGCTCGGCCAGATGTCAGGAAACTAGGACGAGGGGTTAACGTTGGGCGGATATGTGGCTTTCTATCCACGACCCGATTGCTCAACATTCTGGTATAGCAGTTCGGCACTGGACGGCAACTCAAAAGCCGCAAGGGGTTTCTTAAATCACCATAACCTTGAATCCGTTGCAAGAACCTCAACCAAAGCTTTGTGATGCATATCCACCGCACCATTCCGGATCTGCTGCGACGGTATGTCATTGGATGCAAGGGCACACAAGTCGAAAACAACCCCTTGACTAGGAAGTTTTCTGGAATGGGCTAACCCCGTGGTTTGTAACCCTATGATCAATCACGGATATCGATGCGGAATTTCTCCAAGCGCTTGTCCGGGAGGAAACGCACCCCCTCCTTTTCACTGAGAGAGGAGGGTTGCCGGCTGTCCATTAGTGCGTGGCTTGGCAATACGTCAAGGATACGTCAAGCACCCTCGTGGATCTTTGGCAATTTAGGGACCAGAAGGTTCAAGTTGGGATGGTGGAGGGAGAACGAGGAAACTTTGGAAGCAAGCGAGGTTCTCGGACACGACCTCGCCCGAGGCAGACAAGACCACTCGTGGAGAACCATGGATTTGGGGATGAACGGCGATGATTTGTTTCAAGGCCAGCTTCTTCCCGCGCCGGCGGTAAGAGATTTTCAAGATTACATCTCCATCTGCATCTGCATCTGCTTGCCGCCAACGGGAACGGCTCTCTGCCCGGTGTGCGTCTGTGTGCCAAGGTTATGTCTCTTGCTCTGTCTACCGCCAACAACGTTTCATGACGAGACATGCCACCACAAGATTCCGTTCCCACACTCTCCGTTTCGTCCGAAGGGACGTTTCCTTTGTGCCGAAACTATTGCCTGTCAATTCGCGTTACGATGCCGCTTTTGGGCTTAGCCCAAACCAAAGAGGTGATCCACGTCCCGCATGTCATTGAGGTTACCGAAAGCTCGGCAACATACACTCCCTCCGCCCTATATGTGTGTGCGTTCACGTGCTCTTTAGTCGAGTCGGGCCGAGTCCGAATGGAGTATTATCCCGTCACAGCACTTACACGATTGGCGGCGCCCACCCGCGCCAAGAACCTCCCTCGCAAGCCATGGAGAGGAGACCTCATCTCTTCATAGATACCGTTGCGTGCTCTCCCTGTCCGGTTGGGACTTAGTTGTAGGCGGGCAGTTGGTCCCATGTCTCGTCAATCGCGACAGCCTCGCCATCGTCGTTGCCGCAGCTGACATTCGGACCCTCCGCATGAACCGTTTATAGTAAACCTGCTTCGGTTTGGGACGATCCGCAATACTGCTTGGGAGTTAATCTCGCTGCTGCAGGTGACCCGGACACTCAGGCCAAGGAGCATTACCACAAAGGCCCAGCACGCGAAGGACAGTCGTGGCCAATGCCACCCGTCCTTGAGAAAGGCACGGAACGCCTGCATGAAGGGCAAAGGGCGAAGTGCACAAAACATTTAGCATCTGGTGACCAGTCACTCGAAATGAACAGGATTGTCATCACGGCCCATCGGGATGAGGTCGATGCAGAAATCAGTGTAATAAGAACATCTTCAAAGAGCCACCGCCTCTAATAATTGATGTCAGAATCCTAAAGCCAGCCATCTCGATACAAAAGCAATATCATTCAGTTCGTGGCACAGCACTCGGCATTATTGGCAATATACTGCATGGCTTAGTATTGCATCGCCCTTTTTGAATCAATAGCCATGGCCCCTACCCTGAACTCGTATCGCTCCCACCCAACTTTACCTCCGAGATGTTCCTGAAGTTCATCGTTCATGCTCAAGAAATCTGCGGCGTCGATAACGTCCGCGTCGTTCCCAAAGACAACCCCCTAGAGGGCGACTCCTAGCTCAACCAGCCCAAGTCGTACGGCCACTTCCTGCTCTACGAGAAGACGATGTTCGTCGCCTCAGCGGTCATTACCCTGCGCCATGTTCCGGGATCTGCACGAGCACATGGAGAAGCAAAACCTGCGTGAGCATCTTTGGCTCTCCGCCTTCGTCGGCCAGGGCTCTGTGTTCGGCAATGCTATCGAGCGCAGCGTGGGCGCTACGCCCTACGGTGACCACTGGGGCATGTATTGCGGCATGGAAGTTGTGCTACAGAACGGCAAGCTTGTTCTTACCAGCATGGGCAGCGTCCCTAACCCAAATGCGGACCCGAACGTGCGTATCAACGAGCGGCCGGGGAGCGAGGCGTGGTAGTTCTTCAACACGGGTTGCGGTCCGTACAACAATGGTCTCTTCTCGCAGAGCAACCTCGACGTCGTGACCAAGATTGGCATATGGCTGATGCACAATCCTGGTGGCTACCAGCCACGAGAAATCATCTTTGAGCACGACTCGGATCTGTCCGCGGTCGTCGATATCATCCGTCCCCTGCGCCTGCAGATAGTACCTTTGCCACAGGTTTCTGAGTGCTGCATACTGCGGGCCAAATCCAAATGGACGGCAAACAAGGGCCAACTACCGGAAGAGGAAGTGAACGCCATTGCCAAGAAGCTAGACATGGGACATTGGCAGCTCGTCAGCGCCGTCTGCAGAGTGTATGAAGTAAGTCGTTCTCTGCGATGGCGCGTCGGCATCTCACTAACGGGGGTCGCTTATAGCTGACTTCCTAACGGCGGCTAACTCCTCTGGGCCACGTTGTCTAAGCTCTCTGGTGAGGATGCAAACAAGCAGCACGACGTGGCCAAGAACCCAATCACCAGTCACGGCTTCGTCTACCTCAGGGCATTCTCCGCCGGCATACAAGAACTCCGTGAGAATTCTGGCACACATACAGATATAGAGAACCTCCTGGCTCGCGCCATGCCATCTGTCCCCAGACCCCGAACATTGCAACATCAAGACTGATAAAAGGGCACGCAGACCAAGTGGTTGGTATTCCCTACCTCTCCGACGGGCCGGAGGACGCAACGAAGAATAGGTAGCTAGCGCACAAGTTGACAAAGGAGACGACGGCGCGCCGCTGGGGCCAGTTTCGCGCACACACGGCGCCCATAGACCCGGTAGCTGACGCCTTCCGCTGGAACAACAACACGCAGAATCTCAACGGCATCCCTGCACCGGGGAAGAACGGTGTGTGACCTGCAAGTTACGGCAAGAATAAGAGGGTGCGGGACGGCAACTGATTAACGACACTGCCTATACCATACCTACCTAGTGTTACACCGTGTACTCTACAGATCGCACCGGCTGGCAGCTGAATGCCTCGACGAGATCCAGACCCTTAACTTGCCTCCATAGTGGTGTGGGTACGGGCCGGATGTGAGATGTGAGATGACGCGGAGGTGATGCTTTAGACATGGTGATTTTTGGAAGGCCAAGACGAGTCTGAAGGAGGGACTATCCGAGCAACGTCGAGAGGACCTAAGAGCCGTACTGGTGGCATGATGGCTACGGTAGTTGAAGAAATATGGCACAGAGAACCGGATATTGCATTCGTGTACTTGATGATTCTGAGCGCCAAGAGGATGCCGTAGTTTGCTAAGCATACATGCACGTCGATCTTTGTGCTGTGTTTCCCTGCTGCAGTACGGATAGTCAATCCCCATTGACTCAGATTCACACCAGACCTTGGTGTAACACTCGATCGGGCCTGGCATGTCCCAATATGGAGAAAGCAAGGAGAAGCTGAGCATGAGAACCCCCCCTTCGCTCCAGGTTCAGGAGCCATTGCCATCACAGAGTAGTAGGTAACGCATATGGCATGTATGCATGCGTTGCTGGGAAAACTTGGAATCACGGATATGACCAGGGTCCGGAGCTTATCATCCGTAGCTACACCCCGGTCTAACGTTACCTATATAATTAGTACTACACTTATAATAATTCCTCGATCGGCAGCAAAACGAATCATTTTAGGCTCGCATTCCGCGTGGGCCAACGGGCAGATGGTTCATCCTGACTGATTGACTTCCGGCTGATCCCACAATGCGTACAGGGGGGGAAGAGCCCCCCATTCATCCAATGTAAGCGTCATCGGCGCCCCCGGTATACGGACCCGAATTTACTCCTTCACTTGATTGGTAAGTCCTCCTCTGAAGATCTACGGAGACAACTCCGTGAGGTGTTCCTGACGTCGGGCTGATGGTAAGAGGCCCTGTCGACCGCAACACTACAATACCACCGAGCCCACATCTGTTTTCCTTCTTTTGCGCCCAGTGAGCTAAGAAATCCCATCTCGCCTCCCCACAACATACGGCTCGGTATGGCGTACCTACGATGAGTTCCAAGCGCGAGCTCGGCGCCGTCGGTCGGCACATCGCATGGAGCTCGCTACCACCCTGGTAAACAATATTAACGGCCGATGACGGCAACATTACACCCAACGACTTGGTAGTCCACGTGTAAACGTGTCCAGCATTCCCAAATCGGCATGCTTGCCCCGCGATGACTGTTGAGAAAATTTCCGAGTCCATGAACTCATCCATCATGACAGGTGAGCTGCAGTGGTGCAGTCATCGATCCCACCTGGTCGGTTATACTGGTGTCATCATAGAGATCCTGTAGGGAGGGGGGGGGCTTGTTTGAATGACCAGATCATCTATATAAGCTGCTCTTCGTTCCTGCGTCGAAGGAGGGAGAAAAGAACATTCTGTAGAGTATCTCGAGCATCCCATTCGACCAGAGACTTGAAACATAGTCCGAGCAATGGCGCCCAGAAGCATCCTTCAGTCCGCTGGGCTTCTCGCCCTGGCCTCCGGCGCATTTGCCGTACCATTTGTCTCCAAGGCTCAGACTACCGTCTACTCGGAGCCGACGGTTACCGCTTCGCAGGTCCCTCACACCAATGTGACCTCCCACGGTCCCTACACCGGCCCCCCGCCGTCTACAACGGGCGCCATCTCTACCAAAATACTGGCCTCCGAGGTGCCCATCTTGCCTCCTCCGGATGATGCATACGATTACCCGGCCGATGGCAAGCTCCACGGCGACCAGCCCGCCCCTTACACCCCGTCTGGCGGTATCGGCACCAACGGCTCCGCCCCCGTCTACCGCGTTCAGAGCGATTTCGACTATCAGTCTCTCGCTCTGGGTCTTTACCAGGAGTATATAGAGCTTGACCTCTTCCACTGGGGTCTGGCTACCTACTCCGATGCAGACTTCGAGGAGCTCGGCCTGAACGCCGAGGACCGCTTCCTGCTCCAGCATATGGCCGACCAGGAAATTGGCCACGCCACTGTCATCACCAACATGCTTGGCCCTCAGGCTCCGCAGCAGTGCACTTACAACTACCCCGTCTCCAACCTTCGCGAGTACATCGATTTCAATCAGAAGCTTACTCGCTGGGGTGAGGCTGGTGTCTACGGCTTCCTTCCTCACTTGAACTCTGGCCCTGCCGCCCAGCTTCTTCTGCAGAGCATCACGATCGAGGCTCGTCAGCAGATGATCTTCCGCCAGTTTGAGGGTCTCTTCCCCATGCCCGAGTGGCACACCGTCGGCATTCCCCAGTCCTGGGCTTGGACACTCCTCGCGCCCTACATCTCTAGCTGCCCGTGGAACCAGACCCGTCTCATTTGGCAAAACTTCCCTGCTCTGCACATCCTGAACCAGCCTAACCCGTACCGCATCAATGGTGCTGATGTCTGGAACGAGACCACCGGAGGCTGGGCCAACACTGCCGCGACAACGAACATCTCCGAAGCCGAGTCTTGCGTCAACGCCGCCGACTCGTCCCAGGATTGCAAAGCGGCCATCTCCCACAACCGCACCATTCCCTTGTCCTACCCTGGACGTCAGGTCTTCTTCCAGTGGGATGCTCCTGGCCAGGCCGTTGGCCCCAACAACAGTTATATCACCGCGACTAACGTCGTCGAGCCCAAGTTCGCCGCCTGGGTTTCACAGCTGAACGTCACCTACTCGCCGTTGATGAACGTCAGTCTGGACTCTCGCACCGCGTACGCTATCCAGCCCAACGTTTCCACTTGGGAGCATGATCCTGCTATCAACTCGACCATGTTTGTAGCCCTCACCGACTCCGACCTTTACGTCACGCCTCACAACCTGACGATGATTAACCCTCACGTCGCCGCTCTGGCCATGTACCAGGCTGGTTAAGTGTGATTATATATACCCATTTGCATTGTTGTTAATGCACCGTATACCGATTGCGGTTAGAAAAGCAGTGAAGTATGATCCTTTGAGGGATTCATTCATAGGAGGATGTGGCATATTTAATCTCTGTATCGTACTATAGTTCTCTGGCGACGACTTTTAATAAAGATGAAATGGCTAAGGTTTCACTATATCCGATCTTACAGTAACTAGATCGTTTACACGTTAATCATTCACTTGACATAGATTGGTAAGTCTCAACTAGATTTGCTAGACTGATGCTGGCCACTACCCGTGCTCTCGTAACAGCTCCGCAGTTTCTTGTGCTTATATTATGCAAGGGGTTTGAGGGTGTGCGACCAAACAACCCGCAGGCTTGTTTCTTAAAATAGTATGAATACCCGCAGACCGTTGTGAAACTCGGCACTCCCTGTTGCATCCTCCCAGGCTTCATTTCAAGGTTGTGTCCAACTCTTTGTATTCATGATGGTCTTATTCAGTTTTCATAGATGCAAACATTGCTGCCTAAATCACCCCAAGACAGTTAGGGCCTTTGGACATGATTGTGGAGGAGACCATGGGTGTGGCACATACCATGTCATGTGCCCCTCCTGCGTGCAGCACGTCGCTTGATAAGGACGGCTCGAAGGGACTTGTCTTGATTCAAGTTCTTCATTCCACTTTTCTATTCAGATGAAGTTACCATACCACCACAAGGAGCTGGTAAAAAATGATCCTCCCAATTTGCGGATCTGCGATGCATGTACGAATGAGAAAGCGCGGTGCATATCCAAGTGGAAACAGGCGGTGTAGGCTCTTGTTGATAATGAAATCAGTTCGACTGCTTGCCGCATCCCGGTATTTTACCCTTGGCTTTTATCTTTGTGATTTGATCCTGGACTCAGGCCTGCATGGCAACTTCATTGCAAAATTGGGGAGGGACAGCGCCTGCGTGACAACCCAACGATCGCGACATGATGAATCAACTCTTGCCAGTGGCGCACCACCAAGCATAGCATGTTTGTGCTGATGAAGTCTAAGTATCTACAGGATGCCCTTCTTTTGCCTTCGTGTATATAAAATGATTAAAACATGACCGGTATCGCCATCTCATAAACGTGCATTGTGATCTTGTAAAATCGGCGCAACGAAGTTTACAATCCAGCCATGGCATTTAGTGTCTTCATTCCCCTTCTACTTTTTCTCGCTCTCACTGAAGCTTGGGAAAGGCTTGATAAACCGAATCCAGTTCGCCGATTCGTCAATGTCACCACTATTTCCTCCTCGCATCCTACGTGTCAGAATGAGCATGCACCGTGCAGCAAATCACTTGCTAGTTCTACTGATAACACGCCACCTGTGGGTTAAAGCGAGTCGATCCCATAACTCCGGTTGCTGATTATCATATAGACAGCTGGAGAAGCTGTGCCTCCAACAGCAAACGAGACTTCTCTGTCAGCCTCCTTCCAATCAGTCGTGACAACGGAGCTGTCAACGTCCACAATCCCTGCCAACTCGTTTCGGACCACCTCGAGCCCTACAACCCACCAGCTACTCACCACTCTACCAATAGAAGCAGTTATATTAACTCTAACTGGCATCACTTACACATCGCCTGTGTATATCACAACTACATCACCTGGCGGAGAGCAGGCTACGGTTGTGCCAGGTCTGCCATGCCTGCAGCCTGCCCTCATAAACCTATGACTGCTAACATTTTGTAGTGATAATTCCATTTGTTGGCCCCCCACGGATTTGTTTCGGCTGTTTTCTTCGTTTCCCTCCGGATGTCGAAATTCGCGTCCCCGAATTCTGCATACAGCTTTTTGGTCTGAAAATAGGCAACTGTCCCCCTCCAGAACAAGGATCCGATGGAAATGACGATAGTGATGACAAGTCTCGGCCAAAAACATCCAGAAAAGCCCAAGGCACCGAAAGAGAGACGGAGACAGATTCGTCCTCATCAACAGAATCCACATCGTCCTGTACTACAATCGTCACTGCAACCCACAAGAGCGTCTTTTGTTCCATTACACGAGGTCAGTCTGGCGCAAATATTCAATCTGCCAACATCACCAGGCAACAACCAACTAATCCTGAGCAAATAGACCCTAAGTCCGCTCAAGATCCGAAGACCATTGGCTGCGTAACAAGCGCTTATACCACAATCACTGGCTGCAGCATCGCGGCATCAGCCACAACGGTAACTACAACGCAAACAGCGGTTCCGACGCACCCGATATGCGAGCCAGCCACTTGTGGCAGTGGAATTTGTTTGAAAGAAAAAAGATCGCTAGCGCCTGCGTTCAGAAAACTCGCCATTCGCGGTAACCCTGCTGAGGGAGAGTGGCCGGATCCAAGTGACTATGCTGTAGCCAGCCAGTTTCTCCCCGGCGAACTGAGAAACATGGAACTGAACCCTGGAAGCATCGTTGGCTACAAACCCAAAACTGTTGATATCATGGTTCCCGACGAAAGAGCTGAGGATCATTACATGACCACATCCACCTGGGTTGCGTTCAAGGATAATGTGGAAGCGATTGGGATTCGTGGAATATTTGGTTGCACCGCCGTTGTCTTTGTTTCGCGGCGCGGCGCATGGGTCGGCCACTTCTGGGAATCAAACTTCCAGTCAGACACCGTCCCTGAAGAGGAGTTTGCATTCCGAGTTCTTCATGAGCCCAAGCTTGGCTACCGAGAGGGCCACTGGAAGCACCAATACCACGAATATGGATGGGCAGAACTTGGCTTTTATCCACAACTCGGTGATCCTGGCGTCATGTTCGGCAATGCGGGCGACAAGTATTACGAGGCGGATCTGCGCGTCTTTATCGTTACTCCTCGCCCAAGGGGTAAATATAAAGATGAGAACAACATCCCATTGCCAGACGACGTTGTTCACGACATCAACCGAAACGCTGGTCAGCTACAGTTTCCTGGCAAGATTCAACGGCTGTCACAAGAAATCAAAAACGTCTACGGAGAAGACACCAAGATTGAGGTCATAGACTATGCAGCGAAACTGCTCAAAAAAGAAGATTTGGACCTGGCCATGGAGAATAAACTGACCGGGGCACAGATTTTTCACTTACAGGCCGATAGTGATTTCAGAGAGGCTCGTGGCAAGCTTCTTCTCCAGTATCAGCCAGCAAAGACATGCGCTGATCTCGCTTCATGGAGACTATGGGTAGAAAATCAGGCAATCGGTAGGCGTACAGCGTCATGGGTACCGGAGAGTAGCCAAGTCCGGCAATTTCATGGAAGCGAAGGCTCGCCTCTGCTTCACAGGCAGGCATGTCCAAACCACATTTTCACCAAGTCAACCATGAGCAACGGGGCAACTTCAGTCACTGCCGAAGCATCTTCTTCCAGAGCACAGGGGTCTCTTGCGGTCACATCGCCGCTAACACAGAACGTCTCAACACCTGCCCCTCCTAACGTCACGTTCCCAACATCCAACCCCACACTCTCGACAACAAACTCCGCATCTTTTATACCAAGCTCAAGACCTCCACAAGATTCTGCTACAAATTCTACGGAGGCGGCCGGAGTAACGACTGTGTCAATCTTCAAAACGGTAGACGTATATTTCTCGAGCATTACTATCGTCGTTCCTAGTAAGACTGTCACTATATTTTCGCCTACCACATCAACGACGACATCAGCAAAGGAGCCCTCGACTTCAGACCCCTGGATCAAGTCGAGTGTACCGCCGATAACCACAAAAGCTGCTCCACCACCCCCGCCACCGCCTCCCAAACCAACAGACGTGGTGATGATTGTCTTCGAGCACCGAAGTGGTCCCGGCATTGGGGGTGGAACAGGCACAATGTGGAAGATGTTTTCCAAAAAGGTCAATGATCCTAACTACAACATCTGTGCAGAAAAACACGCGGGATACACGCTTAAGAATTCAGACATCTGGAGTCTCGATAATATTCCGTGGGCTCCGGGATTCAAAGCAAGCAAGGACATTTTCGGCCGTAAGAACTGCAAGTATATGGCAGAGTCGAAAGACCAAGCCGGGAAGTTTTCCTGTCAAGGCGTTCCTGAGTTTGATTGCATCAAAGACCCATATCGCGACAACGAGCTTGCTCATCGAGAGTGCATTACCTTGGAGGACGATATTACGTATATACCTCGGATTGTTTGCTGGTTTCCCCCAACATGATGTCTCAAGACAAAGAAATGAGGAAGGCTATCGCACATCCATATTGGTTGCTAAAAACTGATGGAGTGAGGATGGGGAATGTTGCCTCCATTGATTCATAGAGGCCGTCTAGATTTTCCTTTCGACCTTCAGACTCCATAGGTCATGTTGCTTACCCAAGCCTCTAATCAGAAGTATAATTACTTAGACAACAGGCACAGAGAATCAGAATAAAACAATGCACTTACACACACTTTATCTATTTCTTCAGATTCAAACTAGTTAGAGCTTTACTAACTTATCAATACAGTACAAACATAGCAGTTCGGGCAAGCAGGAGTCTTTTACCTTGTCTAGCTAAGCTTGCTTTCTCCCAATCAGAACTTCGAAGCTCTAATTAGAGGAGGTCCTGCACGATAGCTAGGCGTGGAACCTGATTAAATTTGTGTTGTGTAGTTTTGTTGTGTTCTTTTCACCACTCCGCCACGCCCAAAGTCCCAAAACCACACCCTATACGCTTCCACCAATATCTAAAAAGAAGGGGTGCCCTTCTTGAGACTGTATTTAGTATTTAGTGCGCTCTTTATTGTCAGAGACATGGAAAAGAATAGCTCCTCTCAATACTTAGTGGGGATTCATTACCATTCTTGGAACATGGGGTCTCTAGTCTCTGGTGATGTCAACTCCTCTGAAGTCAATATTGAAAAATGGTGTTTCACAACGTTCAATGTTTCCTTGCTTGTTCCTTATCCGCATTATAAATTGGCCTGATCAATCCTGATTAGGACTCATCGGCTTCGTTCAAGTTTGCCTAATTGATGGAATTTGCGTTTGCTTCAGAGACTATCCTTCTTGCGTTTAATCTACCACTACATTCATAATCGAATCAAGTTCTTCTATGACATTGTCTTCTAATCTTTAAACCAGCCATCGTTGGGTGTGATCCGATTTTAAAGAGATATATCTCAAATCAATTTAGTCACTCAAGCCATGTGAATATATTGAACAAAATTTGGTATTTCAAATGTACCACATGTCTCGCTTGTAGAATATTGCATGCGATGATATCGTTTTCAGATGTTGCACTCTGCTTGTCGGGTGCGGGTGTATCGCCCACGGCCTCTAAGTCGCGCGATCTGGTGTGAGCCGAGTGAGCTGAGTGAGCCAGGCATCTTTGCAGAATACAGGACTTCGGTGATGAGGGATCAAATACTCAGCACTTCCCCCCTTTTCCTTATTTCGTCTGACCGTCTATTCATCCATCATTCTGTCCATTTATCGTTTTGATACTAGGTATGCACACAATACATTCGCTTGGTAATATCCTAGTAACAGGACTCTGCAACTACCGGCAGGCTCACCAGATGTATAGTATGCTCCTCATGCTCACCGTAGGTAGGCTTAGCTGAGCTAAAAGCAGCACCCTCTAGGTGAGTAGTTGGCTGAGGCGCCTGCACTTGAACTCCAAAGCCAGCTACCGCTTGGTCAATTTCTGGGTTAGTAACTTGATATTCAGAAGGAGGGTAGGGGGAGTCGTTGTATGGAAGTCTGAGAGAAGAAACCGTAATCCCTGCATTGAGAGGCCTCATCCAGTACCGTCATAGCAACGTGTAGAACTCAAGAGACCCTTTGAAACTACCAAGTTGCTAGTATCCCATTGAGTACCGAGTGACCTCACATAACCTCAGACCAATAAGAGTACAGAAATCCAGGCTGACGGTCCAATAGCTGTCAGTAATTATCTACATAGACCCATTTTTGGGTTATGTGAGGTCACTTGGCACTCAATGGGATAGAACTAACGGAAATGTCGGAATATTCAACCGGCCGATGGTGGAGCCAATCCGAGTCACGTGACCCACCTCACGTGATTCACCTCGGCGGCTCACTTACGCCACCACGAATATCCGCGGCAACAACCTCTTCTTGTTCTTCTTCATCATCATCTACAACAAGCAACCAATAGTCCAATTGAAACTATTGCTGCTTTACGATCGCGATCCTTGTGATACCAGCAGGAAATGTTATTCTATGATTATCAACACTGCTAAATGTGCCTAGTCTATCTTCAAAACGCTAAACGTTGCCTTGCTACTATGTACCAGACTTCTATAAGATCACCGAAGCGAACAAAAATGAATTTGCAGCCAATGTAATGAAGATAGTCTTGCCGTACTCATGCTTGTGTGTAAAACTTTACCGCTTGCAAAGACTTATCCTAATAGGTGTAGCGAAAGTCGGATGCTTGAGTTTCCTACATTCATTGATGATGGCCCGTTAATCAAAGTTCAACCCCATGTCACGTATAATAGATTGAGGGCCGCTTACATCTGATTCTTCCAACTCCACTTCACCGCGGTTGGCCTTTAAATTCCAATAGTAGAAATAAAAGCTCAAACAAACTACCACGATGATATTGAGAACTGCGCTCCCCAAACAAGCACTGAGTCCAGGTAGATAACGAGGTTTATCCTGGCTTCTATATAGAAGTTAGCAATATTGTACTACTTTCCACATTCAAATCTGAATTCGTACTTGCCTGAAAACGAGAGAACCTGCAATTCCACCAATTCCGCTGATCCCAACCACAAAAGCGCTGCAAAACGCGCGTTTCCATTGCCCGCGAATGTTGTTCGCCTGGTATGCCATAGTCGCAGGCGTAGCACTGACTGCACCCGCAGTAACCAGAAAAACGCCAAAATAGCGTACAGCGACATCCTCATGGAAACCCATTAGACAAATTCCAACGATTGACAAAACCATGTCCCCAATTATTATGGGGCCGCGTAGCATGTATCGGTCTCCAAGCCAGCCGGTACTGTACATGATGATGGCAGCGAAGATATAAGGCGGTGCTGTGAGAATTTGGGCTTTTCCGGTGCCGAAGCCCATGTTGTCTTTCAGGATGATTGGAAGGAAGAAAGACAATGCTACAAGGCTTTTTATCAGGAAGGGCCTCGACCAAAACGCTGAGTTGACCAACTTACAAAAGTTAACAAGAGCATTGTTGAAATAAATGACAGCCAAAGCCCAAACTTTGACGTCACCACCGCCTCTGAGAAACATTTTGATGCCGAAAGCTGGCAGTTTCGCATCCCCTCTGTCATCCTGTACCCTTGAAATGACCCAGGCAGTCTCCTTCTCAGAAAGAAATTTCCAAGTTGGCTTCTGGGCGTCCGGAAACCCCACCAGGAGGAAATATCCCACGATGCCGATAATGCATGTGATCATCCCTTCTATAACGAAGATCCATGACCAACCTTTCAGATTTGCGGCGCCGTTGAGCCTAGTGAGCTGTAACATGGTGTGAGACACTAGCATCGAGTCCAATGACAAAAGTAAACAACTCACGCCGAACGCCAAGATCCCAGCAAATGCCGAAGCAAAGCACACAATCATGTAAAACACAGAGAATCGTTTTCCAACCTCGTCTACCTTTCGTCAGAATTCAAGTAGCAGCCCGTCTTGGTAAACAAAGCGACTCACACCGGATGTACCAAGTGCTCAAGAGGTAAACGCAGCTAGGAAAGAATCCCGAATCAAGGGCGCCAAGAATTACTCTCAAAGCAACCATCTGACTCCAATTTGTTAAGAACCCCATCACAAGAACAATACCTCCACAGAGCATGGTTATGCTTGTGAAGTAGGTACGTGGCCCAAGAGTTCGAGAAAGAATAACCGATATGGGCTGGAAGGTGATATAGGTGGTGAAAAACACCAAGCTAACAATTGACTGATCCCTCATTACAGCTGTTAGCGAAATAGCAATGGCTAGCAACGCGACCAGGTAATGTCATGACGGAGGCAAGACTTACATAACGGTTTCCTGTCATGTCCAAGTCTTCTAGCATACCGGCAACAGCAGCAGAGGGGAGGTTTGAACGATCGATGACAGAGAAGCAGTATAAGAGTCCAACGGTGGTCAAAAGGCGTATATCAACACGTCTCATGATGTTCTTCTGTTCCTCAAAAGAGAACTCATAACAATCTGAGTCCGTATCGACACCGACCCTGTTACTCTCATCGTTTCCTGCTGCATAGCTGCTGCGATTGCACGCAGCCGTCCTTGTCTCCTTGGGTAGGCGCATTTTAGTCGAACGATGCTTGTACGGTCTGAACTTATAATGGGAGCCTTTTTTGATCTGTTTGGGGACCGAAATGTATTGAATCAGGAAGCGCAGGTCAAGGCGAGTCGATTGTGCTTTATACTTGTCAGCTCTGTAGTCTAGTAACTTGAACCAATCTTATGGCGTGGTACAGTCGTTCAACTGTCGCCTAGTCTGGCTCATCGAGACACAACCCAATGTAGCGATGATTTTTCGGTGGTTTACTAAGTTACATGGACGAGAGACAATAGTCAGCCATTGTGGGTGACGAACGGCCCTAGCCGGACTATAGCTGATAAGCGACAACGTCGCGATCGATTTGATATTGGCCGAAGGTGGGGACCATCGGACAAAAATTTCAGTTTGGATTTGCGCATTTCCCGAGTCTAGGCCGAAGGGTGACCCCGCCTTATCGGTCAAGTCCGTTTCAAATCTCTGAAAGTAGAAAATTTGAGGCGAGGGTGATTGATTACCCTTCTGACAGACTGAAAACGACAGTTATCGGTGTCTTACAACAATTGAACATGAGTAAGAAGGGGACACCGTGCCCCACTGACGAGGTTCAAGAATGCGAGATGGGGTTTGATTGCCGTCAATACTCCCCGATTGGGCTGTCGTACCTATATCTCGAATAAGACAGCACGAGCAACGTCCAGATACGCCATGCATTGTGTGAGCCAGCGCAGCGCCGCACGAGATTGCTCAGATAGCCAACATGGCCGTTGAAGGATCCAGTTGCGGAGAGAATTTCGTAAACACCCGGGAAATACAGTAAGCAACGGTCAGATGGAGTGCTCACGCTAGTATCTGCTCATCATTAGTCAATGATTTCAGGCAGCAAGTTAGCAAGAAAACGAGATTCTAACAATGACATCGACAAATATGAGTATAGGCCACGGGGAAATGTGCCTCAGCCGCACTCTACGATGAGTGGTCTCCACCAAATATGCAACCGTATCCTTCACGTCGGACTTCCACTGTCTCTGTCATAGGACTACACTAGCATTTTCAGCGGCTTACATAGGTTAGCCACGTGCAGCAGAAACCATCATAAATCATTGGTCGATAACCAATTTCGGCGTTGACTTAAACGAGCGCTAGTTAGGCCTGTTCATGCAGCCTGCATACGGGCAAGGTTGAGCACTCGCATTCGTGGGTCCTGTAGGATGACATACCCGGCTCTCACAACGATGTTACGGGCCATCCCCTCAACGGCTCTTTTCACCGATTCGTTGGTCCTGATGAGCAATTTTCAGCAATATTGACACTCCAAAAATAGGCCTGAAATGACGCTACTCTCGGCAAAAATATCTGCAAGTAATCAATGGGTGATTACTGAAAGAATCTCTTCACAGCCGGGGCATTTAGCTAATTGTACAGTCATCAAGTTCAATAGTTTTCTGTTAGCCTATGCTCGATGCAGGATCAAATCAGACTTCTGTCGTTTATCTTTGGTCTTTCTAGGATCAGGTAGTTCTGTCTATCGTCTTACTTGCCATCGTGGGCGTTGTGTCTGCCTTTCATATGTAGATTTTAGCGTTGTATTTCCTAGTACTCTTATATTATGGAAACGACTTCATGGGACATATGGCTAAGTTGCTAAAATCACGTTAATATTTTCGACCAAGGCTATCTAAAACTCAACGATTAAAAGGAGAATTAAACCTTTATAGAGTCAAAAATAGTTTCCACCAACTCATTGATCACTGTACCTCAGAGTCACATACAAGTGACGAAACTCATCGGGCGTGGTAGTAGTTTCTAAGAGTACAGATCTGCTACATGAGTATTAAGTCCTGACGTCATATTTCACTTTTGACTTCTTGATATTTAGCCCGCAATTTACGCAAGAGTCTTTCATCCTTTCTTATTACCCAGCACCCCCTCTGAACAACAAACCACCCTTACTCCTACTTATTTCCCAGGTTCACCTTTCCCCAAACACCTCCTTTTTCCTTCATCTTTTCTGTCCTCTTCTCCTCTCCGAGTTCTGTTTGCTAATCTTTTCTGGCTCTAATCGAACGCATCCAGCCCTTCTCCTGCAACAAAATCAAACGCAAGCACTTAGCTCTTTTCATTCTGTATCTCTCCGAACTCCTATACATCAACACAAAAGCTCAGCTCTGTTTTACAAAAAGAAATAAAAGAAAATAGCAGGCCTAGGTAATCTGGAACATCTTGGAGGTATCTCGGAACCCCAGGAAGCGGAGGAGATCGACCTCCGCGAGAACCAACCCAACCGACGGGCTACTGGGAACAGAAGTGCCGCACAACTCGCCGCTGAAGACGGACATTCAGGCTGGATCGTTCTGGGCCGACTGGCTTGGATGTTGGGTGAACATCAAACATATTTTCACAGAAACAACGCCGTTGAAATTAATTACAGGTATCAATTTAATTACACGTCATAACTCTTGTGATACTGCCACACGTCTATCACATTCTTCTCCTGCCTTACCTAACTCGCAGAACATCACGTGAAACCATTCAGGTCAGATAATTCCGCCGCCTGATATGCAATACTTGATTTCGGACCTTCAGCTCCTATTCCAGCTTGAGGAGTGTATCAGAAACTCGATTCAGTCGATCGAAGCGTTGGTCAATGTTATGGTCTTGAGATAAAGCAAGCCAGGTTGATTGCATCAGAACATGGCATAGCATAACTGTCCGGTCGGCCCCATCATGCCGCTTAATTCTTGGGCTTCCCTCGACGATTGTGCTGGTCGAAGTCTGCATAGTTTTCCCCGGCCATAAACAACGTTGAGCATTCTTATTTCCATTCCGTGCCAGTTGGGGAACCTGTACCACATCTTCCGACCATAAATGCTCCCATCAGCGTTGTTTCACCTGAAATCGATAGCTTTCTGGCCTTACTATCATTTTTGTTACTGGTCCTCAGTATTTTCAAACTCAATCTACAGAGCCGAGTGCAACGTATGCTTTGTGTACTACCGTCACAACTAAGGTCACTCCGCAGACTTTGGGTCGAATGTGAACAATGCCACTGCATTAGGGACCGACCTACTCTTGCAAGACACTGCAATGGAGAAAGTCAAATATCAACTATCAACTTTCAGTTTACAGAAGCTGATTTGACTCTTCGCTCGGTAGTACAATATCACACTGTGGAGCCATCTATTCCGAAAGATACCGCAAACACTATGTTACGAGTGCAAATTGATATCGTTTACATGGAAGGGTGACGGCTGAGACAGCGCCAAAGATTGTTCGTCTTTTTCCTCGGGACCGGACCCGAAAGAAGCCAGCCAGCTGGTCAGCGCAGAGTCCATTGCTATCTTGTGTTTGTGTGCCGCCGAGTGCACTCAGTCATTTTTGTTGAATTACGACAGGCCATCAGAGCCAAGGTAGGCTACGAGTACAGCAGTGTGCCTGGAAGTGAAGAAGCATTGCAAACGGAATTCCAATCGGCAAAAGGGAATACGCTACACAGCCCGCAGAAATCTACAGAGTTGGGCTTGAGGTTGCACCACTTCTCATGCGTGATAGTGGTGGTAACCGCCGTCATCATCGCGGTTAACGCTTGTTAGGCTTCCTTCTTGCGACAACAATGATTGGTTGTTCTTCTACGGGATCTTCCAATAATATACACCATTTCGATTGCCAAGGTAACTTGTTCTACAGAATATACTGTGATCCTATAGCTAAAAGCCTTAAGTCTAACCTCGTGTCGGTCTGGGCGTTTGCGAAGCTTATTACCTTCATCGCTATCTTGCCTCTTCTAGGCCTTTTCGTTTCCAAGAAACTACTCCTTTCCGCAAGAGTTAAAGCCGTTTTGCTTTCCCGACTCAGCATCTTATTCAGTATGCTGTGCTTTGTAATCTTATTCCTTGCACCAAACCTATCGGTGTTGGTTGTTAGCAAGTGCACAAAGCCTGCTCACTCCAAGTGTCTAATGGCAGGTGAGATGACTAAAGCGTTCACCTAGGCTTGGCGTTCTATACTCTTGGGAATAGTTTTAGTTCCTTTTCTAGATCACTTCTAAACTTGCTGGTTGAAAAGGAGATAGTAGGAACGCTGTTCACAACGTTTTCCATGATGGATATATTGCGCTCCTTGCTTACAGGCCCTATCGTTGCCACACCCTTCAGCTGGATTATGAGGCTTGATGAAATGTGAAAAGGGATTCCTTACGCCATGACCTTTATAGTCCGTGGATTAGTATCACGGCACTCTCTCGGGCAGGCTCGAAAGTCTTGCCCACTAAACACCCTGAGACTCATTAAGACGAAGAAAGGAGGTCACTCATCGTGTTGTTCATGCACATTGGCTTTGATAGAAACATATGAGAGCTATTGATCTCAGTTGTTTAAGCCAAATCGAAGCTTCTTGAGACTGCGCTACACTCTCATGTATCACCTCTCTTATCGTAAGGTTTCTGTGCTGTTATTGCCCTTTTGTTTCTTCATGTAATGGTGATTCTCGCCTTTTCAGCAGCCGTCCCCGGGTTCACTACTACCTTTCATCTTACTAGACGCCAAAATAGCAATTTTGAACACATTTAGGCACATAGCAATACAACCTGAGTAAAAGTACACCGGAAGCAAAGTTTGGCTAAACGGTGTCAGAGCATTAACAATTGTGTCTCAACTTTACGACAGCCATAGATTGTTGCGGTAGGCGGTTTAATATAGCTATTAAACCGTCCATACTTCAACACGTGCTTAATAGCAACCCCAAGCTGCGTAAATGAACATGTGCTCGATGTAATAGCCGGCGGAGCTCCATCGGCAAGATACCTAGTTTTAGCAGAATGTCTAACTTAGGTACGCACAGTGTGGCATTTGCTAACCTAAGCCAAGTCTGTCAACGATAAATGGTTAATCGACCTGCTAGGAGACCAACAGTAAACTTATATTACGTGATTAGCTTGAGCTTGGAGTATACAATGCATCGTGCCCGGCTCCAGAAACCTGCAGTGAATTTCATTGTCCAGCAAGGTTTGATAAGCCAAAAGGAGAAACCGGGCAGCAATCCTTGCTAATGCAAGTAGATGGTACGGCAGTCGGCTACATTGGATAGAAACATATGGCGGTTGTTGAACGCTGCCAAGGGCAAGAGTTTTACCTATGTTACATGACCAAAGCATCGATAGATACCCGTACAGTAGGCACCTGTGTCAAACGTAGTTGCGCAAACTTCCGACCTTTCGACCCCTCATCTCGTCTATTACCCCAACACTTTTGACCGGCTACCATCTCATTCCCCCACGGCAAAAGAATCGGCTGCGGTTGGCTTATCGCCGCCCGATAATGCACTGGTGCGGGGCAGAATCTCGCGACGCATGCATTCTGCCGGCCACTCTTGGTAAGTAGACAGACAGACAGGTGCCTCGGTGCCCGGGAAACCACTAGAGCGAGCATGCGGGGGTGATACGAACACAGGACGATCACATTGATACTCTTAGATAGCGTTAAAGCGCAACGTTGATTTGGAAGAATGTAACGTTGAATGTGATTCTGAGTATAATCATCTGTGGTGACACCCTGCATCAGTGTTTGGATACACATCTTCCCCCATGCTAGATGACCTTACTCGCCCGATAGCTGGGCCGAAACCCGACCCCCTCGTCTTCTGCGGGCTGCCCGCCACACAACCTTAAGTCAGACGAAGCAGACGTTGGCATTATATAGCTTCGGTGGGTTCACTCTATTTATTTAGTGCGCGCTGGGTTTCTGACCTTGAAACCATTCATCTATGTTTCCATTCAACTTCGACCTGCCCTGGACTCGGGAGTAACCGCCGTGGAGACATCTGGCAATAATGTCCGGAAATGTGGAGAGTGTCAGAAAGGGGCCGAGCCCGGCCCGGGACGAGGACATTGAAAAGATCCCCGCGCAAGTTAATCACAGCCCAGAGCAGAAGATCTCTGACCAGATCTCGCACGAGAAGCTCGAGGAGTTGGCCCCGAATGGAGAAGGAGACTACATCCTGGAAAAGATCAACGGGATGAGCGAGGAGGAAGCTCTCGAGATCGTCGAGGAGGCTGTGGAGTTCTTCAAAGACGACTGGAACTTCCCCACCGACATGAGAAGCCGCATGAAGAGGCTCCTCGAGGGCCCGAAGGCGTACGGAGAGCACTACGACCGCGATCTGAGGATCGATGCCGTCATGATTCGCTATTCGTCGCCGTACCCTGGTGTTCGCGCCGTGGCAGAGATTCTGGACGATCAAAATGTGCCCATTGAGACGTTCCGGGCGTACTTTCTTGGAATCGGCTGGGCCGTCATCGGGACTTTCATCTCAACTTTCTTCAACTCAAGGTTCCCGTCCATCTGTGAGTTGACGTGCCCTCGTCCCTTCTTCACGGCACATGGGCTGCCTTCGCCGGCTAACACTTTGTGCAGCTCTCAGCGGCCAGGTCATTCAGATCTTGTTATTCCCGTGCGCAAAGTTCCTAGAGTTCGTTCTTCCGGATTGGGGCGTCACCGTCTTTGGGACTCGCCACTCTCTCAACCCAGGCCCTTGGAACTTCAAGGAGCAAATGTTCGCAACCATCACGTATAATATCGCAATCTACACCACCAACAGCTACGGCATGATCCTTGTGCAAAAGTCGCCGGTCTACTACGGCCTGCACTTTGTGAACTTTGGCTACCAGTTGATGCTCACGCTCTTCGTCCAACTCATGGGCATGGGTTTCGCCGGGTACCTGCGCCGGTTCAGTGTCTATCCAGTCAAGGCCCTCTGGCCGACGATTCTGCCGACAATCGCTATGAACAGGGCACTGACCCGCCCCGAGCCGAAGGAAAACATCAATGGATGGACCATTTCGCGGTACAAGTTCTTCTACGTCTGCACAATCTGCATGTTTTTCTACTACTGGTTCCCCGGCTATCTCTTCACGGCCTTGGCAACCTTCAACTGGATGACCTGGATCTCTCCAGAGAACGTGACCCTAGCCATCATCACGGGCTCCTCTCTGGGCCTTGGTTTATTCAATCCCGTTACGACATTTGACTGGAACGTCGCCACGTCTTCATACGCCGCTCTAGCCCAGCCCTTCTTCGCGACCTGCACTCAGTACTTCGGTTCCATCATCGGCGGAGCCATAATTCTCGGCATCTACTACACTAATATGTACAATACAGCCTATCTCCCCATAAACTCCTCCTCCCCATTTGCCAATGACGGCACCCCGTACGTGGTGCAGAAGGTGGTTGTCAATAACCAGCTCAACGAAACTCTATACCAGCAATACTCACCGCCATTCTACTCGGCCGGGTACCTCCTTACTGTTGGGGCCAACTACTGTTTCTACCCAGTCTACTTCTTATACATCATGGGGTAGGTTTTCCGAATATTCACATCTTGCAGGCGCTAAAAGGGCATCACAGAAACCAGTGGAAGACCATATCGGCAGCGTATGTTGACTTTTACAAGGGGCTGCGCCACGGGAAGGGCAACTACGAAGGGGCCATGGACGTTCACAACCGCCTCATGGCGCATTATGGGGAAGTTCCAGATTGGTGGTTTTTGGTGATACTTGTTGCCGCCATTGTTGTTTCTGTCGTCTTCCTCAACATCTACCCTCTCGACACTCCGGTATGGATGGTGTTCTTAATGATTGGCATCAACCTAGTCTTCGCAGTACCCCTTTCCTTCCTCTCCGCAACCACTGGAACAAACCTGGGGCTTGGCTCCTTGATCCAGGTCATCACGGGCTACATGCTGCCAGGCAACACAAACGCCTTCCTCTTCTCGCAGACTCTGGGGTCCTGGGCCCTCGCAGGCTACGGAGACAACTACGTCCAAGATCAGAAGATGGCGCACTACACCAAGATCGCCCCACGAGCCGTCTTCAGGAGCCAAATCGGCACCATCATCATCACATGCTTCGTCGCAGTGGCTACGCAGAACTTTATAATGGAAAACGTCAAGGGGCTATGCACCCCTACTCAAGTGAGCCGCTTTACGTGCGCAAACGACGGGGCACCGTTGTACTCGAATTCGCTGAGTATGTTATCCAAGCTCATTTTTGCTATCAGCGGTCACGTACTGATGAATCTCCAACTCAGTGTGGGGGCTCCTTGGCTCCGAGCGAATGTTTGTATCCTTTTATCCCATCCTGAAATGTAAGTCACAACTTGGTCATACTCTAGGAGCATGCCAACTAACACGCATGCTTCATCAGGGTGCTTCCTTATTGGAACAATAATCGCCATCGTCTTCTTGGTCGGCCAAGGCTACGGGCCAAAGTACCTCCCGGGGGTACGGGAGAACTTACGACAGAAGCTAAGCCCGAGAACTTTTGCCCTTCTGGACAAAACTCTCTTCCCCTTCGTTGCGTCTCTACTATGGCTCAACCCGATCCTTGTAATCCAGGGAGTCCAGCACTGGGCACCTTCCAATCTTTCATACAAGACACCTGGTTTCATCCTCGGGTATATCTTCATGTACTGGCTTCCCCGGCACCGATTGGCCTGGTGGGAGAAGTATAACTACGTCCTGTCGGCGGCCTTGACTGCTGGCGTTGCCGTTTCGGCCTTGGTCATGTTTTTCGCCGTGGGATACAATCCGATCGCTTTGAAATGGTGGGGTAACACCGTCAGCGGCGCCGGGGTCGATGGAAGTCAGATTGGGATCCTTCCAATCCCAGAGAGAGGATACTTCGGCCCTGAGAGAGGAATGTTCCCAACGTAGGACGCGGCATAGATCGGTCAGAGGCCCCTATTTGTGATTTAAAAGGGAGACGCTTACAAGAGGAGGCGGAGTCAACGTTGTATTCGTGGCGATATTGATTTCTTGCCTCAAAGAAAGCCTGTTGTTCATGACACATACATGCAGCCTTTTCCAACTACGCAGTGTTTAGAAATGGCATCACATGTTCCACAAGACCGAGCTGTGAGTACATATATTTTTCCCAAGGCAAAGGTTACATCCATTTGATTATGACACGGAGAATCTCGATCTTGGTGGTATTGATGTCCTTGATGACACCCCAAAGGCCGTAGTACTTGGCGTACATGAAAGGACGGCTCAGGCCGACGACTTTGAAACCGAGGACTCGTAGCTTGAGCACGTAGTTGCCGTAGTGGACGCCGCTGTCGGCTACGATATCAACATTCTGGGAGACCTCGGGGACGTTGCGGTAGATCTCCTAAGCGATTTCGAGGGACCTGGGAGTATGATCGAGCTGACGTCGCCGTGGCTAGAGATGCAGATGACCTTGGCGCCCTTATCGACTGCGAGGAGGGCCTCTTCGATGGTGGCGATTCCCTTAAGAATGATAGGCAGAGTGGTTTGGTTTCTCACCTGGACGGAGATGTACCAGCTGAGGGCGGAGGAGACAGAGGTAGAATTGGTGGTGTCGTGACGGGCGGCTCGGTGGCGGCCGGAGTCGCCGGGAGCGTCAATGGCTCAGACGATGGCCTTATTTCCAGTGCGCTCGGCGCGACGGACGTTCTCCTAGGTGACGTAGAGGTCGACGTTGGTGTAGGTCTGCTAGAAGACGACCTGGAACCCATTGAGGGTCGTTCGGCTTGCCGGCGGCGATTTCGGATAGATCACCGTGGCAGGGAAAGGTATCGCTCTCAAGGGTAAATAGTACAACGTGAAAGCAACCCATTTCAATTAGTCCGTGGCGGAATAGCTTGAGATCAACGCCTCAATGTTGAAGGCAGCAATACCCGGTTCGGGTTTGGAACTTTCTTCCAATTCCTCTCCATGCAAAGTGTCAGCCGTTGAGGACACGTCGAACCTCATGTTTCAGTCTAAACAATATATCTCCAGGTCTTGAGATGTTGCTTATGCCATCATCAGTCAGAACTGTTAATGTTATATTTACCAAATGTTTTGAGCTCCGTGGACCACAGTACAAGTACGCTTTCCCTCCTTGGAAATGTTCTTCCTATTTTAAATTTATACATATGCACTTGGCATTCATATCGTGACTACAACCCCACAAACACGCTTTGGCTTTCACAGTAAAGTCCGCAAAAGACTTCGGACGGCGCTGACAACCGCCTGCGGTCGCTTCCACCACAAATACACGGCCCCGACTACCAGCGGACTGCACACGAGCGCTTCGAACGTCTTCAACAGCACCTGGCCCTGGTGATCACTCTTGGCGACGACCTCCGAGTACCGCTCGTTCCCGAAGCTGACGCGCGAGTACTTAGTCTGCCAGCCCAGACCGGGCATGTACACAGACATGGTCTCCTCGAGCCACTTCCGGAGGCGGTAGCGGGGGGACAGCACCGAGGCGCGCATCTCGACGTAGTTCTGTAGCGCAAGATCGTTGATGGAGTGCGCATCGGGAACTCTGTTCGCCGTGTACTCGGCCAGCGCGACGCCTCTTTGGTGAGCTGCTGCGGCGGCGGTGTCTGCTTGTCCTGTGGGATCGTTGACTTCGCTCATGCGGCAATGCTTATCCAAGATGGAGAAGAGAATTCGGACATCTTCCAGGCCCGCATTCATGCCTTGACCGTAGAAGGGAACCATGGCGTGTGCGGCGTCGCCAACGATAACTGCGGATGCGTCGTAGTGATATGGGCTGCACTTGATGCTGATCAAGGGTAGGTGTGGGTTCTGCTTGAAGGACGCGATCAGGTCTTCTGGGGGGATGAGATCTGTGACGCCGGGGAAGTGCTTGTTAAAAAAGGCGGGCACGCTGGAGGGGTCGTTTTCCAACGCCACGGTCTGCTCGCTGGGCAGGAATAGTGTGCATGTGAAAGATCCGTCCTGCCAACTGTTAGCCGGCTCCGTTACAAGGGCACAGAATCAAGGTGCTCACGTCGCTGGGGATGGCAATGAACATGAAGTCTTTGCCGGGCCAGATGTGGAGGTGGTTTGGTGAGATTTTGAAACGGGAACCCTCGCTGTCCGCCGAAGGGGGCTTCGCGGGCTTGATCTGGAACTCACACCACAGGGTGTCGATGTACTCCTGCTTGTAGTTCATCTGGGTGAACTTCATTAGATGGTACCTGACGGCTGAATGGGCGCCATCGGCACCGATCATGAAGTCAAAGTCAATCTCAATCTCCTTGGCACGGCCTGTCGCGGACTCATAGGTCATGACCTCGAACCAAGCCTTGCATTTCCTAAAGTCTGCGCCGGTGAGCTTGTGGTTGAAGAAGAACTTGACGTTGGACATCTCTTCGAGAATGTCAAGCATACGCTTGTTCAGGCCGGCTCGGTCCACGGCGTAGATGGCCTGCGGTCATGGTCAGCATGCTGCAACTGGGTTGTATTTGTGAACCAACCAACCCTGCCATGAACGTCGTAATCCTGGGCGGTCTCGTACAGATCACCCTTCGGGGTTCTGCCATGGATCATGCGTCCCCGCATGGGGATAGTGGCGCCAAAGACATGTTCCAGAAGCTTTGGTTGGCCAGCATTGCGCATGGCATTGATGCCGCGCTCCGACAGCGCCAAGTTGATGGACCGGGTGAAGTTTAAGAAGGTTGTTGAAGGATCTCGCAAGTCTGTACATGTACAGGCTGTCAGTCTTATGCAAGTGAGCCAGTCGCCAGTAAATCACTGTTGATGGTTGCTTTTCAACGTTCCGACCGTCGTTGTGGCCGAAAAACCTAGCAGTTCACCATCCTTCAACCTTCAACGGACCCCATCCCATGCTAGCAACTTGGGGTGCAGGTCAGTTGGTGGGGTATTTTGGGGGTGGGATCCACGAGCGCGGCCATCTTCCCATGGCTGACTCCCGACTCAAAAGGGGAATTAAGAGACTTGGGAGATTCGTAAATAATGCAACACGCGACTTACCGGCTCTCAGCTCATAAATCTCGACATCGTATCCGCGCTGCGCAGCGTACAACGCCGCTAGCGAGCCAACAGGACCGGCGCCGACCACGACGACTTTCTGGGGTTTGGCCATGCTGGTTGATGAGGGCCAAGGGGTATCTCTGTTTCCTTTTCCGTCTTTCTCAGTTTGCTTATTGAAGCGGCTGAAATGGACTGAGAGGATGTCTTTTTGCTCAGTGGCGTGACAAGTCCCCCATGATTGCAGGCGTCAACGACTTTTCTGCGCATAGAGCGGCGAACGTCGGGGCCCTGTCGGCGGTTCGGCTCACGGGAATACTCCGGAAGCCCCGACAAAGGAAGCTCCGATGCAAGAGAGAGAGAAAGAGACTTTCCTTTGTTTACTAAGGTTTCTTGCATCGTTTGTGTTCTAGACCCCGGCCTGGGAAGTTGGTCAGGGCCCTTCCTGCTGCTTGTGGCTTACAAACGCGCACTGATGCACCAATTAATCTTATCGATATCGGAAGGTAGACAAGCTGACAATGTCCCGAGCGATCAGACAAGCTGATAATGCCCCCCCCTTGACAACCCGAGAGTACCGTGCGCGCTAGCCCGTGCAGGCTTAAGCTGACAATGGATACAGTTATAGCCAATAGATAAGGGTATAGATAGAGAGAAAAAACAGAGGGAAAAAGTAGAAATAGAGGCAAAAAAATAGGGGTAATAGAGGTAATAGAGGGAAAAAAGGGATGGTCTTGGCCCATCCCGACCCGGAGCGCAGCGGAGGAAGCAGGGTGGGATAGACCATTCCAACCCTCCCCGGCGGAGCCGTTTTGGAATTACCTAAAGAAAAAGTCAGAAAAAGTCAGAAAAAGCTAGGGTTGAACCCATAGCCTTTAGATTATTAGGAGCACTTCTTACTGCTAGACTATGTGGAGCGAGAAGAACGAAAATTGTCGTTTAATTTGGACCTATAGACCTTTGTGACGTGTGTGCGCATATCTATTGGTTAGAGCCTTATCACCTACTCCACTCTCAGCTCAACTGTGCACGGGCCCTATCGGTTATCGTGCACGGTACTCTCGGGTTGTCAGGGGGGGGGCATTATCAGCTTGTCTGTAGACTCCAATGTCCCCCCCTTGTCAGCCCGAGAGTACTGTGCACAGGTGGTCTGTGCAGAGTACAGCGGATAGTGGATACCTGCGATATGTTTTAGCCAATAGATAAACAAGAAGATCCTCAGGGTAGAGTGGGGAGGAAACATCTCTAAGCCAATTAGAAAACTAAGCGGATTTTCTATCGAGGAGATTTTGTGGAAACGCTTGTAGACCAATTAGGGCCCAGAACGTGGAAAAATGTGGATAATTCCTAATGTGGGGGCATTGTCAGCTTTTCCGCCCTCTTATCGATAGACTGACTTTCTTTCTTATCTTATCGGTGCATCGATTTTTTGATCCACCCGCTTTAAAAGTCCACAAGCCGGGTTTGCGTGTGTCGCAGCGGGGGAAAAGACTGCGCCAAAGCGCCTATCACAGTCTCCAAAATGGAATTAATCCTCTCTCTCGGCTCAGGTCACTTTGCCGCACCCGAACCGTCAACTTTAGGGCGTATGATTCGAGAATCCTACATCGTCGCCGCCTCGTGTACCTGAACCCTGCTGCTTGCCATTTCCGGGGTCTCTTTTTTTTTTCCCTTCTCACCAACGCCTCCCCTTCCCACACACCTACTACCCCTCCACCATCAAACGACCGCCATCATGACCGAGCCCCCTGCGAAGAAGAAGTGTCTCGGCGTCGACTGCCCCAATGACGCCGGTTCCTTGCAATGCCCGACATGCTTGAAGCTAGGTGTGAAGGACAGCTTCTTCTGCTCGCAGGATTGTTTCAAGAAGAACTGGGTATGCAAGCAAATGACGACACCCGCCCTGCTGCTGCCACGGGCACAATCGCGACAGTTGCTGACGTCCCCTTGCAGAGCAACCACAAGGCTATGCACAAGACAGAAACGAGTATTTTGCACCATGTCCTCCCACCAAAGGTCGTTTCTAAACCAGATCCAGAGACGGGTGTCTTCAACCCATTCCCGACGTACCCCTTCACCGGCTCTCTGCGCCCCGTCTACCCACTCTCCGAGCGCCGCACCGTTCCCAAGCATATCCCCCACCCGGACTGGTGGAAGGATGGCATTCCCAAGTACCCCCGAAGTATTCTCAACCGGAACAAGGTGGACATTCTCGATGCCAAGGGCATTGCCGGCATGCGCAAGGTCTGCCGCCTGGCTCGTGAGGTCCTCGACATTGCCGCCGCCGCCGTCAAGCCCGGCATTACGACCGACTACATCGACGAGATCGTGCACAAGGCCTGCATAGAGCGCAATGTGAGTTGGCCACTCTATGGGCATCTACGCTGGAGCGCGCCTAGGAGGGAGCTGACGAGAAACCAAACCCGTAGGCCTACCCGTCTCCACTGAATTACAACCACTTCCCCAAGTCGGTGTGCACGTCGGTGAATGAAGTCATTTGCCACGGAATCCCCGATCAGCGTGTTCTACTGGACGGTGACATTCTCAACATCGACGTCACGCTCTACTTCGAGGGTTACCACGGCGACCTGAACGAGACATACTACGTTGGCGACCGCGCCAAGGCAGACCCCGACTCTGTCAGGGTGGTAGAAGCGGCGCGCGATTGCCTCGATGCTGCCATCGCCGAGGTCAAGCCCGGAACGCTCATCCGCGAGTTCGGCAACATCATCGAGAAGATAGCCAAGGAAAGGAACTGCAGCGTTATCCGCACCTACTGCGGCCACGGCATCAACTCGCTGTTCCACTGCCCTCCCAACGTCCCTCACTACGCCAAGAACAAGACGGTAGGAGAGTGCAAACCCGGCATGACCTTCACCATTGAGCCGATGATTGCCCTCGGCAAGTACCGCGACGTCACGTGGCCCGACAACTGGACCAGCACAACGATTGACGGCAAGAAGACTGCGCAATTTGGTGAGTGCCTTGACCCGGTCCTCCAACTCTCCCTCTTCGGAACCATACAAACGTGTTCAAAAACGAGTGGCTGACGCGAATTGCAGAGCACACCCTCCTCGTGACGGAGGATGGAGTCGAGGTTCTTACAGCTAGGACCGCCAACTCTCCGGGCGGCAAGATTCCGATGCCCGGGACTAACGGCGAGACGACCGGCGCTACTGCATAGACCGTTATATTAACATTAGAATGAGAGCATAAGCAAGCGGCAGAGGCGTTCGGTTGACGCAAAACCGGGCGGTTGTGGACTCATGGGGCGAGTGCACGGAGGGGAGTTGGAGCTAATTTGAAGAGACAGCATGGCTCGAGCATATGGCACTGGGAGACATGTCCGCCAAAACAGGCCATCACGGTTGTAGGTGATAGCCATCGAATATCAAAAGATTGGGATCCCGACAATCAATCCCACCATTGTAGTGTAGTGGTGATGAGCACGTGAGCCATGTTTGGGTGCGCGGGGGGAGGGGCGTCCACGTTGATCTGAGGGGTCCAGTCCCAGACCCTGTCCCTTGCAGACGCAGACGACAGCTGGGCAAAGGTGAAGCCAGGGACATCCCGAGCCGCGGCCATGGGGCGACATGTGCTTCCGGCCGGGCACCGTTATCCTGTCTCGCCAACTTGACGCATCCCATTGACTGCTCGGTGCATACTGCGTACGTGGCTGTCTTACTGTGCGTTTACGGAGGAGTTCGCATGTGATACATGGGCAAACGGATTCCTCGCGTCTGGCTGCATTCTGCCACCTGTTGGTACCATGGTCAATGTTAGGGAGATGATGGAGCTGGACCCAGCCTCCCAGCCACCGTGTGATGGGAGATGGAGGAAAAGCCTCGATAGCGAGCGGCCTGGCAGCTGGGTTCTAGCATCGAGGGGCCCCTAGACGTCAAGACCTGTAGGTGGGGTTTTTGTTTGTTCCCCAGCAACCTCAGCCACATTGCGTAGTTGAGCCAGCATACGCAGCATACGCAGGAGGGGGTCTGGGGTTTTCATGCTCTTTTTTTTCTTCCTCTCTTCGGTGAACGAGTATGAAAACAGAGCGTAAGAGAGCAGTAATAGTGACATCCAGCAGCGGCGACGGTGAATTAGGCTAGACGGTACGTACCTCGCATACCTGTTAGGTGCAGGTCTGTCTTGGGGAGCCCCAGTGGGAACCCGGACTAGCACTAAACCCTTCAGGCTCTTCCAGAACGCACCTTACTGGTTTAAAACCGCCAGGGGAGACGGGCGAGACTACCTAGACAGAGGGTACTACTGACTGGGGACTCGGGAGGGGGAAGAGGGCGCGCAGGAGAGCGGGATGGCGAGGAGGAGGAGAGGAGCAAGGTACTTACTTCCTACCTACTAGGTATTATGGCAAGGAAGGCATCGAGCCTCTTTCATCATCAGAGGTTTTGAGCCCCGTAACCCACCCTCCCGATTTTCCACGACTCGGCTCGCTAGTGGCTACCGCCAGAACCAACGAGCCTCTCTCTCTCTCTCTCTGGAGCCACGACTCAACATCACCTCCTTCTCCCTCTTCCCAAGCTACCCATCTCCGGCGCCCGCTCCCTCCTTTGGAAATCCCTATACCTACGTGTCTTGCTACAACCTTGCCAACACCACCGCAACATAACACCCACCATTCATCCACTCACCCATCCATCCCTTCTCCAACCTTACATCACCCTAGTGACGTCTCAGGAAGCATTCCACCCGCCCGCACCGCACCGCACCGCACCGCACAACAAGCTCCAAGCAGCCTCGCAAGCTTCAGGTCGTCAACCGACAACGCCAACAGCAAAAAGCGCCTTCCTTGTGCTGCTATCGCTTCTTTTCTGCAACTCTTCACCAACCTCCAACACATCGAAATTTGCGCAGCTCTGTGCCACTACCGTCAAAATGTCCGGCGAAGCATGGTTATACCTCTTCGCGGTGTTGGTCAACGCCGTCAACCTGTTCCTGCAGGTCTTCTTCACCATTATGTACAGCGATCTGGAATGGTATGTATATATATCCTTCTGCTCCCATCCTGCCCCCATGCCGCACTGCCTGGGACGCGTCCTCCCGCTGCCTTGCAGCATGCAGGCCCGCCCGCTTCCTCGTGCTCGGACGAAGCTGTCTACCTTCTTGGCAATGCGGCTGCCGCGCGCCACTCGTGCCTGTCTTTTCATGAGCTCCAGGTCTGCAATCGATGCTAACTCGAGGACTCTGCAGCGACTACATTAACCCTATTGACCTCTGCAACCGCCTCAACACCTACATCATCCCCGAAGCTGCTGTCCACGGATTCCTGACCTTCATGTTCCTCATCAACGGATACTGGGTGCCGTTGATCTTGAATCTGCCGCTCGTCGCCTACAACATCAAGAAGTATGTCCACTCCAGCCGGCCTGCTGACAGAGATTGTGCGCTAACCGTGATTTAGGATCGTCGACAACACCCACTTGCTGGATGCCACCGAGATTTTCCGCAAGCTGAACGTGCACAAGAAGGTAACGATCATATGTTCCCGAGCCGCGCCTGACTGAATCTGACAAGCGCGCAGGAATCCTTCGTGAAGCTCGGCTTCCATCTCATCATGTTCTTCTTCTACCTCTACAGCATGATCGTCGCCCTCATCCGCGACGAGTCGTCCTAAACGCTGATTCCTATCCCTACGCACGGCAACGGGACGGAATTCTAGTATATACATCACCAGGCCACGTGGACAAGAAATAACCCACTACGCGCCCATGCTTTCGACCTCTAGACGATGCACCTATGGGGCCTATCATCTGAGGGCATAAGGGGCGAGCAAGTACTAGACATGGGATTGGGGAGGCGAAAGTGTTTGCCATGATACCAGAACGAGGTGTGGTTTTGGGCGATATGTGGCGCTGATCTGTATTGGTCTCTTAGAATTGCGGGCAGAAGCCTCGGTGGCTTTGTCCGGATTCTGATGATGATAAACGAAAGGAAATAAATATCACGGACGAATAGGCACGATCGAATAGGACGGGGAGCGGGTTACTATGTAAAAGACCGATACCTAGCTGCTTACTGTTTACTTTCATGTTGCTGCCAGGCCGGCAGGTTCTGGGAGCGGCAGGTCGCGATAATTTGAGTAATGATATATCTTTGAATGTCACCTAGACGGGTTTGACTTTATGTTTCGAAACCAACATGTTCATTTTCCTCCTTCCATGCTTGTGAACATGGTCAAAATTTGCAAATTGGGTAGCATTGTATTAACCATGGCGTATATGAGGGTGGCACGGAGCCAAAGCTGTGCATGCAAGCTGCTCCGTGTTGCCCTCCGCCTGTGCTCTCTGGCTGGGAGAGCTCCCAAGGTCCATCTGCATGCGCAGGGGAGGTCGATCCTGACATCAGATCACGTGATACCAGCTTTTGCTGCCGCAACCTGGGATCAGCATCGTCGCGACACTCCGAAATCCCACGGCGACCCAACACCACCCCACTACCGTCAATTCCTTTGTGACAGACGACAGCACTGAGGATGTCGGGATTCGGAGATTACCCACCGAACATGGCGCCGCAGGACGCCCTCGTCGTGCGGCAGGAAGCAGAGCCAGATCACGCCGTCGTCCCCTACACCGGCGAGGATCTCGCCCGCCCCAAACTCGGCCCCGCGAACCCCTTCAAAGACGAGGCGACGACGCTGAAGCGCAAAAACGTGCTAACTGGCACGGCCGAGGAGACCTACATTTCGGAACACACCTTCCGCAGCAAACACCGCGCGATCGAAAGAAAAGGCGGGCCGGAGCGCGAATACCAGACGGGCGCCTCGGTCAAGGAGCAGAACGCGCGGATACGCTCGGCGCGCGAGAAGAAGGGCGACGCGACCATTGTAGAGGGTGACGGCGCCTATGTTGGCCCCTGGGCTCGGTACAAGCGCGAGGAATACGAGATCGTGCGCGAGGGCGAAGAGCTGGCCAGCGACGAGGAGTATGAAGAAGTGACGGACGAGGACGACGTCGTCGAGAGCGGCACGGTGCTGCGCGCGCCCGAGGCGGCTCTGGCGAGGCGGAAGGAAGTTGAGGAGATGGGCGAGGAGACGACGACGTTCCACGGCGCCGAGGAGAGGGACTACCAGGGCCGGACATACATGCACGTTCCGTTGGACCTCGACGTCGACCTGCGCAAGGAGCCCGGCAGCGTCACCAATTTCATCCCCAAGAAGCAGATCCACACGTGGCGAGACCATTCAAAGGCCGTCACGGCCCTGCGCTTCTTCCCCGGCTCCGGCCACCTGCTGCTGTCTGCGTCGGCGGACTCGACGGTCAAGATCTGGGACGTCTACCACAACCGCGAGCTGCTGCGGACGTACTCGGGCCACGCCAAGGCGGTGTCGGACGCGACCTTCAACAACTCCGGCACGCAATTCCTGTCGGCCAGCTTTGACCGGCAGATCAAATTATGGGATACCGAGACGGGCACATGCCTGAGCCGCTTTTCGACGGGCAAGACGCCGCACGTCGTGCGGTTCAACCCGTCGGCGGAGCACGCTCACGAGTTCGTGGCCGGCATGTCGGACAAGAAGATCGTGCAGTGGGACACGCGCGCCGGCAACGAGATTGTCCAAGAATACGGTTTGTTGCTCTTTTCCTATCTGAATGGCTTTACTCACAGGGATACTAATGTTTTTTTTTTCCTGCAGACCACCACCTCGCAGCCATCAACACAATCACCTTTGTCGACGAGGGCCGCCGCTTCATGACAACCTCGGACGACAAGTCGCTCCGAGCGTGGGACTACAACATCCCGGTCCCCATCAAATACATCGCGGAGCCCTACATGTACCCGATGACGCGGGCCGCACCGCACCCGAGCGGGAAATACGTCGCGTTCCAATCGTCGGACAACCAAATTGTCGTGTACGGGGCCAACGACAAGTTCCGACAGAACCGCAAGAAGTCGTACCGGGGCCACAACAACGCCGGCACGGCCATCGACGTAAGCGTGAGTCCCGACGGGCAGTTCCTGGCCAGCGGCGACACGCAGGGGTTCGTGTGCTTCTGGGACTGGAAGACGTGCAAGATGTATCACAAGCTCAAGGCGGGCGACCAGCCCGTCACATGCGTCGCATGGCATCCCCAAGAGACGAGCAAATTCGTGTCGGCGGGCGCAGAGGGCGACATCCGGTATTGGGACTGAGTCGTCTTCGTTGCAAAGGAATGTTTGTGTGTCAGAGTGGCTTGTATTGAAGGGCATTGCTTGGCGTTGGGAAAAAAGGGAAATTAAAACGACATGGCCTGCGGGTTGTTCCCATTGGCAACCATCTCGCAACACACCAATCCTCCCCTGTTCCATTTGACTCGCCCCTCCTGATTGCCTTTGTGCTTTCTCTCGTTGCTTATTTTCTCTCGCCGGTCTCAAGTGGCGTGTGTTCCGCACCATTGAAGGGGTCAAGTCTTCCGTCATCATGTCTCGCTCACCGACTATTATCGACCTCGCAACACGAGAGACGGCACGTCCGATGCATCGCCAAACGAATCCAGTTACGCTCCCGCAGAGTAGTCTGGGCTTTCTTGGCCTCAGCGAACGCAACGGGATGCCTTTTCTGGAAACGGCCACATTCATGCACGCACCACACACATACGACGGACGTACCTTGACACGCGCGGCGGCGGCATCGCGCTCCAATCACATGCCGCTTGGTATGGCCACTGGTGTGCGCCATTCTCACGGCTAGTCCATTCGATGCCCCCGCAAACTCAAGGCTGGGTGGGTGGTGAGGGGTGGTCGAGTTCCAATGCGGCCCATTGACATTCTTACTCCAACTGCCTTACCTTACTTATGCAGGCGGGCGTGTCTTACTATTGATTTGCTTTTTTTTCTTCTTCTCCTTTTGCCAAATCGCGTGACGGTAGGAAACATTCGGGCATCACATGGTTCCGATTGTTCTGCCTCACTTTTTGTCTAGGGATATATGAGCACACACACATATATATGCACGTGAACCCGGCCCATCAAGAACTATCTTTCTGGTGCATTTACCGGGATTTCCGGGCAAAGTCTGCTTGCGTGAGGGATGCTCCTCCTTCACGGTCTCCTCTAGAACATGGACTCGGCATACTGGCACATCGTCCCCGACGATACGGAGGACGCCGACACGAGCGGGGGGTCCGGGGCGGACACCAAAGACTCGTGCTCGCCCGACCTTGAGACTCTCTGCGAAGAGTGCAGACAAGATGGAAGCCGGCCTCGTAAACAGTGCCGAGAGCGACGAGGCCATCGCCACCAACAACGTCAACAACGTCAACAACGCTCGTCGAGGTCGTCTCTCGAAACCGCCACCTCCTCGTCGTGGACAGCGGCATCGGCATTGGCAGACCACACCCCAGCGCCCCCCGACCTCGCCGTACCAGAAGTCGTACTCCGGCATCTACCCTCAGACGACGACGAAGAAGAAGAAGAAGATGAGGAGGAAGAGAAGGAGGAGGAGGAAGGTCCGGGGACGGCGCAGAGAAGCGCACTCAGCGTCCCGGGGCCGGTGTACGCGTCAACGTACACCAACTCGCCGTCCTGGATGTCGACGTACACATCTTCCACGCACGCCACGACGTACACCACCACCCACGAGCGCTCGCGGCGGGACGGGGACGCGGACGGCGACTGGCTGGACGTGAGGAGCCGCAGGCCGCCGTATCCCCGGCGGCCGAGGACTTCGAGACGGGACGCCAGGGCGAGGTCCTTCGGTACGGGGACAGGGACAGGGTCGGGGATCGAGGTGCCGGGGTGGGATGCGGCGGAGATAGAGGGTGGGAGTTATTGCGTCCTCGAGGGGGCGAGGTGGGAGGAGCAGAGGGCCCTTGCGACGCCGAGGCGGCGGCAGCAGCAGCAGCAGCAACAACAACAAGACCCAAAACTTCGCAGTAAAAAGGGTGCCTTCGGGAAGGGGAAAAGGTGGAGAACCAAGTTCGGACACTTGTCTGATGTCTCGAGGACGACGTCGCTGCCGCTCGTGGAGCCGCCGACGCCGCGATACGTGTACGATGTCTTTGTAGTGTCTGCCTCGGGGACCGGGGCGAAGGGGCTCGGGGTGCCGTACATGTCGGGGAAGGGTCACGCCCGGGCCGTCTACTCAATGGCGTACGTCAGGGGTACCGGATCCGCGAGAGGCCCATGGGGCATGTTCGCTGCCAAGGACGACGACGACGGAGCGGGCGGCCTCGTGGGGGTTGTCTGGCGGGAGGGTGTCTGGAAGGGTGTGTTGGGGTGTTTGCATGATGTGCTTGGCCTCGGCAGAGGAGGCGGTTGGAAGGACGATGTAGACTAGACGGATGGCGGGACGAGATGGGGTCGTTGAGCTCGCATCATGCGTCTCTCTCGTGTCACACTCAGCACTGGGGGGGACGATATGGGAAGGTTTCAAGTGGATAGAAAAAACCGGATATAGCGGCTAACACGATCGATGCGGCACGGTACAAAGGCGTAATATACAACTGTTATGATAACACAAGCACTTCCTCCTGAAACAACGGCTCTTCTATCCTGCTTCGGGTCATCATATCAAAGTCCGATCTGGTTGTCTTTCTGAGAGCAATTCCATCATCCTGTGGTTTATACATACAATGTCGCGCCGCCGTAAGTGCCGTAGTCGTGTTCATCGTCATCATCGAAAGGCAGGCCCAGGACCAGAGATGGCAGAGATTCTGGAGCGAGGTCGGAGGCGGAAGTGTGAGCAGGAGCGGGAGCTGGTTGCGATGGGTGAGCCAGCGCCGGCGCTGCGGGTTGAGGTAGAGGTTGAGGTGGAGGTGGAGGAGCCGACGCCGGCGCCCCCTGACTGCGGAGCCCGGTCCTTGAACCCTTTGCTGCCGGCTTAGCAGCGGGCTTGGAAGAGGTCCTCTTCGAAGCCGTCTGCGGCGCCGTCTTTGTCTTCTTCGGCTCTACCTTGGCCTTCTTCTTCTCTGACCCCTGGTCTTCGTCGTCGTCGTCGTCGTCACCCTCTTCGTCGTTGCCGCCTGTCTTGGAGACGCCTGTTCTCCCTCTTTTAAGCGCAGTCTTGGGAGCTGCCTTGGGAGCTGCCTTGGTGGTGGTGGTGGTGGCAGTCTTGGTCTTGGATGCAGCTTTCGGTGCGGGTTTCGGCTTTCCCTTCTTGGCCTCATCGTTGCTGTCATCTGCATCGTCGCTGTTGCCGCCTTCGTCTTCCTTTGGCTTGCACCCTTTGGCTGCGGCCCTTGGCTTGACTTTTGCCGTAGCCTTCGATGCAGCCTTGGGAACAGACTTGGGCGCTGGCTTCGACGTGCTGGATGATTTGCCCCCCTGTTTCGGCTGCCCCTGTTGGTTCTTATTGCCGCTGACTTCCGCATCATCTTCGTTGTCCTTGGAGTTACATCTCTTGGGTGTAGCCTTTGGCTCGGGTTTTGGCCCGGTCTTCGGTGCAGTCTTGGGGGCGATCTTTGGCATCTTGGCCGCAGGTTTCGAAGTAGTGGTCGACTTTTGATCCGGCTTCGGCTCTTCATCGTCACTGTTGCCGTCCTTGGGGTCTTCGTATTCGTCACCCGCCTTTCGCTTGCGACTCTTGAGCAGGATCTTGGGTCCTTTCGCTGCCGGTTGCGTGGTTCCAGCGGGCTTGGCCTTGATCTTTGGCCTCGACTTGGGCTTATTTCCGTCGTCTTCTTCTTCGCCGTCACTCTCGTCGTCATTCTTTTTGTCATTCTTATGCTTTTTGCTCTTTCCTCCCTCATTGGCATCATTGGTTTTGTCGTCTTCGAGCTTCCTTTTTGAAGAATTAGTCGACGTTGGCCCGAGAACCGCAGAACGACCCGTTACTGGAGGCCCGACACCAGGCCTGCTCTCGCCGCCCGCGACGACGCTGTCACCCTCGATTTTAGGCTTTACTCCAGCCCCGCGGCTGCTGCGGGAGCTCCTCGATCCCCACGCACCTGCGAGCCTGCTGGGACTCTTGCTCCCGCCCCAGTACCCCTCGCTCCACGGGGGGAAAAGCCCAGCCGTGGCCGCTGTGGATCTAGGGGGTGCGGACTCGGAACGGGTTGGCGTGCTCAGGTGTAGGCAGTACTCGATGTCGGCGAGACGGCGGTCCAGCCGCTGCTGCTGCGAGGCGAGCACGTCCTGTTGCTCGCCCAGACAGTCCTGGCTGTCCTCGTAGACATTCTGTCGCTGTGTCAGGCTGGGTCTGGTCTGCTGACTGCCGTGTCTGTGGTCCTCCGCGTCATTGTTGGGTAGAGATCTGCTCAGATTGTCTTCATCGTCGCCGCTGCTGTTGATGGTGCCAACGTAAACCTCGAGATCGTTGGCCCTTGTATCCAACTGGTTGCTGGAGCGGAGTAGGTCGAGGATTTTGCTGTAGATGGTTTTCTTAGTATTTTCGAAGTCGATCTCAAGGCTCCTCAGTGGAGTCTCGTACTTGTGTTGGTCTTTCTCTTTCTTGGCCGGCTTCTTTCCATTCGCTTCGCAAAATGTGTTGTTGCGCACCATCTCGCGATGCTTGGGTGGGATCAGGACGTCGTCGTCCTCATCATCAGTTGGGCTTGAAGCCGGTTGCTTCCCGTATGCTTTCTTAGACAACTGCTTCTCCGGCAATGGTTTAGACAGAGAACTTGAGGCTTCAGATGAACTTGGTGAATCTACCTCGATGCTGAGCACAGGTAAAGAATCTTTGTCGGAAGAAGATGGCATGTCAAAGTAGGACATGTTGGGCTTCAGCGTGGTCTTGTCTTGCGCTGATATTTACTGGGGTGATGCTTTCAATTTTGAGGCGGGTTGTTTTTGATGGCGCTTGTCTTGGGTTTTGATTGGAATCGGTGGTTGCAGGTGAAGTGAATTGGCAAGTGATGAAATCTTGTCTTGAGGACGGGAACCAATTTGTGAACTAGGACTCGGCACGCACATATTTTGTAGGTAAACAGACCCTCACTTTCTGTTTGCCTTGAATGTACTTGTTCGCACACACTCCAGGTGAAAGGGCTGAGATCGTTACACACATGGTCAGAGAAGGCCTTTTCGTCTACAGGCTGACATAGAACCTAGACTACATCATTGTCCTCTTCCGAAAGAAACAAATTTCATCAACCTGTCAAAGAAATAGCTATCATTGTCACTTGCACTTAACTCTGAATTTTTGGAGTTAAATTCTGCCCAAAGATGAAAGGACGGATTATCGCCCGATGGCTACAATCTTTCACGTTCAAATAACATATTGCACGCTATGCAGTATTTTCTCCGTTGTCTCGACCTACTCAAAGTCCATTGTCGTATCACGCAGGCGCTCCATTTTTTAAATCTTGAGCATTGTCACCCCGGCTACCTAGATTTAGCAACATCTGCCTTTGACCGAACAGGTGTTAAAACCATAAGATCAATCAAAGAGTAGGCGACCTCAGCTGCAGCAAGAACAGTGGTCTCGCCGTTGTTGTCATATGCTGGGGCAACCTCAACGACATCTGCGCCAACTATTGAGAGCCCTTCGAGGCCGTCGAGAACTGTGAGAAGCTCCCGTGTAGACCAGCCACCTGGCTCGGCCGTCCCTGTAGCTATTTTTGATCAGCCGTAATTCCGATGGGCCTTTTACTCCCATTGATGATGTAATACCTGGAGCGTATGCAGGATCGAGTACATCAATGTCGACGCTGATGTAGACTTTGGAGTCACCCACTCGTTCCTTGATCTTTGAAATAACTCCGCCGGAGCCAAGCTTATCGAGGTCACGAGCAGTGATGATCTCAAACCCGCAACGAGCATCGTTTCTTATATCACCTTTCCGTCGAACCAAGGGGGCTCGTATACCGGCATGAATTGAATTATCCAAAACCAGATGCTACGACTGTTAGCCTTTTTATGAGTACCTCATAAAAAACAACGGCATCTGTACCTCTTCGTGGGCGATGTGAAGGAATGTTCCATGGTTTAGACCTCTGAAAATGTTAGCCTGGATAAAGATTTTACAAGAATGTTCGCTAGGCCCTAACTTACGCATAATCCGAAACGCCACCTCCTAAATAACAGAATGGTCAATCTTTGGTCAAGATGATTACCGCATAAGGAACTAGCTTACCAAGAACTGCGGGATCCCAGGTATCTTTGGAAAGTTATCAGCGTCAGAAACCCGCTTTATTACACCAAGGTCATATACCGATGTGACTATCGAAATGGATAACCGAGACAGGTCCCCATCTCTGGTAAGTTGACCGCAGTGCCGACAATGTCGTTGTGTGATCTCCGCCGAGTGTCAGGATTCTTGGCGTCAAAGAGACCGACAAGTTAGCAGCTGATCGCCCGGATATCATCTTGTGCTTGTCAGCTTTTGCTCATAGTGGGACAGTGCGAGGGCATTCTGACGGTATGGGCTTTGTCAAGTCTCTTCAAAGACACTGTGTTGTCCAACCACGTGAGCCTGGCATCCCCGCAATCTACCACAGTGGCCCAGCTTTGGAATGGGTTTCGGCCTAGCTTTCTTGGTTAGATGGCGAAGATACGTGATAATCATTCCTGAAGAGCGGCGTGCCTGTATACACACTCCATTCCCCCGAGCTTTTCCTCTGACTGCCTGTCCGGATCGCAGGTGGGCCGAAACGTGCTCCTGGGCGACCTGTAGTTGTCTTTTGCTGTTATTCAAACGGACGGGAATTCCCCGATGGCAAGGAGTGCAATGCTAACAGTATCGTGAGGGGCGCCAAATACGGCAATGTCATATAAGTGATTCCTGGTCTCTTGCGCAGAGAAACAGTCTACGTATGGAAGGTTCGCAAACGTTCTTAGCCCAGCGAACGCACTGGCGCTGAACGCATCTACCTCATCGTCGCTGGTGAGGCCAACTGGTTTCTGATTCCTGTGAGACTCAAAGTTGCTGAATGCTGAGTGGGGAAGCTTCCAAGCAATGCTACCCTGAAGAAGCAGTAAGATGGTCGTCAATAAATGCAGCATCTCACCAGTAAGTGTCGATTCCGGGGGCTTTCAGGTTAAGAAGTCAACTATTCGATCCAAAATTGCTGGATGTTTGGGATATGTTAAGTAAAAGAGGCTGGGGATCAAGATGCTCCAGTAGGGATGCCATTATGAAATGCATACGGGCAATCGACGTCACCGTCCTATCGGACCTTCCTTGTTCCTTATCACAACCCCTCAATCTCTCAATGAAGTCGTCACCAGCCACACGTTTGTGTAAGCGGAGGTGTGGCTTGACTTGTCGGTTTGAACGTCTTGAAGATCGTTCCTGCCACAAGATATTTCATTACACATGGGCACCTGGGTAGACATTGAACATGTAGAGAGGGAAGGTGCGCCGGAATAGAAGAGCATGTTTTCTCAGGAGAGCTCAACACGGGAATCTCTGATTCTCGTACGTACAACCAGCCTCAAGATCCATGTTTGTCAACTCCAACTACCACCAACATCACCCCTCGCGCTGCCATCCACGCGTCAAAAGCCCGTGTTCCTTCAATCCCTGTGGTTATGGCAGCAAATACCTAAACGCGACCTCTCCCTATCGAACACGAGTTACAGTATATATAGAAACTCTCTTCCTCGAGTTAAAAGACCTACGCCTCTTTTTCAGTCCGTTGCAATGAGCATGTATCCTCGACAGGTCCTTCGAAAACAGATGCGGTTTAGCCGAGTTGGACACGACGGCGCTGTCGACGATGACGATGACGAGGAGGAAGGTCCACCGAGGCCTCTTCCGAAACATGACTACAGGGCCATCTACAAATGGTGGAACGACGAGTACAGACTGGTTGTAGTCTGCATCCTCGGCGCCATTGCCCTAGGCATCATCTTCGAAAAGTTTGACCAGAGAGTAGTGCCTCAGCTACGTGGAAACTTCGATTTCGACGTCATCATCGTGGCCATATTCACTTGCGTCCGCGTCGCCATGAGTGGTATTGTCGAATCTTCCATCAGCCAGGCCGCCTGGATCTGGGTGTCCGATTCACGCCAGCGTCGCACAAATAACATGCGCGCAAGGCTGGAAGACTTCAAAATCTATGACGAGGCATCCCGCGGGCTCTAGGGAAGTCTATGTCTCTTGTGGAGGCTAAGAGGGAGGTGAGTAGCCGTGGCTTAGTTGGTTGATGTCTGCAGTCTAACTAGAAACTGACCGCTGGACTCGCAGACACCTCGCCTGCATCGGTGCCCTGATCGTCATCCTCACCCACGGACTTGAAGCCTCTTCGCAACAACTTTATCGGTACGAGGGCCGCCCGGTTGTAGTCAAAAGCCACAATAACCCCCCCGTTCCGGCACCCCCGAGAAGCGACCTGTAGGACTCAACGGTACTCCGGGGTCTGGATACTCGTAAGTGCCATCTTGTGCTTGTGTGCAACCGGCATCTAAGACACCTTAGTTCATTCTCTCAATGTGTCAACAAAAGCAGCCATTTATAGAGGCATCCTGTCTCCCGACATAATGGAGCTCGACGTTGAGTGTCCCTTCACAAATTGCACGTGGCCCATTATGCCAACACTAGCCGTCTGCGGTGAGTGCAATTCTGTCGACGTCAGAACAATTTGCACCGACAAGTCACAGACATGTCTCTACAGCCTGCCCTCCGGCACTTCAGTCGACATCAGCCACAATGCGCCGGCCACCGAGCGGTTTCGGATGGCCTCATCGCGGCCAGGAATCCATCACCACTTCAACTCCACCCTTCAGACTTACATCTCCGTGTTCGATGTTCTCTGGGTAACGAAGACAAGAAAAGAAACGAAAACAATGGGCCAGGAATGCGCACTATGGTTCTGTATGATGAGTTACAATATCACAGTCACCGAAGGGCGATCCAATCAAACAGTAACCAAGATTTGGAACACGACGCAATTCGAGGCCAGCAACAGTGCACATGATGACGAGTATGTCTTTGTCGATATACCAGTCGACATGAACGCCACGAGTACGTCCAGATACAGCACCTCGAGAGTGGCTCTGGAGGCGTTGCGGAGATTTATAGACCCGCTGGTTGAAGGAACGTACGAGAAGCAGTACACCATTATCAACTTCTCGTCAGACTGGGCTGAAGGCATGTACAATGCACGATTCAATCTTCCATCGTGGATCAACAGATTCAGCACCAGTCTAACGAATGAGGTGAGACTTCATGGGCAAGTTCGGAACAAAGAACGCCATCAATACAGCGGACAAGCCTATAAGATTGCGCAGATGATCATTGTGGAGTGGAAATGGCTGCTATTTCCTACAGGCCTCATCATCATCAGCATCTACTACCTTTTCCACACCATCATCAGGGGTGCTCGCGACGGCATATCGGTGTGGAAGAGCGATTCGCTACCGATGCTATTCTGCCGTATTGACGCGTCAATTCTAGCGAGGGTTGGCGATGGCATGGATGTGCCCAACGGACTAGACAATGCTGTCGGCGAAGTGAAGGTGTGCTTGTTGAGGGAGGAAGACGGCGATTGGGTCTTCAAGCCGATTGAGAGCGAAGAATCTTCGTCCGAATCCGATGCTGACTGATAAGTGTTGGGGTCGTGTTCGATGACTGACAACCAAAATGCGCATCAACACATCATTATCCTCCAGCGAGGGGGGAGGACCTAAGAAGTTGAAGTAGATTTGGGGGGGTGTACAAGTGAGGATTGCTTTCCGCGCTCCTGTGGGTTATTGGGCGGAAATTCTCCGACACTTGTGGTTCACCGTTGTCGATGACATGTCGAGCGACTCGGGGAGGCTTTTTTCCATCTTCGATTGGTCCGGTTGGTCTAGGATAAAGAGCCCGTGTGGAGCTTGCTGGGATGTTGCGTCGGCAGAAGTCTTCGGCAAATAGGGGTAGTTGTGTTTCCTCAACTAGAACCCTCCCTTCCTCTCTCTGTGCCTCGCCGGCTTTCACTGGCTAATCAGTCCAGTATGCGGATATAAAGAAGTCCTAACAGCCTGAAATATACAAGTTGATTACAGATGGTTACCTAGTGTTTTGCCAAGCAGACGGAGCGGAAGGATATGAATGGGACAAACAGATGACAATCCATGCTGATGGTTGGCAGATTTTCTCTTAATTTAAACCAAGGTCCAGCCAGCACTGCAAAATGACAACCTGGGCTTGAGCTCCGTGTCATGTCGTGTCGCGTTATGTCCACAATGCTGTTCTCAGACATGTAGTGTCAAGGAGATCGTCGACTGCCCCCCCTCTTCCCCACACCCCGCAAATCCTTCCCGCCTCCGGTTTACGGTCTGTGGTCTTAGATCTGTCACTTTTGGATTTGGGGTTCTTAACTTTTTCAACTCATTTTCGCGTCATCCTGTCCCGCCCTCAAGTCTGTGTAGACGAGCCAATTCTCTACTCCAGTAGCTCCCAAGTGGACCGCTCCTTATCCCCCTAGTTCAATCTCCTCGACTATGGCATCCGAGGAGACAGCCATACCTGTTGAAGCTCCAAAGACCAAAACTCAGAACAAGGTTCGGAAGCGCGCACCCAAAGCCTGCTTGTCATGTCGCGCTCGAAAAGTGAGATGCGATGTGTCCCAGCGTGGTCGCCCATGCATGAACTGCTATCTCGATAGTGAGACGTGTGTGGTAACTGGACGCGCATCTAGATTGTGAGCTGGCGTACCCCCTTTCTTCGCCGCCATCACAGAGATGCTAACTGTCCACAGTCGCAGAGCACAGCAACGAAGAGATGGCGTAGACAACGCGCTGGCATCGCACCCTCCATACAATGCAGACGACGGAGAGCAGCGTCATGTGGTCGACCCTGCTGCACCATCGAACGACGATCTTCGGCCAATACCCTCCAATGAGCCCCGCCGTCAATCTCAAACTTGCCATCATTCGCATGATGACGACACCCCGACTCCTGTACCTGCCGCGCGGCCAAAAAGTCCGACACTGAATCACACGAACAGTTCTCACCATGACCATGCCAAACAAGCCCATTCCCATATACCCTCGACGGCGACAACGCGGACGCATGAAATACCATGCCCTGCTCCTCTGTCGTTCAACAACCAGGCCTTCACGACGCCATGGGCCAATGGTCAGCAAAACAGCCTAGGCATAGACGTCACCTACTCTTTCTACCCATTTCTGGCTCTGAGCCACCTGCACGGGATTCCGCCTCAGGATGTCAACTACCTGGAGCTACAGGGGTGTCTGCGAGTGCCCACGCGTACGATCCTCGACGAGTTTGTGCAGCAGTACTTTCTGCATGTCCACCCGTTGTTTCCCATGCTCAACGAGGGTGACTTTTGGGATTTGTACTGCGCAAACCCCAACAGCCATGTGCCTACCGAGAAGTTGTCGCTGCTCGTCTTCCAGGCAATGCTCTTCTCCTCTTGCAATGTAAGTGCTCAAACGTAGGTGGGCGATTTCATATTGACGAGGTCTCCAGTTCGTCTCCCGACAAACCATCAAAATCCTAGGCTTTCCCACGATCCGCGCCGCCCGGGCAGCCTTCTACCGACGCGCCAAGCTCCTCTACGACCTCGAATCCGAATCTTCTCCTCTCGCCATCTCACAAGCCGCCCTCCTGCTCTCCTTCTGGTCCTCCCCTACGTCTCCGGCCTTCCGCAAAGCGAACACCGCCTGGCTCATCATCGCGATCCAGAATGCCAAGATGGTTGAAGCGCACCACTACGCCACCCGCACGGCACCCCCGAAGAAACGCAACCTCCTCAAACGCCTGTGGTGGTGCTGCATCATGCGCGACCGCATCGTCGGCCTCGGCCTACGCCGTAGCTTGCAGATCACCCGTAGCCACTTCAACTTTGACTCGAACGACGCGCTCGGGTTCTCTGACTTGGCCGATGAGCTCGAGCGGAGCCGGGTGTACAACCCGGGCACGAAGCGGCACCTGGCTGAGATCTTGGAGCAGTTGGTTGAGCTGTGTGTCGTGCTCACCGATATCTTGATCCTCGTATTCCCGCTGGATGATCGCCCGGGCTGGGGCCGGGAGATGCGCACCGAGGAGCAGGACAAGGTTCGCGTTTGTAAGGCTGCGCTGCGCAGGTGGTACAAGCTCGCGACGCTGCGGTTCCCCATGTTCGGAGGCGGTTCCGTAGCAAGGGTGAAATCACCCGGGAACGAGTTCCAGCACGGCTCGGTGATTCTATACACTAACCTGATGTACATGTACTACCAGTAAGTCGTTGTTCACCCCAAGAATTTGACAGGCAAGGGTACCAACCTACATTTCATCAGCTCGTCTCGAGTCGTCCTGAGTCACCACGAAGTCCTCCACCTCGCCATCACCGCCGCCGCGCCAGCTTTCAACGCGATTCCCACATCGGACCTGGCCATCATTGGGGAGAACCGACATGAACTCCAGGACGCCGCGTCGGAAGTCACCGAGTGTTTGAAGGAACTCATCCACCTGCGCCTCGCACGCTGGCTGCCGATCAGCGCCGTCGCCTGCACCGCGTTACCGTTGGTCTTGCATATTCTCGACGTTAAGCTATCAGCATCGTCAAGGTCTTTCGACCCAAACACTCAGTCAGCACTCAAGCAGCACCGTCTCAATATCCTTATCGAGGCCATGAAGATCTATCAGCCCCAGTACGACGGCGTTGACTGGGTGAGCGAGACGATCCGGCACATTGTCAATCTCGCACAGATCGACTCGCCGCCGCCGGGAGAACTCAAGAATTCCGGGGGTAAAGCTGCCATTGTGGACTGGACTGACATCCTCGCCTCCCAACCAAGCTCCTATCTCCGTCTCGCGCTCACGATGGATCTGTCCCTAAGCAAGGGGCGTCTTCCCGAGGACGGCGACTTCCCCGTCAACCTCCGCGGGCTCTTCACCGGCGGTTTCAACCCGCTCAAAGCACTGCTCGAACGGAAGCGGGAAGACGCCGGGAACAAGGACGCGGAGTCGCTGACGGACTTTGATGCCGCGGCGATGCGCGTCAACCTCTTCCGCATGCAGCCGGGAACGGTGGCGGTCTTTTCGTCCGACGAAGACGCCACCACCTCGTCGTCATCAGCGGAAGAGACCATCCAATGCAGCGTAACGGACACCACGTCTCCGACGACCTTGGGGCCAGGGTCCCGAACCTCCGATCCCAGGAGCAGCGGAGGTGCAGACGTGGACATGGCAGACCGCCCGCCGTCGACAGGGATCGACGGCCTGGCGGCCGAGGTCTTGGCGGCGTTCCCACTGGATGAACAGCCGGCATTCGCGGACGGTGACTTTGATGGGATGTACTTTGACGGGATGCCCGGGCACGACGGGCCTACGGGGTGGATCGAGACGGCTTGGGACGAGCTCACGAACGGACCGGACGAGGATCGTGCGGACCGGGATGCGGCGAGGATCCTGCTGGACGCCTTCAGGGAAGGGGACTTGGCCGAGTGCGCGGTATAGGTCGCGCGGGCTACACTGGTGATGCACAATGTGTGCGCCCACGGTGCTTGTCAGGTTCTGGGCTATTTTGGCCTGCCGATCAGATTTCCTGGTCTGCAGACTCTGAAGGGTCATGGATTATCAAAACGGCGTTGGTATGTAAAGGCTTATAGACGGATGGTGTAGAATGAATGCGCGAGGAAGCACCAAATTGTGTATAAGAATTGGACGTTGTCTTCGCTGAACGACACCAAAGCTGTTCACTCTGAACAGTGCGATACTCGACCTCGTGAAAGTAGATAACACTTTCACGACATACTTGCAGTCGGAATACAAGCTCGGCTCGCGGAAGCGGGGAGCAGTAGTTGGTAGGACCAACATTCCAGGGCGAACGATGCATTTAAAGAGTGAGGGGGCTGATAGCAAAATGTGCCTCGTAACTATCAACCTCTAGGATAGACCGTGGCTGCTTCTCACAAACATACATTATAATTCCGTTTCAACCTGCTGGCAGGGGATCCTGGAATGTGTCACAAGACTCTATTCCCTGACTGATACAAACCATGACAGGTTTTAGACACACAATCGTTGAGTCTGCTGGACGATTCGTAACGCGTACAACTCTTTGCCGACGACGGCAAACTTTCATCGGCACGACGGGCTTCTGGCAGAGTTTCCTGTATATTTGATCATTTCCTGAGGTGTGTGTGTATGAGAGAGAGATAGAGACAGAAAGTTAAAGGGGGAAAAAGTGGAAGAGAGAGAAAGATAGAGGTATCCTTGTGTCCAAATCATTGCGCCTGCGTCATAATAGGACGCCCAGTGTAATCCACCACCTCGCGCACCAAGAAGCCCAGTTTATGCACCGATTTCCGCCATAGTGTACGTAGATGCGCCCCTCAATTGTTCCTCGTTTGCTCATCCATCCCTCCATTCTACGACGCTGGACTGTACCTCAGTACCACTCAGATGTCGCCGGGTCGAAACCTCTGCAATAGCCGCACTCGCAGCCGAAACCGTACTTGTAGTACAGGACGGAGGGGTCTTTGCCGTACGAGATGGTCAGCTCGTCGCCCGCCTCGATGATCCAGTCGCGCACGGTGAAGACCAGCGCGTCGTGCTCGGGTCGGAAACGAAAGCTGACCTTGGGGAAGCAGGAGTGGTTAAAGCGGCCCGCAACCGGGAAGAGGCCGGCTACGTCCTGGGAGCCCGGGCGAATGCCGTTGACGGCGCCTGCGCTCGACTTCGTCGGGAGGCGAGAGACAAACCTAGATATTTTCGCTCAGCGATCACGTTTTCAAGGGGCTGTAGAGGAGACGTACGAGTTGGTGCTCCAGATGGCTTCTTGGAGCGTCTCGCCATCGCGGCTGTAATAGGCGAACATGTCGTTCGCAATCGCGCGCTCTTTCTCCGGAAGGTCTTGGACCGAGGAGGTGACGTTTTCATGGGTGGCGTGGTAAAGAGCCTTCTCGACGAGGATCTGGTCACCTCTGCTGAGCGTCTTGACGGCAAAGGCACCCCATCCAGCTGTGGGGGATCGACGGATCTCGAAGAACTCGTTGGCGAAGATGACCGACCGCTCCGTGGTGCCATCTGACCCCTCGAAGGTGGTCAAGAGGGGCAAGTCAGCGGCTTCGAGGAAGACAGGGTTGTCAATACTGCCGAGTAATCTTCTCCTAAACGTGAGCCCGGGGCACAAAATATTCGACAAAACGAGGCTTACCCGATGAGGAAAGCTGCACCTGAGCCGTCCGAGTGAGAGCAGGAGTTGCTGGAGCCCACATCAGACGACAAGATTGTATGGTTGTCGTCGTCGTCGTCGTCGTCGTTATCGTTGACATCGTAGTCAATCCCATAGGCCTCAACCTCCTCGGGTTCGCAGCCAACGGTAATGTTTTGAGCAACATGGACCGTCTTCCATGTGATGTCTCGGATGGCAATGGGTGGAAGCTTCATACCAATGAGGATTGCAAACTCGCGCAGCCCGTTTTTGACTTGCTGTTAATGCTTCGTCAGCGACAAACCATCCGGAATGAGCTAATCTTATAATTGTACTCACCTCGAGCGGCTCAGTCAGTTCGAGAATTGAGTTGACCGGCTCAGGATCGATGTCAAGCATAGCATCAAGACTCATGGGATTGATTCGGGCCTTGGGCATCGGTGAACCGATGCCCACGTAAAGATCATCATAGCTCCCTGAACAGCATCTGGTATCCTGGAGATGAGTGACCAGCATTTCAGGTGAAATGAAGACCGGGTCCAACTCATCCTTGGGGAAGGAACCTCCCTGATCCATGCTAGTGGCGAGAACCGAAGATTGGGACATTCTTGCGGTCTCAGAGGACCCCCGAGGTGGGCTTGCAGGAAACAGCTAGGACAGAAGTGAGGAGCTAGGCTACCTGTCGCTCTTTGGAAAGAGCCGCCGGGCTTTCTGGTGACCAAAGCAGCTGTAGATACGGGCACTTGTTGGTCAGGGTTCAGAGAAGATATTTGTCAGTAACTTTCTCAACATCGCCTAATCTGCTCTTGCCAATAGATGTAGGCTGGTCTCAATAACAACTGGTAGGGTGCAATAAATCTGTCGACTGAGAAATAGGAAGTAGATTAAGATCTTGATATCTCCTCGTGCTGAAAGAAAGGAAGGTCGTATGGCTGAGTTGACTTGCGGCAAGTTTAGTTAGCCGTATGCATATACAACATAGTATTCACCTTGTTGCCTTCCCCAATCTTTCTGAGCTTGAAACCAGGCACCCATACATAAGGGCCATAATTGTGAATTGAACGTGAGGTGAGCTGTCTTGGCTCCTTTTCTCTAAAAGAGACAGTTCAGTTTTCAAAGAGCCTAGGAGCCGAAAGCCAGAAGCAACGATGAAAATAGGCAAGAGGCAACTCATCCTTTCCTAGAAGGGAATGTCCGCAAAAGAATTTTGATAATTATTGGAGATATATGCAGTCATAAGCCGGTCGAGTCCGCTTCAGATGTCCTGGTAAGCTTGTAGATAACAAATAACTTGATACCATTCAGCTGAGAAGTTACAATATGTGGTAAGCGCGGAGAGTCTTGAGGTATGTGGCTCGGAGAAATAGTAGGAATAGCCTTCCTGTATGGTTGAACTGAGACCCACATACATATCAGAGACTGCATAGATGATGCAGGCAGAGGCCATCAGCATGATGAGCTTTTGCTTCGTTTTGAAATGCTGAGTCATTGTGTCACTATGGTCTAGACGGGCTCCTGGTGGGAAAAGAGAAAGAAGATTCACTTTCATGCTCTTCAAAGCAAGAAAACCAAGCTCACAGCTCTTCTTGTTTAAGCTCTTTGTCCGGACTAACTCGTTACTCTTTGCTTTCAACGAAATTTCCTTTGGGTGTTTCCTTCTTTTTCGTTTTCTTCCTCCCTGTAGTACCTTTGTAAGTCTACCGCTGTTTGGCCTCTGATCCCACTTCATGGCCTGCCAATTGTCGGCAAGATGAAAGAGGAGGAATTCACAAAGGGAGCAGGAGAGGTACCAACCCTCTCGCAAGGCGCAGTCATAGCTTCGGCGGAATACGCAAGCCCGACTGACAGACACGGAAGCATGCAACATGAAAACATACTAAATGGTTCGACAATGACGCTTTCTGCCCCCTCGAAATAGATGTGGCAAGTTTCTTTCATTTTGGGATCATGCTTGAATGGCACAGCACAGCGCGCAGCCACTCTTTGGCCATCCTTGCTCAGGCTTGTTCCCGAGAAGCGGATATTGTAAACCAGCATAGTCGATCCTCCAAGATCCAGAGCGACTTGGGCATGGTACCCGGGAGGCAACCCGGCGTTCCATGGCCGTCGAATGCAACTGTTCATCCTTCGTCGATGGGCTCGGGTGCAGTTGCAGCGTCGCAGGCCCTCCTCAACAACCCGGGCGCTGCTGGCGTTTCAAACAAGACCCGGCAACGCTCAGTCCATGGGCCCAACGAGCCCAAGCAAAAAGGCCAAGCTTTGTGGAAATCGAGAAACATTCTGACAGGTACCGCCCGTTACACCGGCATCGGAGGAAACATGGGCAGGGCATTCGCTCGAGCTGTGTTGCACCAGCAAACGGTCCGTCCACGATGACTTGCTTATATCTCGATCCTGGATCGGAGGGTCTCTGCTCTTGATGCTGCTTAGTGATGCCGGAAGAACGTGAACCGATATGAGCCTGAAAATACCACACAGAGTAAGATCTAAAATAGCCACTCATTCAACGCTATCCACCGTGTTCAACAATATGCTCTCTGGGGAGATCTTTGGTGGGAGTGACACGTGAATGTGAACGATTCTCTCGTGAGTTGTTGAGGTGACGCTTTACGCTTTGACTTTCAGGCTCCCGAGCTTACACATGGTTGTCTGCCGAAGATAAGTCCCTCAATGGCACAGGAGACACTTGGTGTCGCGCAGCCATGGAGCACTGGCTCATGCTGATGCAATGTCGATGCAATGCGTATCGGGTGAGCCATAGAGCAAAAGTGCCGTTGTCTTGTGTTGAGCATTCTATTTGTTGAAGGATCGTGTATGTCAAAGTTGTCGTATAGACAACTAGATATGACGAAAATCTATCGGACCTCCGGTCAATGACTTAAACGTATGCTGCTGAGACTGTAAGGCTGATGTCAGCCCGTCAGAAGTCTACTGTTTCTAGGGTGACCCAAGATGAATCTAGAAGGGAACGCGAAAACTGTTATACCAAGAAAGGTACCATGGAAATAGAACGGATGGAAAGCAAACGACGCGCCTTCCGGTGTAGGTATACTCTCTCTTTCACACACTCTCTTGGGGAGACTCATTTAGCAAGGTGATAATAACCCGGCGGAGTGAACTCCGGCAGCGATGAGCCTGCGATGCGCCTCGGATCCTTACGTCCTCTTTTCTAGCTTTGCACCGCAGTTGCAACTTAGTTCCCTTGCGCCACATTCGCAAGACTCAAGCGTTCGACTCCCAGACGAGAAGTATCGTTGAGATCCATCCAGGAGAAACTATGTATCCAAGCTTCGCAATAGCTGCAGGACGGCGGACGTGGCTAGCATGCCCGGCTCCGGCCCAACGAGCCGCGGCCCGATGGCATGGCTCCCTTACCTATAGCTCACGTCTCGTCCTTCGATCACCTTGCAGGTACCGTGTACTTGGCCAAACTCGGCGTTCAGCTCCTCAGGCCCCCTAGGGGTTACTCCGAGTCTAAGGTTAAGCCTGTCCCTGAAAAGGTTGTTTATCTGCCAATCGCTTGGTACATAGACGGAATTGCATGTGCCATGCTCCGTCCTCGGACTCGCGTACCATAATCCACCCGTTTTAAAGCCGGAAAAAGGCCAGTAGGCCCATGCCGTCTTCTCGCTGCCCATCGTCCGGCCTTGCTGGCAAGCCCTGTCTTGGCCAGGAAACACGCGGTGGACATTCTTGTTCAGACGAAATATGCATCCATGGCTGAGCCTCATGGGGGGGAAGGTACATGCGCGGCACATGTTATTGAATACCTGTTCAATGCAGAAATAAGCCTTTCTCTGCCGTTACTATCATTGCGTACAGCAACCCTTGCTTCGATACCTACTTCGTCATACCATGCGATGGGATGGCAACCAGGCCATCTACTCTCATGTGTCTGTGTCCCAAAACTCTCTTCAGGATGCTGACTTTTGGAGGAAACATGTGTGCCGTGGACACCCTGGCCGTGCTTCATCGGGGCCTCACTTCTGATGTTACATGTTTGCCAGAAAAAAACCCTCTGGCATTGGCAGGATGGCTCGTTCCCACCAACGTAAAGCCGCATAAGAGTGCCGGTCTCTGCCCGCATATTCACCTGCACCTCATCACTTTATTCAAATTTCTCAAGTATCAAACAGTGACCAACGGCCGCAAGATAGACGCTGTTTTCCAGGACTTACCATATTGCAAGCAACACTTTCACTAGGTAAACACGTTCACCTCGTGATGCAAGAGCGGCCGTTGACCTCGGGGAACAGAAACGACACAATGGACTACAGTCGCTCGGCCAGGCAGAGCCGCTCAAGCTCTGAGCCATCAAGACACAGGGACACCAGAGCGAGGCTCAACGAAGGCTCCAGCTACGTCAAGACATCGAGCAATGAGAGACAGCGAGAGGTCCCTCAGGGCCGCAGCGGGTACAATAGAACCCGTGACTACTACACTTCTGCGCCAAAGGGGCGATCCGGATACAACTAAAGCGATGGCCTGCAAACGATCACGTCATTCTGCACGGTCGAAGGTCGCCTCGTTCCGAAGAAAGACTGCTAGAGGCGTGCTGCTGGTTCGAAAAGCTTCAATAGACAGAAAACAAGAAAACACGATGTAAACGAAGAATGATAAAATACAGTTCGGATAGCTGCAAAAGGTTTCTGAAACATAGGGGAGCGGGGTGATGACCCGTGGTTTACTAGATAAAATTGTTACATCAATACAAAAGATTCGACCCTGTTCGCATGCCTCACCTCCTAGCCCCCAAGGCATTACACCCCTATATTTTGTGTTTTCCGCCATTCGCCGGAGTTCTGTTTTCCTCCGTCTAGCGCTTCCGAGATCGTTATGTCGTCTTGCGTGCGGGCGTATGGGTTGCCCTTCCCACCAAGTCCTCGAGCAACGAAAAGACAGTTTCATCTAGCACCAAACTCCTGACCACCCAGCAAGCGATACTCAAACAGAAACCTTGACGCCAAATGGATCGTGTTGCCAATATCGCAAATAACCTCCCGGGGATGTACATCCCAGCCCATAGTGATCCCGTTTCTTACCACTCCTTTCGCACAACGAGCCGCTTTCGCTCTAAGCCACTCACAACATGGGCTTGAGTAGCCGGCACCGCTACGGAGAAAATCCACCTGGTGAGACAGAGGTTCCATCCTCCAGGGCCATCTGCCTGAAGCCACTTTTCGCCAGGCAACGCCTGCACTCGACGTACGACTCGGGGGGCGATATCCAGTGCAGGTGCCGGCACTCGCACACCCACCACTTGTCCCCAGTCATCGAGAAGACCAGCTCCGTGCTGGGATAAATGCCATCCCTGACGCCGCACTCTATGCAGAACCGGCGGAGGAGACTTTCTCCCCGTCTGATCACGGGCAGGTCTTTATCAGTATAGGCGTGCTTAGTGAGACGCCCGTGGGGGGAAACGATGATGTGGTGCGGCTTGTCTTCGAAAGCGCCTTTGGGCTTTAGGGTGTAGCAACGATAGCACGCGTGCTCTTGCCCCTCAGACTCTTCACGCCCGCATAGTGCTTCGACTTGGATCAGGAAAGCGAGTTTGCAGGATTCTGTGGCGTACAGCGGATCGTAGTGGTGAGCACGCCAACGTTCCTCTCCGTAGACACCGGCGTTCTCGATCGCCCTGAGAGACTTATCCCGTATTTCGAATCCCATGGTCCGAAAGAAGTGCGAGAAGTTAAGGTACGTTCGTGGAAGAGTTGGGACAACGGTGTATGGGGCACCAAGGGTTCTTTCGACAGGAAGGGCCAGGGTAGCAACGCTGGATGGAGTGGAGGCCTTGCGGCCCCTCGTAGAAGGAGTGGAAGTGCTGCGACTCTTTCGGGGAGGTGTAGAGTCTTTTCGACGCTTTGCAAGTGTCGTGATGGTAGCAGAAGAAGCCGCACGACGCTTTGCGGCAGTTGTGACACTCCAAGCGGCGGGATAGGACGAGGCAAAAGCAGGCATGCGGGTCGCTTGCATCTGCCTGAATCTCTCTTCGACCGTGACAGCCATTTTGATGTATTTGAGGTCGTTGTAGGGCCTTGTGCAAGAAGCAATTCAGTTGTACGAAGGTCAGAGATGTTCTACCAAGTGTTAGACAACATCGCCAAGCAGGGGTTCAAAAGCCAGACTCACGATGGGTAGTGTAACAGATGGTATGCCAGGCTTGTAGGACAGTAAAGATCTTCAAGATATCGTAGACGGATGAGGGACCAGAGGGGCAACTTGAGGTCCGGTCCACGAGTTCTTATACAGCGGCCAAACCAAGGCCCCATACTCCTATGCAGAGGATCGCCGTTGGTGTTGGAAGAAGCGTCATTCGGAGGCAAAGAGACAAAAGGGGGATCAAGCAAGGACCTAGAAGCGCACCCTGCACCCTAACAAGAGAGGCAAGAGGAATGAATGCATGCAGCAATGCCCGCAGGCGTGACAATGGGGTGATTTCTTTGCGACTTGCAGATGATGCATTTGGGCAACGATTCACCTACCTCTTTGGATCTTCGGGACCTGGCAACAAATCTCGGCAGGGCTTTGTTCGGCGCCCTCGACCCCTCCTGCAGACTTTAGCAGGCCTCTGTAGACGATCCCATTGGGTGCTGGGTTACCGTTATCCCGGTTCCTTCTCGAGGAGCATGTAACGCAAACACCGTACACCTGGCATCGCGACTCCTCACGCCTCCGCTCTTGCGGAGATGCGGGTCTCTTGTTGGTTCAGTCCTACGTAGACGGGTGACGATGGTTCAAGCGCCTGCCGCATGCGTCTTCATCTCTGGCTCACCGGCCAGACAGGGCTGCCCTTGTGCGGTTGCAGATCGATGAGAGCAGCCACCGGGGCTACATGTTCCTCTGGCCAGGGCAGCAGGGCGAGGAGTCGTGGCTGAGCGGCGCGGGCCTGCACTGATGTGATGGCGAAGAGGAAGAAGTGGAGAGTATGTAATGGAGACTGAAAAGGTAAACCAATAGCGATAATAGATGGATGGTCGGTGTCCCCTCCGATAGTTATATGAGCTACGGCTCTGACATGGGGATGACACCCTTCCCAATTACAACCTGATCCGGAATTAGAGTGCTTCTGGCTGCCGGGGCTCTGGGACCGACCGCATGTGCCTATGGCTTCCGATCCTAAGAGCCAGCATAGGGAGTATGTGCAAAAAAGAGGGTCATATCTGGGTTTGTGCAGGAAGATAGGCATATAGGGCTGGCCGTGCTGTTCACCTCAGACTATCTGCCCATCGATGGTGGGCTGCCGGGGCGTGCAAGCCATCCGAACCGAGTAAGCCGGGCCTTTCCCTCTGCGGAACTATTCCTTGCATTCTCTTAGCTAGGCTCAGCTTTGACTCTGCGATTGACATTCCGAGATGGAGTTTCCGGGGACGATTATTGCCGTTATATTGCCACGGCGGCTGTCCTGATGTTGTTTATGACATTATGCAGTTCCCCTTCCCTGGAGGTACCGTGTTATGTCCAGAGCATCTCCCATGAGTGTAGGGACGCCTTCTCCGCAGTCGGTGCACTTGAAGCTTTAGGTGTCTGGGGAATGGTTGATATCTCTACTGTCATGTTGTACACCAACGCCACAATATACGATGAGGATGGTGATATGCAACCTGCACAACTAAGAGCCGCGCACCGCATGGTTCAGCCAAAGGCCTGTGGCGAAACAAGTTCAGGGAGGCCCACAGATTTCATGGACTGTCGACATGTGTTTGAATCGCCAAGACCTTGCCTAGAGCAAACCTGTCTCCATGTCTGTTGGCGAGCCGGGGAAAGGGGTAAATTACACGGCCGTGACGGCGTCGCGTATATGTGACAAGTGTGATGAGTGAACATGCCTGCCGCAACTTTTCTCACATTTCTAGCCTTCCCCAAGACCTACCTACCGTTATGCCCTCGGTCGAGAAGAGGTGGACGACGTGTGGTGACTTTGGCGCAGCCCCAACCGCTAACTGAGACCGACGCACCTTGGCCCTGGCGACCCCGGTTCTCCCGTTGGAACAGAATCGCAAACAAAAATCTGACGATGCGGGTCTTGGCCAGTGCCAATCGATATAGGGTCCACCTTCTGGCTCAGGAATAGTCGAGCTGCAGCCAGCATCGAAAACAAGGTTTGATCAGGGCGTCTTCCTCGGGGGAAGAGATATACATCCGAGCCGCAGGCTCGGACTAGCTTTCCTGTAACCCGGTTGAGCTTCACGAATAAATATGCGCGTAGGAACCAGGGGGGCTGTCATCGACACTTGACTATTGGTTGTTTATCGTCTCCGCCGTTGGTTGTGGTTTCTGAACCCCTCGTCCCCTTCCACTTACTTGAGGGTTCATGGTATCCCTTGGTTTATCGACCGGGTAGCTGGATGGCGAAAGGAGTGCATAGCGTCCTCAAGGCTGGTTTATTCTGCTGGCAGGTTAGCGGTCATCGTGCCGCGGTAATATGAAGCCCTTCCTCTGTCTAGAATGCGAAGGACCCCATATCGCACGGGAAAACGCGACAGCATGATATATCGACCGTTTTTATTTGCCCTTGGGGGAAGAGGGTTCTGCCCAGGGGTTCAACGGCTTGACGGGCGCAACCGTTCTTGGTTGTGTTGAAAAGTCGACGAGTCCGACGATCCGAAGCGAAGAGCAGCACGGGCAGGGGAGCTGTGGCCTCGCTTTATTTCCGTCGACGTTGAAAAGGTGACAATACGCGAACGCGTTTGCTGTGCCGCCAAAGAAATGGCTCGTCTTGTCATATTGGCGGCCGCTGCGCATCTCGGTTCACATTCGCTCTCATTTGATGAAGAGAAAACGGCATCCAGGAGCACGCACCTGATTAAGAAAGACCACTAGCATGGCCCCCCTGGGCAACAGTCACGTAAACTAAACTAGGTGGTAAACCAGATTAATCCGCAGGCGGCCCGACGGGTGGGCGCCAGCCGGACGCCAGCCGGATGCCATCCGGACTTCCCGTTTCTGGCTTGGCTCCCGATTCGCTCGCACATTTCAAGCCTCCTCGGTCTTGCTTGTCCATTAATCCGCCAGACCCAAGGATGTCGCCGGTGAACTGATGAAGTTCCAATGAGGCATCGAGTTGGCAAAGGCGATACGCATAAGAGGCGGACGAAGGAGAAGGCAGAAGAGAAGTGGAAGGAAAAGCGAGAGCTGAACAGGGTGAGGATTGGGTTGCGATGAAAATGGAGAGAGAATGGACCGCTCCTAAATCACCCCCTGGTTCGCGGGCTGCAAGTTGCATGTTGCTTGTTTGCTTGCTGCAGCTGCTCGCCTACGACCTGATTGTCCATAGGAGGCAGACGTCTGGGTCGTTTTTTTGCGCCCGCCCACATCAAAGGCGCAGTGCGTCTCGGTCACAAGACACAATCTCGACGCGGTCAACGGCACTGACTCCCATCGGCTCCGCTAACCACATCTGGTGATGTGATACCACGGGCTGTAGATGAGACAAGGCCATCTCGGACTTGACCTTATGGTCTGATGATTGGCGATATCATGTACGGCGTCTCGATTGACGACTACCCGCCCATGCCAAGGCCGCGCAACTCGGTTGGACGTGTCTGTCGGCTTCCCTCGGGACTAGTACGCAATGAAGTGGACGGTTCAAGGTGAGGGTCGAGGTTCCAGTGACCTTGTGGTGGTAGCCAACGCTCATTTCGTTGGACCTGCAGCCGCTGCGTCAATTTGAGCCCTTCCCAGGCATCGAAAAGCCCCATACTCTGTATGAGAGATGAGATTGTACCTAGATCGACTCCTGCTCGCCCCAGCATCCCAAATAGTTGGGCCAGCGTGCTGCCATCGCCGTAGCGGAGACTTGGTCAGACGGGGCCGCGCCAGATGTGTATCCGTGCTTCCCTGGTGCGAGGCCGTCCCGGATGACCGAGGCCGGTACCTTTTCCTGACCTTGTTGACGGAGAGTGGGAGTGGAGTAGATGGCGACGGCGAACTGGGGGGGGGGTGCTGCGTTTTCTTCCTCTCAGGGTACTGGTCCACGCTTACGAATGACACGTCATCTGACGCGCGAGAGAGTGAGTGAATTTGTGTGTGAGTGACTGTGTGTGTGAGTGACTGTGCCGTATGTGAGTGTATGTAGGCCTCTGGCGTGCCAGCAACAGCGCACCCGATGCCCCGTTTAGGAAACCGAGTCCTGGTTGCTTGGCGCGCCCACTCCTGATGCAGAAGCTGGCCGCCAAAGGGCATGACGAACTTGGGCCAATTTGAGGATGGTCAAGAGAGAGAGAGAGAGAGAGAGAGAGAGAGAGAGAGAGAGAAAGAGCCGACGTATTTTACCATCAACGTGTCCGCTCCTCTGTTCTCAGGTCCGGGGCTTTGGTGAAAGAACTTCTGTAAAGGGACCTATGTGAAGTGAGACATCGTCGAGAGACAGAGCCTGCAACGTTCATCATGACGTCAAGAACGTTGGATAAACGCCCTGAATCGCCGCCTGGTGATCATGCATTGGATGACAGCAATTCAGGTCTCTGTCGCTGCGCGTCTTTGACCTATTACTCGGCACGCTTCCTCATTGGTGCTGGCATCATCCGTACGCGGCCATCATCTCACTCACTCACGCACTCATTCTACGAATACCCACTCTTGGGTTGAAAGTTTCTCCGTCTTACTTTTCGACCATCTCTCCCTTCCCTATTATAGGCCATCCATAAGTCGTCGGTTACCCCTTATCGCTATGACACCTGCAGCTCCCACAATGGCAAGGCAACGCAAGCCATACAGAGCCGAGGATTTTGTCATTTGGCCAGGGGAAAAACATAAGAGAAATACGGAGCCCAGCGTCGTTTCGGGCCGCGTATCATGTCCCAGCGGGCATCGCGTCCTTCCGAATCGGGTATACAGCTACGCCGCTACGCCGTCCTTCTGCTTTATCAATCTCACTCGTTGTCGAGTGCAATTTCCTCTGATTTCCGCCATCCACCAGATATCCGGCATTGGCGTTTCCTTCATATGTATTGAAGCCACCCACCCACCCGACCCGTCCGCTTTCCCAGACCGCTTTCACTTCTTGTCGTGCCTGTGCTACCTCATACCGCCGGCCCTCAAGAGTTAGCGCGGTCTTGTTTCCCGTCCGGCCCCCCTTGGCCATCCACACCACCCAAACTCTCGGGAGCGTCACACCGCAGCCGAGATGGATTCACACTCCGATCCACCCCCCGACCAAGACACCGTCGTCGACGACGCCGCGCCGTCCAGGGCATCAACAGACATGCACCATCTAACGGAGTCGACCCCCCTCCTCCTCGCGGGTGCCCCGTCCTCCCCACTCCCACCCAAGCGGCCCGGCACCGGCCGCAGCAGGACCGAGTCCCTCATCAAGGCCGCCGCCGCCATCCACGTTCCCAAGATACACAACGCCAATACCATCGCCGCCCTCTTCTGCGTCATCATCGGCATCGGCAGCAGTGCCTCGGGCCTCTGGGTCGTCCCCAGCACTCGCCTTGTCGAGGATGTTGTGTGCAGGGAGTATTACGGCCTACTAGGCTCCGGGGACGCCAGCGCTGGCGGCCCAATCGACGAGCGCCAGTGCAAGGAGGACGTGATCCAGAGCAAGGTCGCCATGATTTTCGCCGTCTACGCTACGCTGCAGGCCGTCGTCGGCGCCTTGGCCACATTTCCCTGGGGCATCATTGCCGACCGGTTCGGGAGGAAAAAGGTCTTCTCGTTGGCGGTGCTGGGCATGATCCTTGACCAGCTCTGGTTCCTCTTGCTGTGTGCGTTTCCCAAGACGTTTCCAATGAAGGCGTTGTGGCTCGGCCCGTTCTTCTTGTTGATTGGCGGGGGTAACGGCGTGCTAAGCGCCGTTGTCTTTTCCATGATCTCGGACGTTACGACGTCAGAAAACAGGTTCGTTGTTTCTTCTCCGACATGAACCCCCCCCTCCCTTGCTAACTCGTACGAACAGAGCCAAGAAGTTCATGAACGTCCATGTGGCGTCCATGGCTGGAAACCTCTGCGCCCCCGCCATCGCCGGGTGGATGATGGAGAGAACCGGACCGTGGCCGGTCGTGTGGGTTGCCCTTGCAGGCTTCTTGAGTATGGTCTTCACCATCCACCTGATCCCGGAGACAAAGCCGGCGGCCCAGGCCGAGTCGGACCCTATCGCGGACGGGCCGGAGGCCGACTCGCCCGTTGTAGGCGCCATGTACCACACTTTCCACCGGCTCAGGGGGTCTCTGGGTCTCCTCAAGTCGCCGTCCCTTGTCGTTTTGGTGGTGGCGCTGCTCGGGTCGTACCCCGCCACAGAGTCGACCTACCAGTTCATGAACATCTTCGCCTCGAAGCGCTATCACGTCTCGCTGTCTCAGACGGGGTACCTCTCGTCACTATACGGGCTGGGCACTATCCTGGCCATCCTCGCCATCTTGCCGGGCATCTCAAAACTGCTCGCCTCACCGAAGGCGCCGAAGTCCTTGCGGTTCACCAACGACAACGAGCGCGACCTCTTTCTCGCCCGGATATCGTCCGTCGCGCTTATCATCGGCACCTTGACCCTGGCCGCGTCGCCGACCATCGGTGCCTTTATTGGCGGCCTCGCGATCTTGGCCCTCGGTGCGGGTTGGGGCAGCTACGTGCGTAGTCTCTGCGCGGTATATGTAGACGCTGCGCATCGGACACAGATGTACTCAATCATCTCGCTCATTGAGATGGTGGGCTTGGTATACACGCAGCCCATGCTCGCCGGGCTTTTCAGAGCGGGTATGCGGCTCGAGGGTCTGGGGATCGGATTGCCGTACCTTGTTGTCGCTGGTTTCTGCCTCGCTAATTTGGGGCTGCTTCTCTTGGTCCGGCTTCCGCCGCCGGAAGACGTGAAGCATGCGTCTGGGGATGAAGCCTGAGCCGAAATTGCTGTCCAAGCTAAGTGAGAGGAGTAAAGAACTGTATTCCATTGTAGATTTGATTCAGCGCGCCTGGTAGTCCCTCGCATTGAGACTTGAAGTACGGATAATATCGACTTTTTCTATATACGTCATCACATGCCTATTAAATAGCACCGCTGTTGCCAAGTGTTATCCAACATGGCGATCGTCCATTCGTCTGAGCCTGCCAGCCCATGAGCCGTTGTCCGCGCCATCTGCCATCGACGAGACGGGACCTGCATCACCCAGTGATGGTGTTTTGGTTGTCCGAGAGCGGCGGAGATGGTGAAGTGCAACCCATCCGAGATTGAGATGGCCTCGAGGGCGCTCTGGCCATCGTAGTCGACATGGCATACGGTTCGACAGCGTTGGCAAGCCAGAGCATGCTAAAAAGAAAAGGCCCCGTCAATCAATATCAAGTGCATTGTGCTGCGATCAAGGGAACCATGGTTTCAGTGGGATTCGTCGAGAGCGCGGCAGATCCATGGGTGGATGGCGTTGTGGCGAACGAGCAATAGAGAAAGACGGGGGGGGGAAACAAGGAAGGAATTCGAGGGAGATCTGCAGGCGACAGCGATAGGTCAGGGGGTGTGGTGGGTATGGGCGGTGGCGCCCTTCCCGCAGCGCGGCTTGATAGCGCTAGACTGTAGCCTGTAGGAGCACAGCCACGGCGCTGGCCAATCCTCAACGTCGCCCCTTGGCGCCAACCAACACCAGGTCCGGGCATCCATCTTCACTTGCAAACGCCAACAGCCACTCATCCACAACCTTTCAAGGATCTTCCCCAGCGGAACGGCCGTTTCAGACGGCGGCCAGGGGGTTGGTGCATTTAAAGGCAGCGTAATACGGCGCTTGTTCGGTACGTCACTCCCTCTATTGAACCAAGATGCACTGTTAGGATAGAAGGGGAAGGGATCCGTCCCAGAAAAGGAGGAGGAAAGGGTTCCGTTCTTCCACCTCAGGCCCTTCGGATCATGGTCGAGTCAAAAGATATGGAGTGAAGGCTAGGGACATTTCCCCATCCATCCATATGCGTCATAACCTGCCATCTTCCTCATAACCACGATCGAGGTGCGTCCCAGTCGAACCAACTCGGTAGGCGGGCTTCAACTTCTTCAAACCCACCAACGACTAAGACGAGGAAGACAATCCGATTCAGACTGCGAGTAACGCCTGTGGAGAACAGAATATCTTGACGACAGCCATTGCCGGCCGGCCAACCACCGAAAGAAAAAGAAGAAGAAAGGGGGGTGGGAATGGCATTATTCGAGCCGGCCAACTGCACCGTCGGGCCCGATGTCCCGGTGGCCAGCGACGGTGGCGTCGCCGGCCGCGGCGTCATCCTCGCGGCCGTCATCACCGCCGGCGTCTCCCTCATACTCAGCATGTCCATCATCATCCACGAAATGTACGGCAACCCCTCGAGGATCCGCCGGAAGCTGCTCAACAGCTACTCGGACCAGCAGCTCCTCATCAGCATCGGCATCTCGTGCGTCGGCCTCGCCAAGGTCCACCAGATGGTCCCTTACCACTTCTTCATCATCTGGATGCTCACCAACATGGCCCTCGCCGTTCACAATGCCACTCTGCTGGCCCTCGCCCGCGACTTCCGCCGCGACTGGGTCCTGCGTTGGCTGCGCCAGATCCTAATGCTGCTGAGCCTGTCACTCAACACCACCTACGGCGTCTTCATCCTGCGGGGCGTGTCGAGCAACATGCAGGAGTCCAAGCTGCCCGTCGCCTGCGTCTGGATCGTTGGCGACGCCGGCAAGGGCTCGCAGACGGGGCTGAGCTACTTCGGCACCGTCGTCGTCATCGCCGCCAACATCCTCGTCTTCCTACTGGCGAGCTGGTACCTCCACCACAACAACTTCCGCTCCACCCGATTGTCGCGCATCTTCCAGGTCGTCGGCACCTTGATCATGATGGGATCTGCCATTGGCGCCGCGATCCGTGTCTTGATGGCCTCGGACGCCTGGGGCAATGGACCGGCCTACGAGCTCAGTGACGACGGCGAGAAGCAATGGAACTTCGGTCAGCTGCTGTCGATGCTCGTGCTCATCTTCCCCCTCGTGTCCATGACCGAAATCATCCGCGGCGAGATCGGCGTGAAGGAGTGCGACTTGTCGAGCAACTCGGGCGGCGACACGGAGATGGGCAAATACCGCAGTTCGGCCAACTCGTCGGCCCAGGGGCTCGTATTCATCGGGGAGCAGAACAACGTGCTCAAGTGAGGGATGGGGGAGGCTCTATGCTATTCGGACCAGACAGCCTATGCTGCTGATGTCAAAAATGATTGATGACGGGTGCGGGAAACAGGAATGATACCCATTAGAGGAGACCACGTCGGGAAACGACGGTATGGCTCCCATATGTGGAACATGATGCTGAGATGACATGTACATCTTGATTCCGAATTTCAATGGTGCCGGGGGCCTAAAGGTCAGGCTTTTACTTCAGAGGAAGGGGTCCATGCCTGACGTAATCCGTGCAGTGGGACGCTGAGGTGCCAATAATACCGGGCACCATGTCCAGCCGTACGGCGAATGTCCCGATCTCTTTTGAGAACCAACCGTATTTGCAAGTGAGAACCTACATAACCCTAGCGCTTGGTAGATACATGGAAGCATCGAGCGAGGTTGGCCGCCTACATCGTGACCGTTGTCTAGGGATGTGGGATGACTGACCCGAGCTCGCGTCATCCCGCCGCCACTTGGGGCTCCGCTCCAGTCCCGTCCCAACGTTGAACCTTGGGCCGAAGTTGATTCGTGCAACCATTCATAGGTAGGTGCCGTATCTCTTGCAGAAAACCCCTCTCGTGCGATGGCCGGTAACATCACGTGCCGACCTAGTCTACGTACAAGCATGCGATGCCCCTCGTAAACCTTATTGCTGATACTATTTTCCCCTGGCTAAGCCAAAGGCAGACTCTTTCGTCATCTCCCCTTCCATTAGAGCGAGCGACGCAGGTGGGTGTTGTTAAGCACGTTTTTGTTTTTGTACAATTATTTACTCATGTCCTCGTCGTTAACGTCAAACACTATTGGTTTCGGTGGTAAATCTGTATCGCAGAGGGCCACAGATCGTCGGACGTTACGGAGCAATACTACGTTCTTTTGGATAGATGCATCATGGGGGTACCTGGCAAACCCCTGAGAGGTGCTTTCCTACATACGTATCTATGCTCTCCTGCCCAACTCAGGCAAAGCGAAGCATCGTGCCTGGCCCCAGACCTTCCCAGGTGTGGTGTACATACGAGTACTAGGTGTATAGGTAGGTACAAATCAAGACAAGTCCTCGTAGTTCCTTCCTCTCTCGACGTTCCGGGAGCAAGCAGTCGTAACTTCGCGTCTAAACTCTATTCCCTCGGCAAGGACTATTGTCCCCTGCCTGTGGTTCGTGCCCATAGACTTGATGGTCTGACAGCTACAGTCAGCTTTCGACTTCCTGTGTTTTCTCCAGAAGCCCTTGCCCTCCTTGGAGTCTTGTTCGTCTTCGTACATCGTCGACTCTCTCACCCACCCTGTCTAGACTCATCTTCCCTATTCCGACGTTTTCTTTCATCGACTTCAGTTCCTCCTTGCCTCCCTCCTTCTTCTCTACCAGTCACCCCCTTGACGCTTAACAGCCTCGCAGTGGCCGTTTGTTAGAACCGTGCCAGCTGGCTCCAGCGTCAGGCGAAACTCTTCTTTCTGCCATCGTCTGCCACATCGCTGTCAAGACTTCTCGCCGTGACCCGGTCAATGACCGCGACAGCAACTTGACTTCCATCTCATTTCTAGTCTACAGCACACGTACACGTACAGCAAAGGTACCGGAAGTCTCGACCTGGGCACAAAGCCCGGACAAGGCGTCCGAGTCCTAACTCTATCCACCAAAAGCCCCACAACAAATAGCACAGCTATGGCGTGTAGCTCGAAGCGCATCTTCCAGTTGCTCTGGCTGGCCGCCGGTCTGCTCTTTGCCTTCGCTTTTCTGCGCACCATCGGCGCGCACGACCAGGCCAAGAAGTGGGCTTCCAGCCAAGTTAACAGCCTCGTGAACAACAATGGTGGTCGCATCCCAATGCGCGAGTTCTTGATCAACGCCGAGGCAGTATGGGCCAAGACCGTCCAGCAGCGTCATGAGACGATTGCTGCAGACTTCGGCGATGCCTCCAAAATGCCTTTGTAAGTCGACTTCTTCAATTTTTCTCGTCCGAACCCTTTGACACCATGCGTATACTGTGGCCGGGTCTTGTCAACAAGACACAAAACATCAGACAACTAACTGCCATCCTCATGCAGCTTCCCCGCCACGAGCGCCTCGGCGTACAAGAAGCACCCTTATTCCATCTGGGACTTCACTCCGGCCTCGTTCAGCTGTCCCCACGAGATGGAACGCGTCGGTCGCTTGGGCGACGGTGGCAAATGGGTTTGCGGCATGTCGCGCTATGTCAATTTCCCAAGGAACCGCGAGTGTATCATCTACTCTTTCGGCGTCCGCGATGAGTCCAGTTTTGGTGAGTAGCCTGTCCCCCGCACTATCACTGTACAAATAAATGGGTGTCTGACTCGTGAATCTGGAAGAAAACGAAATGCTAAGCCGCACGAAATGCCGCGTTTGGGCATACGACTTCTCCGTTGTCGACTTTGGCGAGCAGCTTGAATCTGGCAACCGCGAAAGAGCCAGCTTCCTTCAGGCCGGTATAGCTGGTAAGACAAACACGACATTGAAGCCTCCTTTTTACAGCATCAGCGACCTGATGGATATGAACGGTCATGAGTACATGTAAGCGGTTCCTTTGTGGCCGAGACACAACGACTATTGGCTGACATCATGCCAGTGACATTCTCAAGGTGGACATTGAGTTTGCCGAGTTCCAATCTATTGAGGGCCTTCACAGGGACTTTCCCATCACTGCTGGTGAGCTCCCGATCGGCCAACTGATGGTTAAGATCCATTTATTCGGCGGCCTGACAGCCTTCGGCTACCTTGACTGGTGGCAACGCCTCGAGTCTCGCGGTCTGCGCCCCACCTGGACCGAGCCCAACCTTCTCGCTGTTACTCTGAACTTGGACAACAAGAACCCGCTGCTCGCCGAATACACCATGATCAACATCCATGACAGTAACAATATCTTGTTCGATGGAAGAGGACTGTAAACATTACAACAGGGAAACAGGTGCGGTATCGAATTTGCCATCAATGGACGGAGTACCGAGGGTGTGGTGGGTGCTGGGAACGAAATTTGCATGGTTATCGGCGTCATTTAGGAGCCAAAACAACGACCTGTATGATTAATTAAACCGAAGCTTCTTGAGCGTTTCCTAGGGGACTTAAATTATATTGATAAACAGCTTTTCGTCTGAATGCACAAGCAAGCAAGCAAGCATCTTCTCGGCGTCGACGCACTATTAGTAGCGGTATGGCCGATGTGTCGGAGACCGTCGCGCCATCGGTGAGTTGCAGAGTTTGCCAGAAAATGCATACTTGATTCCCCGGCCCCTACGGACTTGTCAGGCAATACTTGTATGTTAGAAAACAGATGACGATCGAGCCAGGTTCCTGTTTTTCTTTGCCAACAAGAAAGATAGTCTCTCCCCTTTCGCAAGCGTCGTCGACTGTCGGCATCGAGCTGGCAAGCAAACTAGGTAGCATGAAAGCTGCTTGAGGCCTTGTAGAATCCAAGTCTTACTGTACGTACTACTTTGCGTACACACGGCAATCAGCCTCCGATGCCTGAGTATTCATGGTGATTAAATTGTCTGAAAGGGTATGTGGTATCAAGTTACTATTGTTCTTTTTTCAGCGCAAATTTAACGGCGCAATGGTTTGGTGCACATCTCATCTCATTGCACCACGCACTTGCTCGGCAACCCGCAAGGTCCCGCTTTAACGTCCTTCTCGTCCAACTCTTGCGGCGTCTTCCGGTTGTCCTTCTTCACCGGCGCCGCCTTCTCAGAGCCGTTGACCCCGTTGGTCGTCTTCTGCTTCTCCTCCTCTGCCTTGGCCCCGCCTTCGCTACCATGCAGTCAGCCGAAATGCTTGGCGACAGTCTGGTAGAAGGTCTCGCCCTGAATGGTGGCGATCTCGAGCTCCTTGGCGCTGGGCTGGCGAGAACCATCAGCGCCGGCGAAGGTGCCGGCACCCCAAGGGCCGCCTCCGTGAACCTCGGAGAGGTCGGTCAACTGGGCGAAGGCCTTGGCGTAGCCGAAGGGGACGTAGATGATGCCATGGTGGGCAAAGGTGGACATAGCGGCGAGGGCGGTGGACTCCTGGCCGCCACCGAGGGAGGCGGTGGAGATGAAGAGGCCGGCCATCTTGCCCCAGAAGCCGCCGCTGCTCCACTGCTTGCCGGTCATGTCCCAGAACGCCTTCCACTGGGTGGGGAAGTTGCCGTATCTGGTGGGGATACCGATGAGGAAGGCATCGTAGGCCTCAAGAGTGGCCGGGTCGTTAAGGACGGGGATGTCAGAGGGCTTGGGGGGAGCGTGCATCTTGGCGAGAACTTCCTCAGGGAGAGTCTCGGCGATCCTGGTTGATCCGATGTTAGTCTACACAAATACGCGGTTGTTGTCAGGGCGGAAAGGGAACGTACTGGAAAAGGTCGGCAGAGCCACCGGCCTTCTCAATGCCCTTCTTCTCGGCCTCGGCCAATTGGCGGATGTGGCCGTACATGGAGTACTGTCGAAGACATGGCGATTAGCAGGGTGGTCTCCGTGTGGGGGCAGTAGTATCAGGTTTAACACGGAACATCTTCAGAGTATGGCTTCATCCGTACGGGAGAAGCAAACCGAATCTCTCTTATAGATACGGTCCGGCCGAGACGGTTGGGAAGGTTGAGTGAAGGAGAAGGGGCAAAGCACGAGGAATGCCGGATTAGATTCAGTGGTGCAAACTTACGTAGACGATGGCGATCTTGGGAGCCATTGTGAGTGGTGGTTGGGTAATGTTGCGGGAAAATAAGGAAGAGAAACTGAGTATCGAGTGATTAGGCAATTTGCTGTGAGGAGTTAAGCAACATGCAAAGGTAAAATCGGGGAGGACGGCACGATCTTATATCGAGGTCAACCCAAGCCGCAGCTCCGATGGCCCCATCCGGCGTGCCTAGGAGCGGAGAAGCGAAGAGAGGGGACTGAGACGGGGGCGTCTTGCATCATCAATGATACGCTGCTTAGGCAGCTTGTCGGTGGGGGATCGATTAACGGGCAGAAGAGGACGACGGGTTGGTCAGTCAGGGACCCCCCTTGAGGAAACGATAATGGCTGGCCAACTTCAGGTGCCAAGTGGGATCAGAATCGAGACACATGCCAGGTAGTGTAGCTCAGGTAAGGAGATGTCAGCAAGTCGTCGCGGGGGAGAAAGCTCCTGCAGGGGAGCTATCCGGCTAGGTACGTACCTACCCGTGCTTCATTGAGGGAGGGGCCCGGTATCGATGCCGAGTCTGGAAAGAGGACGTACCCAGCTAGGTACCTAGGGAGGTAGGTACCTACCTACACAAGTACGGTATACTCGCCAATATATGTATTTTCCTCCTTCTTTCTATCTCTCTCCCTCCCTTTGGCACAGGCTACCTAAACAGCAGGAAGAGTAAGGAAGTACATCTGCGCAATGCGTACCTACTTGAATAGTACAGGTAGATCTGAGGGATGCGGTGAGCATCTACACTAGGTATGTACGTAGTAGGTATGCAGCAGCTCTGCAGACGAAAAAAGGCAGGCAAACAAACAGACATGTCGGATCACGGTTGGCCCCCCTCCACCTTCCCCGGTCAAGCTACTGCACTGCGTAGCATGCGCCAGAAACATCTGTGGAGCCAAATCTGGAGAATTTGATGGGTGCTGATTAAGTGCTTAACAACGCGTTTGGGGCATGATAGATAAGCCTTACGAATACCCACCTAATGGTACACATGTCGACGCCTCGCCGGCTGTCATATTTGGGCACCTTCATATGGCATGTATGGCACTTGTCGAGTGCTAGTGCAACGCTACCAGGGAGGTAGTGTAGGTACATGATGCGTAAGTACCTACCTACAGACCACCTAAACTACCTAGGTACAAGTAAGTTTAGTTAGGCAAGTGTGTAGGTAGTTCTAGCTTTAGGCTTTTTGTCAACTGCACGTAGTAGGATTATCGAGAGTTTTTGAGTTTCGGGTTAAACCGAGGGCTGCCGACACAGATCAGACACAATCCTAATCTTCTGCTGCCTTCGGTCAATCGGCATGTATAACAGACGAGACGTCTATGTATAGGTAGGTTATTCATCTCGTCTGTCTGTGGGCTGCAATTCCGAGTTCATGCATGGTCGCTCGGCCGACGGTGAACGTCGTATGTGCAGTGTGCAGGAGCGATTAGTAGTGACTGACAAATGTACCACACCTTCCCCCACGAAGCTGACAGGTACGGCCATGGCGCCAAGGAGGGAGGGAGAGTGGGAGCGAGGAGCACCCAAGCACAGATCGGAACTGCTGCAGAAAAACAGCAGACCAACATGGAAAAAGGTAGGCACATTGGTACATGGGTACCTACGGAAGAAGGCAGGTAGATACGTACACAGCAATCTTCTCGTCGTCTTCTTCCTTTCGTCCCATCAAGCTTGCCGGTGCCGATTCTCCCTCAGATGGTTTCTCCCACCTTCCACCCTCAAACGTGCACTGCTCTACCTAATGAAACGCAGTGTGTAAACGCGATCGAATGTCAAGCCCAGATCAACAGGTGGTGGTGGATGTAGCGGGGCTCGTCCCACTAGGTATACCAAGGTACCTAGGTACCTGGTTGACATCGCGCCTGAGTTGAGGGTTTGTTTGGTAGGCAGTGTAGTTTAGGTAAGCTACATCCAAAACATGATCCAAGGATGAATCAGCAACACGCATATGGATGGGGACCGAGGTGCCAACCCTTGCCCATCACCGCAATTAGCTCCTGCTTCCGGAACGCCCTATCCGTCCCTGACTCGCGCAAGCTCCCAGTGAGGGCAACATGCGAAGTTGCATCATCCGGTCTGGATGGAAATTGAGACGACAACGGCACGCCTTTACGACGGGTTGTCTATTTGATTGACGTAGAAACTGTACCTACACTGCACAACAGACTCTTTCTTCCTCACCCCGCTGCACTGGTGGTAGAAGTCGGAAATGATTCTCCAAGCATCGACCTTGCGAGGGAGGCTCTTGACAAAAAAACCCGCCTTTCAGTTGGCCACCGTGGGCCTGCCTATTTGTTATTCAAAGGCATTCTTATCCCAGAGATGACTTCATCCGGCTATTGATCTTTCAAGTATTTGGCCCGGCATGCACTGCAAATCTTGACTTGTAGTAGACCAAGACTAACGACTTGTTTCCAGGGGAGGGGGGCATATCATCCATGGCCGGAAAGGCCGTTGCTTTCCATTCCAAATTCGGTAGGCATTATATACATCGTACATGCATCCTCACATCCTCAGTCCTTTAGACTCCGAGCCGTCTTCAACTGGAAGATCTTTGCCAAAGTCAGACACATCGAGCCGACCGTCAAAGCTGCGGCGCCGTACCCGATCATGGACTGCCACGCCACCTCGCCGTAGTCGCCCAGGATAGCTCCGGCAATCGGCGTACCGACAAGGATAGCGATGCCCGCGATGAAGTTCATCATGCCCATGCGCGTCCCCACGCGGCTCAGATCCGGCGAGAGGCTGACAACGACTGTCGGCGAGATGCTCACCAAGCCGCCGGAGAAGAGGCCATATAGGATAGCGAAGACGATGAGACCCGCCATGTTGCGGATCCCCAGCCACGCGAACATGAGGACCGCCGAGCCCGCGGCGACGGCGATGTGCATGTACAGCGCACCGACCTTGTCTGCCAGATAGTTTGGTATCACACGGCCCGGGATGCTCCCGGCGCTGAGGAGAGTGACAAAGTAGGCCGAAAAATCCGACGGGCCAATATCATGGTTGACGGCGAAGAGTTGGATGTAAAAGTACGGCACATACATGGCTAGGAACCCGATGAAAGAACCTACCACGACGAGCATGAAGGCCGGGTCGCGCAAGGCCGTTTGGTCAATGAGCGAGCGCTTGTGGCCCGAGGGCGGGAGGCGAGTGTGCATCGTGACGGCAGGGATGATGGAGAGGCCCAGTAGGATGAAGGCGATGATGCGGGTGGACCAGCCGAAGCCGATCTTGGGCTCGAGGTGGCCGAAGAGGATCGGGAAGGTCATGCCCGCGATGGGTGACCCCGTCGCCGCAATGCCAATGACGAGTGCGCGTCGCTTGTCAAAGTACTGACTGAGGATCGCGGTGGAGGGGAGGAAGACCAGGCCGCAGCCGACACCGACGCACACGCCCTGCGCGAGGAGGACCTGCCAGTAGGCAGTGCAGAGGGACGTCATGAACATGCCCAAGAGGATTAGGAACATGCCGGCCCAGAGAAGCTCGCGGAAGTATCCGGCGTCGTAAAGGGGTCCGGAGATGGGCCCGACCATCATCAGGAGGGCACCCTGCAGGGAGCCGATCCAGGAGATTGCCGAGGGTGCGACGTCATTGAGAGTGCGCTCGTAGTAGGTCTGGTAGACGCCGAAGGCATTGACGAGGCCCCAGGTTTGCGCGAGGATGACCCAGGAGCCGAGGACCTGGAACCAGGCCTCGAGGCCGCCGTCGGGGACCGGGCCCGGAGCGGAGGGTTTTAACGGCCGCTGGGCGGTGTCGGTGGCGGCTCGACTTTCTGGGTCGACTGCGGCGGGGGTGAGGGATGTTTCGGAGGGCGTGCTTGAGCGGAAGCCCGGTACCGAGCCGGATTTCTCGCCCGCGAAGGAGATTCGGGCCGTCATGATGCAGGTTCGAGGGATTGTATGAATGAGGAGGCACTCAAGTTTATAGCCTTGCTGGCTATAAGGGACTCCCCGTCGTCGGTGGCAATATCTTTTTTTGTTGGCCTGGCAGATCTACCTCGTCCCGGCTACGTCAAGTACCAAGCTTCGATTGGCGTAACTAAAGGTCAGAAATTGCTGCGCAATGAATGAGAAGAATTAGACATTAAGTATTGTCCGTCGTAGAAATCCTGTAACGGAAACGAGGCGTCTCGTTTTTCTCAGGCAGCAGAACAGAGCAATCCAGAGGGATTTGAACCAGAAAAGAGCGGAATAGTTCCGGAAAGCCACCGAGAACGGCGACGGCTCAGGGTGTGGACGACCCTCTCGGATATAAAAACCAGGCGAGCACATCCGCGATGTACGGTGAAGGGGGGAGGCGGCTGAGAATGAATGACCCAAATCGCACCACCGGGGTCCACTCTTTCGCACCCCTACATCTTACATAGGTAGTAGATTGGAGGACACGAGCAAGAACACTGGGGGAGGTAAAGAGAGAAAAGTTCTTTCGCGGATTTGTCTGCTTATCACAGGGAGGGATCCGCCACCTAACCGGGCCCGGTTGGGCGGCATGTGGGCGGTTACGTAGGAGGGGATCCAATGATGTCTGATCTGCCAAGGGGTTTTGTTTGCATTTGGTTTTTGCTTGCGGGTGACGAGCAAAGCAGACGCGGCGAACGGGATCTACCGCAGTAGCGCATTGGGGAGGGTGAGAAGGACTTCAACAACACCTGGCGTATGAACGACGTCAACCGGGGGGGTGTCTCATGGCAGTGATGCTCACGATTCGCGCGGAGCTAGTCAGAACGCGTCAACACAGAAGCCACAACGGCCGGCAAAGGGCCTTTGATAGGGAGAGGGGGAAAGCCACAAGATGCGCAGATGGAGCAAGATTGCCGATGCCAACTCCCGCGCTGGAGTCGACTCCGCCGTTAGTGACTCCCACCGGGCCTACTGGGCCTGGAGTCTGATAATTTCGAGGGCAGAGTGGACCGATTCTGTGTCGTCGACAATGATAGCGGCCTGATTCTGAGCTGAGCTGACGAAAGGGGTGTCAGCGTACGTAGCGGTATTCGCCGAGGACGGAATCCACTCCGAGGTAAGACAGGCTGTTGGATGCGATGGGGAGTGAGATAAGGCGTTTGGGCAGTTTTCTTGATAGTCTCTTCTTGTTGACCCATGATAAGCACCGCCGACGCGTTGAGTCAGGAGTCATTTCGGAAAGAGAGTTAGGGAGTAAGAGAGAGAAAGAGGACAGAGAGCAAAGCTGGCAAGCCATCTCGAGTATTATTATTCGATGCCTAAGTTCAGCAAGGTGACTGTGGAATGAGGTCGGAAGATTGACAAGGGTGGCGGACCGTCGATCCCTAGAGTCAAACCATAGTTTAATTATCTTTGTGCCATTGTGTCGGTGTGCTGCGTAAGGTTGGGATACGTTTAGGATGAACTGCAACATTGGGTGTGGGTACGATCTGTGAAGGGGTCTTGTTGCAACTTCCAGATCGCCTTTTCATCAACCGGCAACTTGGCCGAGCGGTCTAAGGCGCCAGACTCAAGCGTAAGCTTCATCCGTCCCAGCGGATGAGTATTCTGGTCTCGAAAGAGGCGTGAGTTCGAATCTCACAGTTGTCAGTTTTTCTTTTGCTCACGGGTGCAATCGCCTTTCGTCTTCGTAGGGCATTCCGGCCAGGGAGTGTTTGCTGTACTACGCCACTGAAACAACAGTTTTGTGTCCCTGTTACGTAACTTGCGAGTGTGGAAGCCCCTCGCAACTCATTACTGTTCGACCAAACAAACCTTCCTCGTTCGTCTTATCTCGAGCTCAGACTCACAATTAGTTCCAGCTAGCCACGAAGACAGCCCGAAGGCATCCGAATGCTACATGCGAACGCGCGACATCGAGTCCATGGCCTCCTCGCCAAGCCTGGGCAGCCGATGATGTACATAGGTACTGAGAAGGGCCTGTACGGCCTACGGTCCCAAACACGGCCCTGTGCTCCGCCAACCTCAGACACGGAGTGTCGGATCTCTCCAGACCACCACTGCCACCATGCGACGCTGCCGCTCTACTGCGTAGGGATTAGCTGTTGCTGTTTCACATCGAACTCGTCCAGGCCGACGATGTCGCCCTCCTGTTTTCACTAGCCTAGGCGGCTCTCCGTAGTATGTAGCATACTCAACACGGTGTTCCTGTTTGCTTTTCATTTGTACATACTCACGTTTGGTTGTTTTATCGATCCGAAGCCTGGCTGGTTCCCATTTCGGCCCTTCTTCTTGTTTGCTTTATATGAAATCTCGTAGAGTCGGAGCAGAGACCCGTTGGTTTTTATAGCCAATCGCATCTTATATCACACATTCCGAGGCCAGGAGCCGACGCCATGAAGCCCGAAGCCATGCCATATTCCGACGTCCGCCGCGAGGCTGAAATCCACAATGATCCCTCCATGACCGACGTTAGCGTGTCGCTCCTCAGCGACGACGGCGAAGGCAAGCAGTGGAACAGGGCAGACCTCGAAGATGGGACACGGACGACGCAGCCGAGCCGATGCGCGAGGGCCCTTGGCTTCTTTCGTCGCTGGCGCGGGCTCGTCGATACCCTTATGCTGGTCATCATCCTCGGTCTGCTTCTCGAGCGGAGGGCGGGCCTGCAGCCAACAACACCCCGCGACAAACGTCTCGAACCCGTGGGCGACCTCACAGGGTTCGCACCAGAGTGTGAGTAACGTTCCCTCCTACCCCGGTTGACCGCGTGACAGGCTGACACGGCGCAGTCACTCAGCAAATCACCACGTTCCACCCGACGACGGACTTTGTCCCCGACGACCCGAAGAAGTTCTTCACCAACGCCTCGATCCAGGAGAACTGGCTCTCCATCGTGCCCAGGGGCCTGGGCTACGTCGTCATGAACGACACCAAGGCCCATGACAACCTGCCCGTCCCGCTGCCCGAGTTCACGCCGCGCACGGTCTTCACGACGTCCATGACGCATCAGCTGCACTGTCTCTACGCGATCCTCGAGAGCTACGCGGGGCTCGCCGTCAACGGCAGCGGCGCCGTCGACATGCACTCGCACCTCCCCGAGGGTGCCCAGGGCTCCGAGGAGCCGTGGCATCTGCAGCACTGCTTCGAGTACCTCCGACAGGTGAGTGATGGCGCCGGGGTTTCCCATCGATTTGGTTCCCATAAAGCTGACATATCTCCCCTCCCGTAGGCCATCATGTGCGCAGGCGATGTTGCGCTGGAGGGCATGCAGACGACGTTCCCTCCGGGTTGGACGGGTAGCGACGGTTGGGGCGCGAAGCACGTTTGCAAAGACTACAAGCAGGTCTACGATTACCTCGACAAGAACCGGGCGATGGATGATCACTGGATCTAAGCAAAGTGGGAGACGGTTGTAATTTGGCGCACGGCGTTTAGGAGGGGTATATATCCATTGCACAGCAGAGAATTGAGATTCGTTGGCAACATAAGACCAATAATACTGCCTACCCATGTGATGAAAGACTTCGCACAGAGCCGTATCATTAAGGGTTTACCTGAATCTCCCCAACGCTCTACGAGCGGAGGATTAAATAAAAGACCCTACAAATGTGGTTAGGAGCTTGCCGAAATTGACGAGAATCCAGGTCACTTGTGAAAACTGAGAAGACATGTCATGTAAACTAGCTCCCATGTCCCATGGACATTCTTCCTGTCCTCCCGGCCGGTGTAATCCCGCTTCCGCGATTCGCCCACGGTCGAGGTTGCCCCACTCCTCCACGAAAACACGTGCCCTCGCGGCGGCGCGAAACCGGACCCCTGTTCAAGAAAAAGTTTCGCTGAGTGAGGGAGATGGAAAAAAAAAGAGCCCCGTATCGGACAGACCATTGTGTCCCTAATGGATCCCGGCTCCCTTTTCTTGCGATCCCACCCATTCTTTCCATTTCCCTTGGACTTCGTTTCCGGTCCGCGAAACATTGGTCACGATGAGGGCTCCGAGGGCCGTCAGAGTGCCGAATGGCGGGATTTTCACCGGCGCAAAGCCCCAAGGCCGGCATGCGCGACACTTCGGCTTCGCCGCCAGCGTGAAGCCTTCGACAACCCCTTCGATGACAACGACTGCGACATGGAAGATCGGACAGACGGCTAGACGCACCTTTACGACGACGACCGCGGTCAGGTCCACCGCGGCCGCCGCCGAGGCCCTGAAGCTGGCTCAGGACAACGCCGCCACCCTCACCCCCGAGCTCGTCGCCGCCAAGATGAGCCCCGAGGAGGCGCACCGCCTGTCGCGTGTGCGCAACATCGGTATCGCTGCCCACATTGACAGCGGAAAGACGACAGCCACCGAGCGAGTGCTGTTCTACTCGGGCCGCATCAAGGCGATCCACGAGGTCCGCGGCAAGGACTCGGTCGGCGCCAAGATGGACTCGATGGAGCTCGAAAGAGAAAAGGGCATTACCATCCAGTCGGCGGCCACCTTTGCCGACTGGAAGAAGACGGAGAACGGAAAAGAGGAAACCTACCACATCAACATCATCGACACCCCCGGCCATATCGACTTCACCATCGAGGTTGAGCGAGCCCTGCGCGTCCTCGACGGCGCCGTCATGATCCTGTGCGCCGTCTCCGGCGTCCAGAGTCAGACCATCACCGTCGACCGTCAGATGAAGCGCTACAACGTCCCCCGCATCAGCTTTGTGAACAAGATGGACCGCATGGGTGCCAACCCCTGGAAGGCCGTCGAGCAGATCAACAAGAAGCTCAAGATTCCCGCCGCCGCCATCCAGGTCCCCATCGGGGCCGAGAACGAGTTCGAGGGCGTCATCGACCTGATTGAGAAGAAGGCCTACTACTTCGAGGGCCCCCGCGGCACCGTCGTCAAGACAACCGACGTCCTCCCGGGCGGCTACCACGACCTCGTCGAGGAGAAGCGCCAGGAGCTCATCGAGAAGCTCGCCGACGTCGACGACGAGATGGCCGAGCTGTTCCTCGACGAGCAGGCCCCGACCAATGCCCAGATCAAGGCCGCCATCCGCCGCTCCACCATCGCCCTCAAGTTCTCCCCCGTCATGATGGGCTCCGCCCTCGCCGACAAGGGCATCCAGCCCGTGCTCGACGCCGTCTGCGACTACCTCCCGAACCCGGGCGAGGTCGAGAACAAGGCGCTCGACAAGAAGCGCGACGAGGCCACCGTCAAGCTGGTGCCCTACAACTCGCTCCCCTTCGTCGGCCTCGCCTTCAAGCTCGAAGAGAACAACTACGGCCAGCTCACCTACATCCGCGTCTACCAGGGCAAGCTCCGCAAGGGCACCTACCTCTTCAACTCCCGCACCGACAAGAAGGTCCGCATCCCCCGCATCGTGCGCATGCACTCCAACGAGATGGAGGACGTCAACGAGGTCGGCGCCGGCGAGATCTGCGCCGTCTTCGGCGTCGACTGCGCCTCGGGCGACACCTTCACCGACGGCAACCTGCCCTACACCATGTCCTCCATGTTCGTCCCCGACGCCGTCATGTCGCTGTCCATCAAGCCCAAGCGCACCAGCGACGCCGACAACTTCTCCAAGGCCATGAACCGCTTCCAGCGCGAGGACCCGACCTTCCGCCTGCACGTCGACGGGGAGTCCGAGGAGACCATCATCTCGGGCATGGGCGAGCTCCACCTCGAGATCTACGTCGAGCGCCTCCGCCGCGAGTACAAGGTCGACTGCGAGACCGGCAAGCCCCGCGTCGCCTACCGCGAGACCATCTCCCACAAGACCCCGTACGACTTCCTCCTCAAGCGCCAGAGCGGTGGCCCCGGCGACTACGCCCGCGTCGCCGGCTGGATCGAGCCTTACGAGGACCCGGAGAAGAACCACTTCGAGACCCAGGTCGTCGGCGGCACCATCCCCGACAAGTGGTTGACCGCCTGCGCCAAGGGCTTCGAAGAGGTCACCAACAAGGGCCCGCTCCTCGGCCACAAGGTCATCGGCACCAAGATGGTCGTCAACGACGGCTCCACCCACGTCACCGACTCGTCCGACTTCGCCTTCAACCTGGCCACCCAGATGGCCTTCCGCAAGGCCTTCAACGAGGCCGGCGGCCAGGTCCTCGAGCCCCTCATGAAGACCACCATCACGGCTCCCAACGAGTTCCAGGGCAACATCATCATGCTCATGAACAAGCGCAACGCCACCATCAACGACACCGAGGTCGGCGTCGAGGACTTCACCCTCCTCTGCGACTGCAGTCTCAACGCCATGTTCGGCTTCAGCTCCCAGCTCCGCGCCGCCACCCAGGGCAAGGGCGAGTTCAACATGGAGTTCAGCCACTACGCCCCGGCCCCCCCTCACCTCCAGTACGTCTCGTCCCCTAACCCCCTTTTTTTTCGCCATGTGTTTCCCTTGTCCTCGTTGCTAACAACCCCTACAGAAAGGAGCTCTGCGCCGCCTACGAGAAGGAGCTGGATGCCAAGCGCACCAAATAAACCACGAAAGCCAGTCCCCCTTGTATAAGGGGGGGTGGAGGGAGCCGAAAGAAGAAGAAACAAAAAAAAACACAGGTCTTCTCTTCGCACGCCAAAAACCGTGGCACAAACTATGGCACCGAGTGTCGTGTATCAACACCGAACCCGCCCCGTCCGAGGCGAGACGGGCCGTGGTCGTACGCCGCCTACCTGGGCAGGCGTATTACTGTACATGTATATCTAATGTCATGTCTGGATTTGCTTTATAGTAGCCGGGACGTGGGAAGAAACATCACCTTCCGGGCCACCTTGTACGACAACGGGTCAAGGGTTTATAGGGAAGCATGCAATTCATGATAGAAAAACTAGACTTTTGAACAAGAATACAAACCTCGTCTTCTCTCTCCACCTGTTGTTGTTCTTCTTCTTTTTTGCACTCTGCGTTCCCTCGGGTGGTTGTCTATGCTAGTCCAGAGTGCTCAGGATCCTACCAGCGCTTCGGTTCGGCTTCCGTTCAGCCTTGCTTTTGATGACTTTTGCTTCCCCCCCCCCCCCCCTGCACGACCCGACGGGTCAGCTTCCTTGACGGCTGCGTAGAGCGGCTCCTCTGAACCCTTGGCCGCGACCGAGCTGGATCTCTCGGCGGTATGCCAGTAATACGGCGAATCCGGGCGCGCGGGAGCAGTCAAAAGCGCGTCTGTTCGTCCACCCCACCCTATTTGTCAGTGCCGTCTTCCTATCGCTTACAGTCTCTGCCCCCCCCCCCCCCCCACGTCCGTCCGCACTTACAGGCCACGCCAGGAAGCCATCCCGACAGAGTCAGCGCCACCGTAAGCCAGACCCTCGCATTCAGGTCGCGGTCTACGCGGTAGACGGCCACGGGCGGGCAAACAACGGCGACGAGGATGCCCCTGGGACAGCGTCGCGGGGTGGGGCGTCCCGGTCGTCGGGGTAGGCTGATTTCGAAGCGGACCAGGCTGTCGGACCCGGAGGCGGTGGATTTTCCCGAGGAAGGGAGCCCGCCGCGGAGGAGGCGGGTTAGACTGGATTGGGTGTCGGACCAGAGGGTCCGGAGGCTTAGGGTCTTGCTTGCATAACTTGGTGAAGAGGGTATTTCTGTAGAGGAGGGCGAATTGGTCACTGTAGTAGGGGGCATTGGGTGAGGGATTGCGCTAGGATATCATATACGGGATAGTAGGTCTCGATGAAAAGGATACACTGCCGGCGATGCTATAAAATGGGGGGCCGTCTGTTTGGACTCTGCCGTCGAACATGCAAGGCATGTATGTAATGTACCTATCATCGTTGTGCGGGAAGGCGCTGTTTCTCATTATGGTTGAGTTGAGCACGGCAAAAGGCAAGTGCGGGTAGGTCAGAAACATGTGCTTTTCACAGTACCTATGGTAGTAGGTATTATTACACAGCATGTAGCAGCACTAGTGCTCTGCGCCATTGGGTCAAGTCACGATTGTACTGGGTTGCGCAGCATAGTCAGAGACGTGCTCGCGGTAGACACGATTCGTTCTCGCGTCGTCGAACCGTGGTTCTTTGGTTTTGGGCAAAGGGGGAGGGGGAGGGAGAGAGGTCTTCGCTCTCGACGCGCGTGGTCAGCCCTGAAATGACTTGGAGCCACGTCGTCGTGTTTCCCCTTGAATGGCTGGCAGCATTGACCGGGTGGGCGAGACATAATTCTTCATAACAGTGGGTGACGGGGTTAATTGCAGTATGGACCCTGAGAGGGATATTATGGACAAGGCTCTGAGGAACTGACTGCTGCTGCCGGTTCGCCGCCCAAGAAGAGCCCGACGAGGGGGATTGGTCTCCCCACATTCTACAGTAGAGCGAGTATACTCCGTAGTCCGTACTCCGTAGACGGTAGGTAGTATTATTGTTGATGGGTGGTAGAGAAAAAAAGGAAAAAAAAGAAAAACGGGTTTGAGGGTCCTTTTCCCTTGCCGATTGGCTCTTGGGGAAGAACTTCCAGAAAGACGGGAGCTTCCTCGGCGCCCCCCCACCCCCCTTGGCCCCCGTTGGTTGTTTGATAGGTAGTGGTGAGGTGGAAGAGGAGAAGGGGAAGGGGGCGGCGTGTTCCGGATACACACACGACCAGACCATTTTGAAGCTTGAGAAATTGACGAGGTGGAGGCAGGACTTTCAGTTGCTAGAGCAGCAGAAGTTCCATAAGCAGCCATAAGACAGTCACCCAAGTAAACAAAGCTGTTAAAATAATAAAAGTAAAATTTAATGCCGCGCTCTCTCTTCTTTGATCCGAATAATGCATTATGTTTCTGGATAAGGCCCTAAGCTAGCTCTTTAGCCCAAAGGGGCCAGCCATTGTAAGCGGCAAAAGGCGGTAAGGTACGGACGGAGTACTCCTTACACCACCTCGATGCACAAATACGGATAAGTACTTGCAGAAGTGGTCTTAAACATGAGGCCGTGCATAAGGTACCTACCTACTAGGTAGGTAGGTACTCCGTACTCGGTAGGTATCTGACGTATGTGGGTAGCTTCCACTTTTTTCTTCTTCTTTCGGTAGCTGCTAGCTAGCATTTGCTACGATCGTGGGGGAGTGGAAAGAGGAAGGGGAAAGAAAAAAAAAATTGTTCATGTAAATTTGATGACCGTTGCAAAGGAGACAAAGAAAAGAGGACATGACACAAATCCACATCAGCCACGGCGTAACGGGGCAACTGACGACGGTCAAAAGGTCTGGATCGTCCGTCGTCGCGCCTCGGTCAGCTAGCACGTTCCGACGTCCTCTCGCTGGCTATCTTTCCCGTCTTTCTTCAACCCGGCCATGTCATGCCCCGAGCACTCACTCACTGGCAGAGCTGCTAAGCTGAGGTATGTACGGAGTACTACTGGTACTATCCAAGGCCATCACGAGCGGGCGTTGTCTTTTTTCCCTCCCTTGGCTTTTGGGGTTTAGGAGCTGGGGGGGGGGGCTTGGGGACCAGTCATTAATTAGCCCCGGCCTTGTCTCTAGATTGACAAGGCAGAGAGAGTGAGAGAGAGTGTGTGTGAGAGAGAAAAGGAAGCCGGGAAAAGGGGTAATGAGATGCCGGGGACCTATCACTACCCACCCAAAATGGACGAGCACAGAGTCACTCGTCCAGACTGCACCAATCCACGTCATGTCGCGTCACGTCAGAGCCAGTCGAGACAATAGAGAGGGCAACAAAGGCCAAACGGCGGCCCGTCAATGAACGAGCTTCTTGGAGAATCATTTGAGGAAATCAAACGACAACCCTTGGCCAATCAATGCAACTTCCACTTGGGGGCACCTCTATTAGTGCCACTTACACAAGCTTTGCTACACTAGGTCGGTAGGTAAGTAGTGTACAGGCACTATGGTAGGTAGGTGGGTGGAATGTGTACGCTAGATGCATAAGGATACAGGTACGGATATATCCGTAACTATCTCTCACCTTCCCCTTCCCCCCCCCCCACTCGGTGGGTACCCAGCATATGGGACCACGCGGAGAGAGGTACTTACTTGTACGTTGGGACGCGACGGAAGGAGCTGTCACACGCTCGATACGAAGTACGGTGTATCCGTACACTTCCGCAGCATTGAGCTGGTGTCAGGACGGTTTGCTAGCTAGCGTGATTACATAGTTTACATAAAGTATCCGTAAACCGCCCCAACACCAAGTAAATCTTGGCATCGGCACTACTGTACGTACCTAGGTAGGTAGGTAGGTAGGTAGGTAGGTAGGCGGCACTACGCCGTGGCAGCACGAGCATGTGCATCCATCCATGGGAACCCCTGAATTGCTAGCACACACCCACCCCTCATCGACGGTCCAAGGTTCACATCACCACCAGTCGGACTGAACAAGACGCCGTCGCCCTATGAAGAGGGGGGAAGGGGAAGAAGGAAAGGAAGGGAAAGGGGAGGGGAAGGGGAAAGGGAAAAGACGGGATCGAGCCTCGAAACGGGCAAACAGTGGCCTCTCGTGCGCGTGGCGTGCTGCTAGGCATTCCCTCATCCATCTCCTCCTGATCGATCCAGTCCCTCGAATTGTGAATATGATTATGGGGGTGTCCCGTAATTTAAATGCCAGCCCTGAAGCGCAGCAACCTCACTTCCCCTTCCCGAACCACCTACCGCCCTGTGCCCCGATGGCCTACCTTTTGACTCTTCTCCCCCTCCACCTCTTCCTCTGCTAAAGTCCGAGGATACACGTTTGGCTTTCCAATCGCCTTGTCTCGACTGTCTGTTACATTGCAACTTCTCCCCCCTTTGCGACTGCTGGCCCAACCCACAAACAAACCACCGACGATCGCGACCACCGAGGCCTGGGAGACGAACGAGACTTTGGCTGAGACACCCAAACAATAACACGTACTCATCCAGACACCCTCGCTTTCTTTCCCCTTCTCTCTCTCTCTCTCCCTCTTACTCACTCATCCGACATATCTTGCCCATTGTACACAGACAGGCCTGTGCTGCAGCTACAGCCTCTCTACTCTGCTCTGCTCTACTCTGCTCAGTTCAAACCTCGCTGCCATCGATCATGCATCCCCAGCTGTCATAGCAACTCGCTATTCCTCCCATCCAAGCCTCGCTCGCCTAAACGTTAATCCACCATCGCTACTACCACTACCACCACCACCGACTGTTCAAGCCTCTCTGTCTCGCTCAAGTGACACCGCTGGCGATACTCCTGCCCGGTTGCCTCGAAATCCCTCCGTCCAAGCAAGCGTCTGGTTCGCGACTCCGTGTTTGCCCTCCGACCCGGCCCGGAAGACATAGCGGCAGACCCGGCATGCGCTTTCCTTTCGGAAACACGTCAACTCCGAATCCACTGTCGTAGCCGACCCATCGCACCATCTGCGCGCACGCGTTTCGCCCTTTCTTTCCTCAACATCGGTGTCGTTCCAACCCAGTTCGCTCCGTCGCAACTCCCAATCTTTCTCACTGCATCGCATCCCCTGCCGCTCTTCCTCCCACCATTCCAGCCCACAACCAGTCGCTGTCGAGCGACCCCAACACCGCAGCCATGTCGGCCGTCAAGAACCTCCGTGCCATGTTCGAGCAGAAGGCTGACACGAGCCCCCCGGATCGCGGAAGGTCTCCTGGCCTCTCCAGTAAGTTCTCCAACCTGCCTAGTTCACGGGTGCAGCTACACTTCACGACGTCTACCCGAAAACGTTCCTCCGCCGCAAAGTTGCTGCCTTGTCCATCCATTCTATAAACGCTACGTGTCCGCCGTCTGGAGCTTGACTAACTCGCACTTTCCCTGCAGGCGGCACCGAGACCCCTCCCCCCGCCCGTCCCCTCTCCAAGATCCGAACCAGCTTCGTTGCCATCGAGAAGGACGGAAGAATGGGTCTTCGCCGAGACCCCAGCAACGATTCGAACGGTAGCTTGTCCCAGCGGCGGCTAAGCAGCCACACAGAGGGCGAGGCGTCTGTGTCTGGCCTGTCGGATAAGACCATGGCCACCGAGGACACCTCTGTCGGCTACAAGACCAACATTGTTGGCAGCCCCATTCCCGAATCCCCTCGCCGTCCCGACGCAGACAAGCCCACAAACGGGGCTTCACCTCCAAACCTCGGGGCCCTGACCGACCACCCGAGCCACAACCCCGACAAGCACGTTGATCTGGAGACCCCTACGCCAGAGCTTCTGCCTGGCGACCCGACACAAATCCCTCCCCAAACCACCACCGCCGCCAATGGCGCGGCCCCGGCAAAGGCCCCCAAGGCTGGAGCCCCCAAGACTGGAACCCCCAAGACTGAACCCCCCAAGGGCTCTACAAAGCCTCCCAAGAAGATCCCTGCCCAATTGGCACCTCCCGCTACTATCACGAGAGCAAAGACACCTACAAGGTCTCCGATCACTGCAAAGACGCCCACCACAGGTGCTGCAGCCTCCAAGCTGAGTGCTCCTAAGCCTCAGCACGAGAGTGCCAAGAAGACATCCGAAAAGACGGTCACTAGCACGGCAACGGCCGCAGCCACAGTCACACCAAAAACTGGTGCAAAGCCCGCTGGATCCAACAAGAAACCCACCCCTGTTCACGTTTCTCCCGGCAGCGGCACAGGCTTTGTCAAGCCCAAGGTCAAGTCACCCACAAAGCCCGTTAAGCTGCCTGCCTCTCTGATGGCTCCAACGGCTGCGTCTGTCTCCAAGGTCAGAGAGACTCCCCGTGAGACCCTTTCACGCGCTTCTGGCAACCAGGGCCGCCCCGCTAGCAGAGCCAGCACGGCTGGTGCTGGGGCCCCGCCCAGGACCTTGAGGCGCCAGAACTCGGTCATCAACCGCCCCAGACCCAGCATTGGCCCGCCCCCCAAGAAGCCCCTTCAGGACCACCCCATCACCAAGAAGGAAAAGGAGATCGATGAGAGCTTCTTGGCACGCATGATGCGCCCCACAGCAAGCTCCAGCTCCAAGCTGACGGAGAAGGCCCCCGTCACTCCTCCCAGGAGCCGGAGTGCGAGACCCAGCAGTGCCAAGAAGTCCTCAGCTTCAAGGAGCCCCAAGAGAGCCCTTTCCAGACCCTCGGCATCTCGTACGGGAAGCCCCTTCATGAGGAGGGAGGCTCCGATCAAGCAAGTTGCGCCCGAAACCGCCGAGGTTGAGACGGCGGAGGCAGCTGCTGAGCTCGCCGGACAAGCCGAGGCCCCTAGAACCCCCGAGGCTAAGGCTCCCGCCACGCCGGAACCAATCGTTGAGGAAGAGGAGGCTGAGGCCGCGGCACCCAAGTCCGAGGCCGTCGTCGAACAGCACACCGAGGAGCTGGATTCCGACGCCCTTGCCCAGCAGACTGCCGAGCTCTCGCTTCAAGAAGGCGAGGCCGAGGAGCACGAGCTAAAGACACCCGATGAATTCGAAGAGCTGCTAGCGGATGAAAAGGAGGACAAGGGGGAGGCGGCTCCCGCCCCCGGTGACACGACCACTGAGGTCAAGACCGAGACCGCATGAGGAAGTCAAAGAGTCGCGGAGGCGATTTTATAGTTTTTAGAACCATTGGGGTGTATCATGATACCTGTCCGACAAAAGGCGTAAATTATTTCGTTGCAGAGAGTTTTTAGGGTTCCGGAGTGCGGAAAAGCCGGGTCCACAAGGCCCAAGATTAGTTATAGAGAATGATTACCACTTGTAGCAGGAATCACCAATGGCCAGACCACTGTAGCAAAGATGGGGAAATGGTCAGCTTGCGTCTGACTTTCGCTCTGTAATAGTGATTTCGATCGCCGCCATGTATAACCTGCCAGATGGGTTGCCGGGGTAGCATAGGGGCCAAGACGGTATCGCCACGAGCACCAGGCAATAAAGAAGCTCATAATGGTGTCTTCATGTCTTCTTTAGAATACAAATTTTGTACAGTATATGGAGGACGATAATCCTACAGGGCTTCCGCCGGATGGCTTCGAGGCACTGCCCTATGGTGCCTTTCTCTTTTTTTGAGACCCAAATACTCCTTTTTCGAGCCTCCTTCCCCTCCAACATCCCCTGCGTGGCCATGATAATCGTTTTCGACTCAAATGATTCCATTCCCCCGAGTTAAGGGGGGGGGGGGGAGAGGGTGGAGGAGGTTCTTCGTCATCTTCCTTTTTTTTCTTCTTTTTTTTTCCCGTTTTATAATATGACTTATCTCGCACGGCACAAGACCATGCCGCCGACTTTCCTGGCCAGGGCCTCCCTCGCCTCCAAGACGCCCCTGTCGGTGGAGATGAAGAGGCACTCGCCGAGGCCGAGGCCCTTGATCAGACCGTTCTTGCTGTTGAAGCCGCGGACGACGAGCTCGAGGTCCTCAATGTGGACGCGGATGGGTCGCGTGGGCTTGGTGATCATGCTCAGGCCCTTGAGGACGGGCTCGTTATTCCAGTACTTGAGGCCGAGCCAGAGGCGGCGCGTGGCGACGTTGGCGGAGGTGACGGGCTCCGGGTTCTTGCCCATCTCTTCCGGGGCCGGGGGCGTGGGGCCGCCGCGGTACAGGGAGGAGATGAAGCCGGAGCGGTGGAGGGCGAGGGCGAGGTTGAGGTTCTGCTTGGTGTTCATGACCGAGGTCATGCCGAGGCGTGCGCGGGAGGCGTTTTGGAGGTGGGAGCACATGTTGATTACGTTTGTGAGGCCTCCCATTGTGGTTTCGGGTTGAGCCGGCGGCTCAGGGATCACTTGATGGTGATTTTGGGGTTTTGAGTGTCGTGGAAAGGGGGAGAAGAGAGGTTTGTGAGGTTGCGAGGCGGGTGTGGAGGTCGGTCGCGGGTCTCTTGAGGACAGTTAGCGTGTGAATTTCCCGAGCAACTGGCGGGCTGTACATACCAAAAGGGACGTCAGCCGGAAACCAAGATGATTGCCTCTCCGTCAGGGCTTCGGAAAAGAGTGTGCTGCGCGTCGACTGGACTGAGGGGGGGGGGGGGGGGGGGGCTCCGGGGGTTGCACGCGAGGAATGATCCGTCACCTAACAATCGCGATAGGGAAGCTATCGCCAAATTTTTGGAACACACCGACGACGTCGAATGATGACTAAGGCATGCTCCAAGCCGGGTCCGTGCGTCCACGGCCCCCTTTGGGTGGCCCACTCCACCAGTCTTGTCACTGGCGGCTCCTCTGGCCCCGGCCGGCACCCGTGATTGGCTCGTACCGACGTCCTGTAAGCGCCGGTTCGACCACTCGATGCGGCCAGAAACCTGCAGCTTACCACCCCATGCAACCTCGCAGCACGCATGCACGACCGGCACGCACGCTGGAGCTTGAGGAATGGCGGGACGGGATTGGGCTGGACATGGAGGGGTTCCCCGCGGGCGGCGCGAGGCCGCTGGACCTAGTGGTCTTTCCGGGTTTTTGTCTCTGGCATTGCGGTCTGAGTTGCCGAGTGGTTCCAAAGATAAAGGGCAAGACGGGAGGGCAGCGTAAGCGAGCGAGCGAGAGAGAGAAAAGCATCTGTCCTGTGCGTGTGTGTGTGTGTGTGTGTGTGTGTGTGTGAGAGAGAGAGAGAGAGAGGGAGGGAGAGAAGGAGAGAAGGAGACCTCGGAAAGCTCTTGTGACTCCTTTTCTTTCCTCTTCCCGAGGACCTGATATTCAGACCTACTTGGAAACCATCAACCCACACAACCTACACCGAAACACCACTTTGTCCGAAACTCTTGTCCTTCCTCATCCAGTCGCCCTTCTCGCGCGACGACTGCTGCGCAATTTGCCTGCTGCCGCCCTTGGCTACAGACCGAGGCGGGGTAATCCCACAGCTTACGCCTCTCCTGCGCCTCCGAGATCTGATCATTGCTGCTCTCTGACTGCGGTCGTCCGGGGGTTGGTGGCCTACTGCCCTTGGGGAAAGGCTATTCTTGGTGCTATTCTTGGTGCTGTTTTACTCTCGGCGATTCGGGGCCCAAGATGGCGACCCAGCCGGGCGAGGAGAATGTTGCTACTCTGTGAGTTTTTATTCATGCCCCGTCCGTTCTCGCCCAGCAAGCCGCCTTGTTCGTGCTCTTCGTCAACGACCAACTACCGTTTGCTCGAGATCAAACCGGTTTTCGGTCCCGAACGGAATAAGTGTAAGAAAGATGGCTGACTGGCCCGTCGCGCTTAACAGCTTCGGAGACGTTCACTATTTCTACGGCCCGCCGACCAGCAACCCGCCACACCACCGCTTCGACAAGGGCTCCTACATCTACCTGTTCGAGAACGCAAACGACCGCCGCGCGCGCATTGAGATTGCAAACCAACCCGGTACCGAGGACCAAGATGCCTTTGACGGATGTTGGTGATCCCCCTGCCCCTCAGCCTTTCGCTGAAGCCTCTCCCCTCAGGGGTACAGCTTGACGACGACGATGCGGGGCAACGGCTGACAATGACCTGACAGTCTTGGACAAGACGCATGTCCGGTACTCGTACAACCACCAGTGCATGGTGACTCTCACAGTCGGCGAGACGACGAGCCAGATGGAATGGCACCTCCCGACTTACGACCCCCAGAACCAGAACAAGTACCACTACAAACTCCATTCACTCGACATCTACTTCTGGAAGGCCGAGGACGCGCTGCAGTTCGTCAACGGGATCCGCTTCGTCCTCCCGCCGTCGCAGGTCGAGATCCTCGACGAGCCTCAACACCAGCAACAGCATCATCATCTCCAGGCCCGCCAGCCCGCCCCCATGAGCTCTGTCGTGCAGCAGCTCGAGCACATCGCCATATCAGACCCCACCTACGGGACGCCCGGCGCCGCCTCCCATACCGCGCCGCCGAGCTTTCCGGGACCTCCTCCGACGTCGGCTGTGCCGGCTCCCGAGCAGCAACAGCAGCAGCCCGCAAGCTTTGTGCCAATGGCATACAACCCAGCCGCCCCTGCCGCTCCAGAGGCCATCCGCCACAGGGAAAAGACACCGCCCCCGGACGACGGCGTCATCGACCCCCTGGCCGCGGCCGTCGCTTACGACGCACAGGCCCCGTTCTCGCCGGGCTTCGTTCCACCTCCCGCCTTCCAGAGCGCGCAGGGCGTCGGCATCGCCGGCGCGGGCCTGCCTCCCCCGCCTCCACCACCGCAGCAGCAGCATTTTGGCGCATCACCCACCCACCCGGTGCTCCAGCGCGCGGCGACGATGCCCGCGCACGCCGTACACAACGGCCTCGCTTCCCCAGGGCTGACGAGCCCCTACGGAAGTCCGTTCCCTGCGTCCCCGGGCTTCCAACCGCCGCCGCCGCCGCCGCCTGCCCAACAACAACAGCAGCAGCAGCAGCAGCAGCAGCGGACCACCCCACCTGTACAGCAAACGTTCCAACACGCACCTCCGCCGCCCTCGTCGTCACAAGCCACGCCTTCCATCGTGAGCCCCGGCCCGACTGCGGCACCTGCTGCTCCTGCAACGGCTGCGGTGCCATCCGTCGCCTCGCCGGTCGGCTTCTCGCAGTACTCGTACGCCGGCAGCAGCGGCACGGCCACGCCTCAGCATCAGCCGCGCGCGTTCGACTACTCGATCCACGCGCAGGCGTATCAGCCGACGGAGGCGGAGACCAGCAAGTACAAGGGCTACATGGGTAAGCAGGAACCGTCAGGTAAAGTGGAGCAGAACATGGGCCGGCTGGAAAAGGGCGTCACGGGGATGTTGAGGAAGTTTGAGAAGAAGTTTGGTTGATTCGGGGCTTATTGTTCAGTCAGCGAGGGGCGGGGGCGGTGGTAATGGAAAGTCTATCGTGAAGTATGTAATATGCATGGCAGTAGCAGATGTGCTTCGCTAGGCAGGGCCTGTATGCAAGAAAGACGTTTGAACCTGGCCAGCCGCCGCTGGATGAATGTGTCTCGGAGGAGGTTGCGTATCGACATATTGTCTCTTAAACTCCAAGAGAAAAAGCTACATGGGATCTGAATTGCACCTTCTCCCTGTTCTTTGCAAATCCTCCGACTATACAGGACTGGCTCGGGCCTATGGTCTCGTATCGTGTGTGTGTGTGTGTGTCTGTGTGCGTAGAGCTTCTGCCGGCGACGACTTTCACTTCGGCCAGCCAGCCGATCCACCAGCGAACAACTCCTCCATTATACAACTTCAACGGTCAAAAGGCACGTACGTGGCTTGCAACAGGTTTTCAGACAAGAAAACCCCCTATCCCCACGCCTAACCAGACTAGATGAGTTTGCCCACGGGCACTTCGCCGTCAACACGCAATTCGACCCCTTTTCTGTCAGCCGCCGCCGCCGCCGTCCTCCGGGACCTCCGCATCGCCCCGATCCGCAGACCGATCAGCACTGCCGCCGTTGGCAAATGTTCCAAGCCGTCAGCACAGCATCGCAGCACAAAATGCATTCACCATCCTCGTGTACACGTACCAGGCCTCGATGGCCTGCACCACCGCGTCCACAACGTCTGCAAAGTACGCAAGGTCGCCCTGGCTTTCAATATCCTCTGGGTGTTTATCGTACACTGGCGTCTGCTCATGATCCAAGATCCTCTAGCAGGCCCTTGGGCCAGCCTGATCTTTGGCCAGAAGCTCTAGGCTAAAGATCGCCACGAGGCATGAAAGCTGGTTCTCACAGAGTCTCGATATGCCGTAGGAGGGACACAATGATCCCTTGGCTGGGGGTGGGCTCGGGTTCCAGACTGTCGCCTTTGAAGTCATGATGAGCGAGGTCAAGATGTTCGTGCTTCTTATGCCGGGAAGGATGATGATTTATTATTTGTATTGTTATGTCAGTAGTGCTGGCTGGAATCAACGAACATATATCCAACTCGACTGAACTTTCGGGACATGCCCTGTCGTTTTTAACGAGAAAATATGGCTCGTCATCGGGTGCTCGTGGCGGTTTGACTATGTGAAATCGCACGCCACCCTTGCCCCAAGTGTTCATGATAAAGCGACTCAAAAAGAAGAAGAAAAAAAGAAAGCGTTTACGCGTGACCACTCTCGCGCGTCATTCGCCGCTGAGAATCAGCTAGGCGGTCCACCGGTTCTCCTCACGAAGCGCGGTCCGCTCTCGTCCATCTGGAGCCGGAGCCGCAGTTCCTTCGCCGCATCCTTCAACTCCGCGTCTCCCATGTTCTGCCAGTCCTTTAGATGCTCGCGGCTGTCCGGGTCCAGCCGCAGGAGCAGCGTGGCAAGCGGACTGGTACGCCACGCCTTGATGTTCGCCCGGCGGGTCTTGATTACGACGCCGATGAACAACACCAGCCCGAGCGCCCAGACGGCAATGGGCGCAGAGACGTATTGCCATTGGGCCTTGCACATCTGCTGAGGTGCCCTCGTTGTGCCGTTGAGGCGACTCGGGGAATCGGCGATCTGCCATGTCTGGAGCCTGAAGGCGTTGGTGAGTCCTGCGGCCGTCTTGTTCATACCACATACAACCCCGGTCTGCTTGGCCGTTGTTCCACTGCCATCACAGTACGGGGGTGTCCAAGTTCTGTTGACTGTATGGGAATAGATAGTGCGAGCTGTGCCCCCCGAGGGAAGGTAGGATTTCGGATCTGTGTCAGTAGGGTCGGTGTAAACGTACCCACTGAGCGTTTCCTCAAGGTATTTTTTCAAAGCATTGTATGCAGCCATATCCATGTAGGGCGTGCCATCATATGGCTGATCTCCGATGTTTTTGTTGACGCTGGGGTCGTCAAAAGTGATACTAACCCAGCCTCCCGAAGGATCTGTGTAGTACTTGTCCCACTGCTCGGTGATGTTGATAGACGGCACGACTCCATTGTTGGACCGCAATAAATCTCCGCTGCTATCATCTCCCTCGCGGTGGATCACGAGGTTCTGTCGCTGGACGCAAGGGATAAGCGCGCATTCATGAGCAGAAAGCGGTGAGTCGTTTGTGATCATGAAGGGCTCCGATAGTGTGGAGCCCTCAGAGGGATACCCCGCGATGGATTGAACCAAGGCTAAGGGTGATGAGTAGTTGGAAGCAAGGGGAGACATCGTGGTGTTCATCAGCATGACGACTCTGTGGGGATTGGTCGCGCCAGTACTGTTGAGAGAAAGGCCATTGGGCAATGCCACATTGCACCCTCCGCTTTCAATCTCATTGGGGCCGTCTTGACTGGTGACCACCGGGGTACAGGTGCGTGTAAGAAGATGGCTGATATCTGTGCAGCGGCTGCAGGCTGCGATGGTGTAATAAGGATTCCAGTAACAGTCGCCTGTCTTGCACCTGAGCGCAGGAACGGCCCAATCGACGGATGCGTCTTCCAATGCCTCAACAATCTTATACTTGAAAGAACTTTCGGTTATTTCAACTGACTGTCCTTCAACCCCGTAAGTCAGTACATTGCATGGGAGACCAAGTCGTGCAGAGTTAACGTACCTGTGCCTGCATAGGCCCATGCATAGGAGAGGATGGCGTCGTGGCCTGCATTCTTATACTGTATGCTGAATGTAAGGAGGTTCTGTACGAAAGGGCCATATGCTAGAGCTAGCAGTGACGCCAGTCCTCCCAATACTGCTAAATGCCTGTAATGATGATTGTCAGATATGAACGAACAAGCAAGGGGGTTCGTCTTATGGTAAACTTACTTGAACCTGAGTTTCCAAATAAGCATGGCGCTGCCGAACTTTCCACGGGAAGCAGAATCGAAAACCTCGAGGTCGGCTAGTTTGCGATCCTGTTCCATGAACCACAGGTACTTCAATTGACCCAGGCTCTTCGTTACGGGGATCATGGCACATGTAGAGCCTAGAACCGAGAGCATGGAAAGCAGAGAGTTGATCGTCAGTCTGAAGGTTTCTTTTCTGTACGGGACCTTGGCTTCCCACTTTGGGACTTGGTTCCCGTCAAAGCGGAAGACAACCATGCAGATGGCGATGATTGCGAGGCCTGAAATCAGGATACCGAAGACCTCCCAGACGTAGTACCACTCCTCGAACAAAGAAGTGGCTCGCTCGAACAAGGACTTGTTCTCGTTCAGCTCTTGTCCGCGGGTAGACGATGTCGGAGACGACTCATCGACAGGTCGTTCGGTGACAGGAACCTCGGTCTTTTGGGAATCCATTGTGAACAAACGGCTTTTGATAAGAATCAATTGTTAGAAACTGATAAATGGGGAAAGCAGCAAATCAAGGCTGAACGAGACACACAGAACCATCGAATTTGAGAAGTCCTGTTTGTGACCTCAAATATATTTATGATTGTGCAACGAGGCAAAGATGTTAGACTCAGCAGAGTGACCAAATCGCTTAGCCGTGGCAAGCCTTTGTCCATGCGATTGTGCTCGGGGCATAGTAGATCGGTGTAGGCTGGATCCTTCCTTTGACCAGGCGGGATCTGGGCTTTGCTAGTTCTCGGGGAACGAGCAGTTTAGCCGCATGTTGGACCAAACTCAATCCGGTATCTTGGGTCGGGCAGGCCTCTGCCACGATTTGGCTTAAGCCACGAACGAGCTTTGGCGATGCTAGATCGACTAGAAGATTAATGGCTCGGTACGTAGTTTGGAGATCTGCGAATACTATCTGAGGCGACGGCTGGTAAGCCCTCGAGAGTGGAAAGGAGTGATGAGCCGGCTAGCTCGAGTAAGTCAGGGTCGCGAGGCCGTCGATTGTTGGTCTTCCTACACTCGGGCACACCGGTCGATGTCCACCTGTAACTCGACCGTTCCAGAACCCTTTGCCTCTTTGAAAGACTCTATAGTCGTCGGTTGTACCGAGAGCTGAATATCTAGTGGCGAAGTTGGGTAGTCGGATGCGAGGCTAGACTATCATATGAACGAGCAGGGAACCCGTGTCTACTGGCTATATCTTGACGTCCATGTTGTCTTCGGGGCCGCACTATACTTCCAAAACCTGCGACATCTTCCCTAAAATACTATGGCGAGCAACAACATGGTCATCGACATCGAGAAGGTCGCGGCACCTCAGCCGGTTGAACCCCTCATTAAGGTGACGTCCATCTCCGCCCCCTCGGCCAGGTCCTCCGTCGATATTGTTCAGCCGGGCATCAATCATGCTAGCAAGTTCACCTTGGATGAAAACGAAATGATGGGGTTGGATGGAAATGCGGGCACTCGCGAGAGCCTGGGTTGTATGTACGAGCGTATCTGGAGCTTCAAAGCTCTCCTCCGCTGGGCTCGACACTTTATTCCGGTAGCCGCCCTCTTGGGCATCCCGGTCGGGCTACTCGCGACCGTCTATGCGGACCGTCGTGCCGATGGGGTCAGGCTCCTTGGCCTCTTCGTCTGGCTCGAGGTTGTTTGGGGAAGCTTATGGCTTACAAAGTTGATCGCGATGCTCATGCCGACGGCATACGTCTTCGTCTGCGGCATCGTCAACTCCGGCACCCGAAAGTACCACCCCATCGTCCGAAAGATCGAGACCTCCATCTCGCTCGTCCTCTGGACCATCATCGCCTACGCAACCACCGTGCCTGTCTGCATGGCATTCGACTCTCAACTAGCGCCACCCAAATGGTTGTTGATCTTGCAAAAGGTCGCTCTGGCCTCCATCGCCGTGGCGGGCATGCTCCTCATCCAGCGTTTCGTCATCCAGCTCATCAACATCACATACTCGGCAACGCAGTTCACAACTCGCATCGCGGAATCGAAGCGCCGGATTGCCATGCTTGACACGCTCTACGCATCGTCGACGCGCATGTACCCGCCCTTCTGCGACCGGTTCGCGCAAGATGACTACACAATAATCACCGGCGAGATCCAGCCCAAGGACAGCTCGCCGAGCAAGCTCCTAGCCAACGTGCGCATGGCTGGTCGCGAGGTGGCGCAAGCTTTCGGGCAGATGACGGCCGACATCTCGGGGAACGACTCGCTTTTCAATACCCAGGCTGCTCACACGATTGTCACGGAGGCCCTGGAAGCCGGCACCTCCTCTGAGGCTTTGGGGCGGCGCATCTGGAAGTCATTCGCCCCCGAAGACGGAGAGGCCCTTACGCAGAAAGACCTCGAGAAGGCGTTTCCCGCTGATCAGCTTCGTGACGTCGAGGAGCTCTTCGCCCTGCTTGACGTGGACCAAAACGGGGATATTAGCCTGGACGAGATGATCTCGACGGTTGTTCGCATTGGACAAGACCGCATTGCCATCTGGAAGAGCACTCATGACATCAAGTCGGCTGTACGGGTTCTCGACGGCTTCCTCCAGGTGTGTATTCTGATCGGTACCGGTCTCATTTATGCCGCCTTCTTCAGCAATTCATTTTCGAAGTACCTTACTACAATCGGTACACAGCTCGGGGCTCTTGGATTTGCCATCTCCGGCACCGTCCAGGAGTTCTTGGGTTCGTGCATCTTCCTGTTCGTGAAGCACCCCTTTGATGTTGGCGACCGCGTCAAGATCGATAGTCAGGAGATGACCGTGGAGAAGATTTCGCTGCTGTATTCTGTCTTCCGCAAGGTTGACTCCAACAAAACAACCCAAGTGCCCAATATCAACTTGAACAGCATGTGGGTGGAGAATATCTCGCGGAGCGGGCCCATGCGCGAGCGCATCAACGTTCAGATTTCGGCCAACACCAGCTTTGATGATATCGAACGGCTGAGGAGGAAGATCCGTGACGAGGTCAGAGCCCCAGAGAACCGTCGTGATTTTCGAGAGGATGTCGACGTTGAGCTCATGTCCATCAGCGACATGAGCAAGCTTGAGGTCTACATAGAGGCCGAGCACAAGGTACGTTCGAATGCAGACAGCGCTGCTTGCTGCGCCCTGGCTAATAGACAAACTAGTCGAACTGGAACAACGAGCACATTCGCCGCTTGAGACGCAACAAGTTGATGACCGCAGTTGTCTCTTCTCTGCGCGCCGTCGCCATCAACGGACCGGGCGGAGGTGGCGTAACCCTAGGTGATGAGGCAAGGCCAACGTACCAGGTCGTGATGAGCGAGGAGACAGCTGCGGCTGCGAAACGGAAGCTACAAGATGACAAGAACGCGCCAAAACCCCCGTCGGTGGTCTCGTCCGGCATAGATAATGGCCCAGGATCGTTCTTGGGGGTAGTGCGACGGACATGATGACTACTACAGATTGTCGTAGAGGTTGATGCACATCGTGCCGAATCCAGTTCGTGCGAATGAAAGATATTATCCTTATCATAAATTCGATAGCATGGAATTTAGATTCTTCGTCATTGTGGTCCCAGATACGTGAGCAGCACTTGTAGTTAACAGCGCTACTCACCATATGACTGTGTCTCGTGAGCTCTTCAGCGAATGATTGAGGTATCAGAAGAACCGCCATGATCTACGTTTGCTTCACTTACATTGATGCGGCAAATTGATCGTCGCATCCATAGATCTAAATACCAGTGCTCAATATGACAGGCCGGGTGCCCGTCAGAATGAATGACTTTGACCAGTCTACAGAGAGCACTGGCAAAACAAGATGGGTCGCCTTATCAGAGATACAAGGCCCTCAATGCGGTTGGTTCGACAATTCTACGTCACACACACATGCGACCAACGGCGTGGTGGGTGACCTAGAGAAGGATTACACAACTTTTTGGGGGCCGTATTACCACCTCCACGGGTTGGTAGGTTCTCTGGGCTCGCCATGGCATGGCGAAGTGGCGGGATGCGAGATGGACCATACTCCGCCAGCGGACTGAGGCTGGAGGGAAATAAGTCTCCTCGCACTGCCGCTGTTTCTCCTCTCGCACGAGGAATTGGGCTTCGACTCGCGCTAACAGGTCTGTCTTGAATCAAGCCACATCCCATGGAGGTAGAGACTATGACATGCTAAGAAAGGAGAATTAACGTTGCGCCGCGTGTTGTTCGAATGCGTACGGAATGAGTACGGAGTAATGACCCCATTTATTACAACATCAGATTAAACGGCGCGTCGAAGATGGTTCTTGTAAGCTAGCCGACACTTGGGTTGTTCGGCCTGAGGCCCGTTGGCATAGTAGTGTGCCACCCCCAAACTCGATGCTTTCATGGAGGAGGCCGATACGAAAGCCACCGCAATGCCATGGTCGATATGATGGAATCAATACCATCATATCCGCCTTAGAAGGAACGGACAGCGAATGGCAGCGCATGAGGGGGCGCTTTGGTGCCGCTTGATAGCTTACGAACAACGGTGGAAGGATCGAAATGGCTCTGTTTGCCGTCAGCACTACTCGCGAGGGATGACGAATAGAAGTCGAGATCTAGGCGATTGGACAGTGTCTAGGACGGCATGCAGCCTGCAGGCATGTCTCAGACATGGGTGCTCATTGTCTAAGACACCTGCATCAAGCCGGCCTTTCGTTCCTGAGTAGAGTCGTGCCCGGTCAAATCTCAAAGCTATGCCCTAGTGTAGATGCAGCCGTCATGCAGTAAAAGCAGAATATGGGCATGGTAGGGACGGATCTTTAGAGAGCATTCAATCCAAGGCAGCATTTCGAAGGCTGGAAATGTAGTCGGGCTGGTGTGGTTGGGACGCCCCCCCAGCCACATAGAAGATAGACGTGGCGTGGTGCGGGATGAGGCGTTGCCCTCGGCGGAGGCTGCGACATGCTGCCTGGTTCCCCGATGGCTGGCGGTTAGCGGACCGCGAGGCACAATGCAACGTCCCGCTGGCTGTGGCGGGGGGCTGAATGGTTGTCGATGATATTGATATCGACAGACACAGCACCGACAGTGGCTAGTGTGAGGATGTTTTCTGCCACGAAATCACTTGGTCGTCTTTGTTGCCGGAGATAGCACCTGAAGCAAAACCGGAGACAATGGATGATAGGCGTTACATCGTACGGAGTATATAGATTAATATATGCTTGTTGCCCAAGTGGGCCCGAGAAACGAGCGATCATAAAAATGAGTGGCTCAAGCCGGATGGCGGCATGGCATCCGTACAGCGAGCTTGTCCTTGGGCAGACCCTTGCTGGCGCTCTAGGTATGTAATGGCGCATGTCACGAAGGTGGTTTATAAGCGAGATGCGTGAGTGGGGATAAGAAAAGTCGACAGCAAGAATGCCGTAGTTTCCACCAAGGCGAATACCGGTACATTGTTTTCGGGTTAATGGGAGACGATGTTTCGTCTGATGTCATGCGTGACCAAGGACCGGGCTGCTGTTGAGTTCGTTCGAAACGCGATGGCGCCAACACGGGGGGCAACGAGACAAGCGCCAGCACCGCCTAGAACCAACACAGCCTGCTTCAGGCCCCGATAGAGTCTGGCCCCTACCTACCTACCGTGCTACCCTAGCCTGGTCGGAGACTTTTGGTCAGGCTGACGGACGGTTGAATGCCGATGAGTCGCTGAGGGGAAGTCGTCGGGGGAGGGGGCTGAGAGGGAAAAGACATAGTGGCGATGGCTTACTCAATGGCCTAGCTATCACTCATCATCGGGCGTGTGGTCCGATGTGGCATTCTGGGGGCGACGGCGGAGCCCGGAGCGTCGTTTGCGTTGATTGAAGAGGCAAGGTCCTGGGTTGGTCTGTTTGCGAAACGTCAACTTTTGACAGGTGGGAAGATGAACAGGGCTACCTACTCCCTTTCTCCTTGGATGGTGCGGCGAGGCCGTGTATTTGCAGTCATCTTGCTGGCTTCTTGGTCGGATGACAAGGCGTTGATGCTATAGGCAGCCGAATGCTGTTGGTAGAGGGTGGATGCGCGCAAAGTTAAAGTCTGTCGTCCTGACGTTCCGCCCGTGCCGCCGTCCCACATTGGTTGACGTATGGCATTGAACGAAGCAAGTCGGACTGGTGTGTTGCCATGTGGTCTGGCAAGGATTGGATTTGTCTTGTCTGATATCGAAGATTGACAAATGTGACTTGGGAGAGGAGGGCGCAGGGGGGCAGTGCCTCCACACAGCACCATAGCAAAGAGAACAAGAACAAACATTGCGGATACACAGTAACTGTACATTGTACAGGTAGGTCGGTAAGTGTACGGAGACGGAATATGGTGTTGCAAACGGTCGAGCTACCTGAGGTATCCGTACTTGGGCAAGGAGGCAAGTAACCTAATCGTACCTACCTACCTTAGTTGGTAGGGACCCATGTACGATGTACGTACACTACACATACCAGTAGGCTGTATACGAGCGGCGTGGGGTAGTGTAGTGGGCCCATTGTGGGAAGTATCTCTGCTGCATTTATACGAAGCGAGATACTTGGAAGACAGCAGGGCAGGTGGGTACAGACTAGAAGGAAGCGCGCGCCAGGGGATGGTCTAAAAACTGCAACCGCAACCCGCAAGGTGCAACTGTAATTGTAATGGCTGTACGGAGTACGGATACGTGTGTACCTACCTATCTGCCAACCTATGTAGCTACAGAAGTGCGCAGTGCGTGTCGTATTTCTGGTGTGCAGGTGCAGGTGCAAAGCACGGCTTATGTTGGTTGGTGGTGGTGGTTGCTGCTGCTGCTGCCGCTGCCGCGCTGAGGTATCCTCGTCGACTCCGTTTCTGTCCTTCTCCAGCTTGTCCCCGTCCTCGTCTCATCTCGTCTCGTTTCGGCCTGTCCTTCATCCACTTCCAGGTACGCCCTCGGCTAGCATCTCGTTTCTTTTTGTTCTCTTCCCCCTACTCACTCTACGCACTACCATGACCAATTCTCATCAAGCAGTCACTTACCTAGTTGATATTCACCACCAACAGGCACCAAGCTGCCTGCGCTGTCAACCTCTCCACTACCTACAGTCTATCCTTACTGTACGGATACCTTGGTACTTGAAACATCTTGGTCCGTCTACTCTAAGCACACGGTATGGTCATACTAGGTCGTCCTTACTAAGACCCTCGTCTTGATCTGAACTGATCTGATTCAACACTGTTGCCTCTTTAGCACTGTTACGAATACCTATCTCTTCTTTCTTGTTCTTTTCTCTTCCTTGTCTTATTCCTCCACCTCTTCTTCGCAACTCCGGACACCGACCGTCCTGCTGCTCCCGTGCTTTCCTGCCTCTCCCTCTTTCTCACACACACACGTCCAATCCACCCAAAGGACACGACCGAGTGCTCCGTTCCCGGTGGAGACAAAAGTACCCCAGCAACTACCTGCTATTAGCTCTGCGCCGTCTGGACCCGGACCTGGACTTGAACCACCACCATCAGCACCCTGCACCCACACATGCACCTCACTCACCTGGTCCTTGTCCTCTCGTCCTTGCCTCACCTCACCTCATCTCACCTCCGCTGACAGGCAGCCGACCACATCGTCCTCCGCTGTCCTCCTCCCTCCCGAGCTTTCTCTCTCTCTCTACACACTTATCCATCACTCCCACGACGAATTGACCCCGTCACGAGCCTCTTCTCCCCAGCTCGTTCAACCCCATCCTAGATATCTATAACCGCTGCCGCCGCCAAGTATCAATGTCCCAGTCCTGACGCTTGTTTTCGCCTTGCGCAGCTGGGACGCCCCGCCTTACTTCGCACTACGATTCCCTAGTGTCTCGTAATTACTCTATTCGCCCACTCGCCTGCCCCGGCCCTCATCATAACCCGGTCGCTCGTTACATACAATGTATCTCAAGATGCGAATACCATTCGACTTGCCGTCCGCTGTCCAGCTCCGTTCACCCACGACGACCCTGCAACGCCGAGAAGAAATCGACGGCAGGAAAGTCGCTACAATTGTACGTGTCAGAGCGCTTGTGGCGGACTCTCGCTGCTCCCCCTCCCCCCGACATCTTGGAACAGGCTGCTTACGCCAATTGCTGCTGCAGGTCATTCTCGCCATACTGGTTCTCCTCATCTTCGCCGCCTTCGTGCTCTTCTCCTTCCGCACATCTCGTCACTCTACCCGCGACACCGCAAACGCCCCCCGCCGTGGCTTCTTGAAGTCAATATGGGGCCCCAGTGGTGGGCAAAATAGATACCGCCAGGCCCAAGACGAAAACTCTACGTCGACCGAGCAGTTGGCGACCCGCCGTCGCTCTCACCCGTCCTCGGCCCCACTCGACCCCTCTGCTGACCAAGCGCAAACCGACTCCCGCTCTCCCAACAGTGCCGTCAACCGCAATACCTCGATCCGTTCCATCATGACGCTGCCTGCCTACAGGCCCGATCCGAACGATAACGAGCAGGTTCTGGGCCGCGAGGGGGAACGCGGGGGCGTGGATGTTGTCATTGAGTACCCCACCGAGGAGAACGAGGAGGATCTGCGTGACCAAGAGATGGAGACTCTCTATAGGATTCGCCTAGCCCGCCGCCAAGAGCTTGCCGAACGAGAGGAGCGGAGGAGAGAGCGTCGTGAAGCGCGGGAACGTGGCGATTTCGTGGCCCTCGACAACATCCGCGTCAGGGCGAGAAATGCCAGCAATAACAGCCTCGTCGCCGTTCTTCGTGAGGAGCACGAACGTCTCAAGGCCGAACGCCAGAGGGCCGTCTCTAGTGTGTCGTATGCCGACCTCGGTGTCGCACGCCACGACGGAACCCGACTTCGAGCCAACAGCACCGAGAGCGAGAGGATGGGCTTGTTGTCAGACTCGGCCAGCATTGCTGCTACTTCGGTCCATTCGGGCGTCGACTCTGCGATGAATCACAGAAGAGGACACAGTGCTAGCTCTGTAATGAGCATCGAAAGTGACCTTCCCTCGCCAGGGTTCGCGTCAAGGTCCCGAGCGAACTCGCGCCCGGATACTCCTCGCCTAGACACACAGGCAGGCTCCAGTCCGGAAATCATCGAGGCCGACGTGGGCGAAGCCGGCATGCCCATTTACTCTCCACCCGGATACGATGAAGTCTCTCTGGACGATGAGCGTTCTCGCAGTACCACTCCCCTGCCAGGCAATGAGCCCCCGCCGAACTACCCTGGTCCTGCACAGCAGCGTGCGCAGAGCATTGCCTCGAGTATGGCTGGCTTGGCCGCCGGCGAGCAAACAGAAAACGGACCAACCGACCAACGACGACATTCAAGTATACCTCGATTACCTAGCTTGCGTCTACCGGAATTGCCCCAGATTGTAATCGAGCCTTCCAGTGCCAGGCCACACGACGATAGGTGAAAGCGGGGGGTGAAACCAAAAAAAAAAAAAGCACGAAAACGGCGCTCTACTGATGAATACGGCTGGACTTGATGGGCCTATTGTAGATACAAGAATTCTCGGAGGCAATCTTGTTGATATATATAAGACGGTAAGGCTGAGTCGGCAAAATCACATACACGTTGGGCAGGGCGAAACATCCGAGATCTCATTTGTATACTAGCTTATCAGCAAACTGGATATCGGCGTTGGGCTGATCTCGTTCCGGATTGAACGGGTTACAAAGGATACCAAAGCGTTGTTTATAGAGAAGTTGCCGCGCCATGCACACGGGCCCGAGCCTATGCCACCGGCTGAGCAACGGCTTGAATTCAATTTATCAAACATGTAAATTGACCCGCTTCAGTGCAGCACCCAATCTGCATTGACTCATAGTGATACGGTCACAACCTGCAAAGTCTACGGTGCGTTGTCCCTCAAAACGATGGACATACTCGGCGCCCTCGGGGTGCCATACTTTTTGTATCAAGCGATTTGCTCTGTTCAGGACGGCAAGCCGGATGGCGTTGTCGTTGGAACTGCGGCATAAGACATGGCTATTCAGGAGGCGTCTTCGGGGACCCTTTGTGCTTGAACGGGAGGCTGCCGATGCGGGGCATTTGTAGCATGCTGCTAGGAAGCACGCAAACGACCCAGCCCGGCGGTTAACGGCGAGATTGCTGACGAAAGCCAGGAAGTATTGGTACGAAATCGCGGGGGCCAGGATGACCGACCGTCCCGAGGACAGCTTGAAAACCCAAGATCCAATGGAGATTTTGCAAGTTCATGGGCTTCCAAAGACATGTTCATGTTTCCATCACCAGCCGGGCCATTGGCTTTTTACAAGGTTAGGCGAGGCTCTCGCCGGCTTGGAAGCGGTGTGAAGCATACGGACATGGCTCATGGCCAGAGCTACAATCATGGTGTCGGTCTTTGTGCGTGGCTCACGTTGCTACGGAAAATGACTGTCCAAGTAGGCTCCGAGTTTCTCCAGAGCCTCCCTGAGCACTTCGGTATGGCAGACGTACCTGATCCTCACGTAGCCCGCGAAGTCCTTCCCATGACCAAAGCACTTGGACCCCGGGACGAAAAAGACCTTGGTCTTGTCCAGCACGTCCAGGCAGAAGCGCGCGTCATCGACCGGCTCGCCCTTGCGAGTGAACTGCACAAACGCGGTCGTGCCGGCCTTGGGCTTCACCCACGAGCAAACGCCCTTGTACCTGTCGATGAAGGCCTCGAGCAGAGCCTTGTTCGTGTTGGCCAGTGCGACGTTGCGCCTCAGCAATGGTCCCCAGACGGGCTCCGACAGCGCGTACGACGCGATCTGGTCGTCGATCTGCGAGACGCTGATGGTGGTGTAGTCCCGCGCCGAGGCGACGGCCTGGATGATGCCCTTGTCCCGCGAGGCGACCCAGCCGATGCGGATGCCGGCGAGGGCGTAGGATTTGGACATGGATCCCGTGATGACGACCTTGTCGTAGCCAAAGGCAGTGATGGGGGGCGGGACGTTGTGTGCGGCGCCGTCAAACAAGTCATGGAAAAGGGGTCGATAGACTTCGTCCGAGAAGACTATGATGCCCCGGGCTTTCGCGAAGGCGATGATGGAACTGAGGACGGGCTTGGGGATCGGTGCGCCGGTGGGATTGTTTGGGTTGTTGATGATGATCATCTGGCAGAGGGCTTGAGTTAGCGCGGCGGGACGAGGGTTGCATGTGAGGTGAGCAAACCTTTGTGTTGGGTTTGGCGAGGCCATCGAGTTCACCAACATCCGGCACGAACCCGTTTTCCTTCTTCAGCTTCCACAGCGAGACATCCGCGCCGAGGCTCTGAGGAACGCCGTAGAGCTGCTGGTAAGTGGGATATACGCAAATGACATGGTCGCCCGGGTTGACGAGAGTATACAGCAGCAAGAAGTTAGCGCCGATGGCGCCCTGCGTGATGAGCACGTCGTCTTCGCCGAGCGCGCCGGGTGACGTGAAGTCGCCCGAGCCGTCGCTGCTGCAGAGCGCGGCGACCCTCCGGCGGAGCGGGACGGAGCCGCGGATGGGGCCGTAGACGAGCTTGGTGGAAAAGTCGACAGGGCCGGGCGCGCCCTTATCTTCCGAGAGTCCGATGAGCTCTTCAACAGAAACGGAGGCGGCGCAGGTCTCGGCGATGTTGAGGCAGCCGGGAGTAGTCTCGTACTCGTCCATCCACTGCTCCACCTCGAAAGCTGCTATGCGGACCATTGTGGCGGGGCGGTGTTGTTTTAGAGTATGCGAGGCGCAGCTAGCTGAGTTTGTTCAATGTCGGAGAAGTGGAATGAGAGCGCCGAGGGGAGAGACTTTGACGGACTGCGCTGAGTTGAATTGATACAATGCCAAGGCCATGTGGACTCGGAGGATTGACATCTCAAACAAGACAACTTGCCCATACACACACACATACAGCCAGTCGCTTCGACCGCTTATGTAGGGTCGAGGGCGTATCACGTATCAGCACGGAAGAAGAAGACAACAAGCACGAGCGGCATACATTTCAGATGCATCGGACTCGACAACCGCTGGGCGGCTTCCCGAGCCTAACGCATGTCAAAGACCCGTCGAAAGGGCGCGCGGAGGGCCGGGCCACCACTAGGAAGCCCACCCGGAGGAGGTTTCTGGGGGGAGGGCACAGATGCATGGGATTGCTGGGTGAAAGGCTAAAGCAGCCAGTCCGCCCATTTGGGAATCTGAACTAAGGTAGCATTGATGCGGGAGCTTTGGCGGAACAAGATCAGACTCGCGTGGTGCTGTAACTGTAGAGTGCAGGCACGTGCACCTAGACCGAACGAGGGCAGGTTGAGAACGGGTTGGTGTATGGATATCCGCATGCTGGTCGACACAGTCCAGCCATGGCGGGCCTGGCTGCGGGGTTTATGTTTATGGCAAGAAGGAAGAGGGAGAGAGTGAGTACAGGCTCTTTGAGCTTCCGTATTCGCCAGGTGTTTTTAATCGACGCCGTGCTAAGGACGAGGCATTATGCTTTTATCAAACCAGACTGGAAGCAACCGCTCGGGCCATAGTGGCCGCCAGTTATGTAGGATTCAGTGTGCAAGAGTTGTCGATCCAAACGAGGTGGGCGATCACGGGATCGTTGCGGTGGGAGGAGAGATGAGGCGGTGACGGAATTGATATTAGCCATGATCAAGTCAGTTCATCAATCCGACCTCGAGTGCAGTATGTTGGCTGGTGCTTCTCCACATCCCCCCGGCCCCCGGTTTCGCACCAGGATCTATCTGATGTCAATGTCAGTGTCAATTGTTACAGGCCAGTGGGATCAGGCAGGAATTCTCGCAAGCTGTCTGCCTCCCAGCCTCCAAGGCAAAGGGGGATAGATATAGGGGCCGTTTTGTTTTTTTGCAGCGTAACCTTCCCCTCAAGGTGCTGCTGGTGGCCGTCGTCTGTATCCGTGCCAAGTGTCCTGGATGGTCGTTCCGTATCCCGTAGCGCAGACAGCAGGGGTCAAAGGTGAATCAGGGTTCGTCACTGACAAGACGAGGTTGGTCGGATGGAGTGCGTAATGGCCGATGGTTCTTAGTCATTATGGTGTTGAGCAGAGTCGTGCTTGACTTTGCGCTTAAATGTGCAAAATGCGTTGCGCCATGTCGATAGTGCTGTCAACTGAGCCTTTGAGCAAAGTGTGTGTGTTCCCTGCCCTGGGAGGACGTGAGGTTATCTAGCTAGGTAAGTACCCGTCTAGTCTCGCTGAGCTGGTTTCGGCTCAGCAAGTGGTGGAGAAAATAAGAGAAGACACCAAGGAGCCAGGCAGCCAGCCGATTGAGCGGGAGAATGGAAGCAAAGAAACTCCAACCACCACCCCCCGCAGAACGCTACGTTGGTGCTTGTTTGTTTCCAATGGTGCAGTGGGGCCTCGGCCAGGTACAGGTACGTATCTGCCTACATCAGATTACCTACCTACGCGTAGGTATCTAGGTACTTTACCTTGGGTACCTAGTCGAGGGGGACCGCCTAGGATCAGTACCTAGGTACCTACCTTAGTACTACTTCACCTTATCCACTGTGACGCCACCACATCGAGGACCATACCTACCCGAGGTAGGTACTACTAGTAAGGTATATCTGTACGCTGGGGAGTACGTACCATCTTCTGCGCGTTGCGTTGCTGGGCGCGCGGGTTATTATCGGCCGGCTCCAGCGCAATCGGGGCGGTATACCTTCCCCAGTGGCAGTGACACCTCGATCGGTTCCCGTAGGCCAAGCGCCTCTCTTCCTTCCTTCCTTCCTTCCTACATACCGACCTATACCTTGCGCTGCTGCTCTGTTGTCTGCCTCCATCTCCATCTGGTCCCAGTTGTCCATGTCCTCTCCTCTCTGACTTCTGCCATCTCCTCCTTCTCCATTTCCCCTTCTTCAACATCGACAACTTCATCCCGCCCCGTCTCGAATCGGTCTTCGCCTCACCCACTCGAACTGCCCATCATGGCTCCTCCCGCCTTGAGGAGCCTCCTCATCGGGGCTCTGGCATGTTTTCCTGCTCTGGCTTCGGCACAGCGAAACTACTCCACGGCCGACATGCTGCGTACACAGCTGACCCTTCTCGATGGTCGGCCCTCTGATTGCCCGCCTTGGTGAGTGCCCGCTTATCCTCTCCTCACCCCAGCTCTCTGCGTCCATGTGAAGCTGTTACTGTTTGCGCCATCAAGATCCATTGCTCACAACTGTCCTTGCGCAGCTTCAACTGTCTCCTCCCTGCCCACAAGTGCACCCAGTTCGCCGGCTGCAACGACTTTACCGGCAAATGCAACTGCCCCGAGGGCTTCGGCGGCGATGACTGCCTTGATCCATGTGCGCACAACCTCTCCCCCACTATTCTGTCGTCGCACAACATCGCCGCCCATCACTGACACCAACACTATAGTATGCGGCTCTCTATCCCGCGGCGACAACACCGACAGGCCTCGACGGACTGGCGACTCTTGCGAATGCGACGACGGCTGGACCGGCATCAACTGCAATGTCTGCACCAGTAACCAGGCCTGTGACGCCCTTATGGAGACCAAGGAGGGCGGTGTTTGCTACCAGAATGGCGAGGTTATCAACCACAACTACCAGATCTGCGATGTAACCAACAAGAAAATCACCGACCTCCTTGGCAAGCAGCGCCCTCAGGTTACCTTTACCTGCAAGAAGGAGGAGGGCAACTGTGATTTCCAATGTATGTCGGTCCCAACACCACCTGCCTATCCGCTACTAAGCTAATCAACCCCGTGCCAGTCTGGGTCGACGAACGCGAGTCCTTCTACTGCCACTTGAACGATTGCTCGTCTACGGCCGATATCAACGAAAGCCAGAACAGCACGGACTACAAGTGCAACAAGATCGAGTGCAACTGCATTTCTGATCGCATGCTTTGCGGCGAGAACGGCTCCGTCGACATCAGCGACTTCTTGGTTGAAGAAATCAAGGGCCCCGCCGAGTTCCAGTGCCTACAGAAGAACGGAGGCATCAACAACTGCGCTTTCAGGGAGCCCGCCATGGACGACCTGATCCTGTCCTTGATCGGAGACAGCAGCATTCAGCTGAGTTGCCGCTCTGGAGAGTGTCTCTACCACACCCAAGTCCCCGGTTACGAACGGCCCGTCAAGAAGATCAACACTCCGCTAATTGCCAGTGTCATCGCCGCATGCTCCTTGTTTGTTGTCGCCGTGATCTTGATCACTTGGTATCTTTCTCGCCGAAAGTTCAAGTATGGCGCTATCGTGCTGGACGACTCTGATGACGAAAGCCTGAAGCTCATGGCTGACCACAAGCCCGCCTCTCTCTACTTCGAGAACGTTGCTTACCATCTCAACGGAAAGAGGATCCTGAACAACATCCAGGGTATGGCTCATCCCGGAGAGGTCACTGCCATCATGGGCGCCTCTGGAGCTGGCAAGACCACGTTCCTCGATATCTTGGCCCGGAAGAACAAGCGTGGACAGGTCTCTGGTGACTTCTACGTCAATGGCGAAAAGGTCACCGACACGGATTACAAGAATGTTATTGGATTCGTCGACCAGGAAGACACCATGCTGCCTACTTTGACAGTTCACGAGACAATCCTGACGAGCGCCCTCCTCCGCTTGCCCCGTAACATGGGTCGTACTGCCAAGGAACAACGGGTGTTCGAAGTCGAGAAGCAGCTTGGTATCTACCACATTCGCGATTCGCTCATTGGCTCCGAGGAAGGCAAGGGCCGTGGTATTTCTGGCGGAGAGAAGCGCCGAGTTGGCATCGCCTGTGAACTCGTCACGAGTCCCTCTATCCTGTTCCTGGACGAGCCCACCAGCGGCTTGGACGCCTACAACGCCTTCAACGTCATTGAGTGTCTGGTTACCTTGGCCAAGAACTACAAGCGTACCGTTGTCTTCACGATCCATCAGCCTCGATCGAATATTGTGGCTCTCTTCGACAGACTGATATTGCTGGCGCGAGGCAGCGCGGTGTACTCGGGTCCTTTTTCTCAATGTCAGGGGTATTTTGACCACATCGGTTATTCGTGCCCCCCCGGTTTCAACATTGCCGACTATCTCGTTGACCTTACCATGCACGCGGGATCCACTGTCTCTGAAGACGACGGTGCCCTGAACGCCGACGTTGCCAGCCTGCGCCCGAGCAGCACCACTGCTGTCAAGTCTATCCCAAGCATATCTGGCGGATCTATCAATGAAGATAGCGGGGTCGAGTCTTCTTCTTCGCGTCCCAAGAACAAGCGCCGAGATTCAGTCAAGATCCGCCAAGAGCGCGAGCTCTTTACCCGCCGCAAAAACAACGCCGATACGGCCGCTTCCTCGGATGCTGGTGGAGAGGACACCGGATCCTACAAGCTACAGAACCAGCCTGGCTTTGTGCCGTCTCTCAATGTCGAGGACCCCCATGACCTTCCCCCTTCGGCTTATGTCGGAACTGATTTGGATATTCTGATCCGTTCCTTTGCCGAGTCCGACATTGCGGGCTCCACGCACGATGAGATCCAACAATCCATCGCCGCTGCTGAGGGCGCCAACGGACAGAACGCCAACGGATACACCCCAGAGGGACCCAACATCCACATTAGCGCCATCGGCAAGGGTTATGCTCGCGTGGGCTACACCCGTCAGTTCGTCATCCTGTCCCAGCGAACATGGAAGAACCTGTACAGGAACCCTATTCTCATGTTGACTCACTACGCCATTGCTATCCTCCTTGCAGTCCTATCGGGCTACCTGTTTTACGGACTGACCGACGACATTCCGGGTTTCCAGAACCGTCTGGGTTTGTTCTTTTTCCTGTTGGCCTTATTCGGGTTCAGTACTTTGACCAGCTTGACCGTCTTCGCGACCGAGAGGCTCCTGTTCGTTAGAGAGCGCGCCAATGGTTACTACTCGCCCATCACCTACTTTGCGGCCAAGATCCTGTTCGACATAATCCCGCTGCGAATCATCCCACCCATTCTGATGGGCGCCATCATTTACCCCATGACCGGCTTGGTTCCCGATGCTGGCCACTTTTTCAAGTTCATCCTTGTCCTAGTCCTGTTCAACTTCGCCGCTGCTGCAATCTGCCTCTTCATCGGCATCGTTTGCAAGGACGGTGGAGTGGCCAACCTGATCGGCAGCTTAGTCATGCTATTCAGCTTGCTCTTTGCTGGTCTGCTTCTCAACCACAACGCCATCCCGAAAGCCGCTCTTTGGCTACAGACTCTCTCCATTTTCCATTACGGCTTTGAGTCGCTCATCGTCAACGAGGTGCTGCAACTCACCCTCGTCGACAAGAAGTACGGCCTAGACATTACTGTCCCAGGAGCCGCCATCTTGAGCTCTTTTGGTTTCAACAATGACGCCCTCTGGACCGATGTCATCAACCTCGGTATCTTTGGTGTTGTATTTATCATCCTAGCTTACGGCGCTATGCACTTCCTTCTCGTCGAGAAGAGATGATGTCACACCCATCTGGCGAAATCAGCAAGTTGGCAGGTGCTTTTGGTATACAAGTGTACGAGTACGGAAGCATCAGTAGCCATCCTTTCGACGGCCATGGCAGCTTCGGTCGTTTTCATAGACATTTTTGACGCAGAAACACATACAGCCGTTTCCTTTCCAACCGCAATATTTTGTCACTGTGCATATGGGGGAAGAGCTGCTTGACGGCGTTGGGAGGGAATGCCATGTTATAATATCCTGACATTGACGGCTTTATAATGCTACAAAGAATTGATGGTAGTACAAGTCGACTCGCGAGCTCCAGGTGACTAGAAGCACTCAAACTTTTGGTATGGCGGTACGCAAAGACGTGACAATGTGCTGTCTGACCCAAGCCGTCACAACTTCCCGATGTGAGATTTTACAGGGCCAATACACTTTTTTTGGTTTTGATACAGTACGCCGGACCAGCTGACCCTTGGCTGGCCGGCAGTGCCATTTCGTGTAGCAAGGCACCGCCCCTTTACTCCATCTTGCCGCCCGTCAACTCTTCGGCGATGGTCTTTTGCCTCTTGACAGTCTTATCCTGCTCGCTCTGCTGGAAGTCAATGGCGCGCTGCTGCTTCCTCATCATCTCGTCCAACATGGTTCGCACCGTCGGAGGCTGTCCCCAGACATCCCAGGCGTTGTCGGCGTCGTGGGCCATGGACTTGCCCTGTCGCTTCCAGAAGTCCTCGGAGAAGAGCTTGTCGAGCTCCTTGCTCAGCTCGTCTTCGGAGACGATGAACTTGGAGGCGTTGATGTACAGCTCCATCAGCGCATCCTGCCTTGCCTCGCTCTTTTGCTTGGCCAGCTGGACCGTCCGGGCCTTGCTCTTGTTCGCGCGGGCGTAGCGTCGGGGGTCGAGCTTCACAGCAGTCGTCTTGGCCAGGGAGGAGACTACGGAGCTGCGTGTAAGGAGGTCGTCCTGGCGCTCGGGGGCCATGGCGGCGTGCTGGTGGTCGCGAAGACGGCGCTCCCTGACGGTGGTCTCGGCCTCGACATGCTCCTGCTTGCGCTTGTAGAGACCCTGCAGGGCCATGCCAAGATTCTCGCGACGGGAGTCGGCCATGCGGCGGCGGTATTCGAGGCGTGAGCCGGGCGGGGCGATCTTCGTGGAGGCTTTGCCCGTGGGAAGGGGCGCCGTCTCTTCGAGGTAGCCGGGCTGGACCTTGCGGTCGGCCTCCTTACGCGGGAAGATGTCGCGGGGCGTGGGGAGGGTGCCCTTGACGACAGGGGGCTTCTCTTCGGAGGACTGCGACTGAGGCGGCGTCGGGACCTGGATCCAGGCGGGGGATTCGGGGGGCACGCTAAGTTTCGCCGTCTTGGTAGAGAAGGGTCGTGTGAGGTTGATGTAGGATGGTCTAGCGGCAATGACCGTTGGGAGCCGCGTCAATCGCGCGCAGGAACATCTTGATGACATGGTGTCGACAAGATGGCGTTTGCCAGGGCAATGACGGCGGCACCGATTGTAAGAGGAGGGATGACGACGAGGGCGTCGCTGGGGGTGGAATCGATTCGTGGCTCGAGATGCAGGCTGCGTGGTGTTGAGATCATGGAGCTGAGAAATTCTCGATAGTGTCCAGGGCTGGATAGGCACACGCTCCGGTGTGGGCGCAAGGTGTGGCTTGTCGACTTTCTCAGTCTCGAGAGAATGCGGAAAAAAGGATGGCAGACACTGAGAGTCTGGAGCTGCATATGTGAGAGCAGTGCCGGTGGCTCTGATTGGCTCTTCGGCGGAACGGCGCGTCCTCGCCCCGAAGTCCCCAAAAAATTTCAACAACTCCACTAAAAAATTCCCAAGCAGACCCCACCACTGGCAGAGAAAGATCTTCTTTACTGCGCGCGCCAAAGCTCCAACCTCCCTCTCTCAATCCTTTCTTACAATCTCACCGACTCCAACTTCTGCCCAGTCTCTCCTCCCCCTTCTTCCCTCTTGTCAAGTTCTTACCTCCACGACTGGGCGAGTTCGCGGTCACAAAGATGGGAACCGGAAAGAAAGAGGCGAGCCGAAAGGTTCGCCAGGGCAAAACCGGCGATGGCATGGGCAATGTCAAGGTCAAAGGCGAGAACTTCTACCGGTAGGGCTCTTTCTCCCTCCATCTCACCAGCATGAGATTGCTTGATCAGTGAGAACAGCTGGCTAACGGATCGAGCACAGCTCTGCCAAGCGGGTGAGGCAACTCAACATGTACAAGGATGGCAAGCCGCAGCGCAACGCCGACGGCGAGATCACGAAGGCCGCCTCGTACCAGAGCCGAGATATTCCTATCGCCCGGATCGAGCCCAACCGCAAGTGGTTCGGCAACACCCGTGTCATTTCCCAGGAGAGCTTGACGGCGTTTCGCAGCGCCATGGCGGAGAAGGCCGCAGACCCCTACTCTGTCCTGCTTAAGAGCAACAAGCTGCCCATGTCGTTGATCAAGGATGGTTCCGACACCAACGGCCTCAAGAAGCACCAGGCTAAGATGACGATTGAGACGTCTTCCTTCGGGGACACCTTCGGTCCCAAGTCGCAGAGGAAGCGCGTCAAGATGGGTGCGAGCTCCATTGCCGACTTGGCCGGAGAGGTCGACAAGGACCTGGACAGCTACAACGATCGCCTCGAGCAGGCTAAGCTCCTCAGTGGGAACTCTGGAGCAGACCAGGACGGTGAGGGCGAGGAACATGTCACCATGTCAATCGAGCCCATTTTCAACAAGGGTCAAAGCAAACGTATCTGGAACGAGCTGTACCGTGTGCTGGACTCTTCCGACGTTGTCATTCATGTCCTGGACGCCCGCGACCCCTTGGGTACTAGGTGTCGCAGTGTTGAGAAGTACTTGCGCGAGGAGGCCCCTCACAAGCATCTCATCTTCGTCTTGAACAAGACTGACCTGGTGCCCACCAGCGTTGCTGTAAGTCTATCTCTGTCATCCTCTCTACACCTCTCTCCCCGACCAAAACCCCAGTGTCTTTGTCAGGAATTCTTTCGCACATCCGCTGCCCCCAATGAAAGGATCTCCGTTAAACACTGGGAAAATCGACGGCCGTCTCGCTGTCCTGGTTCTCGGACCAGGGCTGATGGGGTCCGTTTTGGATCTCCCATCATGAGATGGAATTGCATCACTTTGAGTTGAAGTCTGCCAGTGCTCTTCCGAGCCTCTCCATGGCGGTATTTCTTAGTAGCGAAGCATACATACTTTCAACACTATTACTGTGTTTGGCCACTGCCTGCTTGCTGCTGCAGAAGCTAACTTGGCCCAGGCCCGTTGGGTAAAATACTTTTCCAAGGACAAGCCTACTCTGGCAATGCACTCGAGTTTGACGAATCCCTTTGGCAAGGGCAGTTTGATCGAGCTTCTGAGACAGTATGCCAAGCTTCACAGCGACCGCAAGCAAATCTCAGTCGGCCTCATCGGCTATCCCAACGTCGGCAAGAGCAGTATTGTCAACACCCTGAGGAAGAAGAAGGTCGCCACCGTCGCGCCTATTCCTGGTGAGACCAAGGTCTGGCAGTACATCACACTCACCCGCAAGATCTGTACGTGCTCTCCTGCGCCCCTGTCGTCGTCTCCTAAGCACACGCTAACTTGACTAGACATGATTGACTGCCCTGGTATCGTACCACCGTCGCAGACCGACACCCCTCAGGACCTTCTACTCCGAGGTGTTGTCCGTGTCGAGAACGTCGACAACCCGGAGCAGTACATCCCAGCTGTCCTCGCCAAGGTCAAGACGCATCATATGGAGAGGACATACGAGCTCAAGGGGTGGAACAACCACATGGAGTTCCTCGAGATGATTGCCCGAAAGAGCGGTCGTCTGTTGAAGGGGGGAGAGCCGGACTTGGACGGAGTCGCCAAGATGGTACTCAACGACTTCATGCGTGGCAAGATTCCTTGGTTCACTCCAGCCCCCGTCGAAGAAGAGGGCGAGAACACAACCGAGGGCATCGAGGGACGTGGCGGTAGGCTGGGCGAGATGCCTCAGAAGCGGAAACGCACCGCGGCCGAGATGGCCGAGAGTGTGGCTGATACTTCCATGGGCCCCTCTTCTGTCGGTAGTGACAGTGACGAGGAAGAAGAGGGCGACGAGTTTGAAGGGTTTGACTCTGACGACGACAAGGCCAAAGGCAACAAGCCAGTAGCCAAGGTATCTGAAGGCGTTGATGACGACTCAGACGATATGATCCCACTCGATGAGATATCAGACGAGGACTCGGACAGCGAAGACGGTGGTGATGGCGCGGCCTCGGAGACGAGCTATAACACGTCAGTCAAGGCCATCTCTGATCGGAGTGCCAGCAACGCTTCCAAGAAGAGGAGAAAGACATGAAGTCGCCAGAACAGGGCTTGCTAAATGAATCTCTAACGCCGCGACGCCGAAGTTTCGGCAACCTCGCCTTACAGGTGGGCAATCGACGATGGCCAACTGGGGCTGCTGACATTGAAGACGAAGAAGAACGAAGCGATCGTTCTCATTCGGGTGCTTTAGGGAGTGGAGCACATGTCCATTCTTGGGCCGTGAGACCACGGGCCAGTGAGTGATCCAGCTGGAGCGATTTCAGTTTATTCCTATCCTGGTATTTCCGGACCGTGAGGCTGTCGTCCGGCACCCGAATGAGGCTCTTCCGGGTCTGCATGTTCGGGAATCCCTGTGCTTCCCCGTTTGTTTCTCTCGCGCTGAACATAGGCTTTCGGCCGCGAAATGTTTCCAAACATCTCCACGCTTTTCTCGGGGAACTGGACATGGCGTTATAACCGTATGATACCCCCCATTGTGTTGTCTTGAATGGCAAGTTGCTTTCCGTGGAAACCCACCCCACCTTGTTATATCCTCCTATTGAGGTTAGTAACATTCTCTTGTTTCAACCCAGAAAAGAAGACAAACCATAGAATAGAAAACATCGAATGCCACGAAAGATGACCTGATGATTATTCACCAGCTACAATACATACCTGATCCGACCGATGAATATTCTGACTCGCTTCGCCCCTTGGGTTTCTCCGGTTACCATTGCAAAATCTGTCGCTCATCCACGTCACCACACGCCCATTCACGTACACCGCCGACCCTTGACATAATATGGAAGATCGGGTGACGGTGGGTTTGGTTACTCGTAGATGGTTTAGACTTCAGCAACCTCCAGGGTTCATCGTCGCGACCAAGCAGGAGAGTTTGTTTGTGTCGTCTTGGTGTCGTCTACTCCAACCTCCGTCTCAACCACTGACCTCTGAACGACGCCGCTCCTCCTCGCGTTCCAAAGTTTATGTCCGTGTGACCGATTGCTTCTTTCTCGCCAGAGTGTCGACGCCTTGTTCGCATTGTCTGCTTCGTCCGACACCCCGCATATGGGTCGATGTGGTGTTGTCCCCTCGTCTGAAAATGAGTCGTAAGAAACTTTGTCGACGCCTCGCTCCCTCTTCCCCCATCCCACGAGAATTGACTCTGGAGATATACCAGCCATATAGCTACTAACTCACAGTGCCAGCTACACACCCAAAGGGGCAAAGACATATCGATGAAGCGACTTCGATCCTTGGTGGACTTGTACTCTGAGTTTCGAATCGTTGTTTCTGCCTCGGTCCTCTGTGCCGATGCCGCTGTCTCCCACATGCCATTTCTCTTGCTCTCGAGATTGATTCGAACGGCGTGGAAACAAGCCCCCTCCTGTAACGATGCTGATATTGTTGTTATTGTCGATTTATCCTCGTTCACATGTCCTCTTCGTCTTTTCTTCCAGCACTAACGAACACTCTATTGTCCATTATCTGCTGTCATGGTATGTGCGGTTGTTGGAACCCTCTCCTTCTCATCCACCCTTCGGGCCCTTTGCTTCGAAAAGGGGGATGTAATATCGGCATATGTCGAAGCTTTGAGGGGGGCTCGAAAGCATAAAAAGCTGAACTTTTCCTCCTACCAGTGCTCATTCCGCCTCCCCTCATTCTGCTCCTCCCACACTCTAGGCTCAAAGGTTGTTTGTAATTTTCTTTTCGCTATATTCGAGCCAAAGTACTATGGAATATTTTACATTCTGACTTCCCCTTACCCAGCCATCTTTTCTTCTCGAACACTGGGCACGTTTTGCAAGACCGCTGTTCCTACGTTCTTTTTCCCAGTGGGCAACCTTGATTGCCTTGTTTCTTCCTTCCGACACTCCTCTACCTATTCTGAAAGGGACTCGTCAAATACATGACCGGACATAAAAAATGCGTCTCTCTTTAGCTACCGTTCTTTCCCTGGCTACAAGCTCGCTTGCCATAGCATCTGTGCCCAGAGACCTCACCACCTCGTTGACGAACCCTGTGGGCGAGCCCGCAGGCGGTGGCGGTGGTGATGTAAAGCCTGAAGGCGGCAACGCTGACGCGGGTACCAACCAGGATTGTAGTGGTGATGCAAGGACTCAAGGCAGTTTGAAAGAATGTAAGGAGTTCCGCATCAAGTCCAAGGGCTCCGCCGGTGGCTGGGTTGGTCAGCTGGACAGCGGGCAGCTCAGGATCGGGCTCAAGGCTGTGAACTTCTCCATGGAGTCCGGGCAGATCAGCGACGACAAAAAACGCGGCATGTGGTGGACACGTAAGTTTGCTCCCATTTTCCCCCATCGTGCCTCATCACATCCAAGGGTCGCGTAGGCTGACAACACTCACAGCCCCTACCGACACACTTCAGTGTGACGTGGGCCAGAAGCCCGACAAGGGTTGGTCAGTCAGCTGTGACGGCAGGATGTATTTCCAGGACATGGCAAAGTACTACCAGTGCGAGGCCGATAACATGACTTACAACCTCTACAAGAAAAACAACCAGGCTGGGAAGTGCGGTGAGGTCAGGCTGTACATAGTTGGATGCGGTCGTGGTGAAGATGGTGATAAGGGAGGAGATGGTGACAAAGGCGGCGGCACAGGAGGCGGCACCGAAGGCGGCAAACCTTCTCCTCCTTCGAATGGAACTCAGACCCCTTCGAACGGAACCAAGACCCCTCCGAATTTCTTCGCTTTGAAGCCGAAAAGGTTGATGGTGTGAGTCTGTTAATACGGCAAACCAAATATCAGGGAGTCTTTGAAGACGTTCATATCGATTGGTTACATCTTGATGGAGAAGGATTCGCCAGGCCAGGGACACAGTTCTGCGTCTCGACTTCCATGGTTCAACTCGAGGTCTAAGCCAGCAGTTTCAAAGCACTGGGGAGATAGTAATGATGAAACATGGTTTAATTCTTGTACTCGAGTTTAATAAACATTCAGTACCTTTACTTTTCACACATCCGAATTCGGACCTCGTGGTGCCTCGTCCAAGTCTATTGCCAGGTTTTTCATCCAAGCCAACAATTCTATCATCTTCAATAGCATGGCTTTTCTCAATAAGGATACAAAGCAAGAGCCTCCATCTCAGCGACACCCGCTTGTCCAAGTATCACCTCATGAAGAACACTAAAAGTCATGGTATTCAAGCAAGCCCTCTGCATCATCTTCAGCCTCATTCGGAATGCCTAATATCTCGTTCGCTTCCCTGATCCAGTAAGGCGTCGGACCCAACTGCATAGTAGCAGGCGGCGGCGCCTCCTCTTCTTCCACCAAAACATCCTCGTTTCCCTCGCCCAGCCTGGCTCCCATGAAAGCATCTTTGCCGGCGGTGTTGAAGGTCTTGCTCGTAAGCTCTTCCGCCTTCTTTTCGGTGTCCAGGTTCTAACTGGCGCCGCAGATCCAAGCGGCAGCGATGGACTCCTCAAAACCCTTGAACTCACCCTTCCTGCCCCACTCGGCACGGCCGTTGTCCAAGGGCATGATTTCGCTGATGTCCTTTTGGGATCGATAGTCACGGATGACTGTGTTGCCTCTCCCATCGGGATGGTTGACTGCAATCGGATCGGGCTGGCCGGTGTAGGGGTCGATCAGGCAGACGAAATCACCCACTTCGATGGGGCCGCGGTAACCATGATGGGTGAGGGAGCGCGTGTTAGCGACTTGTCGCGCAACTTTCTCGGCCAACGACGCGCAGCCTTTGCTGAATGGAGATTTCATTATGAATGTCTGAGGGCCGGGCTGTGATGTGACGAAAGGATCGTCGTCGAACACCGATCCAGTCCGGCGACCAAGCACGGAGACACTGGACCGGCGAGCAGAAGGGGTTTGGTTTACGTCGATAGTTGAGTCGGAGCTAGGAGATCGCGTGGGAGAGTTGAGAGGCGGGAACTTGACACTTCGAAGAGTAGAGGGTACGGCAGGAGAGCTGCTATATGTGGTTTGCTTCAACGGGCTCGGGACCTTGACCACGCTGGCTCGTCGATTCTTGTCAGTATCTGATGAAAGGAAAGTCAACGAAACCAGACGAAGAATATCGGATGGAATTTGACGCAGAGATATATTTATCAAGGAAAAGCATACAACTGAGACAACTGAGTTGGTGATACAGGGTTAGGGAGCAATACTCACAAAGTCGCGCCCGAACAGGGTGCCCCTGCCCGGATGAGAACGCCGCTGTCATCGGATTCTGCAACGGGCGACCGTTTGGACTGAATGTCGTGATTGTGGCTTGATTCTGTTAGTGAAAAAACTGAATCTGGTATGATGCGAAGACTCGACGGGCAAAACGTACGAGACCGGATCTGTGACGGTGAAGCTCCTAGAGCTGGGTGAGGTGAAGTCGCGGGCATGTTGATATGCCCGTTTCCTTTTGCTGCGGCTCTAGTCGTCTTGTTGTTTCCTGGGTAATATTGATTAGTGTATGGGCGATTTTTGTTGATTCATGTGGAGAGGGCTCACGTGTCCAGCTTTGTAGGAGTAATGAGCCAAAGACGGGTTGTGTGTGGGTGTGGCAGGGCGATTGTTACTGTATTGTTGACCAGCCGTTGGGGAGCATCCGAACGATGAGGCGTTCGCTGAGTGTTGGTTAGTAAAGATTTCATACCGTTTCGTTTTCTTGTGCGTGTTTAGACAAGATTTACGAGACCAGTACTGTGATGGAGCAGAACCTGTGATGGAGGCGGAGGCGTCTGGAACCTAACATCATGTTGGTTTGTTGCCGCCGCCGGACCGAACGACGTGAGAATGACAGAATCTGGGAGATTCAGGTGATACTTTAGTTTTTCTTTGGGTTGTAGAGATAACGCTCTCACAAATTCCGTTCTGAATGCGATAAATTCGTGCTTATGCTCTGACGGGCAATCTCACCAACCAGTTGTATTATTGACTTCCTACAACCGCGGGGTTGGACTCAAAGTCGCCAGATAGTAGGAAAAGCAAGTATATGTGAAAAACTCGAGTTGCGCTCCTTAATTCAATAAAATTACGCGAAGAATATGGCAGATGAAAAGAAGTCGTGTCTGCCTTCGAGTGACGGTGCCGTTGGCTGGATGCGATGACCTACTGCACTCTCAAGACCGGATATCCAGTTTGTATTATGGTTTGTTCAGTACCCAAATACTGTCGCATAGGCTTACAGCCCATGATATCGTGTGAAGAAGTTTTGAACTGGTCTTGTCCCTGATCTTCCACTACCGGCGGGCCGCTAGTGAAGCCGACGTGGGATTGGATCGTATGTGTTGACAGAGCTCTGTGTGCCGCGAGAGCCATCTGAAATTGGGGCAAACTTCTCATATCACGATAGTGATCCAAGATGGCAGGGAATGCCTGCCATCTATGGAAATATCCACATGTTTGCGGACATATTCGTTACGGACCTGAAATAGGGTCTCGGCGCCTTGGTTGGGTATGACGAAGCTATTGCGGATCTGGTCTGCTCGTTGCTGAATGTGCGCGTCGGCTCGCTGATCTTGCATCTCATACCAACCACTGTAGTCTTCGGCTTTCGCCTGTTGTTTCTCATTGCCCTCACGTAGTTGTATCGGATGCCTGCATATACGTGCGAGATGCCATGACGAAAAGCTAGATTATTTCCAAACTTATATGCTTTAATGCCCCACTTGGTGATAACCAGACCTCAGTATTAGCTAGAATTCCCAAGGATTAACAGTTGAATGAGCGGATGTATCTCGAAGCAAGACATACGACGCCCGTGGAAGCAAATGTGATCAAGCGTCAGTATTGTCCGAGAATAAAAGAATAACCATAAGGCTACGATTTTAGTAAACTGCCTTCACCCGATCGCTGTTTTCATAGAAGCCCTTCAACTTCCAAGGTAATGTCAACCATGGGGAACTCTGTCCTATTCCCAGCAGTCGAGTTAGAGACAGAAGGATCCGTAGAGAACCCTTCAACCATGTAGAGACTATCGCCGACTTGCACCGCAGCGGTAATGGTACCTCCTGGCGCCGCCAAGGAGTTGTTCGGCACCGTACCGAGATGCTCAGCCGATTGCCACGATCCATCACTGGAGCGGAGAACGGTGATGCCCTTTGCGTTTTCGGCAACGAGCAGAACTTTGCCGTCGTACTTCTGTGGCAGATATATAACACCAGTCATGGCCAATGTTGCGTCGGGCGATCTACGAACAAGCACAGGAGTGCCCTTCTCAGCCGTCATATCGAAACGGTAAATCTGTGAATCCTCGTTGTTACTGGTTATCAGGATATTTCCAACTGCTGCAAGTCCTGAAAAACCAGTTTTGGTGTTGTCAATTTTCGCAGGTAGATACCAAGGAATAATATCAGAGCCTTCCTGGTTTACTTTCATTATAGTTCCTGGGAACGTCCCGACGACGTAGGTGTTTCCAAGGGGGTCGTATCCGATATCCCGGAAGCCAGCATACTCGCCCTTGGAAACATCGGTGATGTTCTTGCTCCACAGCACCTGTTTCTTGGCAACATCGTACTTGGTTATAAAGCTGTCGCCGGATACATTTTGCCCGGCGGCGTTGAAGGGGGCAGCGGCATTAGTGACGATAGACACAAGATTCGTGTGCTGATCGACTCGGACGCCGCCGATTTGAAGGTTCGGGTTCTGTGTGATGTCGCTCAACATCAAAACGTCGACTATCTTATTCATGTAAGGGTCGTAAACAACAACACTGGCATTGGCTTTGGACCTGACACTATCTTTAGCAACAGCACTCAAGAGTATACCAGTGAGACGCACCCGAAGTAAAGGACGCAATTATCAACATCCCAGTCCGCACAGTCGGGATAAAGTTGGTGTTGATGAATCACGAAGCTGCCATTTGCGAATGGAAGGCATCGCCTCTCTAATTGGGGTGTGCTCTCGACAGGCGAAAGGGTGCCAAGCACGACGACCAGGATGTTAACCAGAAGCGTGTGAATATCCATCTAGACACAAGCCCAACGCCTCTTGCGTTGTCATGAGATGAATCTCTACAGCCGTAGGAAACGTGTGTAAACGGGAGTGGTGAGCAGTACATCGTGGTATATCGACACGAGCCTCTGCATTCTGAAGTGTTTGCTATCGTCGTCAAATAAAAACATTGAGGGTGGCGATCAAACTTTTTTCTTGACTTGCAATTGGGCATCTTCGAAGAAGAGACTTCATTGCTCCTCTCTTGCTTTATGTGACTGCATACATATCGCGGGGTGATGGTCTTGAATGGCAGCCGGGTAGTGGCAGAGTGTATTTCTAAGTTGGGTGGGCAGCCTTGGATGGAGTTGAGGCTCCAGGCAAAGACCCTGAACAATATATGTCTGGTAGTTAGGGAAGCTTTTCCGAGAGTTTGAGATGACGGCAAGTTGTAGGTGTAGCTATGACGCGTCGGCAATGCCAAAACGTTCATACATCAACTCTGGATAATGTATTCCTGCCCTGAGGCCCCAACGAGGCATGCTTATCCGGCATCTGTCATCGGTAGACCTCAAGTTAAACCACCCACCTACTCAGAAAGTGTCATTTGTAAACCGCAGAAGGAATGCTGTCCCAGAAGGATAATTGAGGGGTAAATGTGCGTGGACCGAAGCCAATAGCCCTGTGTGAATACCCAAGTCGTTACATAGTTCCGTGCGAATAGGTCGTGCGTTGCGTTCGTTGCACTGGAGATTTGACTGAGGCCCTTGATGTGGGCAGATCGGCGAAGCAGCCGATACGACAGTTGCGACAAGGGCCATATTCTAGAGTAAGAAAGCTTGATGATGGCGGCTTCGGCAAATGGCCGTACTGCCGACTAAGCGCTCTAAACGTGGAGAACAGGGGATGCGTGTATATAGTCGTATCAGCTAGGATTCGAGGCTGGGGATTAAGGCAGTTCTGGTGCGGTCGTTTCGCGGGCTGTTGGACAGTGAATCTGCATTTGATGGTACTTAATGCTCGGATTTAAGCAGAATCATGTCGTTCTCACCTTGAATCGGAGATGTGCAGAGTTTCGGTGTTCCAAGATGTTTCTTGCATCGTCACCAGGGCTCACCAAGTCGGCTACAGCGTCAAAGACCAAGGGAGGGCAGAATGAATTATCCCTCAAGACTCACTGGCAGATACAGTGAAGCACCCCCTCATCTCCAAGAGCCCTTGCTTCACATAAGGCACGAAGACATTGGAGGGATGGGTTATCTAGCGAAACGGTGTCATTGTCACACCGGGCCAACGCTCGGTGGTCTAGCAAGTCTGATCGCATGCTATGGATTGGGAGAAGTCTATCAGTCTTTTCTCATGAAGCATCCTCCCTGCTCCATCATATTATGCTTTTGGGTCTTAGCTATCCGCACATGGATGGATGTACAAGCCACCGGCTCACCGGCTTCGGAGTCTTTCCTTACATGGTCGCCGCCACTCAAGGGAGATTGGATGTACCTGGCTAGCATATGGTTGAGCCACTCGCGAATCTGCCCAGAAAAGCTTATTTGCACGGTTCAAGCACTCCCGCAAACCCGTTCCGTTTTTGGAAACCGGGCCTTGCAATTTGGCACCAGTTTCCGTGGATGACATGCCGCTTGCTTTACACACCACCAACAAGATCTTGCTTCTATAAGTGGTTGGTGGACAACAGGCAGTTTCGGACGGCCCGTTCCACACACCCTGGCACGGCCACTTACAATACTCTTTGTACCCCCGTTTCCTTCGCCAAGACTTCGGCTGGCCGGTTTGCAGCTTCCGTCGGTGCTACGAGACTCGGCTTCGACGGATGACAACAACCGCGTCTGCAGGCCAACAGGTCTAACACGGCACGGCTAAAATGATACAACGCCACTCCTGGTGTGGCACGTCTCGAGAGCCTGCTAGGTATTGTAAGCCATTGGACGAATGCGCGTCTAGCCATATGCTTCATCCCAAGACATGGCGAAAAAGCTCCATGTTACCTTACCGGTCTGTCTGACCGCCAGCCCATAGGGGACATACATATGTCGTTCTCCCTGTTCCATCCTACATTTCTAGGGAGGCCACTGTCCTCCTGCTTCTCGTTCAGTCCGTTCTCTGTGTCCTATGGCCCTTGTTTGGCACGCCGTAACGTTGACCGTCCATGTTGACTCGTGAGCTTGCAAACACAGTCTACTTGAGCCTTGTTCGGCAATGAACAGTCGACTTCCTCGAATTGGAGACCCAATCTGAAATTAGCTATGCCACAGAATAGAGCTGCCGAGTCGGCCCTCGCCTTCGATGATGAGACTGTTGTAGCGGTTCATGATGGCGTAGCGCTGAACGCCGCCGGTCACAAGGATCAACTCAAACGCCAATATGGATTCCTTGGGTTAGCTAGCTTGGCCCTCACAGTGGATAACGCCTGGTTAGGGTTGGGATCCTCCATCTCCGTGTCAATTCGTAAGTTCAGGCCGGGCCTTGCTAGTACAATGTCATAACGAGTCGGGACCGGTCTAGTCAACGGTGGCCCACCCGGCATCATATACGGCCTCCTTGTTGCCGTCTTCTACTACACTCTAATTGGCTTGAGTTTATCAGAGGTGTGTTGGCCACTGCCCTTCTTCTTATTGTGCGAACTATTTAAGCACATTCTCTAATACGTCTACAAGCTTGCCTCGTCAGTGCCCACGGCTGGGGGCGTTTACCACTGGGCGACTATCGCCGGAGGTCCTCGGTGGGGTCGAGCACTCGGCTTCTTCACCGGCTGGATCAACTTCTCCGGCTGGCTGTTCGCCCTGGCTTCCCTGATTCAGATCTCAAGCAACGTCGCCGTGAGTATGTACGCTGTCTGGAACTGGGATGACTATGTCTGTCAGCCGTTCCATGTCTTTATCGGGTATCTCATCATTCTCTGGGGATCGGCTGCCTTCGTTGTCTTTGCCAATAAGTACACCCCTTACACTCAGCATGCGGGGACCCTTTTTGTCATGATTGGCGGTGTCGTCACTATCATCGTTCTCGCCACCATGACAAGGCAACATGCAAGCAATCACTTTGTATGGGCATCCTTCCATGAGAACAACGCCACAGGATGGCCTGGCGTAGTCGCTTTCTTACTGGGTGTTCTTAACGGTGCTTTCACCATTGGCACGCCCGACTCCGTTACTCACATGGCTGAAGAGTTGCCCCATCCCAAGACAGACCTTCCCAAAGCCATACTTCTTCAGATATTCCTTGGCTTTATCTGTGGGTAAACACTGCAATGATGTATAAACTAGGCTGACTTGCTGCAGACGCCTTTTGTTTCGCCGTCGCACTGTCATATGCCATCACTGACATTACAGCTCTCCAAGGCGGTTTCAACTCGTTCCCTCTGACCAACATATATGTACAGGCGACTACAAGCCCGAATGGCATCCGAAACCCTGGTGCGGCTTTTGGGCTTCTATTTATCATTCTCTGTTGTACCCTGACATGTTGTGTAGGCCTCATACTGACGGTGAGCAACCCTTTTGGGGGCTAATGACGGCACTTGGTCCCACCGATTCCTAAATCATTCTCAGGTCTCGAGAACATACTGGGCCCTTGCTCGAGATGATGCAGTTCCCTTTTCAAATGTGTTCGCGCAAGTCAATGAGCGTCTGAGTTGCCCCGTTTGGGCAACCTTGTTCGTCTGTGAGTCACTCCCCCCTCTCTATTGAGGCTTGCCCTTCTTAACGATCGCAAACCAGGCTTCGGCGTAACTTGTCTGGGTGTCATACCACTCGGCAGCTCTGCAGCCTTTCTGGCATTGGCAGGCTCATTCATCATCCTAACATCTGTGTCCTATGCGATTCCGTTTGCCGCCAACATGATTTCGGGCCGAAGATATTTCCCACGAGGGCCGTTCCACTTGGGAAAGGCTGGATACGCCATCAACGGGCTCTCCGTGTTCTTTATCATAATGTTTGACGTTCTTTTCTGCTTTCGTGGGTCTTCTCTCGCCTCGAGACATTACAAATATCGAGTGCTAACGGGACGACCAACCAGCTTTTGTGTTGCCAGTTACAGTAGCGACCATGAATTGGAGTAGTGTCATACTGGTAGGAACTGTAGCCATCACCGCCTTTTGGTGGGCGTTTCATGCGTCTAAGCACTACCCCGGCCCGAAGGTGATGGGTTTGTACGTTGCAACAGATGGCATGACACCAGTGGTAACGGAAAAAGACAGTGAAGGAACTACGGTGTCAGAAGTCAAGACTTCATGAGTTATCTAGTATATCATCTCATGTTTCAACGATAGGTACACTATGCAGTGAACTGATAATGGTACCTAGCCAGCTGTTATAGTGGGAGGCTAAGTCGAGAGTTTTGGAAGCATAAAAATAGCCATTTAGAAAAGAGACATTACCTATCAAGTAAGCGAGATGCTGAATGAACGTGGCTTCAGCTTTGTTCGCATGAACTGCGACCCTAGCAACGTGCACATAGGTTACAATCGATGAAACATACACGTGGTACAATTCATAAAATCGTCAACTCATGGGCCACCACATGTATGTTTAGCTACCTATTTTGTAATCAAACCAACCCCTTAGAAGGCTTTTGAGACCTTTCATGTGTTCAAGACTGGTTCATTCACATCCAGTTGAACAAATTTCATCCTCAGATTTGCTTCTCGTTTGACTCCCTGGAGACGTGTCCAGTCTCGTTATGATGCATACTGGCCTTGCGTGATCCATCATGGTCTTGGTCGTCTTCGGCCAATTCATATAGAGCTGGGAAAGGCTTTACGTCGCGACGCAACAAGTACTTGTTGGCGTACCAAGGGATCTTTGACGAGTAGTACTCGGCATGGTCGCGGCTGCGGACGGAAAAGACACTGTCGAGCTCTTCCAGCGTTAGGTTCTTGGTCTCCGGGAGCCAGAAGTATGCGACAACGAAGCCGAAGATGTTCCAGCAGGCGTACCACACGAAGGCGCCTGTTGGACCAAAGCTCTCTATCATAGAAGGCCACGTGAAGCTGATGATGAAGTTGAATCCCCAGGTGACGGCTGTGGCGCTGCTCATTCCGATGTCACGGATGTGCAACGGGAATGCCTCCGCACTGTAAGTGAACGGTACGGGACCAGCGCCTGGCGAATACACCGCTGCAAAAAGGTAGATGCCGGTTGCAATGCAAGCCAGTCTTGCAGTACCGTCTGGCATCAGGAAACTGAAGCCGGTGAAAAACAAGCAGAGCGACATGAGAGGGAACGTGACCAAAAGAAGGTTCCTCCGGCCGAACGTATCGATGGTATAGAAAGCAGGGAGAGCGAAAATCCAGTTGATCAGCCCCATCCCCATTGAAGTGAGAAGAGCTGAACTGCGATCGAAATTGGCCATCTCGAAGATATTTGTTGAGTAGTACATCCTGTGTCATTGGTTAGCCTCATAATACACAGCTTCATTTGAATGATGGTTCGCTTGCATAGCATTAATGCCTGCAAAGGTTTGTCACAAGTCAGCAATTGTACGATGGGCCTGGGATCTATAGGGGAACGTTGAGTAGCACGAACCGCAAAACTGTTGCATGAACATGACGAAGTACGAAGCCATTGCTGCACGCCTGTTCCTTCGGACGGTGAAGAAGTCCTTCCAGTTACGGCCACTACGCGCCCGGTTCTCGATCTCTAAGAGCTTGTATGCATAAAACATATCTCTCGCCGCCTGAATAGGGTGGTGACGGAGTCGCAAAGTTGACTGGAAAGCTTTCTGATACTTTCCCTTTTCCATATACCATCGTGGACTTTCGGGACAAAAGTAGACCTGCACAAAGGTCAGATTGCCATTTTACAGCGGTATGGGGAGTAATGCGCCACGAAGAGCGGAATCAGACTAGAAAACTCACCTGTACCATGACTACCAAGGGGGGCAGGGATGTGCTAGCAAGCATCCATCGCCACTGAGTGTTCTCTCCTAGAAAATCAGTGTTTCTAAATGCAACGGAGACGATGAAGCCCAAGGCTATTCCGAACGCTGTCCACATCTAGATGTGTGTCAGCTGATTGAAATCACATGTGCTCTGTAAGTGCCCCCTTACCTGCCACATCATCGTCAAAGCACCGCGAATAGACTTGGGTGTACTCTCTGCTGAATAGACTGGCGTAGTGCTGCTCTTTGCACCAACGGCGAAACCGAGCATAAAGCGGGCGATCAAAAGGTTGTACCAACTTTTGGCGGCTTAGAACTACATGATTCAGGAGGACGGCATGATACCTTACCTGTCGGCCGCAGCCATCCAAAAACCAGTGACGACGGAGAAGAAGCACGAGATGAAGATGGTTCCTCGTCGTCCAGTGTACTTGTTGAGCAGAGGAGAGCTCCAGCATCCGACAAGCGCAGAGCAAAGATACGGGGCTCCGTTGACCAGACCCTGCATTCTTGCGTCCCGTAGGTCAAAGGTCGCGTAGTAGTACTCCTGCACCATTGTTAGCACCACTTACCGATCATTTACATGGATCGAAACGTACCTGAGCACCATTGACGGCTGTTTGGTCCATTCCCTGTACTGTATGTGAGCGGCATTAGCATTTGCGTTCTGTCAGACATGATCCCAGTGAAATGGAAACTGCCAACCTATAGCACTGCCTGCACAAAGAGCGCAAAGAAAGTAAAGGGACTTTGGCTGGCTCCAGCGATGGGTTATTTCTTTTCGTAGTACTGCCTTCTCCTCGTCGTCTAGGGCGGTGATGGGTTCGAAACCGTCGGGCTTATTGATCACTTGGGCAACCATTGCACCCTTGCGGAAGATTTCTCGGTGCTCTTGCAACCCTTTCGAATCGGTGAAGTTATCAGCCTCCGCCACAAGCTCATCGGTGGTGAGTCCAACGAGCGGGTTGCGGAGCAAAGCGGCAGTAGAGGCTCGCGCCGCCTTGTCTGAGCTGTCAGGGCCAGCATGGGCCTCTTCGACAGGAGATGACTCCGTGTCAGCCTTTGGCAGAGGCATGGCTGGTAGTGATGATCGTTGCTCCTTCAAGCTTTCTGGTTTGAACCTAAACACCAGTTCACCTGAACAACGAAGTGCCAGGTATCAACAGTCGGGGCTGGTAGAAAGACGTGGGGAGGAGGATGAATCTGGTGACATGAGGAGATTGCTTTGGTAGTGGACCTTAAATAGTCCGAGGACGCCGCCGTTTCCCCAGAGTCCGACAAAAGATGTTCATTAGACCCTGATACACCCCAGAAAGAGCGGCGGTTTCTCAGCCGGGGGCGGCACACATTGTTTGGAGCCAATGTACCTACGCACACAATATACATGGAGGAGTGGAATGACCAAGAAAAAGTATGGAGAGAAAAGGCTCGGCTACAGCCTAGCTGCATGATGTGATGACCAGCTGCTCCAACTTCTGCGAATGTCTGTCCAAGCCGAGTACTTCTCGGTGGGGAAAGCATTCAACGGCTTATTACATTTCCATGTTTCCAGGATGTGACTAGTCGTACAATCGCCCCAACAGGGTCATGTGAAGCCCATGGGCTGTGGTCCGGAGAAGAATGCGGCGAACCGCAGCGGTAGCTTGCGATTTCATGTTCCACTTGGATGCTTGCTACGCTTGCAGGAGCTATGAGATTGCGGCCTTCGACTGCTCTTCTTCTTACACGGTTTCGAAAAAGGGCTGGCCTCGTTTAAAGCGATAGTAAAAATAGCACCTGTTGCCGAGCAAGCAAACCACCAAATCCATACGACAGAGCGTTCAGTAAGATGGCACTGAAAGGGCACAGAATGGCGAGGATTCTGGAACGTAGGAGAAATAGGCACAAGGCTAGCCGTGTCCCAGGTAGCACTCCAACGTGCGTTTGTCGCCGGTCAGCCTCCAAGACGGCCAAGTAGCCGTTGGCGGTAGTTGGATGGTGATCGGCAAGGCAGCCAAGCGGTGCTCGTGCTGGGCAACCATAGACACTGATTGTGGCCCGCGGCAACGAGAATCAATGAAAGGCCGGCATCATTGGGCTTTCTCGGTATCAGTCTCGGCAGTCGGCGCGGCATTCGTCATCCTCAATTAGTGAGATGCAGGCCGACAGGGGGTCTGAAATTCCTGCACGCGTTGATGATACCTATATGGTTGTAAATCCGATGAGTGGTAAGATAAGCTCTAGCGCTGCACTCTGGATAATCCTGGGGATAATCTGGTCAGAAGGTAAGTGCGAGGGGAAAGCTCGCTTGTCTCGGTGATGTATGACTTCATACCAAGCCTTGGTCGAGATCTAAGCTGTCATATTGGCTCTACAGTGATCGTTGTGTCGTCATTGCTTGGGCAATAAGATGACAATAAAAAGAAGAATCATACTACTAACCCCGTGGCAGCGATGTTCGCTTCAATTTGAAGCTTGTATCTCGACTTCTTGCTGAGATTTCCCACAGCTCTGCGGGAGACACCAAAATGTGGGCGAATAGAGAGAGACACGGTCCCCATGCCGTTTTGCTTGACCTTTTCCGTCACCGAACTTGACACTACCACAAGGTGTGCAATGAGATGTCAACTACTTTGCCAGGTTTGGGCTTCTGGTAAGACTCTCCAAAGCCTGGTTGGTGAATGTTATTAGTTGCTACAGAAATCCAGAAGAGGAGGTGTCTACGACGTCCCCGGCCTCCATTCTCTGCTGCAAGCAAGAATTGCATGGTCAGCACTATCGAGATACTGACTTCACTGGCACCAAAACAAACAATAGAATATGAGGTTTTCCAAAAGACCAAAGTCAAGCAGAAGCACGGAATAGACATACCGTACCTGATAGAGTGTCTCTCTTGTGTTGACTGAAATATACCCAGTGGCCCTGTGAGGGGCAAGTAACACAAAGCAGATGCGAGTTGTGTTTGGCTTGGGGGATCTTCAATAAGATTGGCCTCGTTTAGCTATTATTGACTTTACATTTCGATATGGTAACATTCACAAACGTGGGACTACTCTTGGCAATGGTTGGTCTATTTGCGGTACGTGTTCCATAACTGAGATCGACATGAAACTATGGTCTTCTTTGTACGAAGCGGTAACTGGTTATTGGGGTAATATTCCTCACTCTGTACGCTTCTATGGTTTCTCGAATGCCATCACAGCATACTGGAAGGTTCCGTTGGCATATCCGCGCCTCATCGCGCGGAAGGATTGCAAGAAAGCAATGCCGTCCCGTCCCTGGCTGAAGGCGAAGGCCCAGAGAGACGGGTTCTGGATGAGAGACCAGGTGATGTCCCTAGATGGGGGATTAGTTCTAGGCGTGGAATTCGACTGTGTGCGGCGACTTACCAAGTCCTGCTCACGTCTTTGCTGATTTCTTTTGGCCCCGCAACCGAGGAAAGTCCGGCACCCTTGGCGAGGTCGACATATCCCTGTTGAGTACATAAAGGTGGCAGAAGCATACCATCTGGTATTGGAAATAGGTTAGCAGGGATTCGTCGAACGCAAGGTGACATGAAGATGACCGCTCACCTTCAATCGGTTTGATGTCGTTGACGAAGTCGGTCTCGCTGAGGCTCTCAGCCTTGAACCAGTCGGCCAGCGCCAACTTCCCACCAGCCTTGAGCACCTTGAATGTGTTTTCGAAGAACAAGGCTTTGTTGGGGAAGTGGCTCAGGGCCTCACTGATCCAAACCGCATCAAAGGAGCCTCCTTCGGCGGCGAAGAACTCGCCCATCTTCTCGGCGTCGAGCTCGATGAAGCGGACCTTACCCTGGCCCAGATGGAAGTAACCATCGCTATCCGGCTCAGCCTCGGACTTCTCCGACTCCTTTGACGCCTCGGCTTTGGTCAGTCGGTTGGCGATCTCGACCTGCTTGGTCGAGATGGTGATGCCAGTGACTGAGCAACCGAGCGTGGAGGCAAGGTAGCGGGAGGTGCCGCCAATGCCACAGCCAACGTCGAGAACTCTGCTGTTCTCGCCTACGTTGGAAAGTTTTAGCAGCAGTTGAATGAGCTTGATTTGGGCTTGCTCCTTGGTCTCAGAGCCGTCTTCCCAGTAGCCGTGGTGAATGTGTTCGCCCCTGAAATGGTCAAGTCAGTCCGGCAACGTTCTTGAACACATGAGATTGAGCAGATGACTTGTGCACGGTCTCAAAATCTTCGGAAGCTGGCAAGGTGAGGAAGGGATGAACCAGAGGTTTGGAGTGGAAAGGGTGTGACATTGGGCAAAGTGAGTGAGAGGAAAAACACCGAGTAGCCTACCAGAGGCTCAGGTAATAGTCACTGGCGAGATCGTAATGCAGCTTGATCCTGTCCTTCAAAGCCTGCATCGTCGAGTGAGCCAGGCCGAGAGGGGTATCATATTGCTTGCTGAGCTCCGTGTTGGAGTTGTCTACGGCGGCGGCCATCTCGGGAAGCGGAAAGAGGGTGCTGAAAATGAGTGAGGAGAGATGAAAGTAAGTGGTTTCCGATGTGAAGATGCTGTTATTTTTATTTTTATGTTTTAAAGTTCCTCAATTGACTTCTGTAGTGTGCTCCGGGCTGAAGTTGTCGAATGAGATGAAAATGCGCGAATATGAATCAACAGAGACACCCACACTCAGCTCTGAGAGCTTCGAGCTTTCGGGAGAGAGCTCTAAGCCAATAAGAGCACCAGACATATCTCCCAGTCAAATCATACGGTTGAGGACCCCGCAGCACGTTCGAGGCGCAAGGACGTGCGTGCACCCTCAGCTTATGGTAGCTACCGCCAGTAAGAATGAGCATTAGTGAGGGAACATAGACGTCATGGTTTCCGTTGGGTGAAACGGGAAAGCTAAAACGCCCACCTACATGGTACTGTAGGTAGTACGGATACGCTACTACTACTACCTACACTTGGGTACTCAAACAGCCAAGGTTGGGGTCAACCCCTTCTGTGTCTTATGTAATATGGATCAAGCCACTCATTAGCCACACATGCACTACATGGTACTATGTACATATGGGGTCGGCAAGCCACATGTGCCAAAAATAGCTGGCACAACTCAGTCGATCCCAATACAGTTTCCCCAGCCACCACCATCTCCAACCAACCGCCGGCACATGTCGCAGCGTGGCAGTGCCGCTGCCCAGTATTTGTACCGGCCGGGGGGGGCCGTGTGGAACCCCTTTCAAAGCCAACCCAAACCAAACCTACCGGTACTGACTGGTGTTGGCTGACTTGCGAGCCGGCGTCTGTGCTGTGTGTTGCAAGTTCAGATCAAGGAAGGGAAAACTGGGGAGAGACAGGGGGAATGCAGCCCCAGCCTCAGCCCAGCCCAGCCCACGTCCGCGTAAGCTCTTCTTCATCTTGCTTGTTTACGTATCCATATAGGTACCGAGCCCAAAAAGAAGAATAAAGAAGAAGATACGGCATTCAACAGTCTTTATTAAGACCCCTGGACCCCTGGCCCTCCCTCCCCGAAAACGCGTTGACGGCCGGTCTGTCGCTACCAACTGTCATCACCATATCAACACCAACAACACCACAAACCATGGCTCCTGTTCCACCAACGACGGCCAGGCAGAGCCTGGCCCGGGCCGGCGCCATCGCTTCTCACCTCTGGAAGCGCGCCGCCGTCGTCGTCCTCCCCGAGGTCGCCCGCGCAACCACCTCCCACGCCCTCGCGCGCCGCAACCTCACCGTCAACCACACCCAGGGCGTCACCCTGGGCGTCATCGGCGCCTATGCCGTCATCATCGCCATCCTCTGGAACGTCCCTTTCCTGCGTCAGGTCCTCTGGCCCTTCAAGATGCTCGTCATCGCCTTCCATGAGTTCGGCCACGCCATCACCGCCTGCTGCACCGGGGGCAAAGTACTGTCCATCACCCTCGACCCCAACGAGGGCGGCGCCACGTTGATGAAGGGCGGCAAGCAGGCCATCACCCTCCCGGCCGGCTACTTGGGGTCCTCGCTCATCGGCGGTCTGCTCATATTCTGCGGCTTCAACATCATCGCTTCCAAGATCGCCTCCATGGTGTTAGGCGTTTGCTTCCTGTTGACCCTCTGGTGGGGTAAGAAGGATTGGCTCACAATTCTTACCGTGCTTCTCGCTGTCGGTCTGCTGGTTGCCGCCTGGTTCATCTCACACGCTCAAGCGTTGAGGTTCGTTGTTGTAAGTCATGCTCGATGCCTGCTGCCAACTCTTCGTGCCATCGCGCTAACCCCCCACTGCTAGCTCTTCATCGGCGTCATGAGCTCCCTGTACTCCGTCTGGGATATCTGCGACGACCTCATCCTGCGTAAAGTCAACAGCTCCGATGCCAGTGTCTTTGCCCAGCGCTACGGCGGTTCCTCCCGCTGCTGGGGTCTGATCTGGTCCGTCATCAGCATCTGCCTCATGGCAGTCGCCATCGTCGCGGGTCTCGCCGCTTTCCCGCAGTCCTTTGCCGAGCAGGAGAACGACTCCAAAAACTTCCTACCCACCAGATGATTTCTATTGGAAGAGCGACGCAGTTCAGCTCGCTAGCCCCACGAAATAGGTTGCAGCGCGTTCCTCGCTGCCGCTCATCTTGATCGTTTTTTGAGCAGACGGTGTGGGAAACGTCAACCGTGTCGCGAACAAGGACGTGAATGATGCATACGGTTCGTGCAACGCTTCGTGCCGCCGACGACAGCTTTCATTTCTCTTGGCTTGGACGATCTATCGGCGACTCCGAAGCAGTACGCGTGGGAGATTTACATTGTGCAAATGCAACGTATTTGACCCACATGCCCGAATGCGGGTATTGGGGGCCCATAGGCGGAGACGCGGTGGCCATGTCGTGTTCAGTCGAACATTGTCCGGGTGGTTCGTCACAACGACAGCTCTTGGAACAGAGTTGTCCGCTGTTGAACAAAAAATGCGACCGAGAGACCGTACCGGTGTTTTGTAGGTCGCACACCGTCATGGACGAGGCGGCAAAGGCGGTCGAGTACGTCTGCATCCTACGGTCCTTCATTTTTCACGACCATTCCAGTGTCAGAAGGGGTCTAAAAGCTACGTCTGATACCGGTGCCTTTCCCCCTCTGGAACCCTATACGAGATGAGGGTTGAATCTGACGGGAGGAGTTTGCCAGGAGGCATCTTTCATTTCCAACCACGAAGCATGTGTGCACAGAGTCGCACTCGGTCTCAGCAAGACCATCTTCATCATCAGTAGTACTATTGTGAGGTAGTTTGTTCATTTGTGCTAGTGTTAGCTATGCTCTCTAAGTATGTGGAGTAATGTAAGAGTGGTATCTCGCTTGCATGCATCAATCACGACAAAATCTCATTTTCGCATTTACAGCCTCACCCGTCCACCATTAAGCTCGTCCCAGTCCCGTTTCGAGAAGGGAACATATGTGTCGTTCTTCAGCCAATACACATCGCCGGGGATGCCTGGCTTAACGCCTTGAGCCCGCAAGTCGTGTTTTTGCTGCTTGTTCGTACCGGTTCTCTGCATAGCATGGGGAGGTATGACGCGCAGGAAGAGGGGCAGAGCGTACTTGGGCAACGACTCCTTCACATGCTTCGCGATGCTCTTCATGACCTCATCCGATGGCTTGCAGTGCAGGACCACAGCGGCGCATCCCGCACGGCCGTCATGGTTCGGCAGCTCCACGCCGTATACGTTGGCTTCTTGGACAGCCGGATGCGAACCTACCGCCTCGCCAACCTCTTGTGTCGATACGTTCTCGCTCTTCCAGCGGAAGGTGTCACCTATACGGTCGGAGAAGTAGAGTCGTCCTTCGCAATCCCATCGCACCACGTCGCCTGTCCTGAACCACGCATCTCCCTTTGAGAAAACGTCGCGCATAATCTTGGCCTTTGTCGCATCGGGGTTGCCATAGTAGCCCTGGAATCGGCGGTTGAGATCGTTGGGGGAGAGCCTGAAAATGAGTTCTCCTGGCTCCCCGGGTTTGGCGGGCTTGCACATGCCGGTTTTCTTGTCTCGTAGTGGTGCTTCATTGTTCTCGTCCATTTGAGCAAGCGCAACGTCAAAACCCAGAATGAGGCTGTAGAGCATGCCGTTTCTTCCGACGGCCCCCTTGGCAAAGTCGTTCCGGCTCAGGTTCCAGGTTCCAAAGGAACCCTCGGTTGCAGCATAGAACTCGGCAATGGTGTCGATTCCGAATCTGTCTTTGAACTTGTTCCATACATCTGGCCTGAGCCCATTGCCGAAAGCCACCCGTACTCTGTGCTTTTTATCGAGGTTTTCTCCGGTGAGGGGGTCGATCTGGGGTGGTGCAGCCAGAAGATATCGACACGTCTCGCCGACGTACTGAATGATGGTTGCCCCGGACGAGCGAACCTCCTCCCAGAACACTTTTGTCGAGAACTTTCGTCCAATACAGATAGCGCCATTTGCCTCGAGGACGTTGAGAAAGCCCAGGAGGGCGGCAGAGCTGTGGTACAGGGGCATGGCCTACTCGCAGTTAGGAAAGCAAAGGGGGGGGGGCGGAGGCGGAGGCTAGGGAGCGACATACGGTGTAGAAAACCTCGGTTGAAGAGTTGCCGGTGAATCTTGACGTTAAAACACCCCCGACGATGCACTTTCCCCATGACACAATGGCCGGCTTGGGCATGCCAGTCGTTCCCGACGTATAGATGAGGATGGCCAGGTTCTGGTACTGGCTCTCGGATCGGTCAGAATCCGGCGCACGCCTGGGCTCAGTAGCGTTGATTTCTCGGTGCAAAGCATCATCTAACACGACGAACTGCACGGTATCCAGCTCTCTCCTCACGTCTTCACCAACATTGGCGACGACATTGGGATCTATGAGCATCAGCTTCGTCTTGGCAGCCTTGGCGCAGTGTGCCAGCGGCTTGCCGGTCAAGTTGTAGTTGATGAAGGCGGGCTTTGCGCCAATTGACCAAAGGCCGAGCCATAAGAAAATGAAGACGTCGGAATTTTGGAAGTTTATGGCGACGATGTCCTTGGGCTTGACGCCGAAGCGCTCCCGCAGCCAGGTGCCATACATGAGGACCTGATCGTACGTCTCCCGGTAGGTGTATGTTTTGCCCTCAAAAATGATAAACGTGCGGTTGGCCGTGGATTTGTTTAACGCAGCGCGCTCAAGGACATAGAAACCGTTCAGTCGGTCGGTATGTTCGCGCCACATAGCTGAGAGAGTGGCGGGTAGCGCATAGGATAGTAACTGTTTGTCATACCATAGGGAAATTCGAGCGCTGAGATAGGAATAAGCTGCGACTGCAGCCGGTACAGCGATGGCGAGCGGAACTAAACCGGTTGGGTTAGCGTCATCGAAGCAACAATGGAACAGTATGTGGCAAGCGGAGTGCAGTAGACTAGGCGTTGGAGCTCACAAAGAGCGAAGTTCCGGGAAACCCGTACGGCGCACGAAGCCGGATGTCACATACCAGGCATTGCGTCCGTCGCTTCCAGGGGCGGGACTATTGGAGCAGGCTGTCGGAAGAGGAAACGGTGCGGCAGTGCGAGCCAGACGTTTTTGGCGAAGAGTGGCTAGTGGTTCCGGTCAGGCGCTCAGCTCGCTGGCAACAGCAGCAGGACATGGACGGAAGCTTCGATGTCGGGGAGTGTTGGCCAATTCGGGCGTGGGTGAGGAGGAGAACGAGGGCGGCGGTAGGTATTTGTAACGGTCGATGGAGGCTGTCACGGTCACGAGATGGCAAAGAGACTAAAACACAGAAAGCCTGTGTTGCAGTGGGCATTGGGACGTGTCGTCCCTGGTTTAGAGGATCCATACCATCCACGGGGGGTTGGAAAGATGGGACAAAACCAGTTGTCGGTCCTATCATACACGACGATACACGACACGACACGATGCGATGCTATGCGACCCGAGACCGCACAATGCAATACCTTGATACCCACGTCTCTGGTCGAATGATACTCGTTTTCGTTCCCGGTACGTATACGTGCGATCCGAAAGAGTCGTGACCTCAGCATTTGGTTGTTGTTGGGGGGGCGTATGAGTTCACGTACACCCCGTCAAGCAATCATGTACTGGTACATGCGGCACCGTAATAGCGTACCTAGAATGTGATTTGGTAACCAGAAAGGCGGGACGACGGGAAAGCCCTGGTGTGAACCTTGAACCTAGGTAGATGGTTTACGTGGCAGTGTACAGTATTCGTGGACATACGGGTACAGCAAACTAGGTTTTGGGTAGAGGAGAAGGCCTACGGATACATTCACGACGATGAAGAGCACATGGCAGGCATGCCGCCACCGCTTCAGCAACAGCCGAGGAACATGACTAACCGTCCGTGTAGACACACGCTTGTGGCCTGCCTCGGCGTACACTAAGTTGAATTGAATGGTGGGTAGGGAAGGCATGGCATGGCATGGCATGGCATGACGTGCGCCATGGGTGGGGGTGGGGTGGCAGACAATGGCTGGGTTGTACAATGTAGATGAATGTACGGATATGCGGGTACGAATAGTGTGCATGGTTTTCCCGTCGGCTTGCGGCGCGGCGCGATGGTGCGCTGTGCTATGCGAGTGCGGTATCACGTCCTCCCCAGACTTGCATACTGCGTAAGTAATACCTAGGACGCTCGCTTGCTGAGAGATCATCAGACGTACCGAGTGCGGATATACATACCTATAGGCTATAGCCTATAGGTATTCCGTATGGATACGTAACGGCAGTGCCTGTTGTCGATCGTTTGTGCTGCGTCGCTTAGGTAGGTAGCTTCGCTTCCCTTGGCTAGCCAGACAGTGAGTGGAAGCTGGGAACCTCGGCATCTGGCCATCTAACGAAGCTCGTGCGCCTAGAGTCTAGTGTAGGTCGTGTATCCATAGGTCATTCTACCCGGTTCCTATTTGAGTAATTGGTTCGGCGTGGGCGGGGAGAATTGTACTGTACATCGTAGGCGACGTGCAGACTACTACTACGTATGTAGACCAAACTTATTCTGATCTTCGGATGGATGCTCCTGCAACCAACCATGAGTTGCGATTTGCTGTTACCTACTGGAACAGGGCAGCCCCCTGTGCTGTGTCGTTAGGTACCCTGTCCCTGTACGGATATCTGCCGTGGAGTTTCTCTTTCTTTACTTCTGGCGTCCTATCCTGTCCTGTCCTGTCATGTCATACCGAATTGCACCATGTGTGTTCCCCACGAATTCTGCCGACGCAACGGGTGCCGAGGCGCCGCATGTGAGCCTGTGTAAAGTACGTTGCGAACCAATAAAAACTCGTTTGATGTTGCGACTTTTTTTTTTTTTTTTTGAACGATTCAGGACGTATGGTTAGCGGCCCGATGCAACAGGGGTCTATTGCATCCCGTGAGCCCTTCCGAGGTCGGAAAAATGAAGCAAACCAATTAAAGACCAAGACCAAGACTTCAGGGTGGCCATTTTGGGCCCCTGTTGTTATCTCGAGGCCTTGAAACCGGGGCAAAGCAGTTGCTTCGGTAAATGCGATGCGATGGAAAGCGCGCATCGCATTCATCCGCCTTCCCCTGATGGTAAACACTTTACATGCTCGTTCGAACACGGGCACGAGGATCCCCGAGGTAGGTAGACAGCCTCGAGCATAACGTAGGTACCTCATACGAGTGACCAGTTCGTAGGGCGCTCATTGCTTTTCCGAACCGGGAGCGGTGGACAGGTTGGAAAAGGCACTCGGACTTCTGTTGTGTCTGCGGCAGGTACCTAGGCAAATAGCGCGCGCGCAAACCTCATTCGCATTCGCATAGTAACACCTGCAAAATGCAGAGGGGCTTTAGGAGTTTATGAGATCGCAACGATTGGCGAAGCGCTCGGCTAATTACTTACACTTAGGTCTTAGGTAGGTAGATACCTAGATAATTCAATTAACTCTCGAGTGGAAACTTCCCACGTGACCGCGCGCCGCGCTCAAGGTTTGCTGCTATCTTATCTCGGAGCTCTCAATGCCATCAGGATTATGTCAGCACCCTCCTCACTGGCCATGTATGTCAATCCCGTAGCGAACAGCTAACCAGTTGCGAGGTGCGCCTACCGTCTTCCCGATCGCTGCGCAGCCCGCATCAGATCTTGACGCACAAGGCCATGTCTGCCTCGATGCCCGGCAACGACGATGCAAGTAGCTCGGCAGCAGGCGCAGGCCTCGCCTCTGGCCAGACAACGACCCCGACCGTCACGCCGCCGCAACCCGAGTCCCGCAAGGCTCCTCCCCCTGAGAAGCCGTCCGACGTGCGCCGCCGGTCCTTCGTCATCCTTGCCTTCTGGGCCATTGTGCTATTCCTGGGCTTGCCAATATGGTGGATGACCACGAGCATCTATCGCGCAAACCTGCCATTGAATGGCATGGAACAATGGGCAGATGGAAAGGTATTGGAATGCCTTCCACTTTCCCCCGCCGACAGCGCATGCAAAGCACCCATTCACAGAGAGAGAGAGAGAGAGAGAGAGCCCTGCTGATTATTCTTCTTCCCCTTCAGGCTTGCCGTCCGGTCTTCCCCCTTCGTATCTCGGTGCAGGCCAACAAGCTCCAAGAGCAAGAGGCGCAGAACCTTCTCCGTCTCACTCAGCACGCACTCGACGACCTCAACGATTTCTCGGGCCATCACTTGCGTCTCCAGCTTGCGCCTCAAGATGATCCCACGTCCATTGCCGAAGACGATTCGCAAGTTGCCCTGACGATTCGGCTTAGTCCTGGAGAGTCCACGACAGCGTCTCTGAACCCCCATTTCCCGGTCCTCGACATCACCTATCCACCAAACTCGATTCCCTCGCCGACGTCGTCCTCTTCCGCGTTGGCTTCATATATTGCCAACGAGCTACGTTCTACTTATGCCGAGGAACAGGCCATCATTTCATACCTTCTCTCAGCTGCGTCAGGTGCCACTGATGCGAGACCTCAGGGCATGTCGCCCGAGGCGGCTGAGTCGCTGGCCAAGCGGACCACTCGGTCCCTGCGATACTCTCCGACGTACCATTTGAGCTTCTCGCTCTTCACCAGCGGCTCCGCGCCCAACACATGGGACGTCGACGCAGCCATCCAGGCGTACATGAAGCCCATGCTTGACCTACTTAGCCCCATCCACAATTTCACAATTGACACGCAGGTGCAGCTGTATGCTACACCCGGCGCGCAGTCTCAAGTCCTGACCAAGGACGATCTGGCGTCCTTCATCAATGCGGCCGAATGGCCTCTCTCTCCGTCCATTGGCGGCGCCCCGACGGTGAACTTTCTTCTCTTTGTGGGAAACCAAACGATTGGACTGGACTCGGGATCGGAGACATCCCAGTCTTGGCTGATCCCGCAGTGGGGAACGGTCTACCTTCTGTCGCTACCGCCGGCGACGTCACACGTACCGTCTGCTACACTCAAGCAGCCGATGCTTACTTTCGCCGGTCATCTGCTGTCCCTTCTCGGAACTCCCCAGTCCGGGTCTCTTCCCTTGCGATTGTCGACCCTGTCACGAATTCGCTCAGCGGACCTCTTGCTACGGGCATCGTCTACTCTGGGCTCTCTGGCGAGACTGTCACTGGCGCTGCCCTCCATCTCCATTCCCCGCAATGTCGCGGACGGTGTCGCCAAAACCATGCATCACCTGGAGCTCGCTTGTGCAAGCCTAGGCGGACCGGAGGGCCTAGAACATGCCAGGATTGCCGAGGCGGAGGCAGAGCGAGCCTTTTTCGAGAAAAGCATGGTCGGCCAACTATACTTTCCTGACGAGCACAAGGTAGCTGTGTATCTTCCGCTGCTGGGACCAGTGGGTGTGCCTCTTGTCATGGGCCTGTTGAATGAGATTAAGGCATGGAGGAAGCGTAGACGTGAGAGAGCCGAGGCCGAGGCAAAGAAGAAGCTTTAGAAGGTGACGATTGAGCATCAGGCCACAGCATAGAAAACCTGTTGAAATCGAAGTTTCTAGTACCCTCCACAGTATGTTTCTGATTGACTTCCGAGGCTAGGCATTGATCCCGGATGCATTATCTGAACTTTTTGAACAGACATCTGACACTGCAGACACCTTGGTACGTAGCAATAGCAGTATCATCCTTAGACTTTGATGAGTGATGATGCGACTGAGGTGCGAACTGTAAGGTGAATGCCATGGAGAACCCTGTCCGTGTCGAAGCAACTGCTCCGTGTACTTAGTGTAAGTATGTACTGTATGTGAAGAATGAATGGAGACGCCGGTTGGGGGTAGGTTTTCGGTGAGATGAGGCCCAAGGTGAGAGAGAGCTCAGGTGAAGGGATGAGCCGGGGGGGCACGTACCATACCTCGGTGTACAACCGTGCTACCCGTCACTTCCCCATCTTAGCGCGTCACAACCCTGTACTCTTACGCCACCACGAAGCTTGCTTGTTTGCTTGCTCGCTCACTGCGCTTACTTGCTTTCGAGAGAGGGGTGAGGTTGCAGCCTGGGGGAACCTGACGTCCTGCGCAAGCGCCAATCTTTGCACACTTTCCACGCATCCCTCCGGTCCTTCTCACCCTCCAGCGATTGTCTCTCTGTGACTTGGTTTAGAGGCTTAGCTACCGCCGCAGATCAATGAGCACAGGGATACGATAGAAGGCCTGTTTCGTTCTGATCTTGCCCCTCATAACCTCATTGACGCTGCCCAAGCCGCCCGCCAGTCTTGCTCGACTTTCCCACGTCAATTTGACACATTCCAGCCCTTTCTTGAGCCCCCGTTCACAAGCGTTATTTCGCGGCCGCCAACACCCTCGACCGTCCGGGCAATGGCTCCACTATGAAGAGCAGAAGATGCTTCCCGAACCGACGTTGAGCTTCACGCTCCCCAGCCTCCACGACGACACCGTTCTGGACTGTCGTGTGTACCACTGCCACGCTTTGAGCCCTGCAGCATCAAATCGTTCGCCATGGAAGCGACACGCCGCCGTCATTGCCCATCCATATGCGCCCTTGGGCGGATCCTATGATGATCCAATTGTCGACATCGTTGCTGCCACCCTGTTGCGACAGGGCTTTCTCGTGGGCACCTTCAATTTCAGGTAAGGGAAATGCGCACAACAGAGGGCGCCAGAGCTCCGTCCTGGGAGAGGCAGGCCGGTTTCCGTCGCTAACTTGATTCCTCGCGACAGAGGCGCCTCGGGCTCGGCAGGACGGACCTCGTGGACAGCAAAGCCAGAACGCAGCGACTACATGTCCTTTGTCGGCTTCATGGTATACTACATGCACTTCCTCGATCCATTCAGCCCTTCTACTGTGCGGTTGCCGGCAGCGACTAGCACACCTTCACCTCTCGATACACAGCCCAAACCCTCTCCATCGCAGCATCCGGTGCTTCTTCTTGCTGGCTACTCGTACGGGGCCATGATAACGACGCAGATCCCACCGATGGCACAAATCCTCGCCCAGTTCAGGCTGCCTCCTGCTGGTTCCGCAGCCGCCGATATTCGCCTCCGCGCACAACATCTGGCCGAGCAACAGAACTTGATCTTGGCGAGCGCCCGATCCGCGAGCACAATGTCGCCGCGGAAAAGATACTTTGGGATGCGAGTCGGAGGCGACGAGGATACGCAGCGGAAGAGCTACGAGGCTCGGCGGTCGGTCTCGGAAACACGGAGGTCATTCTCCATCGATGCAGAAGACAAGATCCGGCGGGGCGTCAACGAGTTGCTTGCAAAAACAAAGCGGCACCATCACAAAGGCGTAGCCGTGACCCAGGAAAAGCTGGAGACCATACCGTCGAACCAAGAGATTTCGGAAGTGGTGGAAGAAGTGGCCAATTTGACGCCGGTGCGGCCGGCATACCTCCTCGTATCTCCACCGCAAGGGGTCATCACGAACTTGATGACAATGTCACTCCTCTCAGTAGTGCCCGGGCGAGGGTTGTTCTCCCGAGCGGGCAAGCCTCGAGATCAAGGAGCGCCGGTTTTTACAAATGACAACCGACAAATGAGCGAGAGCAAACTGGTTGAAAACGAGACCCTAGCATTGTTTGGTGACCGAGATGGTTTCGTCCCCGTTGCCAAACTGCGGGCATGGGTGGGGCGGCTCGAAAGCATTGAGGGATCACAGTTTCACGGCGAGGAGGTCCCCTCGGCAGGGCACTTTTGGACAGAAGGCAAAGTCGCCCAGGTTCTTCGGGATAAGGTTTGCGACTTTGCGGCGAGGCTGTTACAAGAGGATAGCGAAGATGTGGCCATTGAAGAATCAAGATAGAACACCGGCGAAGCTCGGTATGCGGTGGTTCGGCACACATACGAAGATTACAGAAGGCAGTGCTAGAAGAGCGGCTACGAGATGCGTCAGAGAGGCCACTAGGCTCAAAGGAATGGTGGCATACGGGCCGGAGATGGATGACGACGATGCAGCCGCCGTCGATTAGAGTTGATGGGGGGCGGGCCGTGGATGACTTATGACGTTTGGGCAAGAACGAGTTGTGGAGTCTCGAGCGAGGATTGGCAAGGTTGTGGTGCAAGACGCAAACAGCGGATGAAGGCGTACAAACGAGTCAGTTCCTATGTTTGCCAGCATGGTTAGGCGTGGTATACACTTTAGTGACACGACACTGGCGCGACGGGAAATCCTTGGCTACCTAGGTTTGGGATCTAGCTGCCATAGGGATGAGTGACGGGCACGGCGAGCAGTGCGAGTTCCCACAAGTAGGTGTACGTCAGACGATTCGGAAAGGAAGCGTCCAGTGTGAGACACGGCGGTGGAGCCGGAACAGAGCCTGAATCATGGGCAGGATGAAGAGAAGGGAAGGGAAGGGTCGCTTCTTGGCCGAGGACGGCCGGAGCCAGATGATTGGTGAGAAAGAGAGAGTGGCCATTCACCGTCCCCCAGCGCAGATTCCGTGTTGCCGTACGCCAAACGGCGACGTGTAACGGTTGGAGGGTGGTGACAGGCCGGCCGTTGGAGCGTTTTGGCTGTACGCCTTTTCCGTCGCCGGACAAGAGTTTTTTTCTCGTCCACCTCGATTAAGAAGAAAAATCCACGGCCTAATGGGCATGAATGACTGCGTGGCGGTCCTATTTGGTACATGGGCACTTGTTTCGAAGATACAAATGAAAACACATGGACAAGTTGGGCTTGCCAGATGGATGCGGCATATACGGCGATAGTATGCGTACCACCTACCGGTAGTATGGCATGGAGGGGCAATGGCGGGGTAATATCTCCAGATCGTCCTTTTGTAGCAGGCTGCAAGTCCCCATCCCCAACGGGGTGCCCCCATTTACCTGTACGTGTCCGAGGACACGGACATGTTGTAGTGCATATGCGTACTCAATTTCAAGGCTCGTGCCACTTCAACGCATGGAGCCTTGAGGGTGCCTGCTTGGTGGTGATGGGTTGGCAGGTAGGGGCAGACAAGGTGGGCGATGGCCGGGGCCGAGGAGAATTAGGCAGGTAGGCATGAGAGACGAGATTAGTGGAGAGTTCAACGGGCGGCCTGCCCCGGATGCTATCTAGGTCTTGGTTGGCCGAGTTGTGTATTGTGTGTGTGTGGCGTCAGGGCGAGGGAGATGGGGTGGAAAGAATGGTATGGGCGGTATACAGATGACTGTTGCAGGATGATGTGAGATGGCAGATGGTGATGGCAGCAGATACTAGGAAAATGGACTTCTTGCCAAGGCATATACTAGACAGACGCAGAGAGGGCGTCAGCTGGGACGGTCGGCGGGAGGCAGCGGATGACGGCTCACTTTGTGTTGAGGAAGGAAGAAAATGTTTGAAGGGAAGGGGGGGGGGAGTGAGCGAGCGGGTGAGAGGAAGGGAGGAGAGAGAGAGATAGAGAGAGCGAGAGTGAGAGAGAGAGACGAAGCACAGATGGAGACGAGGATGGTGGGGGAATGGGGAGGGTGTGTCGCGGCAGGGCTTGATTGGGTTGGAAATTGACAATGCAGTGCTTGGTGTTTCCCCAAGATCCCTAAATCCGGGGCGAGCCACTCACAAGTCTGGTCTGGGGAATGACGGCTTAGGGCAGGTCATCTGGCCTCCTGGCTTCTTCCTGGCGATCCCGTGCTGCTGCTGCTGCTGCACGAATACCTACGGATACAGATATGCTCCTTAGGTAAGTAGGTAGTTTGCATACACGGCCGTACCTTACCGCGCCTATGCACAACTGTCCCTATAGTGCATGGGCAGTATATTCAAATATATATTTATGTACACTGGTATCTGCATCCAGGATAGATAGAAGGGGGTAAATAAGACAACGTTCTGGATGTTGCGGCACGGTGACACAGCGACACAGGCACTGAAGTAGTACATATGCAAGGTGGTCCCTCATTAGGTCGTAGCGACACAGGCACGTGGACTCAGGGAGGTGGTACGTTCTGTTACCCTCCTTCCTCTTCGTTTTCTAGGTATCCCTTTCTCTTCCCCCCTACCTACCTTACTACATGGTATCTGGAAGAGCAAATTGGGCTTACCGCCCCTTCCCCCGCCGTATGGACTGTGGAGGCGATCTGTGGGGGAAGCCTGCACTGGAGTCAGCTGGTGGGGTTATGCATCTGCTTCCCTGTCCGGGGGCGGCGCCTGCGACTGTCATCATCGCCCACTTTTCTTTCCACTGTCCATGTTCCATCGAGGCCGGACCATCGACGAGCCTGTATCGTGTGTAGTGCAAATGCCACGACTGCCCAGTATCCATCTTTGATTGCATCGCCAGCTTGCATCTTTACTTGTACAATCCCTCTACATAAAACCGTTCCTCACTCCTGAGCCTGTCCCGGCCTCCTCCCAGTGAACCTAGTTTACCTACCTACCGCTCGAGTCCTCCGATCCGTCGCTTCACCCTTCCAACCACCACATCCTCCACGCCACCTAGCCAACCATCTCATCCCGCTTGCGCCCGCCTGTTCCTCCTAACCATTCCCGTCCCGTCCTCGCTCGCTGCCGATTACCACGGAGGGGGGGGTTGCTTTACGCCCTTGGTCTCGATAGACTGTCTTTCGCGACGAGTTCCAACACGCACACACCCCTGTCCCCCACCCCTCTGCCACCAGTTTGTGTGGTCATCTGCGCGCCCAACGTCGGGGGATCTGCATCACTTCCCTGTCTGCCTTGGCTTCTTGTCACTCAAATCACAACTCCCAAAACACTGCTCTCATCTGACACCTGTAAGTCTTCTTTACCTTGCTTGCCACGATCCCACTTCTTCTACACACGCTTCCTTCGACCGACTATTGTTTTTCTTTCTTCCAACACTCGATCCGCAGTCCTCGCTTCCTCCCTGATCCTTCTCCGTACCTCCCGGGGTGTTATTCTGTCCTTGATCCCGACTCCGCCTCCGTTGCGACGATACACTGACGCGCGCGCATGCTCTGACCGCCCAACCTTCCTCGACTCCCAGCAAAGGCACATGTCAGGCCTGTTGCAGCAGCAGCACCACCACCACCACCACAACCACAACCACGACGACGCTCCCAGACTGTGATGCGTAACGCACGGCTCCAAAGCTATCTCTCGTCCACTGGCTCCTCCTCCTCCTCCTCCTCTCCTCGACATTACATCTAGGTTCGACCACGACAGTCTTTACTCCCGTATCGACCACCTCTTTGCCATCATGAACGACGTCCTCCTCAATTCGGTTCACTCGCACCCTGCAATCCGTGTCAAGCCCTCCTCCACTGTCCCTTCGGCGTCCCTCAAGTCCGTCCGCCCCTCATCATTCAAGAAGCAACAACTTCAACAACCACAACCACCTCTTACTGCCGCTCTCGACACCATATCCCGTGCTGTAAAAAGCGCCAATAACCTCGTCCTGTCTCTGCGCGATGGACTCACCGAGCTGGAACGAGAGAGTAGGAGGAAGAAAGAAGAACGGAGGCTCGTCCTTGCCCTCCGTATGAAAAATGTACGTCCATCTTTCGCCATGACTCTGGAGAACGTGTCGTGTTCGCCCTTGCGCTGCTGTGACACCGCTAACGGGTCGTCTTCACACAGGCCCAGACTAGGAAACAGTGGCAAGACGCCGCTGAAGAACTCGACATTCTCGAAGAAAACGACATGTGGAAACTGGATCCGTACACGGGAGATTACAACCCGGCACTGATCGAGGCGCGACTGGAAGAACTAGACGATGCCCGCATAAACTGCGACACTCGCGCCATGATGCACCTCGTACGGACCTCCCTCTCTCGAGATCTCGGTGGCATGGAAAACGTCGACTTGTACAGGCACTCCTACGTGGGCACCAAGAACCTCATCGAGAGATACGTCGACTCGGCCATGCAGACTATCGACGCCCTTGTGGAAAAGAGCCAATTCGCGTTGCCCGAGGGCATGGGGCAAAGGGACATACTCGAGAGCGTCTTGCACGCTCGTCAGAGCTTTGGCCGAAGCGCCTTGTTGCTGAGCGGAGGCGGAACACTGGGTATGTCCCACATTGGAGTGCTCAAGGCTCTCTTCGAGGTCAAGTTGTTGCCGCGCATCATATCAGGTGCCTCGGCAGGCTCCATCGTCTCAGCCGTGATTTGCACAAGGACGGACGAAGAAATTCCCCGTCTCGTAAAGGAGTTCCCCTACGGTGACCTAGCCGTCTTCGATGCCGAGGAAAACCCGGACGGTGTCTTTGACCATATGCGAAGGCTGCTCACCGAGGGAAGCTGGTCCGACATAAAGCACCTGACCCGCGTCATGAGAGGTTTGGTAGGAGACCTTACTTTCCAGGAGGCGTACAATCGAACGCGACGCGTACTGAACATCTGCGTTTCGACCGAATCCATGTACGAGCTCCCGCGCTTGCTGAACTACATCACGGCGCCCAACGTCATGATCTGGTCCGCCGTAGCTGCTTCATGCTCCGTTCCGCTTGTCTTCAGCGCCGCCCCCTTGCTAGTAAAGAACCCCGATACCGGCGAGCACATGCCCTGGAACCCGACACCGCAGCGATGGATTGATGGCTCCGTCGACAATGACTTGCCCATGACGAGGCTCGCCGAGATGTTCAACGTAAACCACTTCATCGTCTCTCAGGTAAACCCCCACGTTGTCCCGTTCCTTGCGCGTGACGACCAGCTGGATCCCGACGACACGGCGGCTCGTCGGTCGAGCCTGCCGCACAGCAAGCAAGACCCCGATTGGGTCTATACCCTGACAAGTCTCGCCAAGGAGGAGGCCTTGCACCGGTTGCATTTCCTGGCCGAGATTGGGTTTTTCCCGAATCTCGTCACCAAGCTTAGGAGCATTCTCAGCCAGAAGTATTCCGGCGACATAAACATTCTTCCGGAAGTCAACGTGCACGATATCCCAAAGATCCTGAGCAACCCCAGCCCTGACTTCATGCTGCGTGCCTGTCTGATGGGCGAGCGCGCAACGTGGCCGAAGCTCAGCCGAATCCGCGACCGTTGTGCTATCGAGCTCGCCCTGGACCGTGCCGTCCATCGTCTGCGTGCTCGTGTTGTCTTCTCTGATAGCCAGGTGGACCTACGGAGGCTCACTACCGGCATCGTCCTGCCGCCGCCCTGGCCCAAGTCATCCGCATCTACGAAGCAGATGTCTAAAGATGCTCCGGCTCTTACTCTGGACTCTGAGGTCTTCAAGAACAGACAGCGCAGGTGTTCTGGTAGCAGCGTGCAACTCATGGCGCACCACCGACGCCTGATGGAGAACGTGCTCACGGACGAGGAAACGGAAGAGGAAGAACGACTGGAGATGCGGGCTCGACATGGCCATGGAAGCGCCTCGCCTGTCGTCGTGCGCAAGCCCCGCCTCAAGAGGGCGGCAAAGAGCCATTACAACGTTTCAATGGTGAAAGGCCTGATGACCAGCCCGATAAATTCGATGCAACTCGAGGCCGTAGAGTTTGACTTTGGGAAGCCTGTGACGCCTCCGTTGCAGCGATCACGCCACTCGGAAGGCTCACTGGCTCAAAGCAGAAGCCCAACTTACCTAGACATGACACCGGCGAAGGAAGTAGACGTCGCAGTACCGGGGTCCAGAGGAGAGGCAACGTCGCACACGGAGACCTCAGACCTGCACTCTTCTGACGGGGACGTGGAGTCGCACACAGAGGATACCTTCTCCGACCCTGATCCGTACGAGCGCGATTGGCTTCACGATGGAGCGAACGAGTTGGAGACGACTCCCAAAAGCGGCAAGGACCTGCTCGAGGTCAGCAGCCGCGAGCTTGTGCCTGTGGGTGAGTCAAGGGGTGGACTTTGGGATTGACTCGTAGACGGGAGGGTGAGCTCCTCGGACGAGGAAAAGAATAACGATAAGGGGGAAGACCGCATACAAGATACAACCGATGAAGAAGACGATGTCCTGAGGTCGAATTGGATGAACTGGGACTAGGACTGTAGCGATTACCAAGGAGCGTGGGGAGAATGGCTGCATGGATGGACTGCATGGACTAAGGGGTGGTTGGGGAGATACACGAGCATTACACGGAGTTTGACTCAGCATTATAACAGAGCATGAGGGCATGGTAGACATGCGGGAGGGGGGAACTGTGGCATCGTATAAGAAAATGAAACAACAACCATGGTTTTCGTTTTTCGTGTAGAACCGGTCCTCTTCTTTCCCAGGTCTGTGGTCATTCTGGGCTGATTGACAACCGACGGATGGGAAGTGTGGCGACAGTTTCGCTATGGAACCGGTTTGAAGCATGCTTATCAGAAATGGTTTCCTGTTCTTGCTGTGAACCATAGCTCGCAACTGATAATATTCACAATAGAATTTATTCACACTTGGCTCCAACCAGACACTGCCTCAAAAAGTGAATTGCTGACATGATGTCGAATAGTATATAAGCCTAGTGGTGAGCTCGGCCTTTGAATCCATTTCTGAGCCACCATTACACATATACACGTACTAGAACGAACATTACCACACTAGACTTGATTCTAGCCCCCCCCCCCCCTCAACTCTCTTGAAAACCCAAGCAAACCGACTTCAGCAGTCGCAACAATGTCCCAAACAGACCCGCCTTCTCCCAACACGGATCCTCCTACCCCCCCTGCGTCTCCTCGATGAGGGCGACGTTGGAGGAGGCATCGGCAACCGGAATCCTGATGGTCGTATACCCAGGTAGGTTACGGAGTTGGTGGTCTAGGTAAACCTGCGCGCATGGATAGGCCGCGTGTATACCTCTAGTATGAGATAATAAAACAGTACCCAGATCGTTGGACCTGTCTCCTATTCCTGCTGGGTAAGACCTAGTAACGTGTATACTCAGTCAATTCCCCGCAAGAAACTCGACAATGTCAGTCTCCATAATCATGTTCCGCCTTATGAAGGGCAAGGCTAGCATGAACTTCGCCTTCCGGCATCCATCCTCAGTTCTACACCGGGATCGCTCGCAGACGCCATCCTGTCATGGCTACGATCAGTTGACGTCCTCTGCCATAATTCTCGCTCCCTCCATTCCAAGATCATTGACCTTGTTTCCTCCAATACTGCCCCCGCAAGCTTCAGATCGTGAATTGGCCATGGGAGGGGGGGGGGACTACTATAGAGTAGCAGCCCCCTGCAGCATATGAACACCTGCTTTCCCCCCTTCCATGAACGCTACTGAGCAGGACTCGTTAAAATAAGCTTTGCTCACGTTCCTCGAGAGCACGTGGTTTATCAATATGGAAATGATACCGAGAGGACACGCCTCCACTTGAAAATAGCAACGCTACAGCCTGTTATGCGATGGAGAGGAAGAGGAGGAGAAGGGGAGGGAGAAAGACAGAGAGATCCACAGTGTCGATGCGCTTGTGTTTGTCTGCCATCGCCATGTCTTTTGAACGGCAAAGGAGCCACCACTCGATAGATTAACAAAGTAGGTAGCAAGCTTGGATGTCACTGTGACACTTTTTTTTTTTTTTTTTTTTTTTGCAATGTTTTCAAGATGCTTCAAGTGCATGCTCCATCGGCGTACATCGCTCGCGTCGGCTTTTGCCAAGGACCGTGGTGATTGAGCCCGGGCATTTAAGTCGATTGATTAGCTCGGGATGCCAGAGGGCGACAAGACTCGGCCGGGCGGACGAGGCGCGAAGACGAGTACTCGCCGCATATCGAAACCTGAGCGGGTGTCAACAGCATGGCATTTTTTGTCTTTCGCTTTCCTTTCGAGAACTACGATCGTGGGAGGGGGGGGGGCATGACGAGACGGCCACGCAAGAAACGATTGTCATTTGTATGCCCGGGGAGAGCGCGCGCCGGCGCTTTGATTATATTCGCGAGCCATGCCGAGTGCCGGGGACCGTTCCTTCACGATTACCGGGGATCGGCGGCCGGCAGTCGGCGTGGGACGGAGGGGATCGGCGGCCGGACGGGACGGGAGAACGGTTGTCGGCGATGGCGTGCGAGGAGCTACCGGGGCTAGATGGGTCAGCATCACGCTCCATGCTTCATGGATGGTGCGGCCATGGGCCTTTTGGGCGGTGATGCAGTGGGGGGAGGGGGGTCCATTGACGAGATTGAAGGCCACGTTGGGCGCAGCCGCTGTTCGAATTGCCTCAAGTGATGGTCAATCAATATTGTCATCGTACCCATGGAGAACATATGCTTTCTAAAAAGTGCCTGCCGGTCTGACATGTGATGCAGAAGGATCATTGAACCCGTATAAGACAAGCTATGTGAGCGTCCGACATGTAAGTCGGATAAGCTATACAGCAGCAGCCTTATCTATTAGCCAATCATCCAGCTGAATCATCCAGCTGACTCGACACACTCGGAGTCTGGATCTTTGGGGGAGGGTGCTGAGCTGGGGGCTGATATCGCGACCGAATTCATCCATGTCTCAGCAGAGCAGAACGAGCAGATCCCACTTTTCTGCCTCCTTGGCTAGATGGGTACCCTTCCTAGGTACCAGAGAGAGAGAGAGAGAGAGAGAGAGAGAGAGAGAGGAATATATATGTGCGTGTGTGTGTGTGTGTCTGTGCAAAATGGGATAGAGCAGAATGGAATACTAGATATGGAAGCCCTTTGTCTGGATGTATTCCAACGGTAGTGCCTGGGCCCGACACCGAGAGATATCATCCGTTCCCTCGTCTCCATCACCCAAAGACAGTGAGAAGCCGTGCTGCCGTTTGTCATTTGTTTCCTCAGACGCCGCCACGCGGGTAATGGTTTCAATGCCATCATACAAAGGTCTGACGCGACTCAACTCGGCTCGTGTGCTGTCATTAAATCTCAAACCATGTCGAAGAGGTCTAGGAGAGCCGGCTTTTGCCCTCCAGCTTCGCCGTGGCCTCTGCCTTTTGCTGCCGGATGGCTGTACTACTTATCTTGGACGCAAAGTTGTCTGTCCCGCTTGCCTCGTCACCAAGATTGTTGGCGTCAAGCACCTCGACTTCGTAAGTCTCCAACGGCTTCCATCCGAGCGCAACCCGCCGTTCGTTGACGGCCTGCCCACCCGACCGTGTCTCTCCCGAAAACACTAGAGCGTCCATTTCCTCCCGTGTAATTGTCGGGCCAAACGGGTCTTGGATCTCGACGCACTCCACCGTGATGGCGCCGCCCCGAAACGTCGCCTCGAGGCGGCCCGGCTGGGCCATGACGCCTGCAACGGGACCCGCCTTCTTCTTCCAACCCCCTTTGTCCAGCTCGAGCAGCGACGAGAGGAAGTCAATAACGTATCGAGCTCTGTCATCCCAGGACTGCACAAGCTCTGCGTACTTCTTGTTCGTCAACAGCTGGTCTCCTGTGATGCCGACGATCAGACGACATGCTGTTGTCGAGTCCTTGACCGGTACCCGAAGGAGAAGAACCGCAGCAGTCAGAAGCAACTTATGACCCGGGTGCAAGTGGTCAAAGGTGCCCCCAAGACATACGATGGAGTATCCTGGGGTGTCTTCTGCCCGTTCAGCCCCTGAGCTGTCAAGGTTCAGGCTGAGCCCCGCTTCAACGACGACTAGTTGTGACTGCAGAATGGTCTGCCGGCCCTCTGCGAATTTGAGATATGTGGAAAGAGTTCGGTAGCCTTGCTCGCTGTTGACGTGAAAAATGAGGCTCCAGGGGTGGTAAGCCGAAGCGAAGGTTGGAAGGTCGACTACGGTGGTATTGTTGGGTTCAACGGCGGCAACAAAATTAGAATCGAACCTCCTTTCAGCGTCATGGTCGACCAGGACAACTCGAGCATCGACGGAGCCGGGCCCCCCATGGACATCTATGGGGATGTCTTCTTCTGCGCATATGACAGCGATGAGGCTGTAGAGGCCAGCGACGAGAGACTGTGCGGCTGGCCACGAAAGCGATTTGGTTTTGGGCGATGCCCCGCGGAGGAGCGGACACACGACGGCCACTATGAGAACGGAGGAGCGGTTTGGATTCTTGATTTTTGGAAGAACAGCCAGCAGTGACGGGCGGTAGGCAGCGCTGAGTGAAGCGCGCGACGGCGGCCGGGGTGGGAACGGCAGGAGGAGCAGACTTGGGTACTGTTCCGAGGCCATCTTTTGGCCGTTGATGATGTCGGTTGTTGTTTTACCAGGCGTGAGCATGCGCGATATGGAGCTAGAAGGTGAATAAGATGGCGTGATTCAACCGAACGAGTGAGGTGATGTGAGGTGAGATGAGCTGAGCTTGCCCCTCGGCAGAAGGAGCGAGCAGTGAGCGGGGGCCAATCGTTGCTGAGCTTTGCAGTGAGGTCACTGTTGCATTTATTAGGTAAGGTACGGATGCCTACCAGGTAGGTAGTTACCGCATGTGCTTCACTGGGGGTACTTACCGACCACCTAGGTAATAGTGATGATGTGAGGGACGGAGTTGGAGCTCCCCGGAAGAAGTGGATTATTATACTGAAGCAAAGAAAGGGCAGATGGGGGCCAACTCTATCAATCGGGGCGGTTAGCAATTAGAAGATACGTTGACTTCTATGCTGCCATTGAATACATATGGAGGGGTAGAATGGATGTCGAGACAGTCACAGGCATATGTTTGAAGGGAGGAGTGATCTCAGAAAGGCTTGGTAGCCAGCGACAGGCAGCCTTGGTCGATAGAGAGGTTTAGTTACGATGTTCCATGGTATTGTTGTTTCTATCCAGAAGCCCTTCTACATAATGATGTTGAATATTGGACAAGATACTTGTACTGTGCTTTTCCGACTGTGTTGGAGTATCGTCGTGTACCTGTGCGACCGCAAGGGGGGTCGCCTCTCAGTTAGGATGTTCTCTCTGGGCGAATACCTAACCTAATGCCTTCAATGGGTTCCCCAGGCGTCTTCTGTAGGCGGTTTCCCTCCTATGATGTGCCCTAGGCCAAGGATGATGTAATCGAGCACGCCATCGAGCCTTAACCCGAATGGGACATGGAGGGGTAGTGACACCTAGGAAAAAAAAGCCCCTCCAACGCGGGGCAATTGGAGAGAGAGCTCCCTCCCGCTCGTCTCGTTGGGGAACGACGTGCCAGCATGGAGAGAAGAGACATGGCTTCCCGTTGCCGAGGAGATTCTGCCGCCTTCGATTGATTACCAGAGCAGAAGAGATAGGCTAGGTTCTTGTTGATGCGGCTGCCTCGCTGGACGGCTCTCTATCATTGTACCATACTAGTATAGTACTATGCGGTAGTTGGCAATGCGACCACCCGTGTTCATCGTTGTTGGTGTTAATGGAACGAATAAGGACGGGCGGCGGTCGCCTTGGATCAAGCAATGATAGAGCTCCCAAGATACCACAACGTCATGCCAGAGAAGCAAATGAGGCCATCTGCCACTCTACAAAGTCAAACCCAATGAAGGATAGATCGCGGATCCAAGATGGAGCTGATGTGGGAAAAGGACCCCTACTGCACCGAGATCCGAAGGACAAAGAGACATAGCAAAGGAGGGGTGGTATGGTAGGGGGACAACGAGGTACGAAGGTACAGTCAAGCCTTGTCTTCCACTTTGCAGTAGCTATCTACCTACTACTATGTAGTGCCTGAGGCGTGGCTTCGAGCTATTTATTACACGTCGAGTCCCGCGCCTTGCTCTCGTCCTGCCACCAGCTCTCCCCCCTCTCTTCATCTCTCTAATATCGCTGTTCCCATCCCACATACCATCGCAAATTTGCCATATACGCCTTCTATTATCTCTTCCGCACCTCTTCACATCATAGACATAATGGCTGACCAGCGCCCCGCTCCGTAAGTTACAACTCCTACGCCGCGTTACCCCGCCGTTGCTGTCAACATGGACCATCTCCGCCGATGCCGCCACCAGCTCCGTTGCGCTTGTCTTGTCGTCTCTGCACGCCCGAAGCAAAGCTAACTTGCCTCTTCTACAGCCTCCGTCTCGGCACCGTTGCCCCCAACTTCAAGGCCGATACCACCAACGGCCCCATTGACTTCCACGAGTTCATTGGCGACAACTGGGTTGTCTTCTTCTCCCACCCGGAGGACTACACTCCCGTCTGTACCACCGAGCTCGGCGCCTTCGCCAAGCTCGAGCCCGAGTTCTCCAAGCGCGGCGTCAAGCTCATCGGTTTGTCCGCCAACACCCTCGGCAGCCACGAGGGCTGGATCAAGGACATTGACGAGGTCACCGGCTCCAAGGTCTCCTTCCCCATCATCGCCGACAAGGAGCGCAAGGTCGCCTACGCCTACGACATGCTCGACTACCAGGACACCACCAACGTCGACGAGAAGGGCATCGCCTTCACCATCCGCTCCGTCTTCATCATTGACCCCAAGAAGACCATCCGCACCATCCTCTCCTACCCGGCCTCCACCGGCCGCAACTCTGCCGAGGTGCTCCGCATCGTCGACTCGCTTCAGACCGGCGACAAGCACAAGATCACCACCCCCATCAACTGGGTCCCCGGTGACGACGTCATCGTCCACCCCTCCATCAAGACCGAACAGGCCAAGGAGATCTTCCCCGAGGTTCGCATTGTCAAGCCCTACCTGCGCTTCACCCCTTTGCCCAAGGACAAGGCCACCGTCGCGTAAGTGGCCACGCCTGGAACGAGGTGTGGGGGCGATTTGTTGCATGAAAAGGTTCTCCAGGCACATTACTTGAGGAGCCGGGTCTGCATGAACCGCAGGCCGAGGTTGGCGGATAAACCCGAATGAGAAAGTCGAAAGAGAGCCAATGTTCTCCAGGCGTAGGAGACTACTTACGGAGGCAAAGCTTTTCCTCTGAATACCCCGCGTAGCACTCACTGGCACTGGTAGTTAGCACGGCCTAGGTGATGCATTAGCCGGATAACGGTATGCGTCTGGGCAGCAGCGCCTTGGCCTTTGCCATATGGAACGTATGAAATAATGAGAAATGTCACGAATATTCCATGTCTCTTCTATGGCGTGCACTTCGTGACGCTAGGCACATGCTCTCCGGTCATCTGTCGCGCACGTTCCCCGTCGCGGACGACACCTCCGGCTCGCCGGTCCTTTCTTGTCGGTACACTTAACAGGTTTGTCGCCATGCAAGAAGAAAAGAAGGAGATTGAAACAGCTGGACGAAGCCGAACAACTACCGATTCCTACTGTTGTATGCCTACTAGTTTTGGTTACATCAAGCCTGGCGCTTTGCCGGGTGGTGTCTGGAGATAGAGCCATACGAATGCATTACACACGCACGCACAGTACACTCCATCCCATGCCATACATAGGCCGCGGCCAAGCGGAGGCCGCCACTACCACTCTCTCAGGGATGCTTTCCAAAGGGGTCTGCTGCTTGGCTCTCCCCTTCTCCCCAGCTCGACGGGTGGCGATCTCTTCTCTTCTACTGTCGGCACCCCCTGAACATGACTCGGCCGAACAGACACGGAGTAGGCCGGAGGAGACAGTCGGTCTGTTTTATTCTCAGACGGGCTGGACCGCACTGGCCGAGGCGGTCCTACACTATGTCGACCATAACGCCCAAGCGTCAGCATAGCGTTCTTCAGCTAGAGTGGACCTGTCGGTTGGCCCAGGAGCCTCCCAGGCTTTTTTTTTCTTGTTTTTCTGTTTTTGTCGAGCAAGTGCTTGCTGGGAAGCTTCGGGCCCCAAACAGGTACGACCCCAGCGCGACACGAGGGCAGAGTCTCCAGGGAGGAAGAAAGTGAGGCTGGAACGAATCTAGAACCAGGGGACAGCCGGGGAAGCGTGAAACATGGGCTCGCTCCTACCAAAGACGACAAAATGGCCGGGCTCCCACGTTTTTGGGCGTCTCTCGCATCTTGCACCCAGCGTCCGCAACCTGCGGCGTTCCAGGGCCCCCAAGGTTGTCCTGGGTCGGTTCGGCAGAATGCCTGTCCCGAGATTGCTAGCCTGAGACATGACAGGGAGGGCAGGCGGCGTTTGTTTCCGACGGCGGCAAGTAGCGTATCCGTACCGCGGCCCGGGTAACTTGGGAAAAGACGGTTGGGCGTGATTGGAAGTTGGCTGGGCTGCCAGTTGGAGATGCCACTCCTTGTCACAGCACCCGGCGTTTGGTATGTACTATGTAGGTGAACCGTCAGGATAGGTACATACGTACCTAGTAGTGTACGGATACAGAACGGCGGGCAAGGGTGCTGTGGACAACAGGCCCGGAGGAGCGGTGTCGACAAGGACCAGGCCAGGGGGGGGGATACACTAGGTACTGCATGTTGCTCTGCCCGGTAAACGTATTCGTACATTATCTCGCTCCCATGAACGAAAGCGAGAGGACTCGCAGCCGAAATTTGACTTCCTATAGTAGTGTATCGAGTCTCGCCGGAAGGTATCTACCATGCCGTAGAGACCGCTTCCCCTCTGTTTCGCTACATGGGTGAGAGACGGCGTATGCCTTGAATGTGGGATATTGGATGTTGGAGGTTGGCGAACGAACCACACACACGCACACACCCCTACATAGGTACACACACACCCGCTCGTACATTACACGACTGGTGTCACCGATGAACCTGCCTGCCTACTGTGTGCGTGTGCCGCGTGTTCTGCAGGGGAACTACCTAGATAGGTGCCTAGTTCAATGGAGAGGAGCGAAAGGGGGGGAGGAGTCCTTTATGCAGCTCGATCGTCTGATCTTTTCTCTCCTTGCCGCAGCCGCCGGGTCCGATTGATGGTGGTGCATGGTCCGGCCAGCGAGAGGAGGGAACTGGTCACGCATGGCCTCTTCCAGGGGATCGGGTTCTTGGTTGATATTTGGACAAAAAAAAACCCCCCCCTTCCGAGTCCTCGTATAAAGTAGGAGAGCAAAGCAAGAGAAAGGGTTCCCTAGCCCAGATGGATATGAGTTGGTATCTCAGTTACTAGTGGTCTGATTGGACAGACGGAGGGTGGCCGGGGGTCGTGGAGAGAACGAGGGCTCCGTAATCTACCGCTGCTTCTTTTTTTCTTCTCTAGATATTCCCTCGTCTGCTCCCGCGAAAGGAGGGGGGGTGGTCGCTAGCTGGGCTCACAGAAGAGGCCGGTGCCCATGCACAATCTCAATAGCAGCAACATGGCCGATGTACAGATACCACCCACTTGTTTGCTTACATAAGTACATCCATCCCCAGCCACCATTCTTCTTCACGCTCAGTCGACGTTTGAATTTTTCTTTCTTCTTTCGTATTCTTTTTCTTAGTGTACTCCCGTTAGTCCGACTTCACAAACCTTGTTGTCTTGGCAAGAAATCCATCTGACACTACCTTACCGAGCTGCTCGGACAGAGAGACGGAGGGAGATGGGCGGGATTCGGAGGAGTGAGACGGGACAGGGTAAGGCTAGCTCAGCCCTCACCTGGGCTGACCAGAGGCGCGGAACTCGACAAGGTACCTAGGTAGATACTGCGTAGTATCCGTAGTTAGGTACATGAATATCTCCCCATCTACCGTATCTCGTCCTCCTCAGCCTCCACATATCCCCTTTCCCTTTTGGGGGTTTTCTTTCCTTTCCCCCTCCGTCGAACACAAGTCTCAGTAGACTATTTATCCGTAGCTTCCAAAGGCACTCGGTCAGTCAGTCAGTCAGTCAGCGTATCCGCACGATTGCAGAGTACGGGGCGTTCCTCGCGTCCGTGACGCCAAGTGCCGACACCTGGACCGGCTGGGTGGTGCCGTTGAATAAAGGCAACGGCGTAACATTTACAAAAAGAAGATGAAGAAAAAAAACCCGAGGTTTACAGATAGAGAGAGCATGTATCCGTATCTACTTCATAAGCACATACCTACCTATCTACCTACCTACCTACCTACCTAGATAAGTAAGTACATACATGCATGCCATAGAGAGCTAATAGATGGGTACGTCGCGTGACTGAAACTGGGCCTGCGTACTGCGTACTTGGAGCCTCCGTCCACAAAGTTCACACGGAGTATTCGTAGGGAGGAGTTTACCCACCCCACCCCACTCTAGTGTACCAGGTACCTACGATACTCCCTCCCACCTTCGCTCCGTCCACTCTGTCCTCTCCAACCCGTTTCCCATGCTCGCTTGCTTGTTGCCGTGCCTATTCGTAGCCACAACGTGCCAGGTATGTTGTGCCACCGCCTATTCTCTGCACCCAAATCGGTTATCTACCTGACGCTGCAGGCTGCAGTGCAGGCTGCAAGACAAATATGTATTGAAACAACCATCGTTAACCACTACTACTAGGTACTACGACCACTATCGCCGAACAGGTGCCGTACGGATCGGATACAACCACAGAATACATGTTCCTGCTTCGTTTCGTTTCATATCGCATCACATTGCATTGTCTGGCGCGCGCTTTTCTCTGCATCTCCTCTAGGTATCCGTACAGGTACTACTACCCAAGTACCGTACGGTACGGTACGCTACGCACAGGCTGTGGGGGAACGTCCATCTTATCCTCTCCTTTGCCCTCGCCCTCGCCCTTGCCCACACTTTCTCCCACCTTCATCCACACCTCCCACCACTACGTATCACACCACCAAACCGGCGCATGGTCCGTCACCGTCACAGCGCATCCCATCACTCGCATCCCTTTGCCGCCATCTACACAGCACTTTCTTCGACCGAATCATATCAAAACCTTCTTTTTTTTTTTTCGTTCCCCTATGCGGAGCTTGTGGTCCAGTACGGATACTGTACCTTACAGACCCGCCCTCTTTCTCCCCCTTCTCTCGTCTCCCAATCCACTATCCGTACTTCCCTTGCGTCCGCTTCGGAGCTTGACCTGCTTTTCAACTCCTTGTCCGACTGGTCTGCGCGCCTAAACCAAACAACCCCCCCCCCCCCCCCCTTTTTTTTTTTCCAGTGTGCTGCAAAGAGGAAACCCCAAGACACCCACGCCTTTTCAGCCTCGACAGATTCTCCCCAAAGGAGCAGGCATCTGGAAATTAACGACTGCAACCTTGCTGGTGGTCTCCGGCCGCTGCCGTCGCCGCCACTCAAGCCCAGCCTCAAGGGCATTCTGGGTCCCAGGTCACACCCCCATCGTCATCAGACTTGGACTCCATACTGCGAGGATCCCTTTTCGAACTTTGCCTTGTCTCCGCCCACAACCACGACTTGCCGGGTACATACCCTACCGCGACGTACCTACCCTACCCGTACCCTGCCGACCCAAACCCTCAATTGCACCTGAGTCGACCGCTGTTGCCTTCGCTGTCTGTCTCCATCGTTGTCGTTGCTGTTGTCGTCGTCGTCCACGTCCACGTTCACATCCACGTCGCGTCCTCGTCGCCGCTGCCGCCGCCGCCGCCGCCGTCATCGCCCACTTCGCCGTACATCCGCCTTTTCTGCCCGCCTGTCGCCTACGCATACCCTTGGCTAGCACAAGTCTCGTCTTTTGCTTCGCCTCTACGGATACTTTGCTCAACTCTACTTGGCCTTGACCCGTCCGATTCCCTGTCCCATCCCTGGCCCTAGGTGCGTATTGCTCATAGCTTCTTTACTCGTTGCTGTTTCTCTTTCCTCACCCCTCCTATCCCCATCCATATCCTGTGCCCATTTGTCCTCCACACCCCAGCCCACATCCTACTCCATCTCTTGTGCGCCGCTCTCCGTCACCTGTGGGGAGGAGAAGACCGAAAGGACTGAGAGAGAAGCACGTACAAAGACGGGTCAGACATGGCCTCTCTGTCTTCCCGCTCAACCCGGTCCTCAGTACCAGCCGTGCCGGGCCTAGCCCAAGAATCCACCCCGGAGACGCAGACACACACACACCCACATTAAGAGAAGTGAGAGCGAGAGATAGAGAGAACAGGCCCGTCACAAGGTACTGGGACCTAGTAGAGTCAGACGAACGGCCAAGCCTGGCCTTGAGCTGCTCGACCCACGGGTTTTTCTTTTCGCCTCGTCTTCCCTTCTCTTATTCACCGCCAACCCTCTCTGGCAGCTGTCCGTTGTGGCCTCTCGCGACTCTCTGTCCCGTCTTATCGTTGTCTTGCTCCCTATCTGCCCGCAACGACCTCACGACGTCCGCTCTCTCCATTACCCCCCCCCCCCCCTTTCCATACTTCTGTGTACCCTCTTCTATTTCCTGTTTCTTTACCAACTACCTCTTCTTGTCTTCTCTTGAAAGCCTCCTTCTTCACGTTGGCTCGCTTTTAGTACCGTCGCCGACGATCCTTGGACGACCCGTACCCCGAGTAGTTTATGCAGAAAACCCTCCTTCCCCCGAGCCCACATTGTGTTGTCGAGAGAGCCCTTGACAAATCTCCCGCCCTGCATGAAAAACCTCGCAGCCCTCATTTTCGACTTCTGAGCAACTTTCTTTTTGCGTCGTCGTCAAGACTGCCTTTGCAGCACAAGGCTCCTCAGGCTGTGCCCACAGCCCGGGGGCGATTGTGTCGCAATGTCTGGACCGGGACTAACCTCGAACCAGTCTTCTGCACAGAGCGATCTATCACGCTTTTCCGACTCGGAGCCAGAGCAAGATAGATCCCCTCCCGGAAAGTCTACCGCAGACATCCTCTCAGGTGTCTATCGTGGCTTCAAAAAATTTGCTCCGAGCAGAGACGGCGAATCGAGGATCACGAGACAGCCGTCTCTTTCTCGACTGGGTCTGCGCAGCGTTTCCCCTAGCTTGACCTCAACCCCGTCTCCGCCTCCTTCCTCGACGCCTACCCCCGTCCCGAACTCGTCCAAGAACCGGCCGCTTCAGCATGGGAGGAGTTTGAGTCTACAGAGTAGTCTTGCCAAACCCTTGCCCGAACCACCACCACTGATCCCCTCGCCCACAGGGCTCGACGCCCCTCCTACCTCGCACTACAATCTCGGAAACCTCGGTGCCATAGACGAGGGCCCGGCCGATGATACAGACAGTCGCACCAGCACGATGGATTCCAGCATCTCGACAGAACGAGCTCAGATGTACGGAGGTGGGCCAGCGTATAACGCTGATATGGCCAGCAGCCAGAGCAGCTTGGCAAGCTCTTCGAGACAAGATGGGAATGAGGATATGAGAGAGAACCCGAGCTTGACGCCGCGGAGTGGCGGTCCCTTGTCTGCCGGACCGTCTCCTTCCAGCCAAAACAGGACACCTGCCACGGCGGTCGGTACGCCGACCGCCTCCTCTTCGGCCCATCTTTCCGGTCTTATGTGCAATGTCCACCGGACCACTGGTCGAGAGCCCCACCCGCTCGTTGGCGCCACAACCACCATACTGGGCGACAAGCTCTATGTCTTTGGCGGGAGAATACTATCACGGAGTCGCCCGGCTCCCCTGACCTCCGATCTGTACGAGCTGGATCTTATTCGCAGGCATTGGTCCAAGCTCGAAACTACAGGCGACATACCGCCCCCTCGATATTTCCACTCCATGTGTGCGCTGGGAGACACCAAGATGGTGTGCTACGGAGGCATGTCCCCGACGCCGAACCAGTCCGCCGCCGGTCCGGATCAACAGCCCGAAGTCACGGTCATGTCGGACATTTACATATACGACATTCCGTCCCGCAAATGGACCTTCATACCTACGCAGGATCCGCCTCAAGGTCGCTACGCCCACTGCGCTTGTATCCTGCCTTCGCCAGCCGCCTTTACATCACACAAGGCACCAATGTCGGCCTTGCAACATAATCCATCATCCGGCAACCCGAACGAGGGAAGGATAGGAATCAACATTGACGGCACGGGCGGTGCTGAGATGGTGGTGGTCGGCGGCCAAGATGGCGCCAACCACTACATCGAGCAGATTAGCGTCTTCAACCTCCGTAGCCTCAAATGGACGGCGATCGAACCTCTCGACAAAAGCTGCGGCGCTTACCGAAGCGTGGTAGCGCCTTTGCCCCCGTCTGTGTCGGCACGGATTGGCAAGTCCAATGTAAACGGATTCCAGCGAGAGGGCGGCATCAGCCAGGAAGCCCGGGAACCCGGGTCCTCCATGCTCATCTACTCCAACTACAATTTTCTGGATGTCAAGCTCGAGCTACAAATCAGGTCATCGGACGGCACTCTCACTGAGAAGCCCATGACGGGCTCCTACTCGCCCCCGGGATTGCGGTTTCCCAATGGCGGCGTCATTGACACGTATTTTGTGGTGAGCGGCACATACCTCACGTCCTCGAAGCAGGAGTATGCGCTATGGGCTTTGGACCTCAAGACCCTGACTTGGTCCCGAATCGACGCTGGAGGCGCGGTTTTCAGCCAGGGTAGTTGGAATCGCGGTGTGCTGTGGAACCGCAGGAATACGTTTGTTATTCTCGGCAATAGGAAACGAAGTCTCGTCGACGACTATAATCATCGGCGTATCAACTTTTCTAATGTTTGCATGGTCGAGCTGGAAGCCTTTGGGTTCTACGACAACCCGAGGAAGACGAGCCCGATGTCTGGATTCGTATCGGCCAGTAGCCCGTACACCGGGCCCGGTCTTAGTCTGGCTAGAAAGGCCGGAACTACGGCGGGAGGGCGCGCCCATTTGAGGGCCGCTGAAGAGTTGGGGGAGAAAGCGCTGGCCTTGCGGGAGATATGCGACATGGATATTCTGTGCTTGCATGGAGAGAGGATTCCCATCAATTCGCGGATGGTGGCACGTCGATGGGGGCCTTACTTTGTCCAGCTGCTGCGGGAGGGAACGGCGACTCAAGACGGCAGCGACGCTATGACGTTGCGGTCTGGTTCTGGGGTCAGCAACCCCGTCAGAAATTCCACTCTGACCATCACACCAGCCCGCAATACCGTAGAGAGCTCGAGCTCCATGACGAGCGCCACCCTGTCGTCCGGCTCGTCGTCCAAAACCCCGAGTACGGCTCCGACCAGTGCCTCGGCAGCCTCTTTCTCGATCCCGGGCTCCGGTGGCGGCGTCGACGCAACCACGGTCAACTCGGCCCCGACACCAAGGTCTCTGCCTCCCAACTCGCGACCTCGCTGCCTGTACCTCCCGCACACCTATCTCACCGTACAGGCGCTTCTTCATTTCCTTTACACGTCCTCGCTGCCGCCCCCGTCATCGCCCCTGTGCACGGCCCCTATCTTGTGCTCGCTGCTCCAAATCGCCCGGCCATATCGGGTCGACGGCCTCCTCGAAGCGGTGGTCGAGCGCCTGCACGCTCTTTTGGACTCGAGAAACGCAGCCGCCGTGTTCAACGCAACTGCAATGGCTGCTGGTGGCGGCCGTGGCATCGACGGCTCTTTGAACCCCAACTACTTCGTACCCCTGGACGCCATGGGCTCGCCCATGTTCCTCTCGGATGGGTCTCAGAATGGCGGCAGCAGTGCAGACCTGCAAGGCCTCTCATCCCGCAAAGCCGCACTACGCATCAATACCTCCATGTCTTCGGGCCGGCCTTCCAGCGACGAACTGAGCGCCACAACGAGCGTCAGCGGATCTGAATGGAGTTCAGAAATCGGCGATTCGGAGCGCGGGGGCATGCGCGAAATCTGGGGCGGCGAGCTCAGCTCCGTGATTGGCTTGCAAAAGAGGGGCTTGCGGGGTCTCATGGAAGGCAGGAGAATGCGTGAGCGTACCGGGACGAACTCGGGCAATGGCATGGGTTCGTACAGTGGTGGACAAGGCCGAGTGGGGCTTGGGATCGCCAGCTCATGAGCAAACTGCGTCAGACTTGTTAATAGGGTGTGATTGTAGATGAGAGACAAAGCTCGGGGCGCGGAGGTAATGAATTTATGAAAGCATGGCCGAATGCAGCATATCCCCTCGGGCCAACGCAAGGTTAGACGAGCGATGGCGGTGTGTGGAGGTGCGATAGAAGAAGCTAGACAGCTTGTAACGCGATGCACAAGGAGACAGACAGGTCTCGGTCAACAAACGTGTGTGTGCGTGTGTGCGCGCGCGCGCGTGTGGTGGGGGGGGGATGGATCGAGTTGGATTGCTTGATTTGAAGAAACCAAGATGAAATAACACTAAATGTATCTCTCCTCGCCTCGAGTGGTCCGACCAATTCCACCTATCCTCCTCGGGTGGCTCGCACTGTGCACGTTTTGTAATGATCCTGTTGGCAACCTGCGAGACCCTCCTCCTTTATGGCAAAAAAAAAAAAAAAAAAAAAAAAGCCCAGCTCGGTTGATTCCAGGGTCGTCGGCAATCAAAAGAAAGGGCAGGCATCACGGCCACTGCTCTTCAGCACCTCAACACCCTGTGCCATCTCGTCAGAGCCCTTGCCCATTTTCTCCCGGGGGCCAATGTCCTCGAACAAGAAACCCTGCGGCATCATCTTGTCGGGGCCAGGGACCGTCCCTCCTAGGAGCCGGGTCACCAGGCCGATAGGGCCCCAGCGGTTCCAGAAAGTGACGGGGTTGTAGTACGGGTGGACGAGGTAGTCATAATGCAGGATGCGACCCGTTTTTGGGTCCGGGCTCGAGAAGTAGACGACGGGGGTAAGGCGTGGGAGCATGAGATGGCGGATGACGAAGCGACGGGTGACGAGGGCTGCGTATGCGACGAGGGCTGCGACGATGCCGGGCTCGGGGAAGCTGTGGGTTCGGCCGTCTGATTAGCTGCTTGGCCGGCACGGGGGATACCGCAACGGTTTTCTCCGCAAACATACCAGAAAGCGGCGCGAATGCGGTCTCCCATGAGAACGTAGAGCACCTCCTGAGCAAACGGCTTGGCAAAATTCGGAACGTGGAAGAGCATCATTTCAACCAACTGGGAACTGGCCTGGAAGTTCAGCCTGGAGGGTTTCATGGCGTCAACCTCGTATCGGGCGGCCCAGGCAGCGATGTCGTCAACGAACTCGATACCGTCGGCCCACGACTCCTGGCTGAGGAAGCCCTTGTACTGTATGTCCATGGCATCGCCAATGGACTTCCAGTGGGTGCCGATTGCGCAGACCTCCATGTCGGTCAGAGCCCTCCACTCATATAGGCGCATGAAGCGGATGGGCTCGGTGATGCAGACGGACAGGGTGTAGAGGAGGTCTGCGTTGGAGATCTGGCCGGCGGCTATGTATCGGCTGTGGAGGTAGTTCATACGCGATATGGCCTTGAGGGCGCGGTCTGAGGTGGGAGGATTCAGGGAGAATCTGGGGGAGGGAGGAGGAGACTGTTGTAAGTTGGGTTGGGAACAATGCAAAGGGAGTACAACTTACTCTCCAAAGAGAATAGTGGTATCCTCATATCTGAAGGAGCATGTTAGCCCCTAGACCAGTAACTGAAAGCAGGGTGTAGGATGGAGGAAAGGGCTGGCATCGAGTGACAGAATGCAAGCATCTCACCTCTTCTTGGCGTTGGCGGGATTGGCCAAGTTCTTGGTCGCGATGATGAGCTTTGACAGGGACTCGAAGCCATAGGTCTTTGAGCATCAGAGTCAGTGGACGTGCCATCTCTCCTGCGACTCGGGGGGGGGTAAGTGGAAGGACGTACCTTGAAGATGGCGAACTGGAGAGACAGGATGTACAGCTTGGGGAACTCTAAATCTATAATGTTCTTGAGGATGAGGTGGGCCTGGTTATTGGTCATGCGCGCCAGGGACCGACGATCGGTGAAGCCCATTTGGCTGCGAAGGTTGGTGATGCGTCTGAAGCGGAAGAAGGCACATAAGGCAACCCAGCCCGCGATGAGAGCCACAACCACGGTAGATGTTGCCAAGGACTTGGGCGTGAGCGCAATGTCTCTGAGGTATCCTGAAGCAGCCCAGCGGCCGGGTGATTCAACGTGGGTGATGTTGGGCGTCGCAGTGTCCATATTGAAGACGGCCGGCGATAGATGCTCGTATGGCTGTGCGAGACAGAGAGTGATGGTGGAGGTTTGCAGCGTTGCGACGGTGCGGTCGGCAACTTGAGGCTGACGGCGATGCCACCCACTACTACTGGCTGAGGCGATTTCTGGTCTGTCACATAGCTGGCACACTGGAATGTTTGCTGGGGAAATGCGGCTGGTGTCTAGGATTGTTGTACCCTTGTCACCAATTGGGAAAAGGTGCCAAGACACGACTAACCTAGTCGATGTAATATTCACTTAGCCAAATGGCGGGGCTGAGATAGGCTACCTGTTGTATAGACTCACAATGCAGAATATAAGGCAAGGTAGTCAGTCAGTCGCTTGTGACCGGGTAGGGTAGTAGATGATTTAGGAGCTCACCAGTGAGTGGTGTTTGCGGTACGAGTCTGTGCCAAGCATGCATGCATGCTATACTCGGTAGTAAGATAAGATACGAAAGGAGGCACTTTGGGGAGGGAAGGTTCTGCACGTCAGATTCTTATCGGGGTCAATCGTGCTAGCTACCTACCAACCTGCCTGCCGAGGTAGGTAAGTAGGTACAGTCAGTCATGTGTACCGTAGGGTGAGGTGAGCCCAGACTTTCTACACGTGACTGTAGGTACGTCTATCCCAGGGCCATGATCTGTATGTAGATGCTACGGTGTGCAGCAAAAGGAATAATCAGACCAACTCACTGCAGTACAGTACTCTAACCACCACCGCCGTTCTCACGTCTCGCAGTCATGCCGCAGCAGTGCAGCATTTGAAGACGCAGTCCACGTTGCCATTTGCCGACTCTCTCCTCCCAATGTGATCAGAGGAGTCTTCTGAATCTTGATTATTACTTGGATGGGTAAACCAGGCAGTCCTTGCTCCGTCCGAACTCCTCATTTCATCTGATTTGTACATCATCGTACCTGCATGCCGACTGACCGGGCATTGACGCTCTGATGATTGAATCCACTCGTTATGTAGTTCAGATCGCAGCCACCTGGCTTTTGAAACGGCAGTCGTAGAATTATGCATACTTGATGCGAGACTCCCTATCCATTTTGCGAGTTCGAGGTGACCGTCTTGAAAACAAGCGCTCGGCTAGGGGTCTTGCTCCTCTCCGCCTCGAGGGCCGTTGGGCTGGTCCCTGCCGTGCGTTGGTTCTGGACATAACAATCGCACGCACGCACCACTTTAGTGGGGTATAACTGTATTTAGGTAGGTAGGTAGGTACGTACAATGTACCTATGCTGGGATGTAGTAGTAGGTTCTGATGGAGACGCGACAATTGTTCACTTGTTTAAAGATGCCTACGTAGCTACGTAAGGTATTTATTTATCTACATTGTATCTCTAGCTATCTAGGAAGGAGGAACCTACCAGTAGGTTGTGGAGTGGAGAAGCACCGACCGGCCCGCTGTGGGCCTCCTTAACGACACTGAAAGAGCTAACACAGTATCCGTACTACGCGGGTGGGAACATACAGGTAGGTACATATTATACTTGTAAGCTAGTATGCGAGCTAGGTGGTCTATTTTCAGCCCTGGCCACTGAGAGGCCCGGCCATCGTCACCCAGAGATCCACTGGCCATCAACGGCCCCACTCGGTCTTCCAGGCGCGCGTCTAAATCTACCTCCCTACCGAGTAAACCGACCTTCAATTTCCATCTTGCCCGGTTGTCCATGTCCACAACCATTCTTCTCTCAACATGCCATGCCATGCCCATCAAGTCGATGCAATTTCCCCTTGCTCCCTCCCTGTCAGTCAATCTTGATCCCCGCCCGGATGAACCGAGAGCCCACCTCCCCTCTTCGTCCATCGGGATGCAGATCGTCCCCGGACGAAGCTTTCCGTTGCTACTCAATATCCACTCCCGCACCGTACCGCAGACCACATGTCTCCCGTTCTCCATTGACCCTTCCAACTTGCTTCCTCGCCTAGCCCATCCATCTACCGCGCGCTCACCAGCCGCCTCTGCTTGACTCTCATGCCATGCAGCTGTCCTTTCTCATTTCCATATCTGTGCCTCATTGGCTCGCCCGCCGCCATCGTGGGGGCCTCGCCTTCCTCCCAACAGTCTGTCATCTCCTTGCTGCCTTTACCCGGGGACTCGCTCGTTCGACTCCACGCCTGCTGTGCCATGATCCAGCCCTAATACTGCCGATGGAGCCCTGCAACTGAATTGGAACACCGCAAGCGCGGCAAGGCTGGCGCCAACTCATACCCACAACCCAGACCTGCCTCTGGGCCCCATACCCTTCCTGTTTGGGCCCTGTAGTCTCTTTCTTCGGGACCACATCGACCCGTCCGATCATGCCGAGGGCATCGTAGCCGCCCTCCAGGCCCGGCCAGTTCTACGCGCCCGACTTCAGACAGACGCCCATCCCAATGAGACGTCTAGCCAATGTCTGTAGCCCTGCCACTCTCTTCCTCTCCCTTTGGACACACGAGACGGGTTTCATGGCACCTCTAGCAAGCCTTTTGGTCTTGTTCAGCCAAGCTGCTTTGTTTCACATTTCCCTGACCCTGGCCTCCTCGTAACCGCGCTTCTGCGTCTCTTTGTCTTCCCAACTGGCCGCAACATTGCTTAAAGTCGGGCCCCATCTCCGGCTTCTCGACCTACTCTCGACCTTGTATCCGCTTGTCAAGACACTCCTCTCCTATCCCATAACCCTTTTCTTTTTCTCTTTTTCCTCTTTCCGTCTCTTTTCATTCTTTTCCTTGTCCAGTCATCGTCGTCGCATTTCCTAAACCGCATCTTATAGATTTCTTCAGTCTATCTCCGTCCCTCTACTTTATCGTGTCACCACCATCACCACCACACGTCAACCCTTTCTTAAAAAAAAAAAACCTCCAGGCGAGGCACAGACACCATCAACATCGGCTCGAGACACTCGCTACAGGTCCTCCTTCCAGCAGTATAATCAGTAATCTGCACTCGTTCCCTCCGTCAGGGCCTATTTGTTCGGCATACTATTTCTAGAGTCATCATGCCCAAACATACGCGGGCATCCAGTTCAAACCACAACCACTACGGCCATCCGATGCCCGTTTCTCTTGCCCCTGCCGCAAACCCCATCGCCATGTATAACCAACGCATGGCCATGCCGCAGTCGGCCTACTACACCATGCCCTCCTCATCTGCCCCGATGCAGCAGCAGCATCAGCAACAGCAGCCACAGCCAACGTACGAAAGTTACGCCCCGGTGTCTGCACCCCCCGTCTCCGTACCTCCGATGCAACACCGAGCCTCCTCGGGGGCCTGGACTCCTCATGATGACCAGCAGCTGCTCGCAGCTCGCGCCCAAGGCCTTAACTGGGGCCAAATACAAATGTCCTACTTCCCCAACAAGACCCCCAACGCCTGCAGAAAGCGCCATGAGCGTCTGATGGAACGCAAAGGGGCCGACGACTGGGATAATCGCAAGCTCGAACGTCTGGCCAAGGAGTACATGAGCATGAGAAAGGAGATCTGGTCAGGTCTCGCGGCTCGTACCGGTGAGAAGTGGAATGTCGTCGAGGCCAAGGTAAGATGGGCCCCTCGCCCGCCGCTTCGCAAGACATTTGCTAACAGCAACTTGGAACAGTGCATGTCGAACGGTCTCAAGAACCTGCAAAGCGCGTCTCGTGCCGGGGCTAGACGGGAGCGCCTCGAATCGGGGCAGCCACTACCACCAGGGTATGACGATGACAGCGGCATCAGCGGCCTCGGGCTTACCCCAGTTGACGAGCTAGACGCGTCCTACAGTAGTCCAGAGACGGTGTCCTCCGGGCACTCTGCCAGCGGTAGCAGCGCCTCGGCAGCAGGCTACGTAGCCTCCCTTCATCACCTGCAACCCCTCCACGCCGGCCAGTATGGTTACGGTCACACCGGTGCCCACCACGGATATACGAGTTCGGTCTCCTCGAACGGCTCGGTCAACGGCGGATACGGCCACGGCCAGTCACAATCTCCCAGCCCCTACCTCCACCCCCACGGCCAGAGACTGCCCAGCGTGGATATGGGGATCGACGCTATTATCAACCGGCCGGGCGGCGGCGGCGGCGGTGGCCAGCAGCAGATGTGACTGCATGACATGAGCGAAGAGCCGTTTCAATGGCGCTAACTTGGCATATCGGAAGTTTTCGTCAACTTCCTGGACCTCTACTTTCTTTCTCTTTTCATTTTCTTAGCAATCGGGTACGGCATTGCCTTTGGGCAGCTCAAGGAGGCGTTTTAAGGCGTTGCATAGAGGGGCAAGGCGGTTCCACCTCAGCCAAGAAGATGAGTATGACACATACCGACCCTCTAGCTGGGAAATCGTATACACTCCCTCAAGTGTTTATTCTACTGCCCTTCTCTTTTCGTTCTTCTTTTTTTGTTTTTTGCTTTATTTTGTTTTTTTCGCGAGTCACAGCAACAGCACATGGATACCGAGCTTTTCTGTTTAATGACGAATGATCAGAATGGCATGTTGAGTGGAGGTTCATGATACTTGTGTGTATATTATCATCTATAGATACCAGGGGACACAGACCAGGTTGAAAAGAAATGGAAGCCAAGGGAACGCAAACGTATCGCTTTTATACTGTTAAAAAAAACCCCGAAGCCCCAAGACAATGCGCACTCCTCTATTTGAAATGCCCCTGCCTACTTACTGTTCTTGGTTCATAACATGGGAGGGTGAAGCCGACGACTTGGAACCCGAGAATCTAGGCCGACAATGAGGGAACCGATCGTAACCCCAAGACAAAAGAGGCACACACTATCATACATACAAATCCTACACATCCGCTGCGCCCAATGTCTATTTTCTTTTTTAGCTACCTCGCGACGTTGGCACAGCGACGGGCATCTCATCTAATTCATCCTCCCACTCGTCTTCGTCTTCGCCCATGATGCTGTCCCACACACGGCCCCACATGCCCTTCTTCTGCAGCAGCGCCAATACCATGACGACAGGCAGCTGCCAGACACTGGCCCAGAACAGGCCCCTCGCCGAGCCCTTGTGACCCTCGTACTTCCAGAACCGCACGGCCTCCCGCGTCAGCCAGAGGTTGACGGGCAGGCTCGTCACGGCGAAGCTCCACTCCGTAACGCCCGCGGCGCAGAGCGCCACGCACAGGGGGATGAAGGCGATGCTGTAACGGAGCGCCACGCGCGCGTTGCGGGCTGGGTTGGTCCAGGCGAGCATCCGGAGCCCCGCCGCCTTGTACTCCTCCCTGATGGACCACGACAGCGCCATGAAGTGCGGAAACTGCCAGGCAAAGAGCAGCCCGGCCATGAGCCAGCCGCCGATGGAGCTGCCGTCGCTGGCCAGAAGCAGCTCGCGCCAGGAGCCGTCGCCCGAAGCGGTCTCGCCCGCGGCGGCGGCCCAGCCCATGAGGGGGGGTATGCCGCCGACTACGGCGCCGAGCCACGTGTTGGCGGCGCTGAAAGCCTTCATCGGGGTGTACATGCCGGCGTATATGACGATGTTTGCGCCCCCGAGGAAGGCGACGGTCGGGTTGACGCCGAAGTACAGCGCACCCACTCCGGTCGCGGCTGTCGCGACGGCGAAGAGGACGGCGGCCCGCTTGGTGAGCAGTCCCCTGACCAAGGGGCGGTTCCGTGTGCGAGACATCTTGGCGTCGGTCGCAGGCTCGTAAAGCATGTTGAGGGAGTTGGCCGAGGCGGAGCACAAGGCGGTGCCGGTGGTCAGGAAGAGCAGCGTCAACGGGCTGAGCGAGGGGGACTCGGTGATGGCGGGCGAGAGGAAGCCGGGGACGGGGTATAGGGCGTACGTCGCCATTGATGTGAGAACCACAAGGACCGAGAGCCGGGGCTTCGAGAGGGAAAGAAGAGTTGAGAAGATCCGCCGGGCGGAGTGGGCGGGCTGCCGGGCGGCGACGGTCGTAAGGGCGGAGGAGGCATCTTGAGGAAGAAGCACGTTGGGGGTGGAAGGAGAAGCGGCGAAGGAGGAGGAGGCTTCGGCGGCGGCTTTACGTCTCGCAGCCTGGCGACGACGGTGTGGCAGTTCGTGGTTCACGTCGATGGGCGTTGACGTCGGCTCGGACCGCACGGTGGAGGAGGATGAGGAGGGCGCAGCAGCGGAAGCCGAGGAGCTCCGGCTGCCCAGCGGTCGAGTCCGGACATTGGCGCGCTCGAGGACGCTGTTGGATAAGAAATAGCTCGCACCAAGGCGAACGACGGGTGCGGCCTTGGCTGCCGTCGTCGAGGTGTCGCGCCGGGGGATCAAGGGCAACAGGACGGAGCCGCGCTGCGGGGCGCTAGAGGCTTGACGGATGCATTGGCGACAAAGGTTATCGAGTCGGTAGGGGCGCAAGAGCGTACTGGGAGCTGGCCGCATTGTTATTGCTCTGCTCTGCGCTCATGTCGGCCGAGCCGAGGGATATTTGCTCAAGTTCGTCGTCGTCGTCGGCGGCGGCGGCGGCAGCAGCAGCAGATGATCGCTGGTTAGCCTCTCTTACTGGGCCATGCGGGAGGCGCGTTCGAGGGAGTTGAAGGCTTGGGGATGATCGAAATGTGTCGCAATCTGAGGGAGTTTCGACCTCGAGAGAATTGGTCCTTGAAGACCAAAATTGGAAGCTAGTTTGAAGGAGACTAAGGTAGGAGAGCCGCAAGGTGAAGGACGCAAGAGAAGAGAATCAATCAACCAACTTGTCTTGCGGATGGATGGGCTTGAAAATATCTGACCAATCAGAGTCCGACTGATTGGGGGAGAAAGTGGCTCCATTTGGGGGGGCGCCCACACCGGCCGTTGTAGGTATTCGGCAACCGCCAACTTCCCGTCAACAGCTGCCCACCGATCCCGGTAGATGGACGCTCGGCCGAGCGCTTGTAACAACCACTTCAGGTCACATTATAGACTACCTACCTACCAGAAGCCACAGGCGTACATCATCCATCCATCCATCCATCCATCATGTGCCTAATAATGGTTGGCTGTCTTATGGATGTTATAGATGCCCGTTCATTATAGCCGGCAGGGTAAAATAACGGTAGTTATTGGCCTTGATGCAACCCCAAAACAACCACGCCATACTTGCCCAATCCTGCAGGTTGGCATTGCCGGCTAAACCAAGAACGCCGTCTAAGTTGTACTTAATTATACAAATCACAAATCTCTACCGGATTGAAGCCATCCCAAGTATAGGCTGACGCGTACATCCTTTTCTCCGCTGAGCTGTCCTTTCCGCAACTCTAGGCCATGTATCTGTTATCATTCGTCGTTGCTAAAAGGTTACTTGGCAGCTGTGAGTATACGATTATACAAAAGGGGAAACATCCAACACCTAGCCAGAGGCCAACTGAGGCTGGTCCCATTTACCTCCTCCTACACAAACGTCGTCTCTCCAACACTCGCCAACTCGTCCAAGGCCTCTTCTACGACCTCTTCGGCTGGTAGCACAGCGCCGGCGCACTGACGGCGTGGGCCTGGGGTGTGGGCAGGATCATCGACGGTCTTGAGCAGCTCGGCGCCGCGCAGGCGGGCGTTGACACCAAGAGACTCGTCGTGACTGGGTGCTCGAGGAACGGAAAGGGCGCGTTCGTCGTCGGCGCCTTGGAAAAGAGGGTTACCCTAACGATCCCGCAGGAGTCGGGCTCCGGCGGGGCCGCCTGCTGGCGCATCTCGGACAGCGAGAAGAACAAGGGTAAGAACATCCAGACTTCAGGACAGATGGTCCAAGAGAGCTGGTTCTCTCCCAATTTCAACACGTGGTCCACCAGGTCTTCCCAGATTCCCGAGGACCATCACCTGTTGGCCGGGCTCGTGGCGCCGCGGGGCCTCTACGTGACCGAGAACGACATTGACTGGCTGGGCCCCGTATCGACGACGGGCTGCATGAAGGCCGGACGGCTCATCTACCAGGCTCTCGGGGTGCCGCAGAACATGGGATTCTCTCTGGTCGGCGGACATAACCACTGTCAGTTCCCAAGCGAGCAGAACGCCGAGTTGACGCAGTACATCAACTACTTCCTGCTCGACCACACGACGAAGCCGTCGCCACTCGAGCGCAGTACCGTTAACGTCAGCGTCGGGGACTATGCGTCCTGGACGACGCCCATGCTTTCTTAGCATCGAGTGGGTTGGCGGCAAGGCGAGCAAGCCAGCATTGGGTGGTCAGGGGAGACGGGCAAATGGCAAATGTTGGGAACGGAGCGCCGGGGGAATTACAGGGCATGCTTGGTTTAGGTCAGCAGTAGTCGACAATAGTCACCATATGTGGCCCAAAAGTCTTTGATAGCAAGGATCCAACCAGAAATTACGACAGCGAGCCATCAACTGGCCGGGAGAGGCCCCCGTCCGGATCCCAGGTCCGCGACGTTAGCAGAGAAGACGTGAGGGGGGTAATGCGTTGCAAGCATGTGAAGACAAGGCTCACCATGCCATCCCATTCATCAGTTTGTCCCCTTGCACCCAAGTGCCGAGGTATGACCACTTGATATGCATTTGATTTGTGCATCTTGGTCCGCGCAAGCCTGCGTCAGGGTTGTTTAAGCGTTGGGAAGACGTGGGTCGATTCAACGTCGGGAGACGACTCCATTCTCAATGACGCCGAGGTTGGTTCCGGTACGCTCAAATTACGACCAAATGATGCGTCCAATGAAACGGACCGGAACTGGCCCCGGGCGGTAGCGGCTGCAACAAGCAATCCCACATGCTTGGGTGCTGCCTTGTCCCAGCAAAACGTTTCGAGACATATTCAAGGTACATGCAGTGACTTGTGCATCATAATTCTACACTACGGATACAGTTACAGTTTGTCTTTGAAGGGAAGCAAGGAGGCAGAAAACCAGCCAGTCAAGGAGAGAGGGCGGCTGTGGCTAGGGCGGCGGCTGTGGCGGGAGCGGGTTCGGCGTTTGTCATGAGTTTCGTCATCTGATCCATGTCGTTCCCTCTCTGGTCATGTATGTACCTTTGCTGTACCTCGCTCGTGATTCGGACGATCTCAACAAAATACACAACACCAAGTCCAACAACACCCACTACGGACATTTCGTTCACGCAAACTCTGTACATATAAGAGTCATCGAGGGAGAGGGGTTCGCGATCGTCTCTTCTCGTCCTTGATGCGCCATGGAATCGTCAGGCTCGCTACTTGTCTGAATCGTCACTTATTGCTGCAGCTCTCTCGCCCGGGCGTATTGCTTCCTTACTCGAAACTCTTCCTCCTGACAACAGTCCACACGTCGCCCAGCACCGTCTCGAAATGTTGAACCGCACTTTCCATGAGTGGGTGTTCATTCGCACCTGCATCATACTTATGCGATACCCGCTCATCCCCTATGTATCGATCCTCACGGCTTGCTACCTTGGCATGAACCACAGCCAGTCTCCAGCGCGATGGAGGACAATCGCACAAGTCATATTCGGTATGATGCTGATTGAGTTGCTGTACATCTTGTTCATCTGGTTGCCTTACACCCGACGCCTCAAAGAGCCTGCTAAACACCCGCCACCATCGTCGCCGATTGAGCGCCGAGCTCTGTTTGAAAGATGCATGGCCACAGTCCCAAACTACGGGGACTACCTTCGCATGTGGTTTTTGGGTTCCGAGCAGTCTGAAATTCGCCGCGAAAACATGCGCGAGTTTCTTCTTTGGGCTTTCTTTGACGTTGAATATGGAAGCAACAGCGGGGCGGGTTCCGCCGACGACTACGACGTTGAGGTGGACGAGTACATCTCCTATATCGAAAAAGGCTTGGGCAAAACGTTCGAGCCGGGTCGGGGCCGAGCAAAGTGCTTACGGCTCACCATCGACTCCGTCGAGCCGGCTTTCCGCACCGTTTGGTGGTACGCGACCATGGCCCTCTTGGACCACGCCACTCACATCCTTCTCCTTCTCAACGGCTTCGAGTACTACGCCCAGCCACGAGAAAAGGCCATCTTCCCACCACGGCTGCAGCAAATCTTTGCTAGTCGCCGCACCTTGGCCGGAAATTTGAGCTACTGGTACCGTCCTCACCGTTCCGAGGAGCTGCCTGTTGTCTTCCTCCACGGTATCGGCATTGGCTTGTGGCCGTACATCAACTTCCTTGCCGAGATCGTTGGCACAAAGGGCAAAGGTCAGACCGGGGTCATTGTCCCCGAGATCCTTCCTGTTTGCTTTCGGCTAACGGAGCCACCGCTTGGCAAGGAGGTGTTCCTTGATCAATTCAAGAAGATACTTGACCATCACATGTGGGACAAATTTGCCCTAGTATCTCACTCGTACGGTTCCATATTGTCGACACACGCTATAAAAAGTCCCGAACTACAAGCGAGGATTCAGCGAGCGGTGTTTGTTGACCCCGTGAGCATACTGCTCCATCTGCCCGACGTCGCTTATAACTTCACGCGCCGTCGACCAACGACCGCCAACGAATGGCAACTGTGGTATTTCGCTAGCACGGATCCTGGAGTTGCCCATTGCCTTGGTAGATATTTCTTTTGGAGAGAGAACGCCATCTGGGCAAACGAGCTGGTAGGGGAACTGGGGCATGTGCGCGATGAACGGAAGGAAGCAAGACAAGTAACTGTTTGTTTATCGGGGCTGGACCTCATAGTTGACAGCCATGCTGTGGCTAGTTATTTGGCCGGGAGTGACCGGGCGAATCACCCCGCATGGCTGCTGAGCGAGCATGGCCAGAGTAACGTTGCTGGTCTAAAGGCTGGACTCACGCCAGGTGGGGATTATGAGCAACACCGCTCGGTCGAGCTGGGCGTCAACATTCTCTGGTTCCCGAACAAGGACCACGCGCAGGTTTTCGACTCCCCGCGGACTAGAGCGCCGATCGTGGCCGCCATAAGAGGTGAGTCTCCGACGGAATAGGCTTTGATGGATGCCATAGCATCAGTATAGCATCGGCACACGCCTAGCCATTCATCGCAGGAGCCGAAAATATCACGATGACGTGACACCTCAGTCTTTGCCATATGTTTCTTCACCACAGAGTTGGGATTCCTCGCGTCGACCGGTCGGTCACCATTAGGTGTCAATCATCCCTCGAAAGAATGACGGCCGTATGGTTACTTGGCTTCATCACCTCCCCAGTCCGTCAAGCCCACATTGACAGGCTGTGAACCGCTGCGGGTGATAACCCACACAGCATCATCGTCAGACTCATTGAGCATCTGATGCTCCGTCCATGACGGGATAAAAGCAAAATCGCCAGTGGACATCTCATGCCGCTTAACGTCTTGCCCTGCTCCAGGGCTGACAAGCAAAAGACCAGTTCCGGAAGCCACGTAAACGATGGTATCTTGGCAAACATTAGAAACCCATCACCGCTACGGCGCGGTCAGAAATTGACTTGGTAGGGGGATCCTAACCTTGTTCGCCATGATGACGGATGGCCGATGTCGCGTGTGCGTTGAGAGTGAGGACTGGTCTTGTTAGCTACGAAGAGCACGGTGAAGAGTGGGCAAGGGGACAAGTGGAGGCAGTAGCAATAAACACCCTGCAGGGTGGAATCCCCTCGGAGATGGCTTGGGGCTGTGACAGTGTGCAATCGACGAGCTAGCGGTTTGGCTAGCAAGATCCGGCCGCTGTTGCTACGGGGTTGGTGCATGATTCGAGAGCAGGTTACGCAGAGGTCGAGGAGACGGTGTCATAGAAGCGGCGTCGACTTACCCGATGCGCAGAGCTTATCGCTTTTGCTAACAACGGCATCTGCCTCGTTGGCAGAACCGGGTTGAAGAGTCGCACCAGAAGGGCGGAGGGCGCTCGCTTTGGTGACGGACACCGACGAAGGAATGATCATGGGTAGTAGGTCGTTAATGAGAGGGATGAAAGAAGCCATGGTGTCCTGCAGGGCGGCCCCATCCAGGGATCCAATATCCTGGCGGATATGCGGCAAACTGGTCGGGGGTACTCTCTTCTGGGCTGGCCGGTTCCGAGTGAGTTGCCGACGGGGACTTGAGCCTTGTCGCGTTTTCGTGTGTGCTCTGGGGATGACGAGTGCGAACTGGGATGTGTTGTCTTGCGTTGCGTTGTTGGTGGTGAAGACAACCTTCCACTGGCGGGCGTGCTACGGCCCAAGTAGGAAGGAGACGTCGGACAAGGAGCGAGAGAGAAGTGGGAACCAAAGTGAGCCCCGACAGTGTCCGTCTGTTTCGTTTCGTGTGTGTACACTAGTCGAGCGGCAGCGTGGGTTACCTTAGCTATATCAGGGATGCGCGTTGTCGCATTCCATAGGAGAGAACTGGAGGAAGAGGAAGGAGGAGAAGGACGGGGAGGAAGTGCCTACCTACCTAATCGGGCAGACACGCTCGCGAAGCTGCATTACCTCATATGATGCTTAGGCCGGTATCGCTTCTCTAGCTCGCGAAGGGTACATATCCATACTACATAGACAAGTATATGCATATGATACATATCTTTCTTACCTACCTATCCATCACCCTAAGGACACCATGAACTCCTTCCCAAGGTACGTTATTCAATGCAGTCCCTCTTAAGATGGCGCAAGTACACAATCATAGTGACATGGTCGGAAAAACATGGTACAAGTATCATGCCCAATACTCAACACAATGAACAAGGGTAAGTCTTTATGTGGATTAGAAACACAAAGGGCCCCCATGAACGTTCCACCCGACATGGGTTGGTTCGGTGTCGGCCGAAACCAGAACCAATCAGAACCCAATTAATAGTTACAACTCATCAGTCAGCTGTAGAAGTTCCCTTCCAACGAATCTTGGCTGGGACTTTTTGAAGATGTATGGATTCCAATAAGGCTAGTCTAGGGCCTTTTGTTTTGAAAAAAGAAAAAAAAAACCGTACAGAGAGAAAGGAACGAGGACACGGTTTCTTGGCTAATATGATGTATTGGCTGTCAGGGTTTTATTAAAGAGGTGGGCTAGAAGCTGAGGCGCGAGTGTCGGGGCCAGGACTACGCCCATGTCTTGCGAGTCGGGCTTTTCAAGTAAATATACGAAGGTAGGTTGCTCGATAGGTAATACCTTGGGTACCTATGCAAGACGATGCTCAATTGGTTGGTGTTCTGCTCATGTGGCCATGTCGACAGCACAGCTATCACCAGTGGCCGTCCGATAAGCGACCGCCCCCCCAAAGATGAGCACGCAGCACTTACCTACCTGCCTACCTACCGGTAGCCTTAGGTAGGTCAGTAGACGAGGTACTCCGTAGAAGGCACCTAATAGAATCAATCGCTCTTATACTTCTTAGTCAGCTGACTCCCCGCAAACTGCTCCCGGCTCCAGTTCTCGGTACCTGACCCCTGGTTCGTGAAGGGTTCAAGACGTGATGCCCTGAGACATAGTTGTAACTTGCATGACCTCTGCCGACGCTCTCTCGCGCTCCCTCTATCTGCGATGATGCATGCATTATCGTGAACCCACACCACTGGCGTACCTACCACTACTATCTGCATCTTTTCTTGGGTATCTGCCTTCATCTTCACTGCTAAGCAGAATTACATCACGTCCAGCCCCATCGAACTTGACCATGACTGTTGAGCAGAAGTCGAACAACCCTCCTAATTCGGAAACCCGCGTCCTGTCATGCTATCCATCATCGCCTTGCCCAGTCATCGGATGGCACTGCATTAGTCGCTCCCGGCCTACGACAGCATTTTCCTTGCTCAAGCCAGCGCTGCAGCCGTCTTCTGTCGTTTCCGATGCTCCTTCCGCATCGGCCCTGGGTGTCCCCGAGCAACCTTGCCGCAACGTCGTCTTTGTGGCATCTAGATCCATACGCTGGCACGCGGTTGTTTCTGGTTGATGGTTTCTAAACCTGCCTATGAGTCACCACCCTCCCGCAACCGACTTATTTTCTTCTTATCCTGGCCTAGCTCTATCCGAGCCGTAACCGGGGCTTGCAGGGTTGCAGGGACGAGCTTCTTGTCCATCCGCGACTGCAACCAAAAGGGCTTGACTGTCACTGTCACTGCCTGCGCGGAGACCACCCCAGCCCGCCGCGACATACCCTTGCCCCGGCAGCTCGGAAGACTGGGAGAGTCTGGGACCTACTAGAGTCATAACCCCAACATCGCTACCTCTAACGAACTCCTCTGTGCATCATTCATAGCCGACTTCAATCTTCGTGGCTTGCCGTCTATTGACTTTAAGTAGACGCACAATTCCAGAACAGCCGCAGCTACCCGGCAAGCGACCTGTCAGCGTTGTTAACTCACACTCAACTCGGGTCAACGTCATTAAACGCGAATCATCCGCCAACACCTCGACCAGCAATACCCTCTAACCCATACCGACGCTTCTATCGAGTTACAACGACCAGTTTCCCATCAGGATTATATTTCCGTTACACCACACACAGTCTGGTTCCCTGAAAGACATGGGCGTGCTCGGCCAGATGGACTCTATCCCCCTATCACCGTCCCCCTCGGTCGCCGGGACAGATGACGCTGCCCACGATACTGTGCCCACGACGGGCAGTAATTACGGCGGCATCGACGCCGAAGTTGAGGAGAACCTGTACAGACTGCCCTATGTCTCGGATGAGGGACTGCGCAGCGACGCCACAGACCGCCGCAAGACGATCAGTTCCTGCCAGGGCGACTATTATCCTCTTTCTCCCGATTTCAGTGTCTCTGGATCAGCCGGTATGTCACCCATACACTTCTCGCTTCATCACCCGGAACCACTCTGACCCGCCGTGAACGCGCTAGAAGGACATTTCTTGCACCTGGACACCGGCTGTCGCCTCCTTTCGTTACCTTCCGAGATCATCGATGCGATCCTTGCCTACCTGCCGCCCTGCGACCTGGCCATTGTCTCCGAGACGTGCCGAAGCCTTCATGCACACGCGACATCCGACGTTCACTGGTACCAGAGGGTTCAAGCAAATGTTCCTGGCCTGAAACTCGAGACTCCGTATCCGTGCCGTACGTATCGCGAACTATATGCCGCGCACGACCCGAGATGGTTCCTACCGAAGTACAAGATCTGGTTTTGCGACCGCGACCTCATGGGCAAATTGATTGTCGTAAGGTACGACCAGCGAAGGGGTTGCATCGAAGGATACCAACTGTTGGCTGTCAGCCACCGGACCACCTACCAATACTGGCCTGCCGACAACAACGTGGTAATCCATGCTTTCGAGCCTCGTGTCAAGCTACATCTGGACAAGCCGGTGCTCCAATTTCATGCACATAGCGTAAAAGACAGTGAGAATTCAACTGGCTTACCGGAACATGGGTTTCTCCCAGAGATACCCATGGTTATTGACGAACGTCCCGACGCCATGTTCAGCAACTTCTTGATGGCCCGCCCCCTGGACACCGCGACCGCCACCTCCAGAATGGAAGCGCCGTTCCCGTACGGCAATGTGTGGCCTCCACCCGCCATACCTGCCCGTCATCGCGTGGCGGGCGTCGCTTCCGGCTTGGATGGCGATGACCTTGCGCCCGGCGATCTGCCTACTCGGCGAGCCGAGGCTTCGGACCAAGCCTTTCGCATCCGCCAGTGGATGGAGATGGTTGGGGGGCCGGGGCCGGGACTCTTTCTTGGGGCAGGGCCCGTTGGCCTGATTCAGGCGGTCCATGCCAACATGGGCATGATAGGAGGACGAGGTGTTCCTGGCGTGCACATCGGTGAAGAAGTGGTCACGTACTCTACCCTTGATCCTGTCGTGTATACGCCAACCCCGCTCAAACCATGGCGTGGCATCTGGGTCGGCGACTACAGCGGACACGGATGCGAGTTTCTGCTGATCAACCAGCCCGACGAAGAAGATGTCTCTGACGAGAAGCTCGGCCTCATACGTGGCGTCGACGAGTCCGAAGATGAGTGGACCAGGCGACGTACCGATGCAAGAGTGCATCGAGGTCGCCTAGAAGCGATCAAGCTCACCGGCGACCCGAATGTTCCCAGGGGGGAGTACACGTTCGTGGCAGACGACTTGGGCGAGGCTGGCTTCGTCGGACTTGCTCAGGAACCACCGTTCCAAGGCACGCGCGTTGTCAGGAGCAAAGGTCATGTCGCTGGTACGGGCTTCATCGATGGTTTGTCACCCCCGCCCTGCGATGATTGTTTCAACCGTACTGACCAATGGTGTTCAGATAAGTACATTGAATCACAGCTTATGCTTATTTCCCACGACCGGCTTGCGCAGTACTGGGTTGGCTTCGGGCATATCAGTTTCTTCGAGCGGGTAAATATCGAAGAGTTCGTGTCGCCCTAGGTTGAAGCGGTTCGTATACAGCAAGGAATGGGGGGCGTTACATAGTCTCGAGGAAAACTTGATAAAATCTGAGCGTTGTATCATATCTCCTGCATGCGCCTCAATCCCGTTTGCCAAGACACAGACCTAAGCTTTATTTACGAGTACACGCCGCTTGCTATCCTCTCATCGTGGAAATCCATACCTAGGTATAGTCCGATATCTTTAGTCCACGTCGTCGGCATTCGTCTCTGTCTCGTGGGGGGCCGGTCCCAGCTTCTTCCTGGCCTCCTCGAAGGCTTTAGTTTCGTCATGTGACTCATGCTTGTCGTCACTAGGCGGGGGGCGACCGCCGGATTTAAAGCTGTCTGCGTCAACCTTGAGGGTGCCATCCTCATTGACATCGTCCTTGAGATAAAGGGTGAAGAGAACGACGAGATAGACGTCGCCGGTAGCCTTGTTCCGGAGAACGTATCTAAGTTGGTGTGAGCGCTTAGGCCCCTCTTCCCTGCTACGAGTAAGAATGACGCAAGGAAAAATGTTCAATTTGCAAGGGGGCTCTCTCTAGAGGTGGCCGCTTTGCTGCATATTTGGTCTCACAGTAAATAGCATACACCTCAAGAGGTTGACCAGAAACGAGCGGTTGTGAGTCAAGAAGAAAGCCGACTCGCAGCAAAGCATAAAGGGACTGCTAGGGTCAAACGGAAAAGAAGGCCACTTACCGCAAACCTTGCCCGTCCCAGTACCTCATGATGGCCAGCTGAAATCCTGGCAGGCGGAGCGCCAAGTTGGCAAAGTCGAGATACGGGTTGAAAAAGTCCATGCCGTACGTCTTGCCATACTCGAACGTCCAGTTCTCCTTGCTGTCCTTGCGCAGAGCCCACTTCATGCGCTCCTTGGCCGTGGCCGGCGCGCCAATCTTCTCCCGCGCCTCGAGGCCGGCCTCGTCGCCTCCCTCCTCGAACCACAGGCCACCCTTCTCCTTGTCATGGACACCAGCTCCCACATGGATGACATTGAAGGAGCTCAGAGCAGGGCCGTACAGGTGTGGGACGTCGGCGTAGGCGTCGCCATCCAGGCCCGGGTCGATCCACCATTTCACAATGTTAAGCGCCGTGTTGAAGCCTGGGGGTAGACGGTCACGGATGGGGTGATCAAAATCATTGCCGAACTGGAGATTTTCGGCCGAGATTCCCTCATCGGCAGAGGAAGACGACTCATCTGTGGGCTTCTTGGGTGTAAAACGGAAGGAGATGCTGTACTGGTCATTGTTGGTGGCGTGAGGCTCCGTGGAGAAGTAGGGAGACGTGGACGGCGAGTTGCGCGGCAGACCAGCATAATTTTGTATGCGGACGTTCAGCTCGACGTCGGCCAGGTTGCTGATGACTTTGGTGGGCTGTGCCTGGTTGACAGGGACCTCGACTTGGGAATCGAGGTCGTAGCTGGGGCCGGCGGTCACCCGCAGGATATACTTATCAGCCATTGCTATTCAGCTTGCCTCTTGCTGTTTTCCGGAGGCTGGTCTAGAATCTTTTGGTTCGTGGAATCAAGGGAAGTCCCGAACGTCCGAGCGAGTCTCGCTGGAGAGTTGGAGTGATGATGTAAGTGCAGCGGCTTCGCGTATGAAAACCGTACCAAAATGCCAGTCGTTGATAAGCGATATATATTCGAACCGAGACGTTGATGAGAACAAGTGAGTCAAATCTTGAGATTTGAATCGCGAGCGACGTCCTGATGAGTATGAATGAGGCAAGTGCGCTACAGACCTACTGAGAGGAATTGACGTGTTGCTTAACAGACAGGCAGGCTCAGAGAGTACGGTAATAGGAAACAACACCAGCCGTTGCCAAAAACGGGTTGAGAGGAAGGCGAAAGAGACGTATCGTTAAAGCGGAAAAAAAAACTGGATAGGACACAGGGGGGCAATGACGTTGACATGAGAGACTAGAACTCACACCTTGCCGTCTTAGTGTTCTCTCTGACCTCAGCTAACCGCTTTGGACCAGGATGCATGTGGGATACTCTCAGATGCTGTTTTAGGTAGTTCACGTTCGATATCCTTCCTAAGGTTATAGGACGAAAGGCGGACGATTGAGCAGGGGAAAAATCTGTAGATACGATATACACATAAGAGAAGCCATGCAAAGTACTATGCAATTAAAAGAGCGGGTATGCTGTGAAAGAGTGAGAGATGGGGGGGCCTTGCGCTCTTCATTAACTATAGCGATCTCATGTTTACAACTTCATGCATATGCAGTTATTGGCTACTGTTGGTCGAATGAAGTTATGAAAAGCCGACGGGGGCGGCCTCAAGAGGAGCATACGAGAGGTCACCCGCAATCACCTTGCTTGGCACTGTGAAGATAGCGGCGGCGACAATGTGAGCTACCGCCACAATTATGACAAGCTAGGAGACAGCTGAGCGCCGATTGCGCGAGGTTGCGTCTTGAATGCTAGTGGACCTGGCTCATCCTCGTCTAGAGGAGCGTGGTACTACTATGTGACTACCTACTAATCAAGAAGGGCCTCATAATACTGACCAGCACTGAGGGAGGATGCTAGAGATCAGTGTGAACCCTTGTCAGCTCAACATGGCGGATTTGATGCCGGAAATGACGAAAAGCATGCACAACACTTCTTCACCTTGCTCCGGTTTGACATATATTGTCCTCTGGGAAGATGAAACGGCTGCATCGCGTTGGGCGTATGTCAGAGAGGTCACAAAATGGTCAAAGAGGAGCTTTCCCTGTCACATCTGACGATTCTACCGAGGGCGAGGAAGCGGCATCTTGGTACAGGACACACGAATGAAGGATGCCAAGCGGAGTCATGAAGCTTAGGTGGCTAGGTACCTAGGTGGGCTAGGTACTAGGTAGGTTCGTTCATCTGAACAAGCACATGCATGACCTTGACCCCTACCTACCCACACCGGGGGGACGGCTCGCCGGATGGGCCAGCCGTGGTAGGTAGGTACCCCATGTACCTAGTAGTACCCAAGTGCCTACCTAAGTCGGTTGGCAGGCAGTTATGTATCCAAGGTACCTACCTCTCCTACTTGGATACAGTAAGTACCTACCTGTTAGTCACCTTGGCTTTGGGCAGTGAGCCAGCCCAGTGTGGCAGCCGCAAGCTCGGCAGCACGCTAAATTCGATTTCAGCCTTTTTTCGATGGGCAGTTGGAGACCGACTGGCATTGCCTGCCTACCTAGCTAGGTAAGTACTGGGTGTGTACTTCATGTAAAATAGGTACCCTCCCACATAGGTACGTGTATCTGTATCCGTACAGTACGGAGTACAGTAGACCAGACCAGACTAGAGACCGGTCGGTCATGCTGGCTCCTTCCTGCCCCAGGAGAGGTAAGGTTCAGTCAGCTGCGGTAGTTGTCTCCAAGCTTCACCTAGCACTGCTAGCAGCCATGTACCTAAGAGTATCATCCGAGCAATGCCCCTTTCCCCTCAATCGTTATCGACGACAGAATGCTACCTAGCTAAGTCATAGATGCTGCCTTTGACTCAGATGGCATGTCTAGGTAGGCAGGTAGGCCATTCCACTAAATTAGAACCCCCTGTTCGGACGAAACCTCTCAGAGCCCAGACAAGGGTGGTCCAACAGACGTCTTCTTCAAGCCCAGTTCGTCTCGACCTTGTCTGCCCTGGCTTGGCCTGGTCTGTCCGTTCCGCCCTGCAGCTTCGCCTTTACCTGGGCAGTGTTATCCATACGTACGGATGGATGGCACAGCACTAGCCAAGAGAAGCGCCATCATATTTCCTCGTCCTCTCTCTCTCCCTCTTCCTTTCCCTCCCCAAGATGATGAATAAACATCCCATCGCCCTGTCCAATCTCGCTATCGCCCACATCACGAGTTCGTTTGAGATACGAGCGTTCCCCCATCATCGACCCCAGAGGCCGAGACTAAACGACGGCTAGATCATCCCGGGATCGTCACGCATGACTCTCACCAACGGGATTGTCAGCCATGCAACCTTTCTCTCTATCTCTCTCTCTCTCTCTCCCTCCCCCCCTTGGTCTAGACTGTCCGTGCCTCGTGTCGGCTAACCTCCTCCTCGAGTTCCCGTGCGCCCGTTCGGACGGGTTGCACGTCGAGTCCTGAGATTGGCGTCCACCAACCAACGCCACCCTTCACTCGACACCTTGCCCGTCCATCCGTCCATCCCTCTGATCTGGTACAGGTGGTCTGATCTACCTACTACTCGCTATGCAGTGTAGCTCCGCGCCAGATTCCCCCGACCCCCAACTCCTTCCTGGCTTTCTCGTCCATCTTAGCTGAGGGTCGCACAAAGCATAAAGCAAACCCTAAGAAGGGAGAGACACGCACCCACGCACGTTTGTATCTCAGACAGCTGGAAGCCTGCAGGTTGGGACCTGGCCTTCACTGCCCATCTCATTCAAAACTTGTCCTGAGTCGTGTCTTGTCTTTGGCAACTGCAGATAAGCACTTGGCTTGCTCCCGCCAACTCCCCCTAAGCTCAGCTCGCCTCGCCGCAATCCTTCAGCTCATATTGCTTTTTCCTATCCATTCTGCCCTTCATCGATTCTCTTCTTGATCCACCCTCTCACCCTCGTGCTCTTGCTCTCTCCCCGGCTCTCACCACTCCACTGCGGTTGCTGTCACGGACAGTCACTCGGCACCTCTTCATTATGCCTTCGAGTTGACAGACATGGAGCCAACCACCGTCATTGGCGCAGTGTCGGCTCTTGTCGAGCTCTTCGCCGACGGAGCAGAGCACTACGCAGAATGGAAGCGGAAGCGTGCCCTCAACAACAACTATTTCCGGAACCCAGATTCTGGCGTTCGGAGACATGTCATCACCTGTGCTCTGAGCACATCCTTAGACGCATCTGCCAACCAAATCAAGGAGACATATGACATTGGGTTCACTTTACTCGGCGCCGAGTTCTCTCTGGGCGATGGTGAGTTTCCTTTGTAACTCATTCTCGTCGTGCACTCTGCCGCTGCTGCTGCCCAGTCGGGGATGGCGCCGCCAACACCTTAGTTGACCTGTCTTGTGCTGATGGTGTATAACGTGTAGCAACGTGTCGGGATATGCTCTGCAACCAGCTGTTCAACCTCGGTAGCCGGATTTCACACTTGCGCCGGGCATCCGCTCACTCGGGGTCAACCGGTTTTCTGAATCTCCCGGACATCATACAGGCATCCGAGTCGGCGAGACTCGCTTCCGTCCGCGCACTGGCAGAACTATACTTTCGTGTTGCAGGCGGCCGCCCTGATATTCCCAAATGTCTCCCAGTCCCCAGACCTCGTCCGCGCCAAGATAGGTCGATATCGCGATATCAGGCCAGCCCAGCAGAAGAGAACAATGGGGGGGGCGACAACAATAACAACGAAGGCGGCGACGAAACGACAACGGCCATGACCATGACCACAGATCAGGCACCATTCCAATCAGAACCGCCTTCGCCTCCTCCGACTCCGCCAGCACCAAAACCTATTAGCAACGACGACGTGTCCCTATTCACGCCCTCAGAGGCCGGTGCCAGCAGCACTGGCACCGTTCACCTCCGTCCAAAGGTCAGCGTCTTCAGCATGTTCTGCCCCGAGGCCATGACGTTCCAGGTCGACCTCTCCAAGAGAATACCGGAGACGCCCAAGAGGTGCAAGTGCGGCTATCGGTGGATGCCGCTGCTACCCAACAACAAGGACTTCATTGTCCTGAAAGAAGGATTCCGAATGTCCAGCCGCTTTTTGGCCAAGTCGCATTCTGATAGAAACGAGTTTGCCTGCTGTCTCTGTGTGCCGTCAGGAAAGACAAACAAGTACGAATCGGCTGATGCCTTGCGGGCACACATCAACATCTCCCATATCAAATGGCAGATCCTCCACGACCGGGACATATCCTAGAACTTTCTTGCAAATGCCAGTCCATATCTTGGCTCAGACACACTAGCCGCCCTCCCTTGCATTGGTGGGCGGTTTCGGTTTCTGTCGCGAGAACACGCCCATCACTTGGTCTGTTGAGTGGGCTCTAAAGGCGACAGAAAACAAAGGCAAGAAAAGGGGGGGGGGGGGGGGGCGAGGATATGCGCACACGTACACACACACACACACACACACACACACACAAACACACAAACACATGCAAAACAAACAAAACAAACAAGCAGGTGTAATATTTTGGGGGCGGTATATTACGGGAGCGACGGTCTGTACATACAAGATACCCAATAGGAGGGAAGGTGCTCTTTCTTAGGACGTAATTGACCATGTTATTTTGAATTGGTCTTGCCATCATCATCGATCTGCCAATGTTTGGTTTTCTTCTTCTTTTCCTTCGCCCTCTTCGGCTGGATAACTTGGAGGCGATGATGAGCTTACCCAGCACTTGAGCGTAATGAATCGACACCGTTACAATCTTGTGTAACTCATTTCATGTGTATCCGTATTGTCTCGGAGTTTTCAACATCCCTGCCAAGGACAACTCGAGGCGTACACGCTCAAGGCATTAATTAATCCCTGCGTGCGGAATGAAATGAATGCGGCAGCCCCCTCCTCGTCTACCTTGGAAACCAACCGCTTGCGATAAACTCGTTACCAAGGTCAATGGCAGCTATGATCGAAAGAATCATGTAGGCTCCCCCTCCTTGAAAGCCGGTCTGGTCACCCTCGTCACCCGTGGTGGATGAAGATGTTGCGTTGGCACGTCAACGCCTTTACTATGTACACTGGACTGGACGGGAACGGATGCCGGCAGTTCGTCTGGTTCGAACACCTGGGCCGGCCCGTGCAATGCGAGTGTGACGGGCAATCTCCCCGGTCAATCTGCGCCGGGGTCATATGGCATGAGGGTATCCGTACCTATGTAGGTACGATACCGTACGATACGGAGTGTTTGTCGAAGGCATACCCAGGTGGACAGGAGGAAGAAGGCATGTTCATGTTGTGTAAATACAGTGAGTGCGTGATACCGACTGCAGCACAGCGGCACAAAACAGACATAGGCTTGGCGGTTCAAATGCTCGGGGTGCGGGGTAAGGAAGGTGCTGTAGCTACCCACTCACTACGGATACCTAGATACGCATACCTTCCTTGGTATGTACTTTGGAGCTTCACGGACAGTGTGTGAAGCCATGACAACCAAACCAACAAACACACGCCCTGTCCCACCAAAGTACATACAGCAACAAGTCAACATCAAACAGCACCAGCACTGGAGCGCCAAAGCTTCCAGCATCTCTCTCCACCAGTCGACCGACACTCCACCACGCGCGCGCGCGCGCGACCATCTCGCAATCCGTGCGTGCTCCTTTGCTGCCCCAGACATCCAGACAGCAGCTAACGTATCGGTGCCATCATCTGACCCGCGACTGCTCCAACCTCTGGCAAAACACAGACAGACAACCACACGAGTTCCATCTCTATTTCTGCCATTGGCCATGATCGAGTATTCTTTGCTGGTCTGACGACCCGACCCCAGAGCAGCCAACCCTAAGTCGTTATGTCGTTGATCCCGTACCATCCGCGAGAAGGTCGCGAGATTGTCCTGTTTGTCGTCCCCTTTGATCCCCGTTCTTTTCCCGCTTCTTCTGTCGCCTTGCGCCCACTAACGCCCTCCTTCTTCTTCTTCTAGTCGGCACCGTAACGCCATCGTCGTCCGCGACCCCTTCTCTCAGCGACTCGAGATTCGAGGCTTGTCCGAGTGCCCGACTTGTCATCAGCCCCTGCGACCATCGTCTCCAGAGCGCCAGTTTGACAGCGCTCGCCATCATGAGTCCTTCGTCGACCCCAACTACTTCCGCATGCTACGAGCTGGCGGCCATGCCTCGAGAGCCGATCATCCTCCGTCCAGCCCCATCCGCCGATTTGTGCAGCCGAGCTTACCCCACCCACAATCTGCTGTCATAGAGGATGCCGAAGACGCCGAGTTTGTTTCTAGTACACCGGCTATCCAGGAGGGTAGTCGCATTCGCCGCGAGGCCTTCAGCCCCAATTATTTCAAGACCTTCTTCGTCGAAGAGAAGGAGCTTGGCCGCGGGGGCAAGGGTGTCGTGCTACTTGTCCGTCATGAAATCGATGGCTGCCATCTTGGTATGCGCTCTCCGGAACACATTTGCTCCGTCTTCACTGACCGTTGCAAGGTCACTTTGCGTGTAAGCGAGTGCCTGTAGGCGACGACCACGCATGGCTCGAGAAAGGTATGAGGGAGCACTCTGGGCCGCGCTTGCCCAGCGAACCCGTACTGAAATCTGCTTCTCTTAGTGCTCGTCGAAGTCGAGTTGCTCGCCAAACTGTCCCACCCGAACCTGGTCTCCTATCGCCATGTCTGGCTCGAAGATGTCAGATTGACTCGGTTTGGCCCGAGTGTGGCATGCGCCTTTATCCTGCAGCAATACTGCAATAGCGGCGACTTGCTTCAGTACATCATTGGTGATCGACCCAAGGAATCTACCAAAGAGCAGCTCAAAGCGCAAATGCGCCGCAAGTCCAAGGGCCAGCTCGAGCTACCTCGCGACCAGTTCGCTTCACAGAGGTTGTTGTCCTTTGAGGAGATATTCTCTCTGTTCAAAGACATCACCTCTGGACTGGCATATCTCCACGCTGCCAGTTACATCCATCGCGACCTCAAGCCAAGCAACTGTCTTCTGCATCGTGAAGGCAATGGGCTGCTCTGTCTCATCAGTGACTTCGGCGAGGTCCAGTCTGAAAACATGGTCCGCAAGTCAACCGGATCAACCGGGACCATTTCCTACTGTGCACCAGAGGTTTTGAAGAAAGACTCGACCGGTCGCTATGGCAACTTCACCGTCAAGTCTGATATCTTCTCTCTTGGAATGATCCTTTACTTCATGTGCTTTGGCCGTTTGCCTTACCGCAGCGCCAACACGATCAACGAAGAATTGGAGGATATCGACGAGCTGCGCGCGGAAATCAGCGACTGGCAGGGCTTCCAAGACGAACGTAGAGAGCGTCCAGATCTTCCATCAAAGCTCTACCAGCTTCTTAAGAAGCTGCTCGCCCTTGACCCCTCACAGCGCCCGAGCGCGAGTGAGGTCCTGGCCGCTATGAAGACGGAGTCAAGTCTCGATGGTGTTCCCCGAGGTAGGAGCTCGAGCCCGCCAATTGGCCTCGGCGGACGCCGGATCCAGAGTCTGGACTCTCCAACGCCTTTGAGCACACCCGTCCCAGGTATGTGGCTCATCAGCTTCAAGAGGTCACGCTATCTATCAAACTGACTTTGTCACAGATCCCCAGAAGTACGCGAGGTATCCGTCATCTCAAGAAGGATACAACATTCCCAGTAAGGCCGCTGATGACGACTCTCCGCGCGCTAGCTCGCTGAGGCAATCCGACTCGGGCTCACCGGGGCTCAGGCCCCAAGCTCAGGCCATGATCTCGTCACGAAGTCAAGATATCCGCCTGTCCCCAGAGCGGGAAGAGAGTGTGGATTCCGGCAAAGACGCGCCTCTGAACTCGCCGCCACTGTTGATGCCACCTACCGCCACACGCTTCGAAGCCTTGCAGCACAAACTTATGATAGGAAGCATGCGAGCTAGCCAGCTTATACGTTACAACGCAGGCCCCCTCCTAGCGGTCCTCCGTCTCGGTTTGTTCCTGAGCAAAATGCTCAGCTTGACACGCCCATGCTGGCCTTTCATGGCGAGTCCGAACATAGCAGCCCCTCTGGTGATGCTGGCCGCGCTCGATCTCGGTCTTGCCAGTGCTGGTGCAAGGCCGCTCGCTCGATATGGGCAAGAGACCAGTAGACGCATGTCCAATGGCTTACCATGGGCCTGGGGCTTGCGAGGTAGTGTCGTTCTTGTTATTCTCCACATGGTTGTGCTTTGGGTCGGCAGTCGCTGGAACTCTTTGTGCATGCCAAGGCCCAATACGTGGCATATGTAGTGATCTCGGTCCTCGGTAACTAGAGGATGCATTGACATTCCCCTCAGGGCATTGAGCATGGGAAAGAAGTCGACTTTGGCGTTGGCTGGGCGCACCTGTCGCTGGAAATTGCTTACTCGTGTTTAATCGATATCGAGGACAAGTCGATGAGTGTCGACGGAGAAATCTCTCTGAGAGGGGGGGGGGGGGGGGGCATTATGAACATTGCTCCGTCTCGAACAATTTTGTATTTCTTGTAGTGCTAGTTATACGGTTGTACTTTCTTTGGGGCACCCTCTCTATCGGCCGGGACTTTGTCAAAGTATATGGTTCTTCACATCAAATTCGCAACTATCAATCAGTGTACTTCAGATAGGCGGCGTTCCCGGACCCCAACAATTCAAGTTGGGGTTTGATCGTTCCGCTGTTCATAGCATCGGGATGAGTGTTGCAGTGAAACTCATCATGGTTGATGACCGTGACCGAAAGAAACAGCACAAGAAGCCCTAACAGGCGCCCTTATTGGAACCTAGAGCCAGTCCAGGAACTCTTTTCCGTGATCTTCCTGCGTCAACCTGCAAAGAACACACGAAATCACAGCTGATGTAGTCTGGCTAATACCGAGACTTGTCCAGGCAGATCGATCATCTATAGCGGAAAGTAAAGGGCGGGCATGTCTCGCCACCTTTGGCCCATCATCCCCTTTTCGTCTCATCCCTACTTCATCTCATCCCCATTTCATCCATTCCACCCCCTCATGTGACCGGTGAGCAGAGCATATAGATACTGAGGATTGCTCCGCCGCAAACTATAAGCTTACACCGGAACCCATCTACACCATGTCATCACTACTTCGAGGCACTTGTTTCATCACCGGCGCTGCCTCAGGTACGCCTGTCTTCCCCAAGCAACCCGTTTTGCAATGTCCTGCACCACTGACGGAGAGGTGATATCAAGGCATCGGCCAACGAACGGCCCTTACCTTTGCAAAGAACGGCATCACGCGCCTCGCCCTTGCCGATGCTAACCGCGAGGCTCTGGAGGCAACGTCAAACGTCATACGACGCCAGTACCCCGCTTCTGAAGTTCTTGACCTTCCGCTTGACGTTCGCAACGCTTCGGAGGTCAAGCACGGCGTCGCCGAGGCGGTGTCGCGCTTCGGGAGACTCGACATCGCCGTGAACAATGCCGGCATTGGAGGCAGCGGCCGGCCGACGCACGAGGCTGATGAAGACGAATTCGCCAGGCTTGTCCATGTCAACCTACACGGGGTGTCGAGATGCCAGCGCGAGGAGATCAAGGTCATGTTGCATCAGGAGTAAGCACAACGCCTCCTCCCCCTCCCAACCCAAAGTCTCGGTCTCGGCCGCGCAGTGCTGATGTGAGCGTCCAGGGACCTGGGCTTCCGGCGCGGCCGCGGCGCCATCATCAACGTCGCCTCCGTCCTCGGCGTCGTGTCGCCGGCGCCGTTCATGTTCCAAACAGCCTACTCGGCCTCCAAGCACGGTGAGCAGCCAAGAACACGGCTTTTTTTTTTATTTTTATTTTTATGTGAAGCAAACGTGCGTTGACAGTTCCTGTCAGGGATCATGGGTTTCACAAAGAGCGACGCCAACACGTACGGCCCATGCGACATTCGAATCAACGCGGTCTGCCCCGGCTTCATTGCGACCCCGATCAACCTCGCTCTCGCGGAAGAGTCTGGCGGTGCGCTGGCGCGCTATATCGAGGCCACGCCGCTCAAGCGTCTGGGCACGACCGAGGAGGTTGCTGATTGTTAGCCTCTCGTCCCTTCCTTCCTAGCTTTTATCTTGACGGTCTGGTTGAACTGACACGGGCTCTAGGCATTGCATTTCTTGCTTCTGATATGAGTAGTTTCATGCAAGGGTCCGGTCTTGTTGTTGATGGTGGACTCACGGCTCATTAGTCGGCATGGGGGGATCGATGTACAGATGGGGTCATGCCAACTGACTTTGAGCAGCTCTATTTCACGAGTAGGTATTAAGTATCAACTTGTAGTATTTTGAGCAGCCCTGAGACCAGTTGCTCTTTTTAGGCATTGATCTGTAAGTGCGGCAGCTAGCCTATGAAGAGCCCAGCGTGATTGATGACTCTGGCTAGCGGTAGTGATATGAAACCCACGAAAGAAAGGCATCACCTTGGCCCTCGCACTCCATCTCCGTTGAAAATCTCCGTGTTTTGCTTGTATTATGGGTTATCAAAGACTCAAAAAATCCAGTTCATGGTTTCTGGGGGCTCCGCGTGCCCTATCCCTGACTACCGCGTCCGCGATTGAATCCTGCACCAGCTCACCAAGGCTCACAGAGCACACTGTGTTGAGAGCGTTCTCGCCGCCTATCCAGCCCATACCCCCATGGCATAAGAAGTCTGCTACCGGCGAGGTAATCTGGTTCTTTGTCTTACTCTCGGTATTGCTCTGGGTCATCTGATCGCCTCTGAGCCTTCGTGACACGGTCGCGGTTTTTGGGCCAATATCTTCACTTCCCCGGACGAGATCGTGAGAGATTGACGGCGAATCAAAGCCGACGCTCGTTGTACCTGAGTCGTGTTCGCTCATCAACTCATCGTAACCGAAGTCTCCCTGTTCGGACATGGGTGTGACGCTTTCGTCGAGTGTGTTAATTTGCCAACTGTCAGATGGCGTGGTAACAAGGCTAGACTCCTCTCTAGGGTTGATATTATTTCCCAAGGGCCCATGTAGCTCGCTACTTGGCCTATTGAAGAGGGCCAAGTTGAAACCAGAACCATCACTGTCGCTTGTGGTAAGTGCATTCAGGCCGAACGAAGGGTAACTGCCGACATGGCAGTAGCTTTGCGAAGACCTGCGAGGCGACTTTTTGGACTGTTCGGTGAGGTATGGTAGAGTCGGACGGTCGAACCCCAAGGTTCCTCGACTAGGGGCAGATAGACGCCGTCTCTTGTACGGTTGAGCGTCGAAAGTATTTGCTTCGCGCCTCGCCGGCACGACCAGATGAACACTATCCACACTGCGTCTCCCGCCCGAGGTCAAAAGCGAACCGTGTTCACTGTCGGTAAACGCGACTGGCGGCCGACAAGAGTCGCTGGGGTTGCCAATGTTGGATCGGAGCTGCATGAGAGCAACCTTCAAAAGAGCCTCCATGCTTGCCGCTGGTTCGTACACTCGCCCCATGTCACTGATGGCGCTTTTCAGTATATCGAGGTGCGCAAGGTATTTTCGTCTGTCGGAATCACTCTGGGTATACGTTGCTGCCGCGACCAGGGCAATGACTGCCGTCACAGCGTGCTGGACGGCTGTAATGACGATCTTGGTACCGTCAAATTTCTGGCGGTGCTGCCAGAATATCTTTGCTACACATGTTGCGTGAAAATCGCAGATTCTACGAGAAGACGCTGTTCTGCCAGGTTCCATGTCCAGATGGGGGCTTTTCGTCTCCGGAGGGTCGTTGAGATGCTGGTTTGAAGGCCCTACCGAGGCAGAACTTGAATCTGGAGTCGAGTACGGACCGGTGCTTTTGTCGTCACCGCCGTTCTCTGCGTGCATTGCCCATGGGCGATGGAGCAGTATCATGGACACATGGTATTGCTGGTGCAGAAGAAAATATCCCAGAGGGGCATGTTTGCTGTTGGCAGGTTTCCATCGCAGATGCTCAGGTAACCGTCTGTACCATTTTTGAAGACGGTGATGCAGGTCGATGGCGTATACGTAGGCGTTGTATTGAAGTGCATCCCGGGCCTGACGTCTGTCGCCCGTTTCAAGGATGCAACCAGCGAGCTCCATCAACTCGACAAGATAGTCGTATATCTCCGCGGCATCGTTTGTAGTGTTGGCATGTCCAGGTCGTCCCGCGAGTGAGGCCAACTTCTGCGAGCACCCTCTGTAGGGCAGGTTGATGCCAATATCCTGGGTCTTTATACTAGTTGGCCGACCAAGAAACAGCGCCCAGTACCTGTCGTATACTACACAAGCTCGCATCACCGTGTGACGGACGTCGGCCTCATGCTCGCCAATCCCATTCTCACGACTGTCAATGTGAAGACCAATGTCGAAAGCCAGTCTGTTGGCCATTCCTATTATGGTTGTTACCAGGAGTTACTTAGAAGTCGGAGAAGGCATTCACTAAGCTTACCAGCATACATCCAGCCTGTATGGTTTCTTCCGACGCCGCATTCCAAATCGCTGAGAAGTAAGAGAGCCTGCACACTAGGGATGCCGCCAGACCTTTCGAGCACAACCTCGAGCATGCGTTTGGCCTCCCTGTGTAAGCTGCTCTCCCGGTTTGCCAATGCAATCCGCCTGGTGTCTTCTCGGCCAGGGTCGGCGAAGCGGAATCCCATGGCCAAAATTGAAACGTGTAGCAATGGCGAGTAGAACTTTGGGTCCTGAGACTCCCGGCTAGACTCGAAAGTTTCTCGATGAACAACCCTGAGCACGCTGTTGTAATGCGTCCAGAAGTTGTTCATAAGATAGTCGTGAGTCGGGCCTGTCAAGGATCGGATAATGTTCTCAGCTCGGCGGACTTGTTCTGGCGGCTCGCGGCATACAGAATCGTCCGTGGGCTCTGTTTGACGTGCAAGAGGGTTAAAGGTAGGCCCGAAAAACCGTAGCCGTCCCGCGAACTGATCAAAAGAGTGTGTTCCTCTCACTGACAGAAGGCGTTGGATAGCATCCTCCACGCCCGTTTCGGGCAGACAGGAAGAAGACTGTCCTTTGGGCGAAGGCTCTTTGCAATCTTCTGTCCCAGATTCGGGCGGAGAAGGAACTTCGGGAGCATTTAATCGCTCGTCCAAATCCTTCTGCTGTCCGTGTGGCATTCCTGTGGGCATCGGAGCTTCATGTCTCGATTTAGGGGGGTGTACAGCAGGAGGGGGTTGGACGCCCTTTTCCAGGAGCATACCCTCGAGCATAGCGATACGACTAGACAAAGAAGACATATATGCCTTGGATATTGGTCTTTCCTCGCAACGCCGGTCAGCAATTCCACGGCAGACTTGAAGATATGGTCGCATGCACATACCGTCTCCGCTCGTCGTCGTTCTTGATTATACATTCACTGCCGACTTTCTTGCACTGAGTGCACTCAGACTCACCCTCAGGGACGACACAACGAACTCTTCTGTCCCGGCAGGACGCACATGCAACAGAGGCTCTGTGCCTGGCTGGTTGTTTTGAGCCATGGCGGGATGGTTGCGTACAAGCAGCAGTGCTTGCCTGGGCTGCAGTCCCAACAGCCTCCTCGGAGGCTGACTTATCCTTCCCTCCCGAGACGGTCATGTTGTTACACTTTACTAGCGGAACGAAGCCTGTCAGAACATTGGAAAGAAACGGGTGCGGACAGCCGTGGCGGGCTACAGTGACACGGTCACACAGGCCACCGTATGTGCGAGATTGGATGGGTGGTATGTATAAAGACGACACGGTTTGAGAGAGAAGCAAGTCCGGTGTCGAAAGCATAGACATTGACGATGAAGAAGCTTAAGAACGTCGAGGCGAGACGGGGTGAACCCCGCCGTGACGACAAACAAATGGGGCAGTGGAAGTGTTGCACAGAACACCCCTCTTTCAAGATTCCCGGCTTGGTAGAGGCCAAAAGAGGGACTGTGGATCCTGAGAGGCCAAGGATCTGGTGCGACACAGCAGTGCAGGCGGAGGCGTAGGTGTAGACGCATAGGTAGGTAGGAGGAGACATGAGAGACGGACAGACAGCCTGTTGCCCCAAATGCCAACTTGCAGCAAGCTCTACTTTCCAGCTCCAACCAACCTTTGGGATTAAACTGCGGGGCTGCCAGAGGAACACTGACTGTGCAACAGGTGACGGCTCAGGAAACCCTCAGAGTAACTCGAAGAGGGCGATGGGACGAACCGGTGGCCTAACACACTATGCATCTTTAGGCCATTCACTACCCCGGACAGGTTGTCGCGGGGTGTCTTACGCCGAACCCACAGTCAAATGATCTGGGGATAGTGGATCGAGAACAGAGAGGCCTTATGAGCCATCCTCAGATACGCTTGGTACCTCGGGCAGTCGGCCGGATGAATGTCGGTAGGAGGAGACGGAGAGCGGGGAAGTATGGGAAGATGGCAAGGTCTAACCAAATCGGCAAATCGTTGAGAGCGGATGAACTTCTTGTGCCTTGAGTTTTGACGCCATATGCATATATCTGTATGTAAATGCATGCATGCATACTGGATGCGGGAGGGGATTATGAGGTCCACCGATATACAGATGGGTGTCACAGGCAGCTTTCGATGTGGACATCCCAGGTCGGATGAGAAGCGTCAGATGGGTTACCGATGGATGTCTGCGTGGCAGGTAAGAAAGGCACTGGGTATGGAAGTGATGAGATGGATCTTCGGAGACATCAAAACACATAGTAGTGTAGGTAGGTATGTATACGGAGTACTACCTAGGCTAGGCTAGGTATGCAGATGCAACCCCGCGTTATCTCCGCCCACCCCGCAAGGCCCGGTTAGCGCACTCGGCTTCCTCTTGTTGCTTCTTCGGCCTCGTTCTCTCCAGCGTGCGTTACCCTCGTTACCCTTTACGTAGGGAACCCGCCGCCTGCATAACCTATGGTTGGCTATGCAGATTTATGTGGCCTAGAGCTCCGCTACGTCAGCCACAGCATCCACTCGCAGTCGCCACAACCTGCAGTTCGGCTGATGTTTCGCCCTCTCCCACTCGGTTCCCCGACTACATTGTCCGTCTCCTGGCTCTCTCGCAGTACGGAGGGATTGCGGAGCAGGCATGACGCCACAAAGGTCGAGCCAAGTAGATAGAGAGAGAGAGAGAGAGAGAGAGAGATTCCATCCTTCTACCGCTGTCTTCCGACCACCCAGTGAGGGTTAGTCGTAGACATTCTAGACAAGACAAGACAATTTTCCCACGAATTGGCTCACCCCATCCCTGCATATGCCATGGCCCCTTCACAGATGATTTTGAAAACCTAAAACGACAAGATCCTACGGGTTCGCATGCATCAGTTGTTGCGTGAGTGGCATAACGGAGATCAGACTGAACAGGAGCAAGAGTTTTCACGCATGGCTGTCTCTAGTCTAGTCTGCAATCCTCGTCTGTTGTCGTCAAGTTTTCGTCAAGTTTTCGTCAAGTTTTCGTCTACTCCTATACTCTTCTTCCCCCTCTTCTTATTCTTCATCTCCGTCGTCGTCTATCCTATGTCTCTTGTGCGTTTGTTTGTTGGTTTACTCTAGACTGTCCATCATCTATCAGTCTACGCTGTTAAGCCAGATCGTCCTTGTCTAATGCTTTGCCTAGTCGACATCGCCGTCTGTGTCAAACGCACCAATGATATCCAGTTTCAAGCCCTGTTCTTTGCATGCTTCTTTGATCTCTGGAGAAACCCCGTTGTCGCCCTCTACAACCACCAACGTCTTCCATGACTTGGCGACAACGCCTTTGGTCTGAACTGTGTATAGGAGGAGTTCTGTCACCTCCTCGTCCGTACCCAGCTCGTTGAAGAATTCCAAAGTTTCCATCTCGGGTGGCAGTCCGACTGAATGCATGCGTGGTTTCTTGGTCGTTTGCCCGAAAAGCTGGTAGTCCCAATTCATCCGCATCGTCTTGAGCGCCTCGAACTCTCTCATTCTCAACGGTTTACGACAGCCGAGTGTTGGTGAGTCGATGGTCAACGTCTTCAGAGAATGTGCTTGCGATGTGAGCGCGAGGACGTAGTCGGCGAAGTTGTCAGAACTGTCCTCAAGCTCTGGCCTCGGTTCTGGGGTTTGCGTCAAGACGAATTCCTCCAGCCCCTCGGGAAATTCGAGAAGATCCGATAGCCCATCATCGTTGATATCGCATTCGATGAAATGTAATTTTTTCAACCCTGTCTCGTGCGGGCGCTCCATGAAGTCGAATCCCTTCTCATCGAGCCTGGCTCTTTTGATTATGAGAGTTTCCAATGTCGGGTGGGCAAAGATGTGGATGTTTTCCCGCAGGTTCCAATATGCGTCCTCGGGGCATTGGTAAAAGAGCGTACACTCCTTGAGGTAAGCCAAGTCGAAGGGTCCGTTGAACAAAGTTCCTATACCATGTAATAGGACGTCCGGAACAGCAATGTCGAGTTTCTCCAAATTTGACATGACAGAGAGTGTGCGCGAAAGCGTGTCGGAACGCGAGGGGTCGTAGTGAGAGTTATGAACGGGCCCATCCAAAGCAAGGCGTGACAGCTCCTCATTAGGGTAAACCAGTTTCACCTCGTTGATGGCCGAGCCGCGGCGTGGTCGACGGCCTAGTGACTCACTGAAAGTAAGATGGAGCTCCGGGCTCTGGAAGTGAACGCTCTTGTACAAGACGGCATCGGCCAGTCTGTGGTATCGTTTGTTCAATCGCGACACATTGCAGAGGTCTTTTTGGGAGAGCTGGCGGAGCGTCTCAAAGAGAAGCTCCTCAGGTAAGGCGGCGAGGCGGTCACGTTTAGCGTCCTCGCCGTTGGCGTCGCCATCAGGGAAAAGAAGCATAATCGCTACTGATGAACATGAATTCAAGGGTCTGGTCCCAGTGGAGTGGTCTTATCTTGGTATCGTGGAGATCCTCACCTGACGGGACCTTGCGGGGACTGCGGGGCTACGTCGGCCTGTTGATGAGCGGAGAATGCAAAAAGGAGGGTTAAAATAAGTGATTGTGTCCGAAGAAAAAGAAGAGAAAAAATCCGCCAAAAAAAGACGCGAGGAAGAATTATGTAAAACACCACAGGGCCCGAGTATGTGCCTTATTCGACGGATTGGTGATGAAGGTGCGTGGTATGTCTGAAGTATGGTGTTGGATTTTAGCTGCAACCATCGTAAGGTGGCCACTGCAACCAACGCACGGCCACTGTGGCTGGGGTGCATGTGTCATCCACCCTACCTGTGCCGAAGGTGATGGGCCCATTGACCGGGATCGGCTCCGATGCCGTCCCCACTTAGGTCCGGATCTGAAATGGGGACCGGTCTTGGTAGTGTCAACCCTGGAACTCCTTGCAGAAGACACACGCATTGCCAGCGCTTGAACTTGGAATCGATTCCTCTGAGAATACACCGGACTTTGAAGGCGTCCAATTATACAAGATTAGCTGCCATGCTGTCTGCTGCAAAGTGAACCGGCATCTTGGAGGCTGATACCCCGCATGGACCCCGCACCGGTGCCGCATGAGGCCGAGGTCAAACGTCTCATCTCTGGTGCTCGCTCTGGAGATCGATCATATTGAATAATTCGTGTCACTAGGGTTGAAGGCCACTGGATGAAAGAAATCTCAACTGTTTCCCACTAGGACTGGTCCCTGCGAGTAAGCCATGATTCGATGCAACATGTTGAAGCAAACCACCCGATTGACTCGGGTGAGAGAGATACGTAGCCAAAGACGGTCCCTCGTAAGGTCGTACAGTTACGGATACACGATGATGCGAACACACAGTCCATTTGCCCCGGTTGTTGGTCAGTCAACACCACCCCGCACGCAAGTGACGTCTTCTGTTGACTGTTGCGGTTGCACCAGGGCGTTCTGTCGGTGATAGGTACTGCGCCAAGTTCGACGTGCATTGCGTATCATGGCAGACGAGAAAGGCACCCCTATCCGAAGGTGCAACCCTGATGTCGGCGGCTTCATGCTTGTGAGCAACGCAGGCCAAGGGTGATTATGCATGTATACCATAACATTCACATATGACAGGTGATAAAAAGCGACTGGCTATCACTGCGTAGTAAAAAGGCGTCGTGGATTTAGATTCACTTTGGACCACAGGCTTCTTTCAGCTTGCAAATAACTCGTTGAAACCGCAAACTTTACCCATCCCTTCGAAAGTGACTGTTATTGGCGGTAGCGAAAAAATCCCCTGGCACAAGGACAATCTTCCCAAGCAGCTATTTATCAACAACGAGGTAAGTGGGTTGAATAATTAGAGAGAAGAGCACGAAAATCGATGAGTGGTGATCAAAGTATGTCGATTCGAAGAACGGTAAGGAACTGGAAGTGTTCAACCCAAAGGACGAGTCCCCTGTTCCTAGCGATGTCGCGTTAGGTGGGCAAGAGGACGTGGAAATCGCGGTGGCAGCTGCAGAGGCTGCCTTCCCCAAGTGGAAGAAGGCACACCCAAACGTGAGGCGAGACATCGTGCTCAAGTTTGCCAACTTGATCGAACAGAACGGCAAGGCCCTAGCAGATCTGACACGGATCACACTTGAAGCCCCCTGGGGCTCGATGGGCTCGATGGAGATGAACCTTGCCTGTGAGAGCTTCAAATACTTTGCAGGCTGGACCGACAAGTTCTCCGGCGAAACGTATCCCCAGGAAGATGGTAAGACAGCATCTGTTGATTTGTATTTCCCCTTAATGCGGATGAAAGAACCCAGGTTGAGTAAAAGGCTATAGAGGTGGCTGTGTGAAGAAGATGACCTGGATGACTGATTCCCACCTTAAGGTTTCCTGAAGATTGTTCGCAATGAGCCACTCGGCGTATGCTGCGGAATAATCCCCTGGAATGGCCCTATGGCCAATACCGGCATGAAGGTCAGGGTTCAGTCCGTGTGCCTACACGGCCCCCAGACTAACGTCAAATACAGGCAGGTCCTGCACTCGCTACTGGAAACTGCTTCATCCTGAAGCCGTCGGAGAAGACGCCCTTCGCTGCGTTAGCCCTGGGCACCCTTATTCGAAAGGCCGGTTTCCCTCCCGGCGTATTCGAAGTCGTGTCGGGCGACGGAAGCACAGGAGCCATGTTTGCGCGGCACATGAGGGTTCGCAAGGTTAGCTTTACCGGGTCCACGACTACTGGGCGTAAGATCCAAGAGATGGCGGCAAAGAGCAACCTCAAGCGGGTGACACTCGAACTTGGCGGCAAGTCCCCTGCGGTTGTGTTCAAGGATTGCAACCTTGAGAACGCCATCGGTTGGTGCGCCAACGCAATTACGGTGAATACGGGCCAAGTCTGCTTTGCTGCGAGTCAAGTCTATGTCGAGGCGCCCATCTACGACGAGTTTGTCGCAGGGTATAAGAAGGTGATAGAGGAGAAGACCAAGGACGTGGGCGACCCAGATGCTGAAGGGACCTTGATCGGCCCGCTGGTTGACAAGGCCCAGTTTGACAGAGTGTGGGGCTACATAGAGCGCGGCCAGCAAGGGCAAGGCACGTTGCTCGTTGGCGGAGGGCGTATTGGCGACAAGGTGAGAAGCAGCCCTGGCGTGGTGTTGCGGCGTCCGGGTGAGGGGTGAGAGAGGCTGACAGCCTTCCAGGGGTACTACATCGAGCCGACCGTGTTCGAAGGCGTGTTGCAAGACGCCGAGATCTGTCGACAAGAGATTTTCGGGCCCGTGTCGGTGGTTAACAGATTCGATAGCGAGGAGGAGATGGTCGAAAAGGCCAACGACACCAACTTCGGGCTGATGGCCGGCATCTTCATCCAAGACATCAATCGATGCTTGAGAGTCGCGGCCGAGCTGGACAGCGGCATGGTGGGCATCAACTGCATCAGCCTCTGTTTCCTGACAGCGCCTTTCGGCGGCAGCAAGGAGAGCGGTCAGGGTCGGGAGAACGCCATCAACGCGTTGCGAATGTTCACGGAGCCGAAGACTGGCATGGTGAACCTCACGTACTGAGAGGCGAACCGACTGTGGAGGAACGGAGATCGAACATGAAGGGTTACTTTATTTGCTACATAAGCAGGGGGCTTTCATGTTATAATTGCCAACTAAACGTTGTCGAGAGAAAAGCTAAGTATGCTTGTCTTAAACACTTCATGGCGCAGGATGGAAACAGAATGGTTCAAGCTGCGGCTCATGGATTCTGGTGTCACTGGACAACATGGAATTTGGACCACAAAAACCCCCTCAACCACATAAGGAACTGGTCTCATGAGCCTTTGAGGCCCGGTCCACTTGCAGATGAAACAAGGCGTGATCTACTGAGCATCCCGGACGTGAACCAGTCTTACAATGCTCAGAAGCACTCCCTTTAGATATCTGCTTAGAGGTAGCCACAACTACTGCATACAATTGACAAGATCGATAGGCATCATCAACGCCGATTAGCTCACAAATGCCTCCTTACCTGCCCCAGTCTCACAAATGGGAACCAGAGAGCATCAGCAAACACAAAGTGGGAACTAGCAACGGCCATACAACGTCCAGCAGGTGGAATAGAGAGTGGGTATTCATCGAGATCATTACAATGTAATTTAATTAGACATTAGGCCACCTTGGCTTGCGCCACTGCCTGCGCTTCTATTTCGGCATCTTCTCTGGCCCTTTCGAAATCCGGCATTACCTTTGGCTGGTTCCCCAGGGCCACTGTAACTATGTTAGTGGTGGTTTCCATCAGACTGAGGTGAAGATAGTACTTGCATCTGTCAAAGAGGTAGTAGGAGGTGACGAGCAGAATGGGCATGGCGACCATGGTCGAGGTCCACTTCCATGCTGCCGTGCTGTACGCCTTACGGTATTCCTTGCTGTTCGGGTTCAGCTTCGGCCGGAACTTGGACTCGGGCACACGCGACGGGAACGGAGAAGGAGCAGGAGACGTAGGAGTAATAGGCTGAGTGGGTTTCGGTGCACTCGCTGGTGTTGATGTTGCTGTCGTTGCCGCAGGGCTTGTGGTAGGCACAGAGCTTGGGGCAGGGGTGGACGTCTTCGGGGCGGCGGAAGCGACAACGGTGGCGGTCTTGTTCGGGGTCGTCTTCTTGGCCGTTACCGGGGTGGCAGTTTTTGTGGCAGTAGAAGAAGCAGCAGTCTTCTTTACAATCCTTGTGACTTTGGGGGTTGTACTCGAAGCGGTGACGGGAGTCGTCTTCGCAGTCGTGGTGGCCTTGATCGAGCCTGTCTTGGGCGCAGCAGCCGTGGCTGTGGTATTCTTCTTGCTTGCAGCGGTGGAAGTGCTGACGTTCTTCTTCGTGGTGGCGGTAGCGGTGGTACTTGTCTTCTTTGCAGCCGCGGTGGCTTTCGGGGTGGTGGCAGTAGCAGAGGCAGTCGTCGTCTTTGCGGCGCGAGTCGCATAGCATCGCAAGGCGAAGAACCCCGCGCGGCTGGGTGTTGCTGTCCCAGTAGACGATACAGCGCGCCAGCTACTGCTCGTTAGAGCTCGGGAAAGACCCATTGAGTTCATGTTTGGCCATATATGTTTTGTGGTTGAAGATGCAAAAAAATAAATAATCAACAGGTTAGATGCTTCAACAACAACTGGAATCGTGGGTGAAGCTCGCAACAGGCCGAGTTTTTTTTCATTTTTTCAACAAACGTAGAACAGTCATATCGCCCGTTGTGGAAGGTGGCGGGCAGGGATGTCTGTCGATGTGCGCTGTCAACAGATAAACATGCGGGAGGTAGAATGCGACATTGTCCTGGCCGACAGCGCGTTCGTGTCGCGATGGTTTATGCGCTGGAAATTGCCAATGTCATGTCATGCCATGTCATGTGTGTGGGATTCTGGCAGTTCGTTGGTCCGCACCTGGCAGCGGCCTTTGCCAATTGGCAGCGGGTGGTCAAACGGTTCGTTCGTTTGTTCGTTCCGTCAATATTTCTCCAGTTTCTCCAGTTCGATGCGGCACAGCACAGCTCCAACTAAGCCTCCACGAGGCTCGACGGATAAAGCTGTCGTCGGTTTGTCCTTTTGCTTGCTTGCTTTCTTCGTCCCCGCGCCCCAAATGCACGTGTGCAAATTCTCATCTGGCCAAGTGTCTCTCAGCCTACTGCATGCAGTCTTTGGTTCGACCACCAACAACAGCTGCTGCTGAATCATAGCAGTATCGTCGTCGGCATTCGATGCTGGATAGAACTGCTTGACACTTGAGGATTCATACCACGACCAACTCGATTGATCCGAGCACTCATGTGCTCTGTGTTTAATTAAGGGTAAGGCGAGCTGCCTCCTGTAAGGTAGGATTGGTTGTGTTAGGCATCCCGGAGGAAGTAAGAAACCCGGCGTTCGACGAGAAACGAATCGACAAATCCGAGCCACATGCCTGTCTGAAGAAACTTACGACACCCCGAGCGTGTTGGCTGATCGGCGCCAGCCAGTGCGGCAGCCGTAGTCGTGTCTAAGGCGTTGTCAGTCGGTTTGGGCCAATGCAGGCTGTGAGAATGCCTGCCCAACCGGGAGCCCAGTGGTTCTCAATGGATGTATTCTGCCGTCTATGCCATAGTACATACATACTAGCTAGCGATCAGGGCCACCAGGTGAAATACGCATCCGTCGCTCGGTCATCATTTGCCCTGATAGAATGGGGCTCCAGACGTGGGCGACCTTGGATGCGTGGACAACCCGACATCATGTTGAGCGGGTATGGAACGCATGTCGTTGAATCGGATTCGAACGAAACCAAAAAAAATGGCCGCTTGCAACCAGGTTGGTTGGTGCGGGATGCCAGAAGTGGTGGTGCTGCCAAGGAAACACACAGTCGGCTTCGCCCACCGGGTGCCTCTCGGGAGTTGGCCGTCGAAACCCTGGTTCACACTGGAATACGGGGAATTCAAGTGCATCATAGGGAAGGAAGCCCGGAAGTGCGTGGCAGTGGAAGAAACCGAAGAGGCTGGTTTCCATGGAAAATCGACCCAAGAATCTTCCAGGGCAGTTCCAAGTGGGATTTGCCCGCACTACTACAGAGTCGGAGCGCCTCTTCCCAAGCGTGCAGGGCGATGATTACCTACTCCTCCTCAGGTAGTTGCTGGATTAGTTGGGGATAAAGCCACAGCCACCAGGACGATGGCTGGAAATCCGCCTCAGTGGCTAAAATCACGTCCGCAATGCCAATTGGTGCGTCCGTCAGACGCTGCAGGGCCTCTCCCTCCTGTTTTGCACAATTGAACGTTGTGAACCAAGCAGAGAATTGGAGAAAATACCAAGCGGGATACGCAGCTGGCATGCCTCCTTACCAGGCAGAACCCCGCTCGCGCACGTGAGACATTGCTTCGTCCGGTTTGTTCATAATGGCCTGACAATCTGCAGATTGTGGTAACAGCGAGATGCAAGCATCCATGCCGGCGAGGAATCGCTGAAACGACACTTTCCCCTACGCCGGCAGACGCTGTTGGACTCGTAGCTCGTGCTGCGAGCCCATTGAGCTGCAAAGACATACGAGAGGAGAAGACACTGCCAGGGAAAGGTGAGGGACATGGTGCAAGTTTAACTGCTTTGTTTATTTGGTTGTTTGCATGCCTGCTGCTGTTTCTTCTACGAGATATCGAATGCATCCCCCACTGTATCTCTAGAGCCAGACGTGGTATCGTGCCTCAGCCACCCTCACCTCCCGTGTGCATGTCGACAGTTCCATTCCATGCCTCGATCAAGGGCTTACTTGGGGACGTTGAATCGGTCGATGCCGTTCTTGATACGCTTGTCGAGGCCCTTGGCAATGCGCTCAAGGGGCAGCCGGTTGTCGATACGACGAACCATGTTAGACACGGGAGGCTCGACACGCTTGATGCCCCTCTCGGCGGCTGGTGTGAAGTAGGAGAGATTCCGCTCCCAGCGAGGGGCCCATTTTGTTGTCTGAGAGGCGAGACGCTGCTCGGCACCGGGAAGCATGAGGTAGATGGGAAGGAAGGCGCCGACCGTGGCAACGCCGTAGCAAAGGGTCTCGGTGGACTTGGCGGCTGGGATACGAGGGGCCATTTTGAATGTTCTAAAGGGGAACAGCATGTTAATCTCACTATATGAACGCGTACGAGGCTGGAGATATTGCTTGTTTGGATGGATGGTGACCGCCTGGGATTGATGGTTGGTTGGACAAGGAAGAATAGATCAGTTCATACCTTTGGTCGTGGAGTACTAGTGGTATGAGTGAAATGGTCGTTCGGAGTAGTCTATCGACGTATGGGACCCGGGGTTGTTAATTTGGAGTGTTCGAGTCTGGCTTCAAGTGCGTAGCTCTTGCTGATGAAGTAGGTCGTAGAACGGACTTGATGGGAGATGGGATGATGTGATGAAGATTGAGAAGAATGGTTACACGAACCCAAAAGGTCGCGGATGAGGAGGCAGACGGCCTCTTCTTAAAGGGACCTCTCTGGCTCAGGGGCAGTGCCTCGACGTTGTTGTTGTTGACCTGAGCGTGCGGGGTAAGACAGACCATCACGCGGACGGGCGTCCAATACGCCGCATCCCATATCCAGGAGGGCGATTCGGCTGGAAAGGGATTGGAGACGAGAGAGGGGAGGGGGAGGAGGGGAATGTAGTGTACCCACGGCACGGGGGGCCGAGGGAGGCCAAACCAAGAGGAGTCACACAAAACACACGCAACTCGCACGCTAAAGCGATGGTGAATCTTGGGAGAGGGGGGTGAGCAAGAACAAGAGACATAAGAGGCGGAGGGAGACCAAGCGCCCGGTGCAACGCTACGACGTGGAAGGGTGGGCAGATGTGTGACGCAAGAATGGGCAGTTCTAGCATCGATCAAGGGGCTCAACGTAAAGACGCTGGAGCAATGACGAATCCTGTGAGAACATATGCCACATGTGAAGCAGAGAAACAAATATGGACTTATCTATCTGGCCACCTAGGAGCAAAAGCAAGCAGACAAGACAGAGAAAGATGAGGGTATCCTGGAACCTGAACTGGCTGTTCCGTGTTATATCAAAGGTTACAACACACACGCAGACAGAGTACCTATGCTGAGAGTGAAGGGGGAGGGGACATGAAGCCACCCCGCGCCAGCCATCAGGGCTATGCCATGCTTATGCCTCTCGTTCAAGTCGAGGGACGGTGTTTGCATAAACGGCACACAGGACAGAAGCTAGCATGTGGCCACTTGGTGGCGATGCGAGTCGAAACCACATGGTACTTACTTGTACGTGTCGGTGTGTCGAGGTGAGCAGGGACGACGGTCGCTGAGAGGGGAGGGAGGGGACTAACTTGCAGCGGCGTGTGTGGGGCGGGGTTCGCGGGGGACCCGCACACTGAAACCCACTTCCCCAGACGCTGTGATTCCGGGGAAAACCAACGCTAGAGCTCGCTCGCCCACGCCCGCGTCCGCACGCACAGGTAGGTAGGTAGGTACACTACCTAGGTACCTGGGTACTGCCCCTCAAGGGGGCACGATACCTACCCGCACCCCCGCCTCCCGCCCCGGCACCAGCACATCGCCAAGGGCACAGGACCACCACTCCCAGCGACTGTCATGTTTGTACATGTCCGACCTGTCTGCGCTGCTAATCAACGTCTTGATGACTTTGCAACAACAATGCCTAGCAAGGCAGAGTCGTGCTGCCTTGTAAACCTAGATTCGTTGACTACAGTATAGTATCCGTAGTCAGCCAGGGCACGCGACTGTCACATCTTCACTCTCACCACCGCCGCTCAGCATCGAGCGACCCTAATTAATCCAAAGGGGCGCGGCTGGAAAATGTCTGTCCTTTGTGGGGGGTGCGGTACACGGTGCAAGGTACCCGGTGGTGGGTCCGGGTATGATCCGGTACATCCGATCATGTAGCATACCCAAGTATCCGTACCGAAGCCCTCTTTGCCGAATAGGGTCAAGCGGCGTGGCAGCCCCAGAGTCTGCCGAAAAGCTCCGTTGACCATGTCCATCAAGTGCATCATGGTGCCAGTAGTTGCTCTTCAAGGCTCTCGCATGGAGGATGTACCTATCTCCCTAGGGAGGTAGGTAGGTAGGCAATGAAGACAAGATGTGACGCCTTGCCACGCCCTGCAATCCAACATTCCTCACACTCGATATGTCGCTTGTGTCATTGGGGCCTGGCAATATCGACTCGGTCTCTCCCTCTTATCATGGTTAACAGGTTAACAATGCATCTTCGCAGCCGAATAACTCGCAGGGTTATTAATCAGCGGCACTTCGGTCGCCCTTCGCTAGTCTGAAGGGTATCAGCTTCCAGATGTTCGAGCCTGGCCGTTCTAAACCTGCTACCCGCACACATAAACAAACCCACAAGGCAACATGCAATACGAAACGAACTTGCACTATTTCTTCAGGGTATCACAGCAAAAACAGCAAGCACTCGGTATTGCGCCATATACACCCCCATATTTACATCCTTATGCCGCTTCCCTAGCGGTGGGTACACATATGAAGCTCCCGACCTGCAATCTGTCACAGTCCAGTCCCTCATTCGCCTTGACTAGCTCCTCAACGCTGATCTTCTGCCCCGTCGCGATGGCCCAGCACGTGTTTCCGTGCTCTATTTTGTACGGTACAGCCTGCTGTCCGCACTCGGGCGCAACTTCGGTTTCGCTGGGCGTGCGGTACAGCCACCATGTCAACACGAGCAGGAACAGCCCGATGATGACAAAGAAGTTGAGCAGCGGCCTCATCTCTTGCCTCCACGACTTCTTCTCGGCCCATAGTTGTTGCTGTCGGCTGCCAACGCCGCTCTCGGAGCCCGGGATGAAGGGGTCATATTCGGCATCCTCGGCCGGCCCGGACGTCGCGCCGGATACCTGCGTCAGCTGCCCGTATTGCTGGCCTGGAGCGCCCTCCCAGTAGCTCCCGTCGGTATCTTGGTACGTGTATACCTGTGTGTCGGCGTCGTAGCCCACGCGGCGCATGCCGTGCGGGAGTCGTTCCTCGTCCGTGTCGAGATGGGAGAAGCGAGACATGTCGATGGTTGGGACGTTTGAAACCTGCGTAGGGTTGGTCGAGAAGGATGTGTTCGAAGAATGAATAGACAGCCAACCAGGAGGGAGCCTCAGGGGATGTCAAACACGTCTTCGCGTGGGTGGACAATACTTGAGAAAGAGTTGAGCGCCAAAAAAAAAATTGATGATAACAAACACCAGATGGATGGCGATGGTCCGATGGATAATTAGCAGACCAAGCCCCTGAGGCTGTGCAATGTAAGTTGCGTCATTGTCTGTCGGCTTATGTCATCACGGCCCCACCCCGACGACCTACTTGAACTGTGTAGGTATAACTGAGGTGCTCTATCCATATACAGTACCTGAAGGCCTGGTCAAGGCTGGCCAGAGTTGTCAACATTCGGCATTCTCGACAGCCCAGAAACCTTCAGAATCTCACTATGGCTTCCGGTCTTGCTTGTATCCACTTTTGGTAATGTAGACGATGTATGTCGCAGGGCGCGAACTACCGAGGCATGTCTTACTTCTAGAAACAATGCAAATGTCTTTCGTTCCTAGTTTCGCTTTCTCCGTCTTCCAGCTTCCCCTCAGCTCTACTATGGTCTCCTTCGATCGCGGCATGATCACAATTCTAGAGAAAAGAGAAGAAAAAAAGAGAAGGGCAAACATGCTGACTGGATCTAGTAATTGTCCCACTTCTATTAATGACTTGGGTTTTTAAATGATCTCGAAATTAAAAGATACGCAATGGTTCGTCTGAGCTCATGAAAGCCGCAGGGAATACCTAGGTAGCCTACTTGCCTACCTATTGCGGTTGTTATCCGTTGGCGGGGTTGGTGGTAATCGTGTCCGAATGCGGTATGCGGCGAGCCATATTCCGTCGACCCAGCCCCTATACCTCGATGCGGAAATTACATCGTAAAAACCAGCCTGGTTTATAGGCCATTTGGCCGGGAAGTACCCTGTCACTAACCTCATTTTCGTTGTTTACTGCCTGTCTTGGTCGCCAAACATTGATGTGGCGGCTGCTGGTAGAGGCTTCATTCAGTCAATGGCTTGTACAACACAACAATACAACCGCGAAATGGTGTGTCAGCGGGCTTTGGGACCGTAGATCGCGGCTGCTTCTGCTTCTGATCCCCGGAAATCCCATCGGGAACGAACCAGATCCCACAGACGAGATGCAATACCACACAGAAACTACGCTGCCCCATCCCACAGGACCACCTGGGCATCCATCCATCACTAGATCTTAACTTCTTACCTGTTCCATGCTCGTGGTCCTGCTGCCTCCGCATGCCCCTTCCCGGATACCACCCTTTCGACGGTATAGCGACCCCCAGCTAGCCGATCCAAGCATCAGACTGTCAGCCAGGCCATGGAAAAGCGCGACGCCGTGAGGTGCCATTGATGGAATCTGAGCAAGGCTTTCCCGTCCAAGACGACATGAGGAGCGGAGTCTGGTCGGAGTACAAAACAGCCACCATCCCACCTGTACCATGATGTTGAGATTCATCCTCTCCACACAAGATCGCACAACCCGAGATGAAAGTCACGGCTTCTAGTATTCTTGCCTTTGCGGCCGCGGCGTCTGCACAGGCGCCATTATGGGGACAATGCGGTGGCCAAGGGTGGAGTGGACCTACGACCTGCGTGGCTGGCTCAGTTTGCACTTACCTCAATGCTTGGCACTCACAGTGCCTTCCCGGTATGTCCACCATCAACACCTCATGAGATGTTCCTTATACTCAGAGAACGCAGGTGCCGCCGTGACAACGGCTGTGTCAAGCTCCCTTACGACCTCCACCCGCTCCACGTCAACCACATCCTCTCGGACCTTTTCGCCAGCACTTCCCCCTAGCACCGGCTTTCCCTCGGTCAGCGGCACCAAGTTTACCATTGACGGCGTAACGAAGTACTACCCCGGCACCAACTGCTACTGGTGTAGCTTCCTGACCAACGCCTCTGATGTCGACCTTGTTCTCGGTCACGTCAAGACATCGGGTCTTAAGATTCTCCGCATTTGGGGCTTCAACGATGTCAATACCGTCCCGCAGTATGACAATTGTAAGTCTGGGGACTTTCCGCACCGATGACATTGATCCAACGATTTCCAGGGTTTCAGCACCTGACGGCCTCGGGCTCGACCATCAACACAGGCGCCAACGGTCTTGGCCGCCTGGACACCGTTGTAGCATCAGCCGAGAACAACGGCATCAAGCTCATCATCAACTTTGTCAATAACTGGTAATTCTCAGTCGAACGCTTCTCGGACGAAACCATGTCTAACCATGTTCAGGGACGACTACGGCGGGATCAAGGCATACACCAACGCTTTCGGTGGTGATCACAATGGATGGTACACCAGCACGGCGGCTCAAACGCAGTACCGCAAGTACATCAGCGCTGTTGTCGGCCGGTACAAGAACTCCAACGCCATCTTTGCATGGGAGCTGGCCAACGAGCCCCGCTGCCAGGGCTGCGATACCTCTGTCATCTACAATTGGGCCAAATCAACATCGGAATACGTCAAGTCTTTGGACCCCAACCACCTGGTAACGCTCGGCGACGAGGGCATGGGGCTCCCGGGCGACACAACGTATCCCTATCAGTACGGAGAAGGCACTGATTGGCCGGAGCTGCTTAACATTTCAACCTTGTGAGACCCCGACTCTTGATCCAGCAGACAAGGCTTTGTGACACTGACCTGCGTTGCGTCTTCCTCCAGGGACTTTGGAACCTTTCACTTCTACCCCAGTTCATGTAGGTCTCCCCACCGCAAGCCAGGAGAACAGTAACTGATGCACAGATAAGGGGGGGTTGGATATGATACCGGCAACAAGTGGGTGACGGACCATGCCAAGGCATGCGTTGCTGCGAACAAGCCCTGCTTCTTTGAAGAATGTGAGTTCTCACCTGTCATCCTCGTCAACAGACACCATGCGAGATAACGGAGCTGATTGGATATGGCAATATAGACGGCACGCCTAGCAATCACTGCGAGCTGGAGAGACCATGGCAACTTACCTCGGTGGCAACCCCCGGTATGGCTGGCGATGCCTTTTGGCAATTGGGTGACACCATCAGCACCGGGCAGACGCACAACGACGGCTATACGATTTACTACGGCACTGATGAGTGGACGTGCTTGGTGACCGACCACATCGAAGCCATCGGCTAGGCGGCGTTGTTCGAGTGATATTGTATAGGAGGTTTGTTGGCGAATAAGTGTATCAAAGTAGAATATATATCATTAAAGACTCCAAAGAAAGAAGGATTCCCTACGAGAAGGTCGACATTTGACCGGCCAATCAGGGGGGGTTCGCCCAGTGAATGTACAAGTATTTCGCACTGTGGGTGGTACGTACCTTAGGTACCCTACATATCTAATTAAAGGTACCTATCCTACCTAAGAATCATGGATGCGTCATCCCGAAAAAACAATGCAGTCTTATCGATAAGGGGGTAACCTCTCGAGCTCCCCAGTCGTAGCCCATCTTTCTCGTCGCGGTCTACAACCCCCAGTTTCTCATTTACGCCAATCCCACAACGCGATTGACCATAAATCAACATCATGGGGTCCTCCTCGTCAAAGGCTGCGCAAGGCGCCGCGCGCAAGTTTCCAACCCGCGCGCCCGGCGCCGTGCCGCCCATCTCCGCTGCTGGGAGAGCTGCTCCGGCTCCCTCCCCGTCACAGCCCGCGCAGGCCCGGCCGCAGGCAAAGGCGGCAACGCTCAAGACAGGTGGTCAGTCGATTCGATTCCCGGCGATAATTCTTCATGTGCAGTTCTCTAACCGTCAGCCGCCGCCCAGACATCGCCGCCGACTCGGTCAACCCAGACAGCGTCACGGCCGAATTCTCCTCTCGTCTCCGACAGATGGGCATCGTTCAGCCAAACCCGACCTTCTCCCCCACTTCTACCGCCGGCCCAAGCCCTCATGCCGACTTGATCCAGAACCCCGGCCCCCTGTTCCCCTCATCATCACGGAACGCGACGCTGGGCACGCTGGAAGCGAGGAGTCGGTTCCAGAAGCAGGCCGATGACGAGTTCGACGGCTTGGGCCGGAGTAGCAGCGAGGGAAGAGAGTTCCTGGACCTCAAGACAATCGTGCAGATGCACTTGATGCGAGACAAGGGCCATTCACATGCAGAGATCGAGAAGAGGCTAAACCTGAAGAAGGGTGTCGTGGCCAGGCTGGGACGACCAGGCATCACATCGCCAGCCTAGGTTTTCAGCGCTGGACACGAATGCCCTCGATTTTTGGACATGTAAAAAATGTAAAAGAATAAAAGTAGTGTATTATAGGTGTACTGCTCTACCAAAGCGCAACCCGTCCAGACCCCGTAAAGTCTGTGTGCATAATGACCAAATCAAGCAACGCTGACGCTCCCTCTTTTTTTTTTTTTTCCCCACCGTTCACCACGCGCAGTGCCCGCCGTCGATGCGCAAGTCGCTACCCGTCATGAAGCTGCTGGCATCGCTCAGCAGGAACACGGCGGCGCCGCGGTACTCTTCGGGCAGACTGAGCCTTCCGAGCATGTTGTGCTTAGGCCACTCGACCTTGCGCTCCGGGTACGTCTCGAAGAGCGCCTCGACCATGGCAGTGACGATGTAGCCGGGCGAGATGGTGTTGACGCGGATGCCATGGGCGCCCCATTCGGCCGCCAGGTTGCGGGCGAGTTGCAGGACTGCCGCCTTGGAAGCGTTGTATGCGCTGCAACGATATGTAATTAGCCTTTTTTCTCTCTCTTTACTTTTTTTCTCATCCCCCCCTTTTTGGCTAGATGAGCTGGGAAAGTCAGGTACTTACGGGCAAATCAGTCCCCTATTGGCAACCGTGCCACTCATGCTGGCAATCAAGACGATGCTGCCGGTGGTGTTGAGCCTCACCATCTGCCGCGCGACGGCCTGCGCCGTCATGAAGGCGCCGGTGACATTGACGCCCATCATCTTGTCGACATCCTCGGCCTTGTACTCGAGTGCGGGCGTCTCTTGCTGAATGCCGGCGGCGGCGATGAGGCCGTCCAGACGGCCATGCTTGTTGGCGATTCCCTCGACGATCTCGTTGAGGGCCGGAACGTCACGTACGTCGACTTGGTGGTATGTCAACGAAGTCGCGAGCTCGGCGCTGGCGCGGAGGGCAATCTTCTCAAAGTCCGGGTCAGGGTGAGGGAGACGGTCGATGGCATGAACTAGTGCGTTTCTGTGTCAGCTTCATTCTTGGGGGAGCGATTCGGGATGATATGGCTTCAGATAGCTCATGCTGGAGAGGAGGGTTTGGCTAGTACCTATGGCGCCGGCTTCCAAGAGAGCTTCGGCTTGTGTGAGACCGAGCCCTCGCGCACCGCCGGAAACGACGATGACCTTGCCCTGAAGGCTGAACTCTGGGAGACCACGGGGGAGGGCCGGCGTTGTCATGTGAGGTGCGAGAGGCTTGGGGTTTGCGTGGAAGGCTTTTGGCTGGTGTGGGACAACGGGAGCCACGGGGGCGGTCATGGGCTGCACTGCGAGTCTGGATAGTTTCCATTGGGTCAATTGAGGTCCTAGATGGAGTGGCCGGAGGCGGGTCAAGTACCGTGACATTTCTACGGTTTCAAAGAAATCCGGATGGGCGTGCTAGAGATGGAGAGAGAGAGAGAGAGAAAGTGCGAGAACGGAGAGTGGCAGGAAAGGATATTCTCAAAGTCCAAGATATGTGTGGCTTCGATGGTGACAGGTCGATGACGAAGGTGGTTTGATCCCCAGTGATCCAAGGTATGGATAGGGCGGAGTGGTATCGGTCCAAAGGCGTCTGTGGCCGGGAGGCGGATGTTGTATGAGAGAGCCGGGTTGTTACTGAGATGAGTGAAGAGGAGTGAGGAATAATGAAGGGTTTGTCGGGAGCAGAGAGCATCGTGAACTGATTCTTATATCTCATCGACTCGAGCTCTGTCGGGTAGAGCTTCCCCGCACCCGCAATTCCGCCTCCCATCGCTTCCACCCCCCCTTCATCCCCTCTTCTTACTCTTCCTCGTCCCATGCCATATGCCAATTGCAGCACCGGCACCCCGAGCTTTACGGCAGTGCCTGCCACGCATCCGCAGCATCATTTGCTAGCGCCGTGGTGACAAGGGGGTGGTTGATGATTGGGCTGATCACCTGGTATGGTGCCGCGTCAAGGGCCCGGTTCAGTCTGTCTCGATTTGGTAGTTTGGGCGCCGATGTATCACTGCCGGTTCCCGGATGTGGACTGGTGACGAGATGTCGGGCTCGTTCGTGTCCGGCTGGTGTGCGGCAAAGGTCCTCCAACCCTCGCCTCATGTTTTCTTAGAAAACCACATTAGTGTCCATAGGAGCTTTTTCCGATGCAACAACACACACGCAACGTGCGACATGCGGCCGCGGCGGTGTCCCGGGGTTTTGCGTGTGGCTCCGCGCACTAAATCGGGAAGCTAGAACATTCAAGAACATGGCAGGTCACGCGGGATGCAGGATCTGAGATGCCCCATGCTTCGCGTGTCTCCCGTTCTTCCAAAGGCTCCGGGAGAGCGGTCGGTCAGTGGCCCACCGACGGGTGTTTAGCCTGATGGTCGCGCGGCGGAAACATGACCGGTGCCCGTGGTGCGGAAAATCGGTTGGTTTACCGAAGGTTATGGAGTCTTTCGACACGGAAACGTGATTCGTTGGGCATCGTGTCTGAAAGGGGTGTGGCTAGACCATGGGTCAACTCGCAGGCCATGCGATGTAAGGACCCGTTTATTACTCTATACTACCACTATCCCAGACTAATCTCACCGTTGGGTCGGATGCATTAGGTATTGGCACAAGCGGAGGGTTCGGTCCAAGAGCTGCAGTAAGACTGCACCAGGTATGTATGTAGGTGTTAATCGCAACCTTTGCTGCTGCGTCTACCTAGGTATGTATGTCCGAGGGTCCAGAACCTAAACTTCCGCCCCCTCAGAGTCCAGACCAACAGGGCCAACAACAAACTAGGTGGGGAAAGCATGATCCCTCTTCCCCGGGGGGCCGGGACCGGGGCAAAGGTGAGAAGGGGAGAGAGAGAATGCGGAGTACGGATACCTACCTACATACCTAGGCAGTATAAAGTGCAGAGTTACTTTACGCATGCAACCACGGTCCACCGGCATTCCCATTTGGGCAATCCGAGATGTTCATCACTTGCTTCTCCACGTCGACGAAGCTTCAGCCAACCACCCCGAGGGAATAGTAGTGGATACGCGGAGAAAAGAATCAGGCACAAGTCCAGTCGTAGAGTGATGCAGCCGTGACGCCGCAGCCTCTTTTCTCCGACTTTCCTGTGGCGTGGCTCCCTTTGAGGCACACGACGCGCAAGCCTACGAGTGTCTGATGTTGTCGTGCTCCTTGTGACTCGACCGAGCCTCCCGGCCAAGACCAGAAGACCACTTGTCTTCCAGTCTCTGCACCCCTGCGTCGCCCTCCTTGGCGATCCACTGTTGAACGCCCCAGAAGGCCTTGAGATATGATATGCCGAGCACGAAGTCCTCGAACCCGATCGACAGCCCCGTGACGGCCATCTTCCTCCTGACGAACCTCCCCTTGGCGTCCGGTGCCGCGTTCGGGGCCGCCACCAGCATGATCCAGAGAAAAACCCCTGGGATCCGCTTCCATGTTGTCATGCTTACGCTCGTGAGTGCCTGGTACGCAGCCTCGAGCGTTTCGTCGTCATCAAACCGCGATATCTGACGCATCGACTTGATGGACCAGCTGTAGATCAGAGCAGCAATCCGGATGGTCTCGAGAATCCATTCCTCTTCTGACGAGATAGCGAGGCGTTCGACCTTGCTCTTATCCCGCAGTCTACTATGTAGCCAGGATGCGGTGGTGCGAATCTTCGATTTGCAGCTCGCCGAGGCCGATGCTGAAGTGACGGAAACCGTGAGGAACCGTACATCGTCCAGAATCTTGGCAGCCGCTGCGCACAACCCCAGTCTCTCGGCGATGCTCTCAAACCGAGATGAGGACGCCAGCAGTGGGCTGTCGTAGCAGTCGGGCCACGTCGTCGGGACCGGAACTTCCTCGTCTCGGACCGGATCGCCCTCCAGCCAGTAGAGATCCGTCTCAAAGGCGCACGCAATCTCATAGTCGGTTCTGGTAAGCTTATGGTAAGTCGACTGTCATCTCGGAGCGTCGATCCCGCGCTTACAGAATCATGATGGACTCGCCCACAATGTCGCCCGGACCACGCATGCCTTTTCGGAGCTCGATCATGCGCTTAATGCCTCTCATGTGGGCAAACATACTGTCGTCGGCGCCCCAGAACCACTGGAAAGGGCGTCAATGCGATGTTTAACGACGAACCAGCCATAGGCTGGTAGCTTACCTCCATAACTACGAGATTTACGACGGACCGGACCAACTCGACCGCGATGGCGTCGAACGGGCGCTCCATGTAATCCGCTATGATAGACAACACCCGGGCTTTGAGAGCGAGGGACTCTGGGTTCCTGGAGATTTCCGTTCCCTGCTCAAGCGACTGAGTCGTCGACGACATCAGAATGCCGATGTTGGGGAACAGAGGGGACTGCAGCATCCACGGTAAAACTTCTGTGAGGAAGACAGGCGGCTGGCTCTGCCCATCAATGGACACCAAGTTGGGTGCGACGACCTCGATATCTACGTTGGAGAGTCAGACTGAGTTGCTTCTCAGAGCGACCAACGCCTTGCTTACAAAAGTGAAGAAGCTCTGCTGTTCTGGGGCTTTCGGGAAGCGGCATCCCATGGAGAGTTGTCACCTCCGTGAGTATGCCACCAATGGTAGCGGGACTGCTGTGATAAAATGCCATCGGGTCGCCATTCCCATCGAGGAAGAGATTGGCATGGGCCTTCGCCTTTGCCTTCGCTTTCGCCTTCGCCAAGGCCTCACCTTCATCTTCAAGGTGACTGGAGCAGTGCGTTCTTGGTCCTCCGAGGCCATTGACGCCAGCATCTTGCAATCTGGGCCTTGATCTCTGGTGATTTCGCGCAGCCAGAGTTCCTGGTAGGGTTGGGGACGTGAACGGTAGTAAAGCTGTCGAATAACGGTCAAGGAAGGCAATCTCTGGCTGCTTTCCCGATCCTGTCGACAGCGAGGACAAGTCAAAAGTCAGAACCCGGTCCTCGTACACTGGCCTGGGGTTATAAGATGCGGCCTGAATGATGATACACTCCACAGGCGGGAAGCGTCTCGAGCAGTTTACGCATGGCGCGTCTAACTGCCGGATAATGCACTGCGGCCTCCTTAGCCCGTATCCACCAGTGACCGGGTGATCTATATCGATGCGGTTATCGGGGGGGGGGGCTTTCTTCGTTGCTTACCTTCTGCTTCCGTCTCTGGCACTCGGTGCACGACTTTTGGACTCTCATCCGCCGCTTCGGCGGGGGCTTCGACGACTCAGCCGCCATGATGTTTGGGAATGCTCCTCGGCACAAGGTGGAAATCAAATGTTATTATATTGCTGGCTTTCTCGAGACCGATCTGAAAGATCAGGCTGTCTAGATCCGTCCTATGACCACTGACATGCCTGTGATTCAGCCACGGCTGAGACATGGCATGCGCCAACTCAATTATGGAATAGTGCGGCGTAACGGAAGAGTGAAGTTGATCCTGATCATCTACCTATCTACCGACTTTGCGTGCGCGATTGGGTTATCCCTTTGAGCTTGGGCTATCATGCTTCGGATTTATGCATCCATCATTTTTGCCCTCCAATCTCGCTCACTGCTGCGTCAGTCCTATGAGTATTGGTTGATCGGCACCCGATCACTACATTTGGGGTCGACCCGGCTTAATGCTTACCCGCGTCGACAAAGCAAAGATGGATGTCGTTCAGCGTTGTTTCGAGAAGTTTCGAGAAAGGTTTCGAGAATGTACACCCAGGCTACACAGTCGGCTGTTTCGTTCAACATCTTGAACTCATCTCGTTGACCTATCCAATTGTCTCGGGGACTTCGTTCCTATAAATGTTGTACCCCCGCATCGTGACGTCCAACGCCTTATCTTCCATCATCATTACCACCAGCAGCAGCAGCAGCATCAATGAGTGCTTCAAACAACGTCGATATCCCGGACCCGACACCTCCTCTAATCTAGGGAAGCTGCCTTTGCGGCGCAGAAGTACACCATTGAAGGGGGGTATGGCTTCACGGTATTATGTCACTGCAACAGCTGCCGCAAGTTCACCGGTTCGTCATTTGGGGCCAACAGCCTAGTCGATAGAAAGGTATGTCCCTTTGAATCACTGGAACCAAACTCTGCAGACCATGGCTCATGCTAACCTCTCCGTCGGTCAGAACCTAACTGTGCAAGATCCCGGCTCCCACGTCTCGGTGTACAAGTCCGAGACCGCCGATTCTGGCGGGACACTGGCCCGCTCATTTTGCAGATTATGCGGCTCCTCACTCTTCGTTGCTACCCATGAGACTTCGGACAAGGTGGCTGTTACTTCAGGGACCATGAATGACGTCCAAGGCGTCGAGGGCGACAACGTGTGGACACCGAAGCTGGAGTTCTTCTGTAAAAGAAAAGCAACGTGGTTGGCAACCGAAGGCACGGTGCAAAAAGACGCCATGTAATTGTGCCAAGATTCCATGAAAGATCTGAAGAATGCATATGCATGTGCGAGGAGCAAGATGGCAGAGAAGGACAGCAGGGCTACAGCCAAGGCTACGATCAGGCGCTAGATGGTTTCAATGAGTGCCTGCGTCGCAGCTATCTCTCAGGCGTGTTCACTGACGCGGGTCTCGGGCCAAATCGCTACCCGTTCCCACCTTTCCGCATCATTTGGCCTTCATAGGCAGCGGCAGCTTCCCCTTTCATCGAACGAGGAAACACGTCTCCCGGCTGAGGACGGCCTGTCACAAGTCAAGCGTCACCGAATATTCGGCGAGCTGTTGGCCAAGAGCCTATACAATTGAGGAATTACTGAAGCCAGGATGCCTCGAATTCCTGATACATACATAAGTGACAAGCAGCTCTCATAGAGTTGCCATTTTGTACCGCTGCAATACGCACCGATAAGGACGGGATAGTCTTCCTCAGTCCTGTTAACCCAAGCTTCATTCCAACCGAGCCCGACCATCTCCGCATGATTCCGGCAATAGACCCAAGTCCTGCGGTGTACTTTTTATCGACTCCAACTCATGGGGAACATATAGGCTGTATTCGTGCAGCGAAGGTTAACGGAGTTGTGCGTGCGTCTTCGAGTCCCGAGGCCAGCATCGTATGTGTCATCAGAGCAGCAATAGTGTCTCTGAAGCACTTCATATTACGTGCAGTGGGCGGCATGCCGCATCCCTGGGCCTCCCTTCCCCGGACCGAGGACAAGGAAAGGCCTTGTTTACCCCACGCAGAGTTCTGGCTAGGATGTTGCCAGATAAACACTCGCATGGTTTGCTGCCATTGAAACGTCACATCGTTGGTAGATATCTACATGACTAGATCCAAGCGGGGAGTCCCCAGATCCTGGGGCCGAACTACAGGTGGAAGTGACAAGTGTGACGCCATTCTGACCACCGCCTCTTCAGTCTACCCCACGTTTCCCCACGTTCCAGGGGCGGAGTACATAGCATATGTGAAAGTCAAAACCCAGGCGAACGTCCGTTAGGTCATCGGATGATCCCAACTGGTGGCGGAGCCAACAGCGGCGGGGCCTCCACTCACTCATCGGGCAACTCTATAGTGGGAAACAGGCATTTGTGGTCTGATGAGAACTGGATTGACCTGTCAGATTATTGGCTTTCCGTCGACATGAGTGATAACATGCAACCTTCACGACCGGTCGCAGGGAAATGTCAAAGTAGTTTAGATTGCAACCTTTGTTACCAGCTGTGTTCCCTCTTCCTTATAACCAAGAACCCAATCAGATAACACGCTGCAGATGCGCCAAGCATATTTGGATCCACTAGACAGTGTATCGGAAAAAGGTGGCGTTGTCGCCCCTGTGACGCTCAGCGGCCTTCTCCTCGGTTGTGTACTGAGCAGGGTCCTTGTACTCGCGATCCCGGCGAGCATTCTCGCGGCGCAAGTAGATAGTCATGAAGGTGGAAAGACACATGGACATGGTTAACGTCGACAAGAGTGTGCCATGGCCGGGGTAGTAGTGCGGCTTGTCCTTTGCCTGATAAAGGAAACCGGCGATGGCACCACCAAGGTTGCCGAAACCTGCACCGTGTTAGCGGTTGAAGCCCACAAAGCAACAAGGTTGGTTCTGAAGTCGACTTACCGACGTGCATAGCGATACCGACGCCTCGCTTGACGGAGCCTCCAATGTTGTTGCCGTTCCACGCAACTCCCTGGGGGACATTGGGGTAGATACCGGAGGCAGCGAAGAAGCAACCGGCATATTTGACACCGTTGCTCTGGGAAGAGAGTAGCATGATGAAGCCAGCAATGCTGAAGAAACTGGTTAGCCGCGGATGTTCTGTCATTTAGGGGCGCGAGAGGGGATGACATACCCTACCAGGCAGAAGAAGATCATGTAGATACCACGCTGTTGGTGACGATCAGCCAGCCAACCGCCGCCGATGCAGCATACGCAGGCCACGATGTACGGTGGTACGGTCATCAACTGGGCCGTCTCGTTGGCATATCCGAGTCCGCTAACAATGGTTGGGAGGAAGAGGGAGTAGGAGTATAGCGGGGTGTAGATTCCGATGGTGATGAACTACAGTGTCGTCAGTACAACCGCTCGATATGGAAAGTCCTGGAAGGGTCTAGACTCACCATGTGCACCCAAATCTTCCAGTCCCTCAGGGCATCCTTGAAGTAGACCATGCTAAACTCATCGGCAAGAGCAGACCGATCCTGTTCCAGGCGACGAGTGACCTCCTCCTTCTCGGCAACGGTGAGGAACTTTGCAGTGGCAGGGTAGTCATTCATGATGAAGAAGGCGGCGATAGCTGCGTGAAAAGGGAGGACCATGGTTAGTTTTGTGCCATTACCAGAGGCTGATTTGGGTCTGGGCTTCCGCCTAGCTTACCGACAGCGAGAGTGAGGATTCCTTCTAAGATGAAGATCCAAGCCCAACCGGGTCTGCCTCCAACTCCATCCATCTCAACTATTCCTCGAGCAAGAAGGCCTCCAAAAGCACCGGCAGCAGTTGCAGCAGAGAAGAAGATGGCCATGCGAAGACCGCATTCGTGGCGTCGGTACCACATGGTGATGCTGGAGACATGAGGGTCAGATGACGGTGATTGGCGAGAGAGATGGTCCTGGACGAGGAGTACTACTCACTAGTAGGTGATACCCGGGAACAAACCACCCTCGGCGAGGCCGAGAGCCATGCGAGCGGCCAACAAACCCGGGTAGTTGTGAACAACACCCATAAGGGTGCAGCAGACACCCCAAGCGATCATGATGGAAGGGATCCATATCGAAGGCCGGAAGCGCTTCATGGCCAAGTTGGAGGGTATCTCGGCGGCGACATACCAGGGGAAGAACACAGACAGAGCCACGTTGTAATCAAGGCCGCTCATGCCGAGATCCCTCTCGATATGGGCCAGCCGAGCATTACCGATGTTGGTGCGGTCCAAGAAGGACAGCAAATACAACAAGGCAAGGAATGGAATCAGAGTCCAATCAATCTTTCGAATAAGTCTCTTGGTGGCGGCCTGGTCAAAGCCGCTTCTATCATGGTCGCTCGCGTATTCGACCTCAATAGAAGGGTCGGGAGCTACGCCGGCCTTGACATCTTTCTCGGAGGTGGACATGTTGGGCTACGAGTGGTTTGCGGACGGCTCCAGGTGATTTCCGGAGAGAGAGGATGCGTTTCGAAACACCGAATGTCGGCCGGATAATAAGCAAAACCTCCCACAAGTGGTGTTTATGGTTCGAGAAGGGCGGTGGGCTGTGGAGTGGCTATGGGCACCCAAAAACAGCTGATACCAAGGGGGAAATAGCCTTCGATGACTGTCTCGGAAAACAGTAATCGGTCGGAGTCCAATGAAGACAAACCAAAGCTGGAGGGACGAAAACGAAGCTGGACGACGTTATGGCGAACAATCCGTGTCAGTGCCTCGACGGAACGTGTTGTACGTGGTGTCGGGTATTGCTGTACCGAGTTGGATCGAGACGGAGGCTCAAGACGTGTTTTTATCTTGGCGTATCACACGGAGTCAGCGAAACCCGAATAGGCCAAAGAGAGGGAGATCGAGAAAGGGGAAGAGGAAGTAGGTGAAACCATGGAAGCGGTGCAAGTCCGCAGGGAAGAAGAAGCTGCCCTCTTTAAATGATTAACCAGCAATATGACATGGGCAAAAGACGGTTGAATAAACACGAGAGAGTCAACCCTCCAATCCCCCCCCCCCCTCCAACCACCCCAGTGTCTTAGTCTCTTGGCAACCGACTTAGTGTACCATATATCCATGGGCTTGCGGAAGAGGAAGAGAGAGAAAATGAAAATAAAGCAAAATAAACGATACCCAAAAGCCCATATGTCTCATGTGAGGGGTGAGACCTACCCTTGCCTTGTCTTGCCTTACCTTGCATACTTGGCATGCATCATGGAGATGGCCAAAATATACTTTAATTACATAGGTACATAACCTACTTAACAAGGCGGTATGAAAAGACACGCAGAGGCAAAACATGCCCTCTCGCTACCTACCTACCAACCTACCTAGGTACCTACATTGCGGCGCTGGTACGGCCGTGTCGCAACTGCAACTCTGCCGCCGTTCCACAGGATTCGCATCCTGTCTACCTACTTATACGGAGTGGTTGCTTTTCCGGACCAAGACCTGCCGCCTCCAGTCCAGTCGCAGGCTGCCCGCCATCGTCGTATTCTACTCGCCTTTTCTGTTTCTAGTGTATCTTGCCGTAGCACAACCAAGACCAGGATGGCTAGGTTAGCAATGGATGAATATCCAAACCATCAAGATAGAGCAGTTTCGTGCGGGTAAAGCTGAGCCTGAGGAATCATCATGGGACACGACGACTACATCAGGATGCTCCGTCCCCTCCCCGTCAACCCAAATGTGTGTGCACTAGGTACAGATACCTGTGCTTCCTCCACATCCAGTCCCCTGTCCCCCCCACCCCCGCATGCCAATCTCACAATCATCTTGCTCCCCCCCCGGTACTTGGTGCTGTCGCCAAGAAGCGCCGAGCTGGGTGTCCCCAACCTCAGCCATGTCAGCCAGTGCGCGAAAACCGGGCCTGTCCCGTCTCCTGAATGGACCGTCCAAACAATGGCCAATCTGCCAGCATTGACGCCACCTATACAGAGAATTAGTGATTGCCATTGCCATGTCACGGGTGCGTATCCTCGAGACACCGATAGCGACCAAAATGGCATGCATACAAACCATCCTTTTCTTTGTGCCGTTATCGCCAGGTTAACAAATAGAATAGATCGTCTCGGCATCCTCTGGGTATGCGTGCCAAACGCGCCGGGAGTACGTTACGCGCGTGCCCTCTCTTTTACTCTGTCTCGTGGGCCAACGTCGCTCCCGATAATATTCCTTAGGGCTAGCTGTATCTTCAGGCCCGGTATGTAGCGTTTGCTTGCCTTTAGGAAACAAAATACCAGCACGTCCAGGTTTTCGAAATGCGGACAATAAGGAAAGTCCAAGCTTGGTGTTATACAAGATGGCCCTCTTCGAGCTCCCATGGTTTCCCTGTGCCATGGCGTGGCATACGGTAGCCAAGAGATGATGGCTCTCGTCCTTCACACCACGAGCATGAAACAAAGAGCAACACGGCTAGGTGGGTGGCGATCTTGGATGCTCGATGAAGGGTGAGATGAAGAGAGCTCTTGGCTTAACTAGCGGCCACGTGTACGGGAGGGCTGAATCATCATTAGCGCCGGTCGAATGGAGCGTCTTCCTCGACGGAAAGTCGCTCGAGCGGGCGGGAAAAAGGCGACAGGAGATTTGACGGGGCAATATCTGTACGGTAGGCGAGAGGTCAACGGGAGTTGGAGGCGAAGCTCGCAGCGGGAGGGGAAGGATGATGGATGATGCGGGGAGCTACCTAGTAAGGCTTGGCCAGCAGGGTATCACCGGGCAGCCGAGCCAAATGAGGCATGAGAGCCGAACTGAGATTGAGTAAATTGAGCATCCGACAGCTTGGCTCAACTCCGCCACTCATCTGGGTCCAGTTCGGAAGGCCGATTGGACGATAGGCAAAACCCATTTGTCCTTCCCTCTTTCTCTCTTCCTCGCTCGCTTGAGGGGAGCTGTCAAAGTTGGCAGTTGTGCAAAAGGTTGGTTGGCGGAATGACGGAGCGCTCAAGAGGCAATGTCGAAAGAGGCAATCACAACGCAAGGTATCCGTACCTACCTCGTAGCTATGTTCACATGACTTGACTCTCTGCTTTTAGCTCAGTTACTGGTGGGCCCCTCCTCCCCAGAATGGATCCAACCAAGGGGGAGAGGAGGGGGGGGTTGGAAGGGAAAGAGCGAATGATAAGGAACAGGTGGGCAAAGCGCCCTCTCCAACCATTCCGTGCCTACCTAACCTAAGGTACCTACAGTACGGATAGGTACACTAGGTACCTACCTACGTACCTAGGTATGTATGTACCCCACGAATTCGCTTCGACAAATTTAAGTTTAGAGTACGGAGTACCTAGACACGTTGGGCGAGAAGTGACGGAGAAGAAATATGGAGACAGGCAGACAGACCCCACCCGTGCGATGCGTCCAGGCTTTGGGGTTGACCGGGAAGTCTAAGTCAATGTTTGTCTTATTGTTGTGAGTTTGGTTCATTTATTGCCAGTTGTCATTGGTTTTGTTGCAACTGGCGGCTCGGGCATGATACTTTTACCCTGAGGGAGGAGGAGGGTTGTGTTCATCCGGAGGCTGCTGAAGTGCAGAGTGCAGTCCGACTAAAGTTGGTTGGGACCACTCGCTTACCCCATGCCGCTAGTGCTAGCGCTAGGCCGTTGCTGCCTCTGTTGTGGTATCGCCTAGAGGCAGCAACGGACAACCCGACAGTACCTAAGTACATGCCTTCTCTCTCCCATACCACCCACACACCCACATACTTCTTTCATCTCGACTGCAGCCTTCGGTCCAATTTGCAGAATCCCACCCTCGTTCTCGCCGCCTCGGATTGACAATCCTTGACATGCACTATTCTCAACCCATCCCCTAAGACCTGTTCCAAACGTCCCTCTGCCTTGCCCTGTGAAAGCCTGTCCGCATTGGTGGACGACACCCCCGCCTCGCGCACGTCGTTGCGGCGTGCTGCCGTCAGCTCCCAAGTATGCTACCGTAGTCGTAGTGGCAACCTGTCGCTGTGAACTTTTCTTCGCCCGTTGCCTGCGTTGGGCGCTGACGACACTAGCACATATGATGGATTGGTGACCAACCAAATCATTGCGACGCTGACAGATGGGCAGGGACTACCTACGTCTGCTCCTGCATGGAACTAGCCAAGCAATGTCGACAACCACCTCGTGCATACTGTATCAATGCCCCCCGTTCACTCTACGACACAAGCGCACGTCGTCCAATAGCCGGGGAGGCCGGAAGAAGAGGAAGAAGAGGAGGAAAGGGGGGCGGGGTTACGAAGATGGTCTTGGCCAGACCCTCCCCGGCTCAACACTTCTGTATTCGCCTAGACTTGTACGTATATTGCAGCTAGGTAGTGTACAACAGCCAGACTCAACAACATGGAATTGTTCTTGGCTATTCTTGGCAGCACAAAACGCCTCTTCCCTCTTCCACACTTGATTTCCCGGACTCCGACGCCGTCTTGGCTGTTCGGCGAGCTCAGGGCCAATCGCTGCTGCTGGGGCGTAGCCTTTCTTTTTCTCATTACCAGACAAGCGATTGTTATTTCTCTTTCTGTTGGATCTGCGGATGGCAGTCTATCACTGTCGCTCATCAACGAAGCAACCCCTAACCAGACGGACCGGCAACCTCAGCATGTGTTATCGAGTTGCGAACAGGTATCCGTATTCAACATCAATCACATTGAGGTTTGGCCAAAACCTCCATGCCAAGCAGTCATCACGTCACTTCAGCCTAGATCCATTCGGCCGCTCCTCAACCCATCTGCCGGAGGAAGGGCTATCTCGGCGCCCAGCCTCTCTTCGACATCACAATAGGGTATCCGGTGGGCCGGTATGTACTCAACGTCTAGTGAGGACACTACCTGCCTTGGCAAACCCCAATTACACCCCCAGTCTGGCGTGTCAGTCACTCGAACTCGACCTTACAACATTCTGTACCCCCCTTGCCCTTCTGTCCTATCTCGCCGACTACCTGAGACATGGCAAGGCTTAGTGCACAATGACTGGCTGCTTATCAAGGGCCTTGGAATCCCTCACTTGTGATTATCGGTAGACTTGCATGCTCGTCACTTTGAATAGGGGAGCACGTAGAGTAAGTCATAGACAACAAGTACATCTCAGGCGTCGGCCTCCCGTGCTTCAAAGAGGACGATAGGTGGCGCGAGTAGCATAGTGACCATGTGCCATTGACCATTGATACGGATACGTATATGTGTGTGTGAATAACAGTCGCCCGATGCTTTCGCATCATGTTCCTTGGGCTTGATGAAACTGCCCGAGTGTCTATCGACGTAGGTGATCCCAGGGGGTTCCTCCAGGCGTTATCCGTAGCGTCGACCCTGTCCGTTGCTAGACACATACAGTGACTCAAATAGACCCCAACGACAGGATGGGAGGCATTCGGTCCGATCCAGTTCTTGACCAGGCGCAACACCTTAGACAAAACGACCCCTGTACCCTGGGTTCAAG